ACACGTCCTCTCACGTCGAGTCTGTGTTCAAGAACATGCGAAGCGAGACAAAGGGAAACCTGGAGCTGGCCGATTACATCCGCCTCAAAGTCTCTCGCGCGTCAGGAAGTCCCTCGCTCATGGACACGGACTTAACATCCTTCAGCGCTGGCGCGAATGAGAGTAACCGTCAGGTTCGACCGCGCGCTAAGAAGCCTCCGAGTGAGAAACACAAGGATGATCCTTCCGGGTTGAAGTGTGGTAAGTACATGGCAAACAGTCAGAAGAACTGCACCGCGAACATCACCACGAAAGGCCAACAGACCTGCAAATATAAACGCTGCGGTCATCACTGCGAGAACAAGTCAGAGTGTCCTGTGCACAGAAGCAGCGGTAAGAAGTAGTGATCGAAGCCCAAGCGTCGTAACATATGAGGTGTTGCTGGCGCTGAGTTTCTTAGATTCCCCTAGCTAGCCACAGAAATTAAATGGAAGTTGCCCTTGTCCTCCTAAGAGCAGCGTTTTCGGTCAGGATCATCTCCCGCGCGTACTCTGAGCAGCGCATCTGCGCGTCAGCACCCATCTCCAAGCGCGACGCGTCGTGCGCGGCCGAAAAATCGTCCAGCGCGCGCGCTCTGCACTGCTTAGGGGTGATGGAGGTCCAAGGTTTCCGGCCTGGAGCATTAACTCAAAATTTCTTGAATTAATAATGCCATATAAAGTTATGATTATGATCTTAATACAAGTTAATCATTGCCTTGCTTGGAACCTTCGAAGGTACCTTCGTACGAAAGTACTGTGAAAGTACCTTCGTAGTGTACACAGCTGTGTAGCTGTGTACCTTCGTACGAAAATAGATAAGTTGTAAACTTACTTTCGTACAAGATAAAATACTTTCGTACTTTCATACCTCGTACGAAGGTAATAAACATACTGTACGTGTACGTGTACAGCTGTACCTTCGTACGAAAGTACTTTCAAAGTACGAAAGTACGAAAGTACAACTAACATAATACTGTATGTAACTATGTATGTATGTAGCTATGTACTATGTAGCCCTGCACGTGTACGAAGGTAGTACGAAGGTAGCTACGAAGGTACGAAGGTAGCTAGCTACAACGCGGTGTACAGGCTGTACACGTGCACGAAGGTACTTTCGTACGAAAGTACGTTTGTACTTTCGTACTTTCGTACGAAAGTATTATCTACGAAAGTACCTTCGAAGGTACTTTCGAAAGTAGCTAGCTAGCTAGATAGAATATCTTCGTAGCTAGCTAGTGTACACGTACAACTGTACACGTGTAGTTGTAGCCCTACATGTAGGTCCGGCTATTTTCGAAAATATCTTCCTCACCGAAACCGGTCCTTATTGGCGTTGTGTGACACAGGCAGAAGACCTTTCTGTCATATTCTCTAAATATGATGGACATGTCAGTCGCATCGCCAGCTTGGTGTCCTCACCCACTTCACAGTCAGCGACCACCCAAGTCAAGGACTCATTCGTTAGCTTCGCCCGTTCCATCAGCTCGTTCGGAATCGTCAGGGTTGCGCCTACAAAAGAGCGGAAGTGTGGGATTCATTTCCGGGTTACCCGATATCATGCGCACGGTACGGTTTACGAATGACGAATATTATTTAAATGGCTCATAGAAGATGCTCATATTTCTCACCCTCGCGATATTTATACGACCTTTGTTGAAAGTCAGAAGTCAGAAGAAAACGCGGACTGCGTAAGACAGCTGATATGTGCTCTGTTCTCGCGTGTTTTGATCCGGACGGTGAGTTTTCAGTCACGTGAATCGAAATATCGCGAACTCGAGATCTTGATCGAAACACTTATCGGCCATGAATAGCTAAAAATCTGCAGCGATTTCCCCCTCACGGGACTGACCATCACCCAAAAAAGTGGACCTTTTCGAAATTATCTTGCAAGTTGAGAGGCTTGAAAATGCTACAGCTTAGGATATAAATTATAAATGTCTTCTGAGTTATCTCCTCCATCTTATGTTTTCAGGTGTGCTTTCCGAGGGAAGAGAAGAGCTCATGCGCGGCCTCTCTGCTCGAATGCGCACTCGAGGACCTGACGGTTCTGGCTACCACGGAAACGAGCGCTTTGGGCTTGCACACGAAAGACTTGCCATCATGGACCCTGAAGGAGGCAAACAGCCCATAGTATACAAGTCGGATGGCTATTCTGTGTGTGCTAACGGGGAGATCTATAACTTTCGCGAGCTTCAGGTATAACAGCAGCCTCGGCACTTTCCCGAAAAAACAATTTTTCTAAGTTAACGTCTCATTTTTACGTTTGAGATATCTTTAGGATAAATATGACCTCACTGCACCAAAAACTGGTTCAGACTCTGAAGTTTTATTGCAACTCTATCGATACAAGGGTGCTGAATTTGTTAAGGAACTTAATGGGATTTTCGGCTTTGTCTGTGTCAGCGGGGACGGTGCGGACATGATAGCTGCACGTGATCACTGTGGTATTAAGCCCTTGTACATTGGTTACGGAGAGGGCGGGTCTACCTGGTTTGCATCTGAACTCAAGGCAATTTGTGATCAGTGTAAATCTATCGAGGAATTCCCGGCCGGGCACTACTGGACTCCTAAGACTGGCTTTGTGAAATATTATGAACCAGAATGGGACTCTGATGAGTTTGTGAGCGATCAGGTAGGTGACCAGTTTACCTGCAGTATTTACCACCTGTTCGCACTGGTGATGAGTTAAACACAAGCTTCTCTGAATATAGTAAAAACGAATAATACCTTGTGTGTAAGATATGCTTATCTCTATCATACAATCTCATGTACGAGACTTAATTGAAATGTGACCATATTCGGAGGATACGTCTCAAGTACGCGCTGTGCTTTCCCAGGCAGTGAAAGATCAAATGATGGCTGATGTGCCAATAGGCTTACTCCTTTCTGGTGGTCTTGATTCAGCTGTCATCTCTTCTATCATTAAGCCGATGCTGGCTGAGACTCAGCAAAAGTTTATAACATTCACAGTTGGTCAAGAGGGTTCCCCTGACGTCGTGGCTGCACGGATGATGTCTGAACATCTTGGCACTGTTCACCACGAGTACTTGTTCACTTCTGAAGAGGCGTGCGACATCATTCCAGATGTAATTTATCATCTTGAAACATACGAACCTGAGCTTATTCGATCAGCTATCCCCAATTATTTCCTTGCACGGCTGGCATCTGAACATGTTAAAGTTGTGCTTACGGGCGAGGGCTCAGATGAACTCTTTGCTGGATACCTGTATTTCAGAGATGCCCCAGACTCAGCAGCTATCCATATGGAACTCCGCCGCATCTTCCACCATCTACACAATGTCAACTGTCAACGAGCTGATCGAATGACCATGGCTCACGGCCTCGAAGCACGTGTCCCGTTTCTTGACCCTCGCGTCATTGATGCAGTGATGAAGGCGAGCCAGCGTTCTTTTGCAGTTCTCATCTTTTATGACTGATTCGATTTGAAAGGACGATCAAATTTTTATTGTCACTTTTTTTGCGTTTGACCATGAAAAGCGGTGGACCCCGAATACAAGAAAATCGAGGGAGACTCCAAGCCAGAAAAATACGCACTTCGAGCCCTTTTCGACGGTGAAATTCCTGATCCTGTCCTGTGGCGTACCAAAGCAATGCAGTGTGAGGGTGTTGGTTTAAACTGGGTCGAAGACCTACAGAAGTTCTGTGAGTCGCAGGTGAGTGATGTTGACTACGAGAAGGCATCAAGTTTGTATGCCATTAATCCTCCTCAGAGCAAAGAGGAGTTATTCTACCGGCGCATATTTGAATCACACTACCAGGGCATGGATAAATTTGTTCACGTCTGGTCTGGCGGTTGTCGAGCAGCTGGTGCTGCTTGGCAGAACGAAGCATATACCCGCTTTGGCCTTAAGGACGTCACCCAACTTGCCCAGGGGATAGAAGGCATCAGAGGGATTTCCTAATCCGCGATTCCCGGATTTGCTTGCGCTGGATGTGAAATGTCCAAGCACTCTGGCAGATACAGAACAGTATTCATAGAGCGAAACCCTGCAGCTGCGCCGTGCTTTATGTTTCGATGCCTCGAGGAAGTGTTTCTTTCTCACGCTGCACTTCCACGAAAGTAGTTTTTAAAACGAATGCAAGTAGCGAGCCTTCCAGGGCCTAGGTAAGGCTCGTAGTTGAAAAACATGTTATGTACATGAGCTAGTGCTACAAGTCGCACCAGCAACTCGCTCTTGCAAGTGTACGAGACGTAGTTCGTAATTTTGTATTTTCTGCCTCTCATTTTGTCTATTGGCAAGCATCGCTTACCAGCCTATGTGTCGGTAGTTCTCGCCGGCATACGATGCTTCTGAACCAAGCTCTTCTTCAATTCGCAATAGTTGATTGTATTTCGAGAGGCGCTCAGACCGACAGGGCGCTCCAGTTTTGATCTGGCCAGTGGCAAGGCCTACCGCTAAATCTGCGATATATGAATCCTCCGTCTCGCCAGAGCGGTGAGACGCCATGACGCCCCAACCAGCCTTCTTGGACATCCGCACTGCCTCAATCGCCTCGGTGATTGAACCAATCTGGTTCACCTTGAGGAGCAGTGCATTACATGCCTTTGACTCGATGGCAGTCGCGACGCGCTCAGGGTTTGTCACGAGGAGGTCATCCCCAACTACCTGGCACACACCCGACGCAGTCAGAGTGCCCGTGTTCTCGAAATCATCCTGGTCGAACGGGTCCTCAATGGAGACAATAGGATACTCAGAGCAGAACTCTTTGTACATAGCAATCATTTCCTCACCAGTCTTCTTCAGAGACCCATCATTATTTTCAGTCTTGAAGTCAAGGTCATACATCTTATCATCAGCCGTGTAAAATTCAGCTGCTGCGACATCCATGCCTATCTTGATCTTTCCAGTGTATCCCGCTTTCTCGATAGCTTCCTTGAGCAATTCGAGACCTTCTCTGTTTTCCTGAATGTTCGGCGCGAACCCTCCTTCATCTCCGACATTGCAGGCGTCCTGACCGTACTTCTTCTTGATTACAGACTTGAGGTTATGATAAACCTCGGAGCCCATTCGCATAGCTTCTGCGAACGTGGAAGCGCCGACAGGGAGAATCATGAATTCCTGCATGGCAAGCTTGTTACCTGCATGTGACCCGCCGTTTATCACATTGAAAGCGGGCACAGGAAGCACAAGCTTCGAATTTCCTGCGAGCTCAGAGATGTGCTTGTAAAGTGGGACTCCCTTCTCCGCCGCGCCTGCCTTCGAAACTGCCATAGAGACAGCGAGGATGGCGTTAGCGCCAAGTTTACCTTTGTTCTTAGTACCATCTAGCTCGATCATGAGATCGTCTATCATTTTTTGATCGGCAGGATCCTTACCGATGAGCGCAGGGGCAATGATGGTGTTGATGTTCTCCACAGCCTTTAACACACCTTTTCCCATCCACCTGAGAACATAAACAAAGCATCAGTGAGGTGTTGTGATGCCCAGACAAGAGTGAATTTCGTGCGAAGCAAAACTGCTGCCTGTGTAGAGTTAGTTGTACCCTAGCTAGACGACTCTGGGTTGTTATAAAGCAGGAAGGACAGACGGTTTTGAAGTAACTACGTCAACCCGCGCAAATTCAGAATGTAAAGACTCGAGAAAATGGTTTAGTTTGGTTTGAAGCTCACTTTTCTTTGTCGCCGTCCCGAAGCTCTACCGCTTCGTGGATGCCGGTAGAGGCTCCAGAAGGAGTCATAGCGCGAAACATTCCCTTGTACGTGTAGACGTCAGCCTCGACAGTAGGATTTCCGCGAGAGTCAAATATCTGACGGCCGACGATCTTCGTAATGGCGGCTGGAGTTTGCTTTTTAAGGTATTCTGCCTGTAGGTATGTTCATATATAAGTTGGAGGTGGCAGGATTCCGAGCAAAACCCTGGGAACCCGATAAATCCGCGCTCACCATGAAAGAGATCGGCTCAGGTGCCTTGGCCTTGACGGCGGCATTTATTACATCCTCAACCTTCTTGCCGAGAGCATGCTCCTCAATATACTCCTGGATGGACATCTTTTCTTCGTTGGAGCGAACTGCGTTGCTTGTCCGCCGACTTCGCACGCGTGGATAGACCTTATGTCGGAACGTGTTGCAGCGATAGAGCATTATTTGTACGTGCTCAAGAACGCATGTGATAAAACGTTGTATCATAGTGTACACGCACGTAGCCCTAAGTTGTACGAAAGTACGAAAGTACTTACCTGCGTGTAAAATAAATAGTCTAGTGTACCGTACCTTGTACGTGCACAAACGGTAGTGTACAGCTGTACACGTACGTGTACGTGTACACGTACGTGTAGCATATCTAGTTCGTATGGAAATTTTAGATATTTTTATTCCGCGAAGTGCTTCCGGAAGTATTCTACAACTACTTTCGTACCTAAGGTACGAAAGTACGAAAGTACGAAAATACTTTCGAAAGTACTTTCGAAAGTACTTTCGTACCTTCATACAGTACAGAATACAACGTTGTGGGTGGGCTAAGTGCGTTGTACAAATGTACTTTCGTACTTTCGTACGAAAGTACTTCCGTACGTTTATTTGTACACGTACGTCTCACGTACGGAACGAACGAAGTACGAAGATAAATATCTATTTCCAGAAATACAACTAAGAACTTACGAAAGTACTTTCGAAAGTACCTTCGTAGCTACTTCCGGAAGTACCTTCAAGGTAGAGCACTGTATGTAGAATACAACGTACCTTCGTAGTGTACACGTAGGCCCTAGCTAGCTGAGTTAGTTGTTATTATTATTTATTACTGTACTATTATTTATTATTATGATATCATTCATACTACGAAGGTACGAAGGTAACAATATTGTACGTGTACCTCCAGAAATACTTCCGTACATAGCTACATACATTGATACGAACCTGCTGCTGGAAGAGTCCTGGAAGTACTTCCGGAAGTATGATACTTCCGTACTATAATCCGTAAAATGTTGTACAATCATTGTAGAGGAAACCGTGAGAAAGACATGACGTTGTAAAAATAGTATCTACAAATCTACAACTATACGTCGTACCTCCGAGGGTACTGCACCTTTGAAGGTACGTTGTATATATGTACTTCCGGACGAAAGTACAACTGCTCTTATAAATTCACTAGCCATTGACTGAAATGCCCACACGGAATAACGTGACACAGCACGAGTCACACTATAAAATAGGAAGTATCTAAAAAGACCTCCTAGTACCTTCGTACCTTCGAAGGTACTTGCAATACGTATCTAGCTATCATATCTACCTTTTATCTTCGTACTGGCCCTCTACAACCATGACGTAACAAACTGAAAAAATAACGGCAGATACCAAAACGTGCCAACAAAGCTCTTCCGCTTGGGAGGTTTCATCGCGTGCTGCAAACGCGAGCGAGGTCCGTACGATCCCCGCGTCCTCTGAATGATTGCACGCGTAACAACAAGGTTCATACCACAACGGTTTTATTCGCCCGTGCCGTGATGCCCGCACTGTGTCACTTTATCACAAGGAAAAAAATAATGGTCGACAAGAGAGGACCACGTTTATTCTCGCTCTTGATGCACGACCCGACAACAATCCGCGAACAATCGAAACTATATTTCAAGTGAGAATGGAGCAGTTCTACTGAACGATCTTCCAAGTGAGAACGCAGCAATTCTACTGCACCTCGAGAGAATCAGAAAAAAATACTGGAAAGTTTCGTTCTTCTGAAACTGTCACGAACTGTATTACCTTCCTTTAGAAATTTGCCAAAGGGCGCACCCCGCACAACGGTCTTGCGAAATGGTTTTCTGAGTCAGATCTTTGGGCCGAAGGTGCCAGCAACGTACTTCAGGTGATATCGGAACAAGGGCGGACTAAAATAAATCTGCACAGCAGTTTCGCACTTTGGCGTGAGTCCAGTCACAGTCTTCACCCAGAACCCTGGAATTAAATTCAGGTGCAGTCCCCGAACTCACTTCCCTAAAAGGTTGTCCCGGGTAGTGAGCTGCAAACGTCTCACCCGACAGTTCTTTGAGAGGATCCCTCCCTTCAGAAGAAAACGAAGAAATACCTTCCAATTCGATCAACGCAGCCGAGATATCGTTGTCGTTGACGCGCGGGTCCATTGACCATACAAGCCAATTGTCAAGCATGCAGTCATTTGATGAAGGAATTTCGGCGCCAAGGTCCGAAAATGTAGGCACAGGACGCATTACTGTCTCGACCCATCCAGCATGGCCAAGTGCAGTCTTCTCACCAGTAGAACTCCAACGAAACCGAATGGGAGACGAGACCGTGGCTCCAAGTTTGCGTGCAACCTCTGTTGAATCACAGACTTTTTCCTTGTCAATTGTTTTGCTCGGGGCGAAGGAAGCTTTGCGCCATAGAGAGCACATCGCCATCAGATCGACAGCGTCAGTTGCCCATCGGTGAAGTGCCCCTTCACCTTTGACGGAACGAGTCAATATAGTTGGGCGGACACGCCATGCCATCACTTGTGGCTGCCCAACCTGTGCCTCAAGTAGTGCCCTGAATCCGCGAACGAACGCTGGAAGGTGCACTGCGGTCGCGTGTGACCTGACGAAGCGATGACACGACGTGACAAAAGCGGAACCATCTGGGCGGACTGGGTAGCTCGCCTTCTCGGGTAGGCTGCAATTTATCTGCCAGGCCTTTGATGCGGCAATGAGCTCCTCAAAATTTCGAAAGATAGCTTTTTTGCGCACTGCCTTTAGCCTTTTGCGAGACTGGCTGCCGCGGAATGCGGCTTGAATCTTTGTTGCCGCGGTGTCCTCAGAGACGCATAACCCCGCGGTTGAGTTTTTGTTTTTATTTCTCTGCTTTTTTGGCTTATCGACGACGCACGATCCCATCCTGAGAAGTGTTTTACGAGAGCAACGTTGCACTCGAATACGGTGGTACTTTCGAAAGTACGTGTACTTTCGTAAGTTTTACCTTCGTGTATGAGGCCCAAAAAGTACTCAACGTGAACCTGCAAACCTGCAGATCGACAGTTCGACATCGCCATCGCGGCCGGCGTGGTACGCGCTATACCTGACAGCAACTGACCCAATATGAAGCTGTGAATCGATTCATGACGTCATTGCGAGAAACTTTCTCCGTGATCATGCCGCGCGATATTGCCTTCCGCCTCTGGCGCGCGCGGCTCCGATGGAGACACATCTTCGCGTTTTTCGAACGGAAACGCGACAGCACGTTTTTGGCAAAAAGTGACCACTGGCCTTTTCAAGCGCCGATTACATCGTGTTCTAACCCTAAGCGACGTCATATTCTTAGATATATCGATGATGTATATCACAAGCATCACTTCCTCTCCCTGTGACAAAGTCATTCATGACCTTTCGACGACGCCATGGCCGCACGAACACGCAGACCCTGACGCCTGGCAAAAATATTTCCCCGCCGAAGAGAATTTTTTTCACCTGAAAAACGCGAACGGGTCCGAGATGGCTCGGTTTTTCGCCTCATCCGCGGGTTGGCGAGGAGCGCCGTGCATCATCAAGCTATAACGCGAAGATACCCTCGCGCGCGCATCATCACATAAGGTCATAAGGTACGCATCTTTGCCCTCGCGCGCCTCCGGGAGTGCGCGGGCGCGCGCGACGCGGGGGGCGATGTCGAACTGTCGATCTGCAGGTTTGCAGGTTCACGTTGAGTACTTTTTGGGCCTCATATCGTGAGTCTTTCGAAAATATACTCGAAAGTACGAAAGTACTTTCGTACACGTGTACGGAGGTAAGGTACTTTCGTACGAAAGTAGTTTCGTACCTTCGTACGATGATAATAAATACTTCCGGAAGTATTCTATACACGTGTACAGCTGTACACGTGTACACGTGTACGGACGGAGTACAACAATTTTGTAGCCCTACGCTATTAGATATGTGTAGCTTGTGTACATAGCTACATACCTTCGTGTCTATCTTCGTATCGGATACTTTCGATATTTCCGGAAGTACGGAAGTATCTATCTCGAAAGTACGTAAGTACTTTCGTACGAAAGTACTTCCGTAGGCCTACCTGTACTTCCGTACCTTACTTCGTACGGAAGTACTTTCTTGTACTTTCGAAAGTATCTAAAACAACAATAAAACTAAGATCATAATCATAAATATGGCATGATTAATCCAAGGATTCTTGAATTAATGCTCTGTATGCGTATCAGTCAGGCAGGGGCAGGTGCCGTACTCGTAGGCCGCCTGCCGGCTCTCCACTCAAGCACAACGACGTTCGCGCGCGCTTCGCGTGCACGAGCTCTGCGATGTCGTCACTCGTTCACGAACACGACACGTGAAAGTTCTTCGGCCACCGACGCCACTCGCGGCCGCGGCGGCGGCGGCGGCGGCGGGCGGCGGTGGCGGCCGCATGCCGCGGCGACGCGAGGCGGACCAGCGAGTCGAACGACGTAGCCGGCGACGTCATTCTCGCGTGGATGCGCGCCCCGCGCGCATCTCCGCGCGGACGTGTTGTAGGCACGTCGTGAGTTCTAAGCTGACGAAGTGCTTCGCAGCTGCTCGCGATCGGCGGCGGCGGCGGCGGCGGCGGAGGCGGCCGCCCGCCACTGCGCTGAGAGGGGACATGTCGCGCCGTGCTGAGGTCGCGACGGCGACGCCGTGCACGCAGCAACGTAGCTTTCGCGCGCAGATCGGCGCCGTGAGCTGAGAGTCGACGAAACGCGCTCTCGAGACCGTGAGAGGCTTCCATTCGCGCGACGGCGACGTTTCCCGCGTCCTCGTCGTCCAAGACGGCTGGGAGGGGACGCGATATGATCGCGCTGCCCGATGGCGTCGGCGTCGTCGAGAGGCACTCGTAAGTAATCACGGAATGCCCAGCGACGCGACGTTCCCCTCGGTCGCCCGCGATGCTACGACGACGCACACCGTTCGTACCATCTCGATCGCTGCGATGACAACCGCGCCAGTGCGTGCTCGCGGATGGTACCTCCGCGATGGCGCGATAAGGATCCACGACGCCGGCGGAGAACCCGCCGCTACCGCGCAGGCGCCGCTCGGAGCATGGCGACACGGGCGGGACGTTCACGGTTCGCAGACGCAGACGCGCAGAGCAGCTGCGGCGAGAGCCGCGTCCCCCGCGGTCGTGTCGCTCGCGGGTACGCCTCGATCGCCCCCGCCGCGCGATTGGGAGCGGTTGTGTTCGCGCGACCGCGGAAGGAGACGCAGGCAGACGCCGCCGCGTCCGCGTCACCGCTGACGCCGGCGCCGGCGTCAACGTTGAGCCGCAGGCGCGCGGTGAGCTCACCGTTCGCGTCCTCCCTGACGTCCCCCGCCGCCGCACGAGATCATCGCTCATCGCGCGCGTGGGAGGGATGGGGTGTGTTGCGTCGCGTTGCCGGCGGGTTGGAGATGTGGGCGTTCGCGAGCGCGTGGCTGTGGAACGGCCGGCGGGCGACTGCCGCGACGCCGCCGCGACGGCAGCGTTGGAAAGTTGAGCGCTCGCGTCATCGTCCGTTTAAGTCGTCCGCTCGTGTCGTTATTCAAATCGTTCACATCGTCCGTCATTCGCCGCGTCGTTACTCTCTCACCTCTCGTCGTCACCTTCGTCGTGCTCGCCCCCTCTTCTCCCCGAAACCCTCCACATTACCACCTCGCGGAAATCGTCACAGCTTCTACTTCGCGCAGAAAGAATCTAGTAGAAGACGACGCCATCTTCGATGATTCCGCGTCGAATGTACCCCTGCGTGATGTACGTGTTAATGCACGGACGGAGATCAGCAAAGATTTCGCTGTTCATAGTACGGATGGCAGTCTTGTAGTTCTCCCCCTCCTCCTCGATCTTGATATCTTTCGGGATGATGAATTCCACGAGTTTGATGTAGACAACGCGGACGAAGTTGGCAAAGTCCCCGTTACGAGTATACAGTCTGAAACCCTTTCGTTTCCCCTGTGACTTCACGGTTTCCGGGAATATGCCTTTATCGTAGAGGAGACACCCAACTCTTTCGAGAAGACCTCTCAGAATGTACAACTCTGGTGCATTCTTGATACGTTCGCCAACGTCCGCGTCCGCGTCCGTGTACTTGTGAAGGACAGGTTCCATGTCGAACATCGTGGCCAACCTATCGTTGTCTCCAAGAGTGTCATCGACGAGTTCCGTAGTGAGATCGGTACCCTGACGAATGATGGACTCCGTCGGCCCCGACTGTTGGTTGAGCGTCGTTTGGACGACGCGAGGAGCCGCGGGAGTAGCAGGACGCGTGGCTGAACCAAAGTTCAAAGTCCGACCGCAGCCACTTACGACGGCGGGGGAGGGCGCAGACGTGTCCTCTCGTTGGCGTTTCAATGATGAACCACCTTCAAGAAGCGAAAGCTGCTGGGCGTATTCGACTGCAGTCATTCCGTCAGGTGCTCCAGTAGAAAAGCCAGCAGAGGCAGCAGGAGGAGCTTGGTGAACGACTTCTTCTATTTCCGTAGGGAGCGCGTCGCGTCTGCCACGCGAGAGTCCGGAGCGCTACGCGCATCGTCAAAGGCGAAAAGCTCCTCAATGACACGACGCTCGCAAGGGACGTCGTGCAGGCGCCAGTCCCAGTGCAGCAGGCAGAATCGCAACGTGAAACTCCGCGTGCGACAAGCGATCAGGAAAGGTCTTCGGAAATCGAGGCCGCCACGGACTACGATTTCTGCCTCGATCTCGACGACGACGACGAGACGGATGATGCCAAGCACGAGGATAAGATGGCCATGGAGTTTCTGGCCGAAGAAGGAGAAGAGATGGCCACTGCCAGGCTCACAGACGAAAATCAGCTCGCCAGGCATATGCTCGCGCCAACTGAATTTGATGGCGTCGAAGTGTTGGAGGATACCGAAGGGGACATCGTAACGATGACTCCGGCCAACGAGTACAACCTCGAGATTGTCTCTGGTTCATCCTACGTCGTGAGCCCTTTCTTCATCGAGACTAAACGCGGAGGCACCAGCAAGAGGAAGAACGAATCGATCTATCCAGTTTGGTCCATGGTCTCGTACGCCGCGCGTCTCTTCACGACCACGGGCCCACTCGTTCGCGGGCTCTTTTACAGCGCCGAGAGCACGTCCTCTCACGTCGAGTCTGTGTTCAAGAACATGCGAAGCGAGACAAAGGGAAACCTGGAGCTGGCCGATTACATCCGCCTCAAAGTCTCTCGCGCGTCAGGAAGTCCCTCGCTCATGGACACGGACTTAACATCCTTCAGCGCTGGCGCGAATGAGAGTAACCGTCAGGTTCGACCGCGCGCTAAGAAGCCTCCGAGTGAGAAACACAAGGATGATCCTTCCGGGTTGAAGTGTGGTAAGTACATGGCAAACAGTCAGAAGAACTGCACCGCGAACATCACCACGAAAGGCCAACAGACCTGCAAATATAAACGCTGCGGTCATCACTGCGAGAACAAGTCAGAGTGTCCTGTGCACAGAAGCAGCGGTAAGAAGTAGTGATCGAAGCCCAAGCGTCGTAACATATGAGGTGTTGCTGGCGCTGAGTTTCTTAGATTCCCCTAGCTAGCCACAGAAATTAAATGGAAGTTGCCCTTGTCCTCCTAAGAGCAGCGTTTTCGGTCAGGATCATCTCCCGCGCGTACTCTGAGCAGCGCATCTGCGCGTCAGCACCCATCTCCAAGCGCGACGCGTCGTGCGCGGCCGAAAAATCGTCCAGCGCGCGCGCTCTGCACTGCTTAGGGGTGATGGAGGTCCAAGGTTTCCGGCCTGGAGCATTAACTCAAAATTTCTTGAATTAATAATGCCATATAAAGTTATGATTATGATCTTAATACAAGTTAAAACAACTTATCTTCGAAGAACTTTCGAAGATAGTTGCTTTTATTTTGTACAATACGGATAGGAAGTACGAAAGTACGAAAGTACGTACGGAAGAACTTCCGGAAGTATGTATGACTCACGTATGTGTAGAGTGTAGCTGTGTATGGCACTGTAGGCACAGTAGGCACGGTAGGCAGCTAGGCACAGTAGGCAGCTACAGTAGGCATAGTAGGCACAACAAAATGAACAAAGATAGCACTTCGGTTGCACACGTACAGTACAACGTACACGTACACGTACGTGTACGGAAGTACGAAAGTACTTTCGTACGAAAGTACGGAAGTACGAAAGTACGGAAGTACGAAAGTACGAAAGTACGGAAGTACGAAAGTACGAAAGTAAGACAACTTACACGTACTTTCGTACTTTCGAAAGTACAACGTTGTACCTTCGAAGGTACACGTGTACCGAAGATATGATAGACTATCGGGATACCTTGGTACGGAAGTACCTTCGTTCGGAGGTACGAAAGTACTTTCGAAATTACTTTCGAAAGTACACGTACTTTCGAAAGTATAGAACATCATGCTTTCGAAAGTAAAGTACTTTCGTACGAAAGTACTTCCGTATGATACGAAGGTACAGTACAGTACATGTACGTTGTACACGTACGGATATTTATCTTCGTGTTTGTACAGTAAATCGTTTTAGCGAGTTTTTTTCACCTTCGAAGGTCAAGGTAGCAAACCTAAACCCTAAATTTGGGCTACTACAACCATGACGGGTTTCGCAGTGTTTCGCAGTCGGTGAACCGGCCTGGGTTTAGAAAAGTTACCTGCGCTTTTTTAAGAAGTTGGGCAACCCGCTGGCTTACTTTGTACGGCCATACACGTATAAAGCTTCTTAGAGGCCCTGGATCTCAAAACAGTCTAGACAGAAGCACTACATACAGTGTTGCTCATCCGTGGTCTCCAGCTCTTCACCACGCGCTGCAAAGACGCATGCGAACATTTTTCCATTCGAAAAAGGCGCGGGTATCCCGTTGATAGGTGGTTCTAGACTTTTGAAAGATTGAATTCGCTGTGGACGGCGGAAGATTTTAGTTTTAGTGAGTGTCTAAGCTTTATTCTCTTCGACGCGCACAACATAGAGCTTTATTCGAACATAAATATCCTTGCTGCAATGTCTCCAATACACCAATTGAATCCCTGAAGGAGCCCCTCTGCAGTTAATGCACTGCAACCTTCAATATGCCAATGACGTTTCTCCATGGTCTCTAAGCCTAGTACTACCGCGATTTCATCCTTGGAGAGCGCTCCTGGGATGTCCTGCTTATTTGCTAAAATTAGAAGAGACGCCCCTGCAAGCTTTTCCTCAGACAATAACGTGTGCAGCTCTTCTTTGCAATCATGCATCCGACGCCCATCTGCACTATCAACAACCCACACTAAACCGTCGGTTGCTTCATAATAGTTCCGCCAGTAGCTTCGCAGAGTCTTCTGACCGCCGACATCCCAAATGTTCAACCGATAGCCAAGGAAGCTCATAGTCTTGATGTTGAAACCAAGAGTGGGACTTATGGTGCTGACATCCTCTCCGTTAATACGTTTCACTATGGTCGTCTTCCCTGCGTTATCTAACCCAACCATAAGTAGACGCAGTTCCTTTTCACTTGATTTTACTTTTTTCGTGATAGTTAGAAGGCCCATGAGTTAAACGTCTCAAGTATTAAGCCTGTACGTGTGCTGAAGAATTCACTCCCGCGTGCACACTAGCGATAGCCCACGTGTCAGAGCGCTGCGCCCCGCTGGTCTCTCGACCAAGAGAGAGCCTGTTCAACGTGAGCTTCGGCTACGTAAAGTATGTCGCTTCTTTCGGAGATAGATACATACATGTGTGTACTTCCGGAAGTACGGAGGTACAGTACTTTCGTATCTATCTTCGTACGGAATTATGATATGATAACGAAATATTTTACACTACGATAGAATATGTGTACACGTAGGGATGCTGTACTGTACGCGTAGGGCTACGTGAGTGCTACGTGTACTGTACTTCCGGAAGCACCATCATTCGAAGCAAGATAGATAGAATATCTACGTGTACGTGTAGCTAGGGCTACACGTGTACGCGTACAACGTACTGTAGACTTCCTGGGCACTCAGTGTTCAGTAGTTGCGTACCTTCGAAGGTACGTGTACAGCTGTACACTGTACATTATGATAATTAAAATAAACATAGTACTGTACACGTACGTGTACGTGTACACGTAGGGCTACGTGTACATTGCCTTTGCCTTTCAAAATTTTCGCATCTTGATTGTGAATCTCCGGTCAGCCTCGATGAAAAATAATCACCGATGAAAATGCGATGAAAATTTCCCCACCAGGAGGACGCGGTTTCAACGTTTTTTTATTAGCCGACTAATTTGAAACTGGCGGATGTGGTCATTTTGATCACATCCGCCACTTTCCGTAAGGGCGACCCGCGAACAGCATTGTAGCTATCTAGTACGGAAGTACTTCCGTACGAAGGTTGCTGCGGAGGCACGAAAGTACTTCCGTACGAAGGTACTTTCGTACAAAGGTATCTATTTTCGTACTTTCGTACTTTCGTACGAATGAGTATTATTTCCGTGAGTACGTGTACAGCTGTACACGTACTGTATGGCTATGGCTTGGGCTATGTACATAGGCCCTAATTGATACCTTCGTATGATATTAAAAGATAAATAAGTTATGTGCATATGTGTACACGTACGTGTACTGATTATGGCTATGTACTTCCGGAAATATCTTCAAACATATCTTCATATGCTTCATACTACGTTGTACAGTAAGTTGTTACTGTAGACTATGTTGTTATGTAGTTGTACTTTCGGAAATATCTTCATTCGTACGGAAATAGATACAGTAAGTTGTTTTATACAACTTACCTTCGAAGTTACTTTCGTACTTTCGTACAATATTTCCGTACGTACTGAACCTTCGAAGGACTTTCGAAGATAATAATTCTATTTCCGGAAGTATAGACGTGTACCTTCGAAGTTACTTTCGTACTTTCGAAAGTACTTCCGTACTTCCGCACCTTCGACGGTACTTTCGTACCTTCGTACGGAAGTACGAAAGTACTTTCGTACTTCGTACGGAAGTATGGTACGAAAGTACTTTCGAAAGTACTTTCGTACTTTCGAAAGTACGAAAGTACTTTCGTACGAAAGTACTTCCGTAGATCCGTACTGTACATATGAAAGTACTTTCGAAAGTAGGGCTACTTTCGTACTTTCGTACAAGATTTATCAAAAAATTGATATGATACCATTGTGTACGTGTACGTTGTACGAAAGTCGTACTTTCGAAAGTACACGTACACGTAGTGTACTTTCGAAAGTAAGTTTTACTTTCGTACTTTCAAAGTACTTTCGTACGAAGATATACTTTCGTACTTTCGTATGGAAATAGATACTTTCGTACGAAAGTACGAAAGTACGAAAGTACTTTCGTACTTCCGTGCGTTGCACTACAACGTTGTACGAAAGTACCTTCGAAGGTAGCTCTACACGTACTTCGTTCCGTAGGTGTACAGCTGTACACGTGTACTGTACAGTGTACAGCACTACACTATTCCAGCCAATAACTTCCGGAAAGTGCTCCGACACAGTTCAACGAGTCGCAGTCCCTAATCCAGCACCATGCCCACTGTCGAAGAAGTCGTCGAAGGGAAGGACTACAATTTCCCAGCCGAGGTGTGCATAAATCTTCTAGCATTATCTAACCTCCGCTTCAGGTTCTTGTTGTGTCTTGGCGTTTTATTTCTGCGAAATCGGCTTCTGGTCAAGCGATTTGACGGGGGCGTTCACTTGTCGAATTGCAGGAAGAAGCTATCCTTCGTTTTTGGAAGGAAAACAATACATTCGAGGAGCAACTCAAACGTAGCGAAGGACGCCCTGAGTATGTATTTTATGACGGCCCGCCGTTCGCGACGGGGCTGCCTCACTACGGCCACATCCTTGCTGGTACAATTAAAGACGTTGTCACCCGTTTTGCTTGCTCCACTGGCCACCATGTCTCTCGACGATTTGGTTGGGACTGCCACGGTCTTCCTGTTGAGCATGAGATTGACAAGAAGCTGGGAATAACGGGCAAAGGCGATGTCCTTAAACTGGGCATAGACAAATACAACGAGGTAGACTAGATTAGATAGTGTGCTTTGTCCTTGCCTTTGTAACAAGTGCAAGTATACTTGACCCTATTTTGAAGGAATGTCGGAGTATTGTTATGCGCTACTCAAAGGAGTGGGAGAAAACGATATCACGCACAGGACGCTGGATTGACTTCGAGAACGACTACAAGACTCTGGATCCCAAGTTCATGGAGTCTGTGTGGTGGGTTTTCAAGACACTGTGGGAGAAAGACCTAGTTTACAAGGGCTTCAAGGTCATGCCATATTCGACAGCCTGCAACACACCTTTATCCAATTTTGAAGCTGGGCTTGACTACCGAGATGTATCCGATCCTGCTGTGATGGTTTCATTCCCGATTGTTGGATGTAATTTGGGGGCCTCTCTTGTTGCGTGGACAACTACACCTTGGACACTTCCCGCGAACTTGGCACTGTGTGTCAACCCAAACTTTAACTACGCATATGTGAAGAATCCTGCAGGCAAGGTGTTTGTAGTTGCAGATGCACGATTGGGTTCGATTCCCGGAGCCACTGTCAAGCAAAAAGGGAATCAGAATACGATTCTTACAGAAGGATGGGAAGTTTTGAAGAAAGTTATCGGATCTGAAATGAAAGACATTCGCTACGAACCCATGTTTACTTTTTTTACTGAGCTAATGCGTGATACTGCTTTTAAAGTCTGCTGTGATGATTATGTGACGGGTGACAGCGGTACTGGAGTTGTACATCAAGCTCCTGCGTACGGCGAAGACGATTATCGCATATGCATATCGAATGGAATAATTATCAAAGGAGGCTTACTCCCTGACCCAGTTGATGTTAATGGGTGTTTTATCCTTCCCGTGACTGTTCCATTCTCAGGCAAGCATGTAAAGACCGCAGACAAAGATATTATATCTGCAATCAAGGACAAGGTTAGTATCTACCACAACTTTCAAATGATATTTAGCGCATCCGTTTATTGTTTTAGGGTTTTTCTTCTAATGCACTGTACTTGATCTTGTGCTGACTCTCTGTGCAGGGCCGACTCATAGATAATTCGCGAATAGTACACTCGTACCCGTATTGCTGGCGATCACATACTCCCCTTATATACAAAGCAGTGGCTTCGTACTTTGTCAAAGTCGATATAATTAAATCAAAGCTTGTTAAAAACAATGAGAAAACACATTGGGTTCCGTCTTATGTTAAGGAGAAGCGTTTCCGAAACTGGCTTGAAAATGCACATGATTGGGCCATCAGTCGAAACCGCTACTGGGGAACTCCGATCCCTGTATGGTGTTCTCCTGATGGCGAAGAAATACGTGTCATAGGGTCTATTGCTGAACTTCAAGCAGCAACAGGCACCAAAATTAGTGACATTCACCGTCACCTCATAGACCACCTCGAGATACCTTCCTGCCGAGGACCAGAATATCCTCCTCTGAAACGCGTGGAAGATGTGTTCGATTGTTGGTTTGAGTCAGGCTCTATGCCTTATGCTCAACATCATTATCCTTTTGAAAATAAAACCATTTTCGAGCGAGATGTATTCCCCGCTGACTTTATTGCCGAGGGACTTGATCAAACCCGCGGCTGGTTCTACACTCTTATGGTGTTATCTACTGCTCTATTCGATCGTCCCGCTTTTCGAAACTTGGTATGCAACGGTCTTGTTCTCGCGGCAGATGGCAAAAAAATGTCGAAAAGTCTGAAGAACTATCCGGATCCAAACGAGGTTCTCAACCAATACGGCGCCGATGCCCTTCGCTTATACTTGATCAATTCACCAGTGGTACGGGCCGAGCCCCTGCGTTTCAAAGAAACTGGGGTTTTTTCAGTCCTGAAAGATATCTTTCTTCCTTGGTACAATGCCTATCGATTTTTTATCCAGAATGTCCGTAGAGTAGAAGAGACAAGTGGGCATCATTTCAATCCATTTATTCTTGACCAAAAAGCTGTGAATATACTTGATCGCTGGATTGCTTCTGCAACATCTTCGTTGGTGACCTTTGTGAAGACTGAGATGTGTGCGTACAGGTTGTACACTGTGGTTCCCCGGCTTGTATCATTCATTGGCCAACTCACCAATATCTATGTTCGATACAGTCGCTCTCGCCTCAAGGGGAAATTTGGCGAAATTGAATCTCGTAATGCACTTGCAACCCTATTCGAAGTTCTCCTTGTTCTTTGCAAGACAATGGCACCTTTCACGCCTTTTTTTGTTGAGAAACTGTATCAGAACCTGCGACACTGTCTTCCAGATCAAGGGGACATGGAGCCTTCTATCCATTTTTGCAAATTTCCTGAAGCTGCAGAGCAAGCCCACGACGCCAGAGTAGAAGCTTCTGTCAATAGAATTCAGACAGTAATTGAGTTAGGCCGTCATATAAGGGAGCGAAATAGTAGGCCTTTGAAGACTCCCCTGAAGCGCATGACTGTTGCACACGTTGATGGTAGGGTAGAGATTTTTTTTTTGTTTTTTTATTTAAAAATATTTCATCAGTGTTTCACTCTGGCACCTGAATGTATCGTGCAACTTCCACTGCTTAGCTGAACTCTGTACTCATTTTTTGCGATGGTGTCCCTGCCGACTGTTGACTTCTTGAGCGATCTCAGTGGAGAGCTACAGAGTTATGTATTCGAGGAGCTGAATGTCCGCCAGCTTAATGTTTGTGCGGATCCGATGCAGTACGCGACGATTAAGGCAGAGCCGAATTATGGAGTGCTAGGAAAACGTCTCGGAAAGGCTATGGGGCCAGTATCTAAGGCTATAAAAGACATGTCCCAAGATGACATCCTCAAGTTTCAGAAGACTGGCTTACTTAATTTGATGGAACACTCTCTCGCTGCTGAAGATATCATCATTAAGCACGAGTTCCGCATTCCTCAAGGATGCAGTAAAGTTGATATCGATGCAGAGCTAGGCGAAGATGGTATCATAGTAGTGATTGAGTTGGGCGTGGACCAGTTATTGGTTGACGCTGGCTCAGCTCGAGAGTTTGTCAGTCGTGTGCAGAAAATGCGCAAAAGCTGTGGACTTCGTACGTCAGACGAAGTTTCTATTTTCTATGAGCTGTCAGAGACTGTTGATTCTGTGACGCAAGCTAGTTTTGCGCGCATGCTCTTAAAGGAGCAAAGCTACTTCCAAGAAAGTATAGGTTGCGTACCACAACCCACAAAAATGAAGCCCGACAGAGCTGAAGTGATTTTAAGTGAGACCTGCTCTCTTGCAGATGGGGCACAGGTCAATATTACCTTGACTTGCCCCGTAAATCTGCAAGACATGGGAGCTCCGTTGTCGTGATTGTTTAGGAGTGTACCTGTGCTTTCGTTGTCTGCTTTGCATACCTGATGAACAGCAGGCACAAGTCATCTCGTGAGCTTGACTTGGTTCTCAGATAAAAACGTAGAAAAATGTTGTTTTTGTGACTCACGTTAAAAAAGAACCCACCCGATAACACTCTCTGTAAATTTGTCACACGTTCGGATTGTGACATCACGTCCAGAACTACTCGTAATAAACTGACCAGCAGAAAAGTAAAGGAAATCATATATGTTGATAAACAACCTAGACACGGCACAAAAAAATGACTCATTTATGTCGGTCGTTTCGCACCAAACGAAGCACACCATCATGCTCAGCGTCGACGAGTGCGTAGGGTGAGGGGGTTTTGTGGGCTGAAACGGCTCAGGTTCGTGCGTTTTGAGTGGTTTGTTTGGGTCTAGGTTACAGGAACAACCCGTGGGAAATAAGTTTAGAAATCCTGTGGGATGAGTATGGCGTGACAGCGATCTGTTGCTATCATCAGAACGGACCGCAGGGCTGATTGAATTGTGCATTATCTTAATTTACAAATGCAGACATCACAGTCTCCAAAGACAGCCCCACACCTGCACTCTGAAAAAGTAGTTAACAAATTCTTGCACGAGACTTGTATCAGTGGCAGAGGTGCTCGCAGAAGAACAAGCCCAGTGAGCCTAGGCGAGATCCACTGCGCAGTATCACATTTTTCCAAGCTTTCCGTTATCGAACCCCCCTCAGGAGCTCGGAATCCATAAGCATAGTACAAACGACGTGCTGCTATATTTTGTGCATGCACGTGTGTGTAGACAAACTCAGCACCCCATAACATAGCAATATCAGAAGAAGCTTCGAGCATTGCAGAAGCTGAACCTCGTCGCCGTGATGCAATGTCGACTGCAACATTATCTACATACACATAGTGTTCTCCGAATCCAACACACACGCCATTCACTTGTGACGCACAGGGACCCGTCCGGATGGACAAATCAAGGCAGCCTATTGATTTTCTGGCACAACGGAATACGAGACAAACACACAAACCAATACTGGTATTGTACGCGTGATCAGAAGACGTGCGTGTCTCAAGAGCACGTTGTTCTCGCTGTGCAAACTCTCTGCGAAAAGTTGACACGAATCGGCGAGGAAACGGAAGAGCTTGGCGCGCCTCGAGATCTTCATAGAATGCTAGAGCCCGGAGGTCTGACGCGGCTTCAAAGTCGGGCAATCCATCGGCGACGACAATATCAAGCACACTGGGAAGTAGATAAAAGCTAGGCTCTCTGTGAAGTTCTGCTTCCAAAAACGACGCACTCCCACTCTTTAGTGCGCCCTTCATTAGTGTATGTTCCTCAACATCAGGAAAAAGGGTCACGAAAGTTGACTGCTGAGAGCCACTGCACACAGCCACCTTAGTTGAAAAAAATGGTGACTGCCGTGCATTTCGAAAACCGCTGGCTTGGAACTGGCGCTGTGTGCAGGCGACGTTACCGAAGGTCGTCACGGGCCTCAGTGTCGAAAGCTGCTTCTGTTCAAGATGGTGTTTTCTGCTAGGGAAATTCACAGAAGCCACAAGTGCAACTTGGCCACCGAAACCAGCTGAGCACTTGGTTATCAGAGTCGACATTGCTTGAATGATTACCACCGGTCGCTTTATTGTGGAGACGATTGCAGCAGAATACAGTCCAACTTCACTAAAGTGGTGACCTTTGCTGTACTTCGAAATAGGACTCCAAATCAGTGGTTTGATGGCGAGGCTTTCAGACGTCAAGAACGACGGATAAGAGCGGTCTAGTCGACGTGCGGAGAGAAGACAAGTACGGAGTGGGCGTCTCGGTCCGTCAACGCGGTCCTTCAAGCGCGCATAGATCCCTAACGTGCGCGAACGCACGCGCGAAATCACGACCGCGATGAGCACTCATCATGACGATCACGCGATGTGCTTTTGCGTGGTGAACTAAAATACATGTAGGTACCGAAGGTACCCCCTTATCCCGCAAATGGACCAGTTGCTCTGAGTCCCGCAAAGGGCACTTGCTCAAAAAGTACTAACGGAAGCACAGTACACGACTACACGGTACACGTACACAGTACAACGGTGTAACGACGTACGAAGGTACGAAAGTACCTTCGAAGGTACGTGTACAGCTGTACACGTAACGTTGTACTGTACTTTGAGTACACGTATGGATGAAAGTTCGTTTTTGCGATTTACAACTACGTTGTACAGTACGTGTACACGTAGACGAAATACGCATACAAATTTCGTACTTACTTTTGGCACGGTAAATTTGATTACCGAGCGTAGGTTTCGCGCGCGGATGCTCGCGCGTACACTTTTGTACGTGTTTTTAGTCACGCGTACGTTTTTTGCTGGTTTTTTTCGAATTAATACGTACTGGACTACACGTGTACGTGTACGTGTACACGTACGTGTAAAAGTTGTATTGTTTCGATAGAATAATTTCCCGTGCCAAAAGTTTCTACACGTATTCTATGTACTGTATGTGTAGTTCGTGTAGTTTACGTGTACAGTACGTGTATGGAGCCCTACATAACCCGTTACTTTCGTAATTTGTACGAAAGTACAACTAGGCGTATTCAAAATAATCGCAAAAAAAACGTACTGTATGTACAGTTGTGAGATATGAGCAGTAAGGAGGGGTGGTACCACCCCACCACCCCTGATATCACAGTTGTACACTGTACGTGTACAGCTGTACACTGTACACGTACACGTATAAACGATAAAACATTTATCGTTTATTGCATATGATATGAGAATAAAGTTAACTATTGTACACGTACACGTACGGAACGTACGGAAATAGATCTTGTACGAAAGTATTTCCGTACGGAAATATTGAAAGTACGGAAATAGAATACTGTACGTGTACGTGTACTGTACGTGTACTTCCGGAAGTATCATACTGTAGTTGTACTGTACAATAAAATAGATATTCTAACAACTTTATCTTCGTAGTCTAAAGCTCTACGTGTACACGTTACTGTACGTGTACTGTACAGCTGTACACGTACACGTACAGAAGATAGATACTGTAGGGCTACAGGACTGCTACCCTGTACCTGTATGATAGTGGTACCAGATATTCAATCGGCAGTGCAGTGTCCCGTTTCGCCGTCTCCCGGCAGCAGGGAAGTCGCGTCGCGTGCATGTCCGCGAGACTCGACTCCGAGGCCGCCGCGAACGCCTTCTTCGCGTCCGCACCTCCCATTCCGCGCGTGGACACGGTCAAGCGCGATGCCGCGAGGTTCGTGCGCCATCACGGCCACGCGAACGCTTTCGACGACGCCACGACCCTCCCCGGGGGGGCGTCCGCGCGTCCGCCGCGCGGGACGCCGCGGCCGATCGCACTTGTCACCTCCGGCGGCACCACCGCGCCACTCGAGAGATCCGCAGTTCGGTTTATCGACAACTTCAGTAGCGGCACGCGAGGCGCGGCGTCCGCGGAGTGCCTTCTCGAGCGCGGATACGCGGTCATTTTCCTCCACCGCGCGGGATCGATGCGGCCATTCGAGCGGTCGTTAGAGACCGCGGCAGAACTCGCGGGCGCGGGAACTGCCGCGGAGGAGTCCGTATACTCTGCGGTATCCACTTGGTCTGCGCCGGTGTACAGCGCGCTCGACATGCTGACATGCACTGGGTCCGCGTTCGACCCTAATCTCCCGGAGTCGTCCCCTAGAGTCGAGGCGACGTCGAACGCAGCAGTGCACCTGATGCCACTCGTACGTCGATATCACGCGGCGAAAACGAAACGCACGCTTCTAATGGTCCCATTCACGTCCGTCTTTGAATACCTTACGCTTCTCCGGACGTTGTGCGTCGAATTGCGCGCGTGCGGCGCGAGGGCTATGACGTACCTTGCCGCTGCCGTGAGCGATTTTTACGTCCCTTGGGATCGTCTGTCCACACACAAGATACAGAGCAGGGGCATCAGTGGGACATGCGCGCGTAAAACGTACCTAGAATCGAACAACAAATATACAAGCGGCGGTGAGCTGGATGTGCTGTCCGACGGCGAACGCGGCGGTGGGGTTGATGATGACGATGACGAGGGCAACATCTTCCACGGAGGCGAAGCTTTGACGTTGCGCTTGGAGCAAACCCCAAAGATGCTTGCGCTCGTGAGGTCGAAATGGTGCCCCAAAGCTTTCGGCGCGTCGTTTAAACTCGAGACTGACGTGGAAATATTACTTCAAAAGAGTCGGGATTCGTTGAGGAAGTACGGAATGCACGTCGTCGTCGCGAACGAGATGACTCAACGGAAAGACGAGGTTGTCCTTGTCAGCCGTGCGGACGATGATGACGGGGGAAGCGGGGGCGACGATGACGCGCAGTGGAAGACCAGGGAGGATTGGATCGAACGCCCAATTGGCACGCCAGATATCGAGATGTTACTCATCCAAGAGGTGACACGAAGGCACGATGATCACGTGAAAACGAACGGTGTTACGTCGCCCACTTGAGAGAAAATTTTTCTGTTGACTCACCGCATCGTTCTGCGCAATGCGCGATCTCCGACACCGCACACAGGACTCACGAGCATACCACACCGTTCGCACGCGTCCCCCGAAAATGCGCGAACGATGACACACGCCGCGCACTCGAGCGCACGAAGCGCGACTAGCGAACTATCGTCGCTTTCGCTGCTGTCGCTGTCGTCACGTTTTTTTTTTTCATCACGTGCGGAGGCGCGCAATGCGTTCACGATTTGACACGACCTTCCCGTGCACGCGTGCGCGCAACCCGCCGCTAACTCGTCCGCAGCGGACGTGAGCGCTTTTCCGCCTTCGATGCCGACGTCTGACGCGATCGTGCACAAATCCCACAGCGACGAACCAATTTCGGAAGCGAATGGCAACGTGTGCGTGGCAGCTGCAACCGCGCTGATGACATCTCGCACGCATTCCCCCGGCGGTAGCTCGACGCGTAACATCCCTCGGTTCGTTCGCGCCGCGACCGAAGTCGCGGTGCTCTGCAGACACGACGCGGGCGAGAATGACACGCACGATGCGAGGAGAACTCCGCACGGGGAAATCGCGAGGCCAGCATGAGACTCTGCGGGTAACGCAGCGCCGCCGCCGACGTCAACAGTTTTTGCTTTCCTGAGCACGTCGGACGCGATCACGTACAGCGCGTCGTCGTCGCCCCCGCGTGCGCCGTCCTGATAGAGCTCAGATATCAACGCGCGGTCTCCATCGACTGAAATTGAGCACACGCGCGCGGACGCGTGGTGCGCGATTCCTGCGCATGTGGCGTTGTGCGCGCGGACGCGACGCGTGCGAAGTCCGTCTCCGGGGATGACGCGCACCCGCCCGTTCTCCGCGCGAACAAGGCGAATGCGCCACGTCAGGACATCCCCGGATGTCATCCCCGCGGCGACAGATATTGATCTGGTATCGAGAACGGATTCGACTGATCCATCTTTGTCTTGCCCGTGCGCGCAGGAGATCACCGTCGTCGCCACATCGTCTGGACCACGGAGGCGAACAGCGTGCGTCAGCAACGCGCCTGCGTCGAGCGCGCGGTTCCCGTCCGAGGAGGCGGCGGAACGAAATGCGTCCGACGTCGTCCAGAGCGACACGGAACCGTCAGACGAACCGATCACCACGCTCATGAACGGATCGAATTCGGCGTCGTCTGCATCGTCGTTCCCGCGCGGGATCCATCTCAGTGCGTTCACCCAGCCAGTGGCGACGAGGACGGCGCCGAGGAGCGTCGTTTTCGGCGCGGCGCCGTCCTCGCGCAAACGGGAACGCGAATCGAACGACCATAAAACGACGGTACCCGACTTTGTGCCGACGGCGAGGACGCAGTGACCGTCTCGAAGCGTCGGAGACCACGCAATCGACGTCGCGGATAACGTGTCCGCGCGCGCCGCCGCGCGCCTCGTTCCCGCGTATGCGTCGAGCGTTTCCGTCGAGGCGTTTCGTTCGCACGAACGAGCGCTGTCGCGCTTGCGTTTGATACCGCCTTCGCGCGGCTCCAATTCGGTATTCGAGTCCGAGTCCGGGGCGTCCGACGCTTCTTCTGAGTCGATGATGGTCTCATAGTCGCTCGACTCGACGTCCGATCGTCCGACGTGTTCTTCGCCTCCGCTTCCGCGTGAACAAGCCCTGTCGTCGTCGTCCTCGGCACTTTCTGTTTTCATGCGTCGCATCGCCGCTATTGCGGCCTGTCTTCTCGCTCGCCCGCCGCTGCCAACACGCGTATCGGCATGCGCGGTCCCGTTATCGGCATCGTTATTTTCACGCGCGAGGGCGCGAACACACGGGCGAATCTCGATCCTCGCGTCTACGGATAACTCCTTCACGCTGAACCCCCTCCCGTTCTTGATGTCATCTGGCATGTGCGCAGCCCAGACGTGCGAGAGCACGCATTCAAGGAGCACCTTGTCCATTCCGCGAAGATGCGCTCCGCCTTCGTACCTCTCGTCGATACTAAGAACCCCCCTAGCGGCGAGAAACGCATCGCGGACTCTGGCGCTGATCTCGCGTTTCGCGCGCGCCTTGACTCCCTTGTCTTTGATGACACCATCGCTCGTGAGCGCACTGATTGTATCCGAGTCGAGAGACGCGCATCCAAAGACAGCGTCGACGACCGCGTGCGCGGCGGCGTCGATGTCACCGCTGTCACAGTTTCGCTTCATATTCTTATCGCGACTACTTGCAGTCGTCGCCGAAGCCGCTGCGGTCACCGCCGCAGCGACGGCTGAGTCACGATGTCGCGCGTAACTGCGCGCATATTGCGTTGCCGCGCTAATGCCGTCTCGTGTCTTCACGTTCTCGTCGTCCTTGAGCTTGTCATCATCATCGTCGGTCGCGTCAAACTCATCCGCGAGATGATCCATCGTCGACATTCTGTTTGAGATGGTGCTCGTTCGCGAGCTCGTCCTCTTCGATGTTGTACTTTTCGCGGCGCCCTTGCCTGTGTCCCCGTCTACGACCGCGGCTTCCTTATCGTCCATGACAGCGACAATGTCGGGGTTGAAGACGTGCGTTCCATCGTAATCCGCATTCGTGGCCGGTCGCCACGCGCACGCATCACCACTGCCCTCGCGCTCGAGGTCCCACGCGACCCGCTCTCTCGAGCGCAACCTCCCGGCGTTGAACGTCTTCGTATCTCCTACACCCTCGACGCCAGCGCACGCGGTCGTCGGCATCGGTTTCCCTTTTGATCCGCGTTTTGCGAAATTGATGACTGCGGGGATCCAACCTTGCGATGGATCCGTCATGATCTCGCAGCGCGCGGTTTCCGCGCCCATTCCTACGACTGCGGGAGGGGACGGGCGAAGAAAATACGTGATCCCTCGCGAAGGTCCATTCAGTGGCTGCGACTGTGGTGGGAAGCGATACGAAGTGACGGTGGTCGTCAACGTTGCCACAGGTTCTAGTTTGGAACCAAACGATGGTTCGTTGCCGGCTTCGCCGGTCGCAGCTGTCAAAGATGGCGCCTTTGGAAACGCGAGCCATTCCTCATTGACCGACTCTTCACCGCCGCGGCAGCAGGTTTCATACTTGACCTTGATCCTAAAGTTAAAAGCCCACACCACGGCAGTGATCAGGCCAGGGATCCAGCCTCCTCCTCCTCCACCACAGGCAGACAATCGTCTCACTTCAACGGTCGCACCGACGGCGAGCGCGTCCGCGCGCGACGGCGCGTGTGGGAACCCACTTCGAAATTCAGTGGCGCCGTCGATCGCGCTTGGAAGTGCCGTGATGGGTGGGGCGAGGGAGTAGAACGCATGGCACCGACGCGCGAATCGCGTCACCGCCGTCGACAACGCCGCGTTTCCGCGCTGTTGCCGCGCGCTCACCGGAGCGGATGTCTCTGGATCCGCTAGATCCCCGCCACCACGGCCGCCTTCAGCAAAACAAATTCGTTCCGCATGCGCGGCATGCGTCTCCGAGAGTGTAGATATCGTTTCCCACTCACCTCCAGACGCGACGCGCTCTCGCGGGGCGTGGACGGAGACGTGGTGGGCATTCGTGACGACAGCGAGGAGGCATCCGCCGCCGCCGTTCGACGGCGAGCGCGGGGCTCGGATCATCCCGAGTGGAGACCAAGCGATATCTCTCGGTGAAACCTCGGGTCTGGACGACCGTCGCGTCGTCGCGCGGGACGTGAGCAGGCGCGCGTCGCGTCGTCGCTCGCGAAGTTTCTTAGCGCGCGCGCCGCGCGGGAAGAAGTCATCGTCCTCATCGGACGCATGCCCGTCCGTCTCGACGGTGTCATCCAGGAGGCGTACATATCCGACTGCGCCGCTGATTTCCGCAGGGTTCTATTGAGAGGAAGGTGCGGGAGGAGTAAGGACAAGGACAGGACCGATGGGAATTCTCCAGTGGGACGCACCAGGACGCACACTGAGCGCTCTTGGCCGACGGCGATGAAATTCTCGTTCGACCACGCCACCGCGCCGGCCGGGTACTGGTTCGGTGCCTCCCGGAGCGCGCGTTTCCGTGACGACATCGCGCGCGCCGACCCCTGTCTGCAGGTCGTATGCGCGGCGCGCGGTCGGAAGCTTGTGTGTGTGTGTGTGTGTGTGTGAGCGTGAGTGTGTGTGTGTGTGTGTGTGTGTGTGTGTGTGTGTGTGTGTGTGTGTGTGTGTGTGTGTGTGTAAGGAAAAAAAGGGGGTAGGAGTCTCTCACATCGCATCCTATTGGCATTTTTCGTATGACTTTTTAGGCAGGCAGTTTCATATTTCTCGGAATTCGCAGGAATAAGTCGATCCTTCACAACACTTGAGTACGTATTTAATCTACGACTGATTGCCCATACGAGCACGCGAATTGCCCATACGCGCATGACTTTTTAGTTTCGTCGAATACTCCAAGGTTTTAATTGATCGGGTTATGGGCTGAGCTTACAACAATTCCATCGCGATAAACTTCTCTTCAGCGGTGAAACTTCGCCTTATGGGTTGAAAGTTTTGATCGCCCCGATGAAAAAAATAACTTTTTTTTCCTCTCTCTCTTGGACGTGGCGACGGCGACCAGCGGTCGCGGCGGCAGGACGTCGACACGTCGGTCATTTACCGATGCAATCGCTTCATCACGCGCGTCGAAGACCCGCGCGCATCGCGCACGTCGTTTCCGGCGTCACATCCCGCCGTCGTGTACCGCGTCGTTCCGTATGACTTTTTGGTCAAGACCACCTCGGTTGACGATTTGCATTTTTTCCAAGACTAAAAAGTCTCGTGCCTGAATACGTCACATTTGGCCGCGAAGGGCTGCGCGCGCGCGCGCGCGCGCGCGCGCGCGCGCGCGCGTGTGTGTGTGTGTGTGTGATTACAAAACAAGGCTCAACGTGCGGACTCTAATCCGCGAGTACACTGGTTCTACCACTGTTCTACCCCTACCTTGCTCCCTCCGCTCTCACTCACATCCGCGACTCCAACCACCGCGTCTACGCCACCGCCTAGGAGTCGCTGTCCTACCGTGCGCGCCAGCGCGACTGAGATCCTCCTCTCCCATTCCACGAGCTCCTCCAACTTCGCCGACGATGACGGGTACGCCTTAGCGCCGTCGGCGACCATCCGCACCTCCAGGTCGATGCGTCTGCGTCGTCGCCGCGCGGCGTCGTCGCTGCGGAGCGCGACCACGTCCACCATCTTCTTCATGAAGCTCGTCATGGCCGAAGCTTATGACGATATGTACTGTAGCCCTGTGTAGATTTTATTATCTTATACTCGCAGCGTACGCAAAAACTGCTAACTCAGCTCTAACCCATCCGGGCAAAACATGTGAACATCAGCGAGCAACCTAGCGAGAAAAAGCGACCGGGAGTCGCTGAAAAAACTCACGAGGCATCCCTTGGAGTCCTCCGACGGCATCATCCAGGGGGTAGTTCATCTCATCCGACGAGGCGGCAAGGTCGCGAGCGAAAAAGAGGTTGGAAGCCGCTACTTCGACGTTGCTGAGGCGCTCCCGGAGGAGGGCATCTGCATCTTCTTCACGCTCACCAGCTGTGACGCGTGGGATCCCTTGGAGTCCTCCGACGGCACCATCCAGGGGGTAGTTCATCTCATCCGACGAGGCGCCAAGGTCGCGAGCGTAGCCCTACGTGTAGCCACAGGTGGAAGTGGGGGTACTGTTAGTCAGTGGGGTCTTGTATAGATAGATACCTGACTCTCTCAAAATCGCATCCTGTACTGTAGTAGTACACGTACTGTACGTGTAGTAGTAGGGCCTGTGTAGCTTGTACTGTACACGTGGCCTGTCACGTAGCCCTACATGTGTACTTTCGATAGTATTCTATTTCCGGAAGTACGTGTACTTTTCGTATGCAGGGCTACATAGGTATACATAGTTACATACTCCGTGCCCGCCCGTCCGGAAGTACGAAAGTACAACGTACGGAACGAAGTACGGAAGTACGAAGTACTTTCGTACTTTCGAAAATATGATAGAATATCTTACTTTCGTACGAAAGTACTTTCGTACTTTCGAAAATAGTACTTTCGTACTATTTTCGGAAGAAAGTCGTATCTATTTCCGGAAGTACTCTACACGTACTGTACACGTACGTGTACGTGTACAGTACCCAAGATATCTATTTTCGTATTCTTGTAGAAAGTATCTTCGAAGGTACCTTCGTAAGTTATTGTACACAGCTAAGTACTTACACACGTAACGGGTGTACGTGTAAAGCTGTACACGTACGTGTACACGTAGGGCTACAGTAGGGCTACTTCCGTATGATAGAATAGCTGCCGCACTATGCATGGGTTGTGGGGTTTCGAAGACCGGAACTCACGATGACTCGGTGACTGAATCCGAGAAAGAATCCGTTGCGCTTCGACTGAATTTCGAGGCGAAAGAAATGGAGGAGGCGGCAAAATTTGACGATGCGCGTGCGTTATACGAGCGCGCGCTTGAGTTGATGCGCGTCTCCAAGGGCGAGAGTAGCGTGGGTTATGCCGTCATACTCAGCAACATGGCGTGCCTCTTGCGCACTGAGACAAGATATGATGAGGCACTGCAACTGTTCGGAGAGGCCCTCGTTGTGATCGAAAACTCTAGCGACTTGACTGAAGATGCGAGATATGAGATGCTTGAGACAATGCGGGCTAATGCGTTGCAAACGGAGGCATGGCAGAATGAGGAAGAACTGGAGATTCTTGAGTTTCGAGCCACAGGACACTCATAGTTATCAAAGTACGTGTACGCCGTTTTGGCGTGCCTTGTGTCACTTAAAGTGTTTGTGAGCTATCTAGAATTCTGAGCTTATCTATCTCGGAGTTACTACTATTCAGTACACGTACTGTACATTATGCGTACATTACGTGGTATAACGACAGCCTCTCTTGAATCGTTGTCACTCCTGAGCTCCTGAATCTTGGCTCTCCCACTTTATTGTAGAGTTAGTTGCGGTGTTTATGATGTACTGGTGCATCTAAATCAACAAAATTCAGGGAATAGGAGGATTTCGAGCTCTTCAGAAATTAGAGCGATAGAATTATGGACTGTCACAGTGGTTAAAGATGAATTCTTATTCCGAACAATGATGATGGCAGCATCTTGAGTGCGTGTTTGTGAGAGATAATGTTCGGCAGAAAGAAGCTCTGTACTTGATTGTTGCTGCAGTGAAGGTAGCTGTGCAATAGGATAGATCCTTAGGACACGCGGTGAGTTGGAGAACGAAATTAACTTGTTATCACATATCTGACCACTCAGCTCCGTGTATAGCTTCTCCGCTCCCACCCTTTCCTTCTGCTCCTTGTCTAAAATCTCCCCTCTTTGCTAAATGCGCTAAAACTGCCTCACCGAGCGCCACTCCCCCATCGTAAGCAACATCAGCGCCAACCCCGGATATCCAGTCACCGCACGCGCCAAGACCAAACTCAGGATGAAACCGGTATGTTGGACCACCAAAATTACCCGTCCGCGTCAGAGGCAGATGGTGGTTCCACTTGAAGGCTTTGCGGTAGCAAACGCGTGCTACGTTAACTTCATCCAAATTTCCCTCTCTACCGCTACATGTACTCCTCGCGCTTTCCTTGTAACCGATCAAACTCAAGAACTCCGCACATAACTCGACCGCAGCATCATCGTTTGTAAGACCTGCCCTCTTGTTACTCCACTCTGGGCTAGCACGCACTACCCAACACTCTCCTACTCCCACTTCCGGTGCTCTGCCAACTTCTGCCCAGCGGTACCCCCAGCCTGCAACTGCTGCGCCTTGACCGCCACTGGGTCGACCGGGTTTGCTCGAGTTATTTGCAAAGAAAGTGATTGGGCAGCTTTTTTCTGCGCTTTTATTTGCTTTTCCCGCTCTGACACGACCATGTCTGTTGGTAATGAGAGAGATAGCATCGTATCGTAAACCCAAGGGACGATCAAAAGCAACTGTTAGAGCCCAGCAGGTATCTCCGCTAACACTGCGCGCCGCAACTGCCAACTCACTCACTCGCGCACGGATACCCACTTCTGCCTGATTCACTTTCTTCTCTTCTTCATTTCTCGCTTCATTTGCAGAACCGATATCACAGGTCATTTGTGTCGCCGACGCTGATCGATTCTTTTCAGCGCTAATTCCCTCTCTGCACTCACCCACTGTTATCGCCTCCAACATGGCCGCTGCAGTAGGAGCGTTTGTCGCAAGGAGCACCACGTCACTCTCGAAAGGCTTGTACCACATATCCCCTCCCTCGCGTATCCGAAGCATCATTCCCCAACGTCTTCGCGATTGTGCATGCACCCATGTCTCCTCACCTATCAGAACACGTATCCTGTCGACATAACACGAAGTGAGATACTCAGGCACTCCAGGTTCAGGGTTGTCTCCGACCCAAGATGCCTCGGGTTGGACTGCGCAGACTATTTCGCGTGCTATGAATGAGGGGACTGCTGCCATGTCTGGAACACCCACAAAATGTTCTGAGGCTGCGTCTTCCGAGTTACCACCAACGTCAGTTTGAAAGGAATCGTGATCGATGACCCATCGACCACTCTGGCAATCGAGATAGACCTCAGCGGTACCTATTCCGGCTCGTTTGGCAGCATTTTTGTCCCTTCTGTGCCACAACTCGACAACCCCCGATTTCTCTGCGGCACGAAGCACCTCGTAAAAAGGAGAGCCGGCGTCGCGCGGCCGTGAGAAGTGCGAAGCACCATGATCCCACGATAGAGCCCCGAGACGGCGCATCGAACGGACTCTCCCACCGAGCACACGAGTTGACTCGAAAAGCGTGGCATTTACGTGCGCAGTGCCGGATAGCGCGCGCAAGCAACCAAGACCGGCCATTCCGCCGCCGATAACAGCCACCTTCACGACGCGTCTCTCCTTCCGATCGCGAACTTCTTGCTCGTTTTCGAGATCTTCCTTGAACGCGGTGACTGTCGTCAAGCGGCGGATCTGGGGGAGCGCCTTCCCGGCGTGGAAACAGAGAGCGTCGCGGAGACAGTGGTGCTTCACTTTTGGAATACATAGGCAGGGCTTTGCCGCCATCGTTCAACGACTTACTGTACTTCACTAATTTTCCTACTTTACTTAGGAAGCGGCACGCGGCACTGATAACCACAAGCAGGAGGGTGCACTTGCGTTTTATTTTGGTTTCTTCAAAATACTGAACTACAGCGGCTAGGAGACTACGTGTAGCCCTACGTGTACAGTACGTGTACAGTACAACTAGCCCTACGTGTACGTGTACATGTACACATAAAAGTTGTCGATATTATTTCCGTATTTATCTTCGTACTTTCGTCGAAAGTACACGTACAGTAGTGCACGTGTACGTGTACGTGTACTTCCGTACGACGTGTACACGAAAACGTTTAAGGTAGTCCTGTACGTAATTCGAAAAAACCACCTAAAAAACGTACTCGTTACTAAAAACACGTACAAAAGTGTACGCGCGAGCACCCGCGCGCGAAACACTACTCCTCCGCGCGCGATGCACGTCTGCGCGCGAAACTTTGCGTGATGACAGTTCTAGGGCATGCGCACAATGTCAAGCTCGGGTTTTTTCGAATTTCGCGCGCGTCGCGAAGAAAGCGCAGATCTTGCCCGAAATCGCGCTTCGCGACGGTCGCGTACCCCTCTCGCGGCAGAGAGCATGAACGCGAAATCCCCGAGCTTGGCAAGTTCGGCGTTGATGCCCGGAACGCGATGGTGCAAAAGAAAATCCGTTTAGATCTCATTCGAGGAAGGAGTAGTGTTTCGCGCGCGGTTGTTCGCGCGTACACTTTTGTACGTGTCTTTAGTCACGAGTACGTTTTTAAGGTATTTTTTTTCGAATTACGTGGAGGACTACCTTAAAGTGGATAAGTGTATTATCACACACTCGGGTACACGTGTACAGCCTGTGCACGTACAGTACACGTACACGTACAGTAAGTTACACGTACAGTAAAAAGTTGCAACCTTCGAAGATACGGAAGTACTGAAGTAATAGATACTTCCGGAAGTACGTGTACTTTCGAAGTTTATTTCCGTAGACTATTGTATCCCCCCTACAACGTACTTTCCGGAAGTACAACGTTGTGCTTCCGTACGTTACGTTCGTTGTACATAGACTAGTCTATCTACCTTCGTAGCTTCGTACATACGTGAGTCATACATGTATAGTTGTACTGTACACATATCCCTGCAACACCTGCAACGTTGTACATGAACTTGTACTGAAGTACTTTCGTACAACAATTCCCTAGCTAGATAGCTACCTTCGAAGGTAGCTAGCTAGCTACCTTCGTACAAGTACCTTCGTAGAATACACGTACGTGTACTTCCGGAAGCACGTGTGCGTAGGGCTACTGTACGTGTACGTGTAGTTGTACTTCCGTAGCCCTACTAAAATACTGTACAGTACGCATATTCGTTTTTTTTCTCTACGTTGTACGTACATGTACTGTACACGTACGTGTACACGTACGTGTACAGTAGTCATAAACGGTTGTACGAAAGTACTTTCGTACTTCCGGAAGTTCGAAAGTAAAAATAACTTATTGTACACGTACATGTACTGTACTGTAGCCCTAGTGTACTTTCGTACGAAGGTACCTTCGAAGGTACAGTACGAAAATAGATACTTTCGTACCTTCGTACGAAAGTACGAAAGTACTTCCGTACTTCCGTAACTAACCGTACAGTATCGTACACTCGAAGGTATCATAGTACACGTACGTACGAAGATACTAAAGTTGTAGAAAAAACTGGAGGTATTGCAGACGCGGGCTATGCTGTCCAACTCGGCGGCGCCTTCGGAGTGGTGCATTCGTGTATGAATTCTTTTTGAAAAGCAGGGCCGAATACCATGCAGCTTCGTTCGCTCTGTGTGCAAGTTCGTGGAGGGTTTCACGTCGCATCAAACCTTTTCAGGACCCACCAAAACGCGTCTATTACCGCGACTTGCGGGCTCAAAAATGAAAAGTTCCCAGTTTCACGTCTGTATTCTTCCGTTCAAAATAGCACGGTTGCACAATCAAAATCATTGGATGGTGGAGGTAGCGGAAACGCGTACTCCATGTGCAGGCGCGACTTCTTCGGTTATTTTATGGTTTGCTTGGGTGAGAATCGCGAGCTGTTTACTCCTCGCGCATTGGCGTGTTCTACTGTACCAGGCAAATTCACTGTCTTTGTTGATCGCATAAATCTTTTCAGTTTATGCTATCCTATGGAGTGGGAAATATTAAACAAAGCAGGCGCCAAACTATTTCTACGTGACAGCGCTGATAACAACTCTCAGGTTGGTGTCACTGTAAATCCAGTGAAAATCTCCACACTCTCAGAGTTTGGCTCTGTCCACGATGTAGGGGAGCGCCTGGTCGCAGCCGAGGCTACCAAGGAGAGCACGCTGCCAGGAGGCGTTACTCTCATACGTGAGGGGTCGCGTCAAGGGCCTAGAAGTGGTTCCACGTTCTATGACTATGAATATCAACTCACTACCACCCGTGGTAAAAAGCTCGTCTTCAACACGGTCGCTGTTGATAATAACCTCCTTTACATCTTGAACATTCAAGTGAAAGAGAGGATTTTTTCGGGACAAGAAAATGACAAGAGTATGATTGATGACGTGGTTGCAGGATTCAGGACTTTGATTCAAACATTTGACGTAGGCCAGTCTACGATTGATGTTAGTTCACAGGTTGAATGAGCTGTTTTTACATACTCTGTATGCAGATCGCGGGTCGCCCTTACGGCAAGTGGCGGATGTGGACAAAATTGTCTACCCCCGCCAGTTTCAAATTAGTCGGGTGAAAAAAAGGTGGAACCGCGTCCTCCCAGTGGGGAAATTTCATCGCACTTTCATCGGTGATTATTTTTCATCGAGACTTCACTGGAGATTCACGATCAATAGGCGAAAATTTTGAAAGGCAAATCGGCCCACGCGTGCGCCCTTAAACGTGCTTGTAAGGGCGACCTGCGATCTGCATAGCTAGAATACTAGAATACTATGGGCCCCTCGTTATGTGTACACGTACACACGGAGGGCTATTGTCATGCAGTATGATACTCATGCAATAACTTACAGTATTTTATATAGCCGTATGTACACGTACTATGCAGATCGCGGGTCACTTTGTAAAACGAGCTGTAAGGGCGACCTGCTATAGCACGTAGCCCAGGACCTACATATTTTTTTATTTCTACACGTACAGTACTATGTAACTTATCGACGTTGTTCTCTACAACGTTGTAGGGCCTACATATATTCTAGCTAGATAGATATTCTACGAAGATACGGAACTAAGGATACAAGGGCTATTGCATAGAAAATACGAAAGTACTTCCGAACTCGGTACTTCCGGTAGTGCGTTCTTCAACAACTTTATTTATTTCCACGGAAGTACGAGTATGATAATAGGGCTAATAATACTGTACTGTACAAGACTAAATTTATTAAATAATATCTCGAAGGAATTATGATAGCGAGACGTCGTTTACAAAAAGGTACTCCCGGAAGTACAAGTTTGTAGTGCTAGAATAGCTGCAGAAGTATAGAATACCTTCGAGTAGCTAAAGGTAGCTAGTCAGATTACCTTCGAAGGTAGCAGCCGGAGTTTTTCCACATGGCATCTGAGTAGTTGTACTCTGACTATGCGCATTGATGGAGAATCGTAGTTCGGGAAGTACGAAGGTAGACGAGAAACCGAAAATCTTCTGAATAGTCCTACGAAGATAAAGTACAACGTTGCAGGGCCTAGCTAGAACGTTGTACTCATAGGAGGAAACAGGGAGAACTTTCAAAGTACTACAACAGTGTAAAAGTAGTAGCCCTATGAGATGGCAACACTGAAGAAGGAGTGAGAGAAGGCAAAAAAAAAGTGAAATAAGTATACGTATATGGCCATACACATTGCCTTTTTCAAAGAACTTGTCATTCCGCCAGACCAGACTAGGCATCAGTCGCGAGTTGAAGACCTAGTCAGATTTTTCGTCGCACATAACTTGAAGGGTTTTGTAAAGCATTTTCGAGTCAAAATCCCCGGTAAATATGCATTCTCCGAGTTCACCTTTTAGGAGAATTAGTCGAAGCTTTCCATTGGCGTTTTTTTTGTCCAGGGCCATGAGAGCCTGAAATTTCTCTACTGACATGCACTTCGGAACCTTCACTGGGAGACTACAACTATTTAGTAACGAGCTGATTCTATCTTTAATGGAGCAATCCAGCCATCCTAAGCGAACCGATAAGTCTGCTGCCATGACGATTCCAACTGAAACTGCTTCACCATGAAGCCACTCGCCATATCCAATTGAAGTCTCAATGGCGTGAGCGAAAGTGTGCCCCAGGTTTAAAGTCGCCCGTAACCCGCCTTCCTTTTCGTCAAGGGAAACAACTTCTGCTTTATTTCTGCAAGAATGCTCGATTGCATGGATGAGTGTCCTCTCGTCACGTATCATGAGGTTATCCATGTGAGATTCTTGCCAACAAAAGAACTCAGCGTCCCTTATAAGTCCATATTTAATCACCTCTGCAATACCTGATGCGTACTCTCTGTCGGGAAGAGTTTTGAGAGTCTGCGTATCGATGATTACACTAGAGGGCTGATGGAACGCACCAATCATGTTCTTGCCTGCAGGATGGTTGACACCTGTCTTACCACCCACAGAAGAGTCGACCATTGCCATGACTGTTGTCGGTATTTGCAAGAAGTTCACACCACGTTGATAAGAGGCAGCAGCAAATCCAGTCATATCACCGATGACACCACCGCCAAGGGCAACAAATGTCGTGAGACGATCTAGCTTAGCATGCAAAGCTTTATCGTAAATCATCGTTAGCACCTCCAAAGTTTTATATTCTTCGCCATCAGGCAGAATGACAGTCTCAACGCGAATTGCACTACCACTTGAAAGCGCGCTGACTACGCGATCAAGATAAAGAGGTGCAACAGTCTCATTAGTGACAACTAATGCAGTGTCCCCGTAAACATGCTCGCGAAGAAGAGCGCCGTCGTCAAGGAGACCCGAACCAACGTGTATAGGGTAGGAACGATCACCGAGGTCCACAGTCAACTCACTTCTTAAGCCGACATCCGCATGAAGTGCGTGAACACGAAGCTCTTGCCGTATCGGTCTGTACAACTGCCGACGCAAGTTAAAGAAAGTGCGCTTAAAGGAACTTGGTTTAGTTGCTTGGAGGGAGGGAACCCCGACACGTTTAGAGGTCGCCGAAGCGACGCGCATGAGCCTCTACAAAAAAAAGGTCCCCCGAAGGAGTAGACTGTTTCGACCTGTTTCCCGGTGGGTTGGATTCAGCAAGAAAAGTAAGTTACGACCTACCTTCGTAGTTACGTGTACAACGTGCGTTTACTGTGAACTTCGACAGAAAAGATACAGTGCGTGTAGTTGTAGTTGTACACGTACAGTACGAAGGTACGTGTACAGTACCTTCGTACCTTCGTACAACGTTTTACTGTACATACAACGTTTTACACTACTCACAAAAAGTTGTACGTGTACGTAGCTACCTTCGTACGAAGGTACGTACGAAGGTACGAAAGTACCTTCGAAGGTACTACCTTCATACGAAGGTACGAAAGTACTTTCGTACGTTGTAGATATCGGATACAGCAGGGTACAGTAGCAGATATCGGATACAGCAGGGAGCAGATAGAATAGTCTACGTGTAGCTATCGGATATCATAGCTGTAGCTCTCTACCTTGGTACTTTCGAAAGTACCTTCGAAGGTACTTTCGTACCTTGAAGGTATTCTATCTTCGAAGGTACTTTCGAAAGTACTTTCGTACAGTACATTTGTACTTTTCGAAAGTACCTTCGAAGGTACAGTACTTTATTTGTAGGGCTACGTGTACCTTCGTACGAAGGTACCTTCGAAGGTAGCTATTACCTTCGTACCTTCGTAGCTAGTAGCTAGAAGCTACACGTACTATGTATGGGTGTACAGCTGTACACGTACACGTGCGTGTAGCACTCGTGTAGCCCTACGAATAGAATAGCTATGATAAATGGATATCAGCGAAAGGATATGAGTTTTTATATAGAGAGGACGACGAAAGGATGGCGTATGAGCAAATGGTCAGAGCGTAGTACGTTTTAAAAGGATGAACTACTGATGAGCTCATCCTCTTAACTGCCGCGCCGCGCGAGGACAGTCAGAGAGGCGCGCGCCGCGGTTGAGGCCGGAGCGTCAAAGCGAACATCGACTAGACAGCGTAATCGATCATTCCAGCGAGTTTTATACACCTGGGGCGCTGATTCAGGCTGTCACGTCGCACAGATCCGTCGTTTGCAAAACAGACTCGGCGTTACGAAACATTTGCCGTCTCCTGAGCTCGCGTACGCGACGTCGAAACTTCATGCTAACAGTTCTGAACGTAAAAAAACTTCGTGATTATATCGCGTGAACACATACGCACTTATTCAAATATCGCGCAGCGCAAAAAAACACGATCGCTTGCGTCGGCAGTCGAACTCCGCGGGTCGAGGCTGTAGCCGCGAAGAAAAATGCTCTTTTACAAATCGACGCGATCGCGCCAGTCTATGCTTTGCTCATGCGATTCAGACACGAACGCGGTCGATCCGCGCGCCTCGAGGGTGATGTCATCTGACATGCCGTGCAGTTACAGAGCCAAAAACGGCGTCTGCGCGATGTTATAGCACACCGCGCGCTCATCCTCTTAATATCCTCTCTAAGCTCATATCCTCTCGCTGATATAGCCACTATCGTCCCCTATCGTCCCCTGTCACTGTGACTGTGACTGTGAAAACGACCGGAACCCCGAAAATATTTTTGCGCCGCGCGATGTTTTAATATGCGCTAATGTGTTCATGCGATATGCTCAGCAAATGTTTTCACGTTTGGAACTGTTTTCACGAAGTTTCGGCGTCGCGCACGCGAGCTCAGAAGACGGCAAATGTTTCGTAACGCCGAGTCTGATTTGCAAACGACGAATCTGTGCGCCGGGACAGCCTGATTCAGCGCCCAATGTGTATAAAACTCGCTGGACTGATCGGTTACACTGTCTAGTCGATGTTTTCTTTGACGCTCCGGCCGCAGCCGCGGCGCGCGCCTCTCTGACTGTACTCCCGCGGCGCGGCAGTTTAAAGGACGCCCGCATCCTAAAAAAACGTACATATGCTCTTGATGTTAGCTCATATGATAATAAAAATAGGGCATTATTGACATACACGTACTGTACACGTACACGTACAGTAGATTGTAGACTACGTGTACAGTACATAAACAACTTACTTACTGTATCCATAAAAAATATCCTTTCTACAGGTACACGTACTGTAGCTACGCGTACGTGTACACTACGTGTAGACTACAATAAACAGGAGGGCTATCCTTTCGCACTGATATTAGCCACTACACTACCTATGTAGTATGTACTGTAGTCTAGGGCTACGAGAGTGCTACGAGCACACGTATTATTTCGAAGTACGAAATTACCTTCGAAGGTTATGATACTGTACTTCCGGAAATACTTTCGTAACGTGTTGTACTCGTAGCTAACTAGCTATCATAGCTAACTATCATAGCTAGCTCCTGTACGAAGATTCGTAGAAATAGATACTTCCGTACCTTCGAAGACAACTTACAGTAGGCAAGGTAGAAGGTAGCAAGGTATTCTATCTTCGAAGACACTTCCGGAAGTATGATACTTCCGCATGTTATAAACATCATTTATACACGTAACTTACCTTCGTAGCCCTATGTATTTTACATGTAAATGCGTGGCATACCATACTGCGACGTTCTTAGATACCATAGCAACGTCCTATTTTACAGTTACTCGTATCTTCCGGAAGTTAAGTTGCTTCCGTAGATATCTAGCTAGGGCTAGATAAGTTAATAGCTAGCTAGGTAGCTAGCTAGCTACGCCGGTAGCTACTAGTAGATAGACTAGCTAGATAGATAGACTAGATAGATAGATAGATACGAAGGTAGATAGATAGAAGGATAGATAGATAGATACGAAGGTAGATAGATAGATAGATACGAAGGTAGATAGATAGATAGATAGATACAGTAGAAAGATAGATACGAAGGTAGTTTTCTACACATATCACTCACATGGCTAGCTAGCTAGCTAGCTAGCTAGCTAGGACCTTCGGGGTACGGTCGTCGCTAGCTAGGGCTAGATAAGTTAATAGCTAGCTAGGTAGCTAGCTAGCTACGCCGGTAGCTACTAGTAGATAGACTAGCTAGATAGATAGACTAGATAGATAGATAGATACGAAGGTAGATAGATAGAAGGATAGATAGATAGATACGAAGGTAGATAGATAGATAGATACGAAGGTAGATAGATAGATAGATAGATACAGTAGAAAGATAGATACGAAGGTAGTTTTCTACACATATCACTCACATGGCTAGCTAGCTAGCTAGCTAGCTAGCTAGGACCTTCGGGGTACGGTCGTCGAAGAGAGCGTACGTATGATACTGTACGAGTCTAGCTAGACTAGCTAGCTACCGAAGGTACCTAGCTAGACTAGCTAGCCTACTAGCTACCTACGAAGGTACCTACTACCTACCTAGCTACCTACCTTCGTACTTTCGTACTTTCGTACTTCCGTACTAGCTAGGCACGTAGGCAGTAGACTGCAGCAGATATGTGTAGTTGTGTACTTCCGGAAGTACATGTACACGTACTGCACAGTACACGAGTTGTACACGTGCAGAACTGCAGATGTACACCGGATATCGTTATTAACATTGTACGGAAGTACTTTCGTACTACCGGAATACATTCATAGTAGACGTACATGTACAACACACGTAAAAAGAAGTTATCTAGCTAGTAGCTAGCTAGCTAGCATGATAGATCTAAACTTAGTTTATTAGACAGATAGACACCTTCGAAGGTACTTTCGAAAGTACTTTCGTACTTTCGAAAGTACTTCCGGAAGTACTTCCGTACAAGTTAAAGTTGTACTGTACACGTACTTCCGGAAATAAAGTTGTAATCATGGACCTAGTGTACAAAAAATAGTGTACAGTACGTGTACAGCTGTACACGTACATGTACTTGAGACTTCCTTTATCAAAAATACAATAACAACTTAATGTTGTAGTAGTTGTACACGTATGTGTACGTGCACAGAAGTACGAAAGTACGAAAGTACCTTCGAAGGTATCTATGTGTACACGTACAGCTGTACACGTACTTCCGTACTTTCGAGAATAAAACCCCAAAACTACAAATGCTACTCGTACGTGTCCATTATTGTACGGAAGTACGAAAGTACGAAGGTATTCTATCAATGCGGTAGATACATACGGAAATAGATACAAGTGTACAGTACAGCTGTACACGTATCTATTTTCGTATCTACGAAAGTACTTTCGTACTTTCGTACGAAAGTACTTTCGTAGTTGTACCTTCGAAGGTGAAAGTACTTTCGTACGAAATAAAGTACGAAAGTACTTTCGAAAGTATTCTATCTTCGAAGATAGACTACGTGTACACGTACACGTGTAGACTCAGTAGTGTGTAGCTGTGTACAGTAGTGTGTACCATTATTGTATCGATCATACTGTACTTTCGTACGAAAGTAATACAAAAAAAATTACTTTCGTATGATACTTCAATAAAAGTATCATAATACAGTACGAAGGTACTGTACAGTACGTGTAGTTGTACTTCCGAAATAAACGCGTTGTAGGCGGTGGGTCACGTACTACGTCATACGTGTTGTTGTGCGTGTAGGCGCCAGATTTAATTGGAGCATTCACCGTAACAATATCTATTCGACATATCACCGCAGCTCGACGACCAACTCGTTCTATTGTCAAGCTTACTCTCTGATTGAGATTTTCGAAACGCAGAGGTTATCTTCCGTATTGTAATGGGCGTCTTGTCCGTTCAAGTCGTGCCAGGACAACGTTGTAGGGAAGAAAACGACGATCTAGTAATTCCGCAAGGTGAAGACCTGCACTATGAAGAAGAACTTCTACGATCTCCGCGCGAATCACGACTGTGGTTTCGGTATCTAGACGCCAAGAAAGGAAGCAGTGCTCGCAGACGCTATATCATATTCGAGCGCTCTGTTCAAGCTCTGCCGGGGAGCTACAAGGTGCGGGACTCCCCGTTTTCTTCGTTTTCGAGCAAAGTAGTTTTCAGACTGGTGTGCAAGTTTTCAAACCTCTAAGGACACCATGTTTCAACAGCTTTGGTATGCGTATTTGACTGAAAGGTGTAATAATGTTCGTGATCTCTGTGTTGGAAGTTCAGCGCACGATTCCCTTGGCAATACTTTCGAGCGCGCTTTAGTCACGATGCACAAAATGCCTAAGATATGGGAGCTTTACCTCTATACACTATTGAATCAAGGATGTGTCACAAAAATGAGGCGATCCTGCGATCGAGCGCTCGCGTCATTACCAGTGACTCAGCACGATCGCGTGTGGAAAATATATTTGGTAAGAGAAAACTGAAATTCGCCTGTCTTTTACTAGGTATCTACTTTCCTGAGGAACCTAACCATTTTTTTTCTGCAAAAGGAGTTTATAAATCAGGATGGCATTCCAATCGAAACAGCGCAATGCGTCTATCGCCGATACATTAAATTTGAGCCCGGGCACGCAGAAGAATACATCGGGTTCCTCCAGACTCGAGCCCAGTGGGTTGAGATGACAAGAAAACTGGCTGAAGTTGTTGAGGACGATAATTTTCAGTCCCTTGCTGGCAAAAGTAAACACCAGCTTTGGTTGGATCTTTGTGATGTCATCACCAAGCATCCATGTAAAGCAGTGGGGCTTGATGTTGACGCAATTTTGAGAGGCGGAATTCAAAATTTTTGTGGTGAAGTAGGGCAGCTCTGGACTTCCCTTGCTGATTTCTACATTCGCACTGGTCTTTTTGAGAAAGCTCGTGATGTGTATGAAGAAGGAGTTGCAACTGCAGTCACGATTCGAGACTTTTCATTGATATTTGATGCATACACTCAATTTGAAGAGAGCGTTCTTAGCGCAAAACTGGAATCAATCGGAAGAGAACAAACAGTCACTGCAAACAGCAGAATGATAGGTTCTTTGACAAATAGTTGCACAGAGTTTTTTCCATTTGACGGCGAAGCAGAAGTGGACTTGCGGCTCGCTCGTGTCGAGCATCTGATCGGTCGACGTCCAGAGCTTCTATCCGCGGTTATGCTGCGACAAAATCCGCACAATACGCCGGAGTGGCAGAAGCGCATATCACTGTTCGAAGGGGACCCAACAAAACAGATTCTTACCTTTACTGAAGCGGTCAAGACAGTTGATCCCCGGCTTGCTCTTGGGAAGCCCCACGTGCTTTGGATCAACTTCGCAAAGTTTTATGAGTTACACGGTGATGTCGACAATGCCCGCATTGTTCTTGAGAAGGCCGCATGTGTCCCGTTCGTCAAGATAGACGACCTCGCTTCCATCTGGTGCGAATGGGCAGAGCTAGAATTGAGGCAGAAAAATTACCATGGGGCCCTCACTCTTTTGCGTCGTGCAACTTCAGGATCGGTGAAGTTGGTTGACCCACACTTGGCGCACGCGGATTCCGTGTCTGCGCAAGATGGCATCTGTAAGTCACAGAAGCTCTGGAAGTTTTACTGTGATCTCGAAGAGTCTTTTGGTTCCATCGAGTCTTCTAAGGCTGCTTATGCCCGCATGTTTGAAGCACGAGTTGCTACCCCGCAGACTGTCTTAAACTTTGCCCACTTGCTGCTGGAACATAAATGTTTTGACGAATGTTTTCGTGTTTTTGAGCGTGGAGTACATATTTTCAAGTTTCCTCACTCACGTGAAATATGGGTGGAATACCTTAAACATTTTGTTCAACATTTTGGTGCGAAGAAACTTGAGCGAGCTCGAGACCTCTACGAGCAATGTTGTGACGCTGTTCCGCCAAAAGACTCTAAATATTTTTTTCTCGAATATGCTCGCCTAGAAGAGAAACACGGTCTGGGACGCCGTGCTATGGAAATATATGACCGCGCATGCGACAAGTTACCAGTAAATGAAAAACTCGGCATGTATGATGTATACATATCTCGTGCAATGGAGTTGTTTGGAGTTGTGAAGGTTCGCTCTATTTATGAAACGGCCATCGCAAAGAAACTTTCAGACCAGACTACCAAGTCTCTCTGTACTCGATATGCTAGATTGGAGTGTAAACTCGGTGAAATCGCAAGAGCACGAAGTTTGTACACTCATGCTAGCCAATTTGCAAGTCCTCAATGTGATACTGATTTCTGGGAGGAGTGGAACCGTTTCGAGGTTCGATATGGGGATGAGGATACGTTCAGGGAGATGTTACGAGTGAAGCGCTCTGTCAGTGCGAATTTCGTCCAGATGCACTTTACTATGAATACATCTGATGTTACCACTGCTGTAGGTACATCTGAAACAGGGGTTGTGGGAGTTCATGACGGCATAAACACACTTGATGTTGGAAATGTTCACAGAGCAGGTAATTCAGAAGTTCATAATACTGTTCCACCTAGTGTGACAGATTCAGTCACGGAATTAATGAAGTCTGCTGACGAGAGATGTGGTCATAATCCGACAATACTAGCTTCACATACCGACAACCCGGATGAAATAGATTTAAGCGACGGATGAACTAGCCATCAGTGAAGGTTACATGTTTTGCACAGAGGCAAGAACAAAAGACAGCAACCTTTCACCTTTGTCCCAGATTTGTTGTGGAAACAGTACGCTTCAACGAACACACTAGTTATCTTCGACCATTACTAGAATATCTGGCGCGTTGGCGCACTTAAAAAGTCCACGGCATTACCGGCTCCCTCGCGCGATCTGGTGATAATGAAATCAGTATGGTTGCCCTAGCCAATAAGCGAGGAGGACGATCTACGCAGGCGGGAGGTGTGACAAAAGTCGTAAAAACTCCCCACTCGTTTTTGGCGTCAAAGATTTCGTGCGTTTTACCGCTGATTTTACACCTCCAGAATGCGTAGATGTTAAAATTAGAAAGAGCTGACATTTCTGCCTCTTTTGGAGCTAACAACATACGAAGGTATATCTCAAAGGTCGGAAGCCATGTTTTTATATTTTGTTTTGATACTCATACTAGATATTGAAGTACCAAGAGAAAATGTCGAGGTGAGACTTGACACTGGCAAGCGCCGTCATCTTCAGTGTCAGTAGGGACTCTTTGTCGCTACATTCACCCTTGTTCGAGAAGAGCCGTACCCAGAGAACGCGGAGTAGGGCAAGAGAAGTGACCGTGGCATATGCGCGTACCCTTTAACTAAGTCACCACAATCTGGTGCTTGTCGCAGAAAGTCTGTGATGTAATTCTTCCCTCTCGGAAATGCCGAGCCACTGTCGGCGATTTCTGAGATTTCTGCTGCAATTGATGACCACACTAACGCTCCCGCCTCGCCTCCTGGCACGGTTGTTTTGTACGACTGGTACGGTCCCAGTAGGTCTTCGCCATCTCGTGGATCGAGGGGGTGTAAAGGTCCCTCCTCAACACGAAATATTGGAATGACGCGCGAGAGGTTGGGGCTGAGTGGTACAGCAAATTCGTTTGGAGTGGTAACGCTCGTTTCGCGCGAGTGCCAGTTATCTAAGTCAACAGCGTCGATCCCGGCGACAGCCGCAGCCTCAATCATTGGTGGCGAATCAAAGGCACCACAGAACAGCAGCGACAAAAACCACTCAGCCACCTCAGGCAGTGCCATAACTCCTTCAGGTTTATCATCACTCTCCTCATGGCCTCCAACCTGATTTCCCTTTGCCCACTTCAACCATTCTAGGCAAGCGTTTGTCTCTGGATGCTCTTCACCGTACCAAAGCAAGCAATCGTTGTACGCAGCAGTGAATCGCTGAACAGCCTCGTGCACCTTCCCACGCGCGACGAGCACCGCGCCAAGGTTACGCAAACGTAGTGCGTTGGCAGGGCTCGAACGCCCCAAAGCTACAGTGCCAAGAGAGACTGCGCGCGCACAGAGCCGCGTTGCAGCTGTTACGGCGTTGTTAGACTTCATCAGCAGGCCAAGGTTGTTCAAGACATCTGCCACTGTGTTCAGCGTACCTCCTTCGCCAAGGATTGCCACCATGTTTGTATGTGTCGCATATTCTTCGAGCACTACGCCTTCCGCAAGTTCATCGCAAAAAAAGGTACGGTTAACAACCTCTTCCTCTCTCGCTACTGCTGCCGCGACGTCGTTTGGTAACACCCTTCTAAGGTGTTCCAACGCTCGAGTGTACACTGCCCTCGCGCCAAATGGATCTCCCAGCGCTATGCGGCACGTCGCAAGGCCGTTGAGGAATCTTGCTAGGGAGATGCGAGAAAACGCTGTACGCGTGGACTCCTCCACTCGGATAGCCTCGGCGAGATACTCGTTTGCAGTCGACGGGTCGTCGGCGGTGCAGTACAACGCGCCGACACTAGCGTACCGCGCCGCTACGTCCGGATGCGCCTCTCCGTGCTGTGCCACATCGCAACTCACGGCGGCGATGTACTTACCGAGCGCTGATTCAAGCTCGCCGTTAGCCGCTAGGTCGTCGCCCTGTTCGGGGGAGGGTAGGCGTCAGCGAACGTCACAAACGGTAGACTACAACGAGGATGCGGCCACGGAGTAGATAGGTAAAAGGCACAGACGGCGACCGAGACCGTGCGTATTAGCCGACATGGTCGACTCGTGCGCGGAGAGGAGAGAGGTGACAAGTGTTGCCATTTTCAGGCGAGTGCCCACAGCTCACAGAACCTCACACAGACAGGCATGGCAGCCACGCACCTCGTCGCTGAGCCGTTGCCCCGCTGTGCGGCCGCCTTCGACGGCCATTCGTGGGGCTCCGGATCCGGACACTGGAATTACGTCGTGGGGATTAGAGGAGTGGCCCAGCCGTCTTCCGAACTCGAACTAACTTCCGTAGTGTAAGTTGGTAGGAGCCGAATTTTTGGAGTGCTGAAAAATATTGGAGAAATACGTAAAAAAGTCGATGAACCGATGAAAAAATGGGTGAAAAAATGCGAGACTTCGAGATTTCATCGGCCTCGAGCTGAATCGATCGAATCCGCTGTAATATTTGACCCCTGCCGCGTCCGTCCTCGGCTCCTCGGTCGAAAGATGCCCGGTTTTCGTGCATCAGCAGCTCAAGATTGCGTAGAAACACACACGAAGGGCGCACCTCCCCCCCCCCCCCCCACGCCCGCTCACACGTCCGCGTGGTCCGCCATGACCACGATGCGCGCATGGTGCGTCCCGATCAGCGATACACGCATCCCTTCGCTCGCGTTGACACGACGCCCGCGCGCATTTTAATCTCCCGCGTTTTTTTTTCATACGCGACTTAGTCAGGAAAGCGTACGAGTACGGAACGTACACGAGCGCGGTGACTCGGGAATCATCAACAAGCCCCCGCCCCCGCAAGACACGAGCAAAGTCGACTGTGTCGCCCTCGTGGATGCCTTAGGCATCACGCCGGCCGAAGAACGGCCGGTTTAGAAGCGTTTATGTATATATCAAGCCCATATTTACGACCTCTCCAATATTTAGCAATTCTGGCAGTTCTGGCAGCCCGCCTCCCTCCTTCACGAACGAGTGGAAACGCTCGACGAGGAGGCGTTACGGTTTCAGGGATCGAACTACGCGACGAGGGCTTTCCAACGCGATCTCTTTCGAGGTCAACGTCCAAGATACGACCCCTATTTAGGCGTTTCCTAAATATAGCTCCAAAAATTCGGCTCCTACCAACTTACTTTCGAGTGCACGAAAATATCCAGCCCTACGTACGAGTACACGTACGTGTACGTGTACGTGTACAACGTAACGTTATTATTGTACACATATATCATATCATAGAATAGTGTTACGAGTACGGTCTGAGTCAGCAGTACGAAAGTAGTACGGAGTACACGTAGTACTACTACGTACGGACCCTAATAAATCAGGAACCGTACCTTCGAAGGTAGCTATCATAGCTAGACACTGAGTCTGCCTTGCGAAGATCGATCGTGAGGTGACAAGGGCCGTCGTGTCAAGTTCAAGATACACAAGCACAGATGACGAGAATGTGCCGAAATGTACGAGTGGATTCTGGGACAGGTCTGGGGAAGCCTGAATCCGAGTAAGCGTGCGGGAATGACGAATCCCGTGCGCTACGAAGCAGGAGGTAACGAAGTGACGAAACTGACAAGACAGTTTCAGAACGGTTTGAGTGAGAGTAACAGCAACCTATATCAGTCCTATATCCAATCGGGAGGATGAGCGAATCAACCCTACGACCGTTACAGGACACAAGTTGTGGCGGAGGGCGAACTTAATCGGTTATCGTTTTAAAAGAAATAACCAGGATCTTGATGAGGAAGGCGAAGGTGTGTTGTTGGATTAGTGGGGGGGTGACACTGATTCTCGTAACTTGAAGAGGCAACGAGGATGGTGTATAAATAGAACATAGAACAAACGCGCGCGTAGAATGTGCACTAACAGATGCAAACAACAATGTGCGATACAAAAATTCAAGTTTTAGGCAACCGTACACGTAGTTCCTACTTTGAAGAGTCTTTGAAGTATCATATGAAGGTAGAGTCTAGCTAGCTAGCTAGCTAGTGGCTATCAGCGAAAGGAGAGCTTTATAAAGGATATTAAAATGATGACGTACTACGCAGGCCGGAGGTGTGACATTAGCGGCAAATAGCAAACGAGAATTCTCGTTTGCCCCCCCCCCCCGTCCCATCGGGATGGTTTTCCGATCAAAAATGCTGAAAGGGTATTTTTCATCGCAAGAGCCGATCAAAGGGTTTTTGCCGCTAATGTCACACCTTCGGCCTGCGTAGTATGAGCAAATAGTCAGAGCGTAGTACGTTTTTAAAAGGATGAACTACTGATGAGCTCATCCTTTTAACTGCCACGCCGCGCGAGGACAGTCAGAGAGGCGCGCGCCGCGGTTGAGGCCGGAGAGTCAAAGCGAACATCGACTAGACAGCGTAATCGGTCATTCCAGCGTGTTTTATACACCTGGGGCGCTGAAGCAGGCTGTCACGGCGCACAGATCCGTCGTTTGCAAAACAGACTCGGCGTTACGAAACATTTGCCGTCTCCTGAGCTCGCGTACGCGACGTCGAAACTTCATGCTAACAGTTCTGAACGTAAAAAAACTTCGTGATTATATCGCGTGAACACATTAGCGCATATTTAAAATTCGCGCAGCGCAAAAAAACACGATCGCTTGCGTCGGCAGTCGAACTCCGCGGGTCGAGGCTGGAGCTGCGAAGAAAAATGCTCTTTTACAAATCGACACGATCGCGCCAATCTATGCTTTGCTCGTGCGATTCAGACACGAACGCGGTCGATCCGCGCGCCTCGAGGGTGATGTAATCTAACATGCCGTGCAGTTACAGAGCCAAAAACGGCGTCTGCGCGATGTTATAGCACACCGCGCGCTCATCCTTTCGCCATCCTTTCTAAGCGCATATCCGTTCGCTTTTAGCCACTAGCTAGCTATCCTATCTAGGGCCCTACGGAAGCAGTGTACGTAACGGGTTGTAACGGGTTGTACTGTACACGACTACACGTACAGTCGTACACGTATCATACAACGTTGTACGAAAGTACGAAAATAGATACCTTCGTACTTTCGAGAGTACGAAAGTATTTTCGTACGAAAGTACTTTCGTACGAAGGTATCTTCGAAGACTCTTCGAAGAATACACTAACGTTGTACGTGTACGTGTACACGTACAGTACAAGTATTTGACGGAGCTTTATGGGTTGACCACCGGAGCCTCCAAAAAAACCCTCCTTGTATTTCATCAACAAAATTACTGTAGTTGTAGTTGTACAACGTTGTACGTGTACGTGTACACGTACACGTACAGCTGCACACGTAAACTACAACATACACGTACTGTACGGAAATAATACGTTGTACGAAAGTACGAAAGTACTTCCGGAAGTAGGCAGGGCTAACGTTAGAAAGTACAGTCGAGAAAATTCAAAAAAGGTGAAACGTAAGGTTGTCAACACAGAGCCTAATCATTCGAGCGCATCATCACCTCTTCCGGCATCTAGACATAGACAACAATCCCAAAAGTTGCCGGTTTTCTTTTGAAGTATAATTGAAAGGCGTTCCGAAAAAGTACGTTAGCAGATGGTCACAAGGAAAAATGTTTTAAATACTGAAGAGGTCGCCTCACGCACTCTTCCTTTGTTTGCGTCTTTGACGGATAACAGCATCAATATCGCGCTCGTCGCTTCTGCATGGTGTGCAAGGTATGGCGTTGACCCATCTGCTGCTGTTGCCGAGCTCTACACGCTTATCGCGAAGGTGTGTCAAGTCCCTCCAAAACTCGTTTGTTTGATTCACGAGCTGGCCCGAAGAGTACACCTCTGAGAAAGATGTCAATCCCAAAATATGCAGGCTGGTGGTAGTGCAACAACGATTACGTCCATCGAATTAATGGACTGCAGCCTTGAAGATATAGGTGCAAGAGTCCTCTCGGAGTTCGCAGTTCGGAACCACGACTCTGATGTTCTGTTGGAGAACTCAGATCCGAGAATAGCAAAGGAGCTAACGAAGTCTTTCAGGAACAACTACCTCCAGTTCTGGGACAGTCTGATTCGAGATAGCTGCCAAACTGATTTGCTCTTCCTCTCTCGAATATCGCCATCTGGCCGTGCAGAGCGTGCCGGTGAAGAAAAACCTTGCTTGGTGTCCTCGGTACCCCTTTTTGATTCGCTTGTCGACCTCATCACCATGTTTTCTAGCACGAGGGCAAGGAAAATTCGTGTAGCGGCAACTGAAGCCGGCTTGCAGCTGGTGACTTCACTGATTCAAACTGTCAAACTTCATGCTGATACGCGAGATATGAAGCAACGTCAGCTGGACGCTGAAATAAATAAAAGAAAAAGATCAAATAACCTCATGATCAGGACACTCAAGGAAGCTTTAGTCCTCACACAGAATCGAGTTAACAGTACAGAGGGCATGATAAAGGAAACATTCAACAGAGTATTCACGCATCGATTCAGAGATACGGATGCAAACATCCGTACAAGCTGCATGCGTTCCATTGGCCACTGGATGCGAGACCATCCACTCTTTTTCCTTTCGGACTTTTATCTGAAGTATTTAGGTTGGTCCCTAAATGATAAGAACCCAGACGTGCGGCTTGCAGTACTGGTTGCACTGCGTGATTTGTACAGAGCATCTTCTGAAAATTTGGCATTGATGGACACATTCAATGCCCGTTTTATGTATCGTGTGATAGAGATGCTGGATGATATTGACCCCAGAGTTGCAGCTGAAGCTGTTTCGACTGTTGGGCTGCTGTTAGAAGCCAGTGTCCTTCCGCATAAAGATGCTGGTGCAGTAGTCTCGCTCCTGTTGGATAGAAGTGAACATGTCCGTTGCGCTGCTGCTGCTTTAATCCCCAGCCTTGCTTCTCGTGAGAGCAGAAATAGAGGTGCAGTACCCCCGCCATGCTATGTGACGCACTCACCTGCCACAAAAATACATAATGAAAACATCCGAGACACTTCCCGTGATACTATCATGTCAGTCGTTCGCATTATTAAAGATCTTCAAGGCAGCCGTGCACGCAGTGCTATCACAGTTGACGCACTCTGGAGTATTCATCACTCGACTCTTTCAGACTGGGAACTTCTCTGCAGGATGCTGCTTTTCGAAAGTCCCGAGGTTGGTAAGCCTCACGACCCAGTGTCAGATGCGGAATTGACGAGCAACGATGCAGCTATACTCTCAAATATATTTGCTTGCGCTGTTCGTCGGGCATGTGGAGAACAACTTTTGAGGCGAATAGACGCCCGTGGTATGACCGGTGGACGAGCAACTCAACGTCTTTCGATAAAAGCCCAGCGAAAAGAAAAAGAATATGCTCAGGAGACGTTTACAAAAGCTGCGATGAACTCGATCCCTTCCTTACTTTGTAGGTGGAGTTCAGACGCGGCTGTAATTGGACCACTAATCGAAACATTGAGACACGTTAAGCTTGAGCATTTTTTGCTGATGCACAGAGAAAATGACTTCGAAGAAATTCTAAATTGCATTGGCAGCTTATTTTTTCAACACTCGAGCAGGCGAATAATTGATGCATGCGTAGAATTCACATTCCACGCTATAACGAATAGTCACGGAGCACTCAACGAAATCAGCAGAAAATTCTGTGAAAATTCTTTCCACAAAATTTCAGAACGGTTGCATCATGTTTTTACTGCTATGAAGGAAAGGAATGGCTGCAATACTTCGCATGCTCACGAAGGAAACATTGACCTTATTTGCGATTCAGGAAAAACATCCTATGCGCATTCAACATTACAGAACAGGGAGATATATTTCCAACTTCATGGGGACTTGGCACGACTGAATGCATTTCTATCGCTTTTACCGCCACCTGCAATAGCTCAAAACCCGCTCAAGAAATTTAACTTCTTTTGTGACCTTACTTCATTTATTACCAGTGCCGCGCACGGCAGTTCGCGCGTCAGCGTGCATGCAGTAGCTCTTGCACTTCGTGCTTTATCGCTCGCCTTGAGGCATGACATTCTATCGCTTCTTCACAAGAAAGATTTGTCTATTTCAGCAATAGCGGCACACGTTTCGATCCGAGACGACTTCATCTTTAACGCTATAGCTCTCGCCAAACTTTCTGATGGATTATATTCTGGGAGCCGTATTTTGGCCAAGGCGGTCATATCTGCTGTGACGAATCTTATTATTTGCTGCCAAGCTTCTCACGTTGTATTTGACACAGGTCTTAGGCGAGCTGGAATAGCAATAGAAGTTCTCGAAACACTCGAACTTCGCTTCTCTGAATCTACCTTGCGAACAATATGGGATACCTGTAATCGTCTTCTCGATATTCCTGCAGAAGGTAGTGTTCAAGGAGTAGATGCTGAAGACTATTGCGCGGATGGTGAGATTTCCAGACTTGCATATGGGCTTGCCATGTACGATATCGCAAAGACAACCCATGGATTTGTCGCAGCTGAGCTCTTAGCAAACTATGGTCATGCTGGGCATTGGACTGATCATGCCATTGCCGCGATCTTCATCGATCTCCGTCACCTAGGACCACACGCAGCCGGGAGTACAGTCACCATATCCCTAGCATCTGCTTTCGAAGAAATAGTTGTAGGAGATCAGGAAGTTGCAGTTGATCTCGAGGAAGCATTTGTTGAGTTTGCTGAGCGCCTCGCAGGATTATTCATGGTGGGTAGTCAGCGTGATAGAGTGGCAGTTCGATGTGTTGTCGAAGAGGGGCTCAATTTTGTTGTCCCGACGGCAGCACCAAACCCAATGCGACTTTCTTTTCTGTCCTTGGGACTCAAACCATTCATCCCAAAACTTGCCACGAAAGACGCGAAGTCGCTGATTGATCCACTGAACACAGTTCTTTCAGCTGTTCGATCAGAGGAAAGAGCAGCTCTTCCGCTCCTGGACTTCGTGAATTGTGTGGCAACACGTGCACGGGGTGCATGTTGCCGGTAATTTATCACCTGTAGGCCTTTATAATATATTGTAGCTGAGTACTTCTACGTTGTAGTAAGTACTTCCGTACAATTACACGTAGTTTGAAAGTGTATTTAAACTTAAAGAAGAAATATGAGTAACCTAATACTAGTAACCTTATGTGCGCGTAACTTACACGTAGACTAATATTACATCATTAAATTTCTTTGCTGAACAGTAAATATTGTCAGAGGTAAAGTGTGGCCGAGCAAGCTAGTCTAATTCTATTGTCCTTCACATATTTCCATACGATGCTGAAGGCACGAGAAGCTGCCCAATCATAGATGGACCTTGCCTCCATGAAGAAAGAAACAGTGTCCGTCGTTGATCCAATTTCCTGTTTCACCCAGACATCCAGGTTCGCGGTTCTGTCGAGTCAACGCGACTTATATGCATCTACTTTGTGAGATACACTCTGCGGGTTCACATCTCACCTCATAAAATTCTCTGTCCATAAATCGAATTCGATCTTGAAATAAATGAGGGTGTAGCCTGAGAACGATATGACGCGTGTAAGAACTTTTCTGCTTCTTCTTTCTGTTCTCTTCGAGTGAGTGCTGCGTCTATGTTGGTCTGGACCGCCCGCCGCCTAACTCTGTCTTTCATCTCTTTGATGTACTCGGCCTTGGCACTGTCTCTATCGATTTTTTGCTTCAATTTAAATCGATGTAATGCCTCCTGTTTCTTATTCATCTCGGTGCGCAGTCTGCGGTCATCAAACGATAAATTGCGCTCTGTAAGGGTCATTTGCCGATGAAACGCATTTGCTGCCGTGACTTCCTTGGCTTTGCGATCTGCAATATCTGACTCAGCCAAAAATCGTGCAACACGGTTTGACTGTATCCTTTGAGCCTCTTCTTTTATTCGACGCCTCACGCCTTCCCTCTCCTGGTTCCGCATCTTCTCTAACTTTATCTCACAGTGCCGGTACTCGTTCAACTGCTGCATTCGAGCGTTCTGCTTCTTCTCTCGTTCATGGAGCTCTATCAATCTTTCATGGTTATGAACCTCCGCACAAGCTTTCGCTCGGCCGAGTCTGTACTGAAACTCAGTTGCTGTGGCTTCCAGTGTCGACCTGCGGTTCTCCTCGCGCTGCGAAGCTAACTGCTCTCGACGACGCTCGTCGGCTAGCAGTTCATTTTTTTTCGTACGGATGCGTGCATCTTGCTGCTTGACGATCGCACGGGTGCGCTCCTTCCAGTCTGCCACTTTTTTTGCCTGCCGAACAGCTGCTTCCTTGGCCTCCAGCTTCGTAAGCTTATCCTGACGTTCTCTTGCTTCTCGCTCTGCTTTCTGCTGTTTGAAAGTTTCAGACATCAAGCGACGGCGTTCAAGCTCAGCATTTCGCTGTGCCCTTGCTTCCTCCATCGACATTTTGTACATGTTGTCAATACGATACTTCTCTTTTTCCTTCATGTCAGCCTCCCTACTTTGAAAGTTCGAGTTTTCTCTGTGTAATTTTGTCTCTAGCAACTTCCGGGAGTGCATACTCTTCTTAAGCTCCTCCAAGCGCACGTTGTTAAGCCTGCGTTGTCTATCCTGATGTCGCAGCAAACGAGCAGTCGCTTGTCGAACAGCTGTGCTTTCTGCCGCTGCAAGTACATCTAGGCTCGAAATAACACCCTGCCTTTCATGAAAGTGGTTGACTACATTGGTCTCCGGGATACGTGACCTCAGTATGCTCAGGCTCTGTAGCAGATTTTCGCGGCGATTTTGCGCGTGTTGATATTTAAGCATCCAGATCTTCGAGTCAACGTTTGATTCGCGGTAATCCTCCATGCAAACTGGCTTCAATTGAACAGGGTCCACGCCCAACTCTAGGCAAGCTTCGACTGACCTTGGGGAGGTAAGACGAGGGATTTTGTCACCTATCTGCAGCCTTCCGAAGTCATCAATGGTGACAGTGGCACCAGCTCTTTGTGATACAAAAGCGGGCGAGGCAATGTCTTGAACCCAGAAGTCGAGATTAAGTTCTTTCCGTTGCTTTTGAATAGGCCGAGTTGAAGATGACCGAATTCCGTTCATCCTTGCTTCCCGACACTTAAAATACTTTTCCTTGGATATGCAGAGTTTCGCCGCTAGTTTCCGAGGCTCCAATTAACTCTGTCGTGAAAGAGAATTCGGGTTGTGTTGAAACTGACCGTCTGACCGCTTCTGCGATGTTAAGGTACGAGTACGTGTAGCCCTAGTGTACAGTGCAGTAGTCCTCTGTACCTTCTTTCGTACTTTCGTACGTTTTTGCAATTTGTATGCGTAATATAACTTTCGTACGAAGGTAGGATACAGGTACGTAATTCGAAAAAAACCAGCAAAAAACGTACTCGTGACAAAAAACACGTACACAAGGGTACGCGCGAGCACCCGCGCGCGAAACACTACTCCTCCGCGCGCGATGCACGTCTGCGCGCGAAGCTTTGCACGATGACACTTCTAAGGCATGCGCACAACCCTATGGTGGCGGTTTTTCGAATTTCGCGCGCGTCGCGAAGAAAGCGCAGATCTTGCCAAGAATCGCGATTCGTGACGACCGCGTACCCTTCTCGCGGCAGAGAGCATGAACGCGAAATCCCCCACCATAGGAAGTTCAACCTTGATGCCTGGAACAAGATGATGCAAAAAAAAATCGTCGCGATCTCATTCGAGGAAGGAGTAGTGTTTCGCGTCGAGGATCAGCTCTTTAAGAATTCGCTTCATCGTGCCACAACGCCTGGACGGGCTGTAATATCATGATATTGAAGCATTTTCCACTATCGTCCACGCCTCTTTCATCTCATCTTTCAAGAACATGCCGTGGTACAGACAAACTGGGCACACCCACGTGCCATCATCCTTGAAGTGTTTCGCGCGCGGGTGTTCGCGCGTACACTTTTGTACGTGTTTTTAGTCACGAGTATGCTTTTTTGCTGGTTTTTTCGAATTACGTAGAGGACTACACGTACGTGTACGTGTACACGTACTGTACACGTACAACTTAAGCTGGCGACACTGAAAACTTTCTCGACAAAAATGTTCGTACGTTGTACATGTACACGTACTGTACATGTACGTACACGTAGGGCTCGCTACTTTGTACGAATAAGGTATGATATGATACGAAGGTAACGTGTAGGTCTACAGCGTTGTACGTGTACACGTAATAGTACTTTCGTACGAAAGTATGACGAACAAAACATATGTAGATTTCGATATTTAAATATTTTTCAGCTCGCGGAGAAAACAGCGTCGCAGGGCTGAACGCCGGCATTGGCGCCGCGCCGCGGCACCGCGCCACGGTCATGGCGCGCACGAGGCGACAAAATGGAAGGGAGAGAGGTCATCCGTGAGTTCCACTGGATGCTATGAAAATTCAAGCGACGCGGTTTCCGTGAGCGCGAATCTGCTGACGCGATTGCGCGTTTCCGCGCTCCATTTCGTCGCGAGCGCGTGAAAAAATATTCTAATCGCAGAAATATATATTGCGCACGATGCGTATGGGAAGCAGTCACGAATGTAATTAAAATATTTAAATATCGAAATCTACTTATTATGTTTTGTTTGTCATACTTTCGAAAGTACGAAAGTACCTTCGAAAGTACTTTCGAAAGTATCGAAAGTATCATACTTTCGAAAGTACTTTCGAAAGTACTTTCGTACGAAAGTACGAAAGTAGTTGTACTTCGGAAGAAAGAATTTACAGTTTTACACGTTACATGTAGTCATGTGCGTGTACACATAGTCGTACACGTACCTTCGAAGGTACTTTCGAGGTACAACGTTACACGTACAGTACGTGTACAGTAAGTTGCCAACTTTTATGTATCAATAAATATTTACTTTCGTACGAAAGTAAGTTAACTTTTACGAAGGTACCTTCGAATAACGAAGGTACAACGTTGTACTGTACACGTACACGTACGAAGGTAAATAAACACATATTACCTTCGTACATAACAACTTATCATACACTAAAAGTTGACTTATGATATTCATTTATTATTTTCACTACGCGTACTGTACACGTGTACTGTTTTATACTGTACGTGTCGCCCTTCAACGTTGTAGACTTGTCATACCTTCGTACGAAAGTACTTCAGTACAACGTTCGAACGTTGTACTTCCGGAAGGTCATCAAGCTCGCCACGCAGTGATGACGGTCGAAGTTCAACACCGCGTTAGAGAGACTGCGCTTGATTTCGATGTTTTTTTGGAAGATCTAAAGCAATGGACCCGTGAAGTTCAGCAGAAGGATAAAGCTCTTCGCTGCCTTGAGTTTGCTCTGGACAAAAAGGAAGAGTGTCGCACGAGCGCACCGGCATCTGCCAAATATATTCCTGTGAAAGTGCGAGCCCGCGCGCGATTACTTCTTGATAACGCCGAAGGCGAATTCGAAAACCGAGACTCATCAAAACACGGAACTTTCCTCGAAGAGTTGCTGAAAATTGGTAATGGCTGCTTTCGAAAGAGAGAATATGACAGTGCCATTTTGCACTACAGTAGGTACATTCAGACACACAGAAATAGCAGTGCAGCGTTTGCGAATCGAGCAATGTGTCATATGAATAATAAGTGCTGGGCGCTTGCCGAAGTCGACTGCACATATGCCTTAGAAGTAGACCCAAACAACGTAAAGGTTGGTCAAATATTTAACTGAAAAACTGTTTCTGTTTCACTCAAAAAGCTTTTTATGTGAAGCAGGCACTCCATAGAAGAGGAAGTACACGGCAAGAACTTGGGAAGGAGTTGGAAGCAACGATGGACTTTGAACAAGCACTGCGGTTCAGGCCGAACAACAAGTTTCTTTTCCACGAACGATACAGAAGCAGACTAATGCATGAGATCACCTCAAATGTGAGACACACAAGCTTGCGCAAAGTTTTGAGGTTAAGTCAGGGAGAACAAAACGAGTTCAAAGTGGGTAGATGATAGATACAGTCCATTTAATATGTAGAACAATCCCAACATGTTCCCATGCACGTGCTGAAATAGCCGCGCATGCTGACACATCCTGATTTGGGTCACCAAAGGAAAATGTTAAGAGCTGGCTCCAGCTACTCTTGTTCTTGAAGAGTTAGTTTGCTCCTTTCCAGCTGAGATTCTTGCTTGACGGATTACTACTTTTGTGTGCAAAATCTTTGCTTCTACTTGTTTTCCTCTTCTTCAAGTACTCTGAGGGTTCGTCGTGGTCATCGTGTATTTCATCAGTCGTTTCGTCAGTCAGCTTTTCTCCCTCAGTGTGCTTGTTCTTTTTGCCAGTTTTGGCTGAAGAACACGTCACCTTTTGACTCCGAATGTAGCTAGGTAGGTGACACAGATGTGGCTGTTCTTGGTGGCTGATCAAGCAAGAAGCTCGCTTAAGTAGGGCTAGATCTGTTGGATTACCATCGAAATGTGCAGCGAGCCGCTCAGAGTTCAGTAGTTCAGCTCGCAATTCTCGAAGCCTTGCTTCCCGTACTGCTGTACGGCCGACGGCGCGGGCAGCATCCTCCGCCCGGTAACGGAGAGCCTCAACAGCTTCCCTGCGAAGCATTTTATATGGCATCAACGCAATCGCTGAACGCGTGTCGTGTCTGCTAACACTATGCCGGGATAGCATATCTTCGAGCGCGCGTGCGTTTTTTGGAGTAGTCAGTGTTATGGCAGTGCCTGGTTGTCCTGCACGGCCAGTCCGGCCAACACGGTGAATGTAGTCAGAGGCTGAAATGGGCACATCTAAATTTAGAACAGTGTGCACATCTTTGAAGTCTATTCCTCGCACAACACCGAATTCCGTTTGAGCATGCGACATTGCATTACGTTTTCGTTTTGTGTGTTTCGTAAACTTGCTTCTTTTCGATAAGCTGCAGTCGGTGACATCGGTGCTTTCAGCTTTAGATTCAAAAACTTCTTTCACTGGCACATCCTTGTTGTCATCGTTTACTACTGATATGCTGCTCGATAAGTCATCTGCCGCGGCGATCATATAGTCGTAAACCCCACGATTGAATTCATGTAGAATATGGGCACGAGAATTAGCTGGCAATTCTTCGTGAAGCACACAACAAGGTATTCCGAATTTGTGCAAGAAAAGACGAAGTCTGACAGCAGCATCTGGGCTCGATACAAAAACTAAGGACTTCTTCTTGCAAAGGCCAAGACGGAGTAGAGCCATACAATATAGTAGTTTGTCTTTTTCGAGAATCTCGAGGGCGTAGTGAGAGATCAAGGGCATTACTGCCGATTTACCTGTTGTAACTTGCTCTTCTTTTACCCTGCCACTGACAAAATTGTTTTCGAGCGCAATATCTACGTTTACTGGATTATGCAAAACAATTGCCTTAAGTTTTGAAAGATCATCAGGTGAAGTAGCAGATACAAGCATGCACTGACAACCACGTTCTGTGGCATCAGCTATGCAGCGAATGTCATCTTCATAACCAAAAGACAGCAGAAGATCAGCCTCATCAAGTACAAAGAACTCAAGGCCAGAGTTGAGTGCCCTGGGGGGGAATTTACCTCCACGTATACATGCGGCAACACGTGAGGGAGTGGACACAAGTATTTCTGGAGGCACCCCAGCGAAGTTGCGAGGTAAAACATCGGCACTACCAGAACATGTCAGCTCGCCTGCGCGTAAAGTAGGAGCGCACTCAACAAGAAATGAAACTGCCTCTTTCATCACTTGTTGAGCAAGCTCGTGCGTGGGAACGAGTATAAGCACCCGTGGATTAGACTTAGTTTTTGAATCGCTGCGCTGCATTATTTTATGTATGGCGGGAAGAAGGTACGCTGCGGTTTTGCCACTTCCTGTGTGTGCGCGTGCTAACACGTCTTTGCCAGCAAGAACCAGCGGGATCGCGCGGGACTGTACCGCAGTGGGACACTTGAACTTCTTCTTTGCCAGTGCCCTCAGAATACCACGATCTAGTCCTAGGGACGGCCATCCCGTATCATTATACCCAATCATGTCATTCTTTGTCTGTGTCGTCGTGTCTAAATGTCGTATTGTTGGGCGCGTGGGTTCGACGACGTTCGCGTGGCGAGCATTGTTTCAAGTCTCCGTGAAATGCAGCCCCACAAGTACGTACAGTAGTGTACTACACGTAGCCCTACATACGTGTACAGTACGGTAGTACGAAAGTATTACTTCCGGAAATAGAAAATCTTCGTTCGAAGATAAATAAGTTGACTTATTTACGGAAGTACGGAAGTTAAAAATGACTACACGTACGTGTACAACGTTGTACAGTGCAAAGTACTTTCGAAAGTACGAAAGTACGAAAGTATCATACTTTCGTACGAAAGTACGAAAGTACTTTCGTACTTTCGAAAGTACTTTCGTACGAAAGTACGAAAGTACGAAAGTACTTTCGTACTTTCGTACAACTTAGTGTACACGTACGTGTACACTACTTTTAGTTGCTATCAATCGTACATTTATAATTAGCGCCTCCGCGTTCCCGTCAGGATTCGTTGGATACAACCGCCCCATATCTCCGGCGTGCGCGCCATATCTCCGGCGCGCGCGCGCGAAAGTGCCGCTCCCGCGCGGCGTCGTTGTCGTTCGAGGACGAGTTCATCGTCACGTCCCGGTGCAGGTTTTTGCATACGGGGCTCCAAACGCATTTCATTGGCTGAAATTTTCGTAGGACCGGAAAAATGCCTAGTTGTAGATGGGTTTAGCTTCGACTTACATAGGGCACCAGTTGTGGAGGAGGATGTGCGAATTAGCCCTACATTGCCAGTGCTGTGTTCAATACTATATTAAACACGCCACTCTACAAACTCTGAACAGAAGTGAAGAGAAACAGCTTCGCGGCTTAAAGGGCGTAGGCCAGTCAGTACACGTACGTGTACTGTAGTCTAAGTCGGGAAAACCCCCTAATTTCAGCCTAATTTTGATCGGGCGCGAGCTTTCAGATCTCGCGTGTTTCACCGGAGTCGTAGTTTCGAGAAAGGTTCGCAACTCAACGCGTCGTTGCTCTTCACGCTCGGGCGACGCGCCACTTGCGCGCGCGGCGCGCCCGAGCGCGCGCGGGGTGGCGTGGGACGCCTCTATCCGACGAACCTCGACGGCACGCCGGGTGACGACGCGGAGGCACCGTTCGTGACTTAGAGTATGAGTTTCAAACCACTGTCCCGATCGAGACCGCCGATCAACCCGACCCGTATTTCCCTCAACTGACCGACGGCCGAACGGAAGCGACGGAGGCGCTGATCGTAAGTTCTGCCTGTATGGACACTCGGAACCATAACTAACCTCTCGCGCACACGGTCGCCATGGGTGCGGTCACGTACTACGGAAACGGTAAATGTCATCTCCCTCGCATGTATCACCACGCGATTCGCTGAGAGCGCGCCCCTTCGCTCGCATCTCGCCTTTGATGTGCGCTTTGGGAGAGAGGAAACCCTACTATGGGATCTCTCTCTTCGCGGAAGCCCCCACCCAACGAAAAACCCACGACTAACCTCGCAACGCACGTCCATCCTCCCGTGTGATCAACAGCGCAAAAAATTTATGTAGCCACGGACGCTGCCATCGGCGTGGGACTTGGTCTCGTCGCTGGTGGAGCTTGGAAGGTGCGTGCGCGTCCGTCGATCTCCTGCACCACGCAGTTCCCGTTTATGTCGAGATCGCCCGTTCGAGTCCTTCCCCCCACATCATATCGCTGGTCCACGTCCCCCCCCCCACCTCATCGTTGTTTCCTTCAGATGTGGCACTGGGAAACACGCAAGAAGGTCGAAACGTTCCACGCGAAGAATTGAGCGCGCAAGACGGACGTGTCTTGCTGAGACAACGATCGAGTGTGTTAGAATCTCAAAGCTGCTGGTTGCACACTGGAATCTGCAAAAAGTCAGGGAAGATAGTACACGTACGGGCACCTCCTAAGGTTACTTCCCCTTTTCGCAGGCGCGTGCGGTACACGTAAAGTGGGGCGCTTTCGTTTTGTAGGGTTGCCGAGGTTCGAACTGCCTGACTGTAAAAACCAACTGTCCTGCTCGTGTCCTTGCGTCCTTGGCTTGTGACCGTTGCACCCCATGCCGGCGCAGATCTTCCCCTCATCAACGCCCGCAAATCATCTGTTGCTGACGTCGACCTGCATCGAATACCACCGTCATGACTTCACGCCATGCCTTCCACCCCACGTTTCTGCCACGCTCACGCTGAGTCAAACAGCCGCCTCACATTCGCATTTTTCGATGGAATCAGTGTTACCGGGCATGACTTTACTTGCTGCACGTGCTCGAACGCGCATTCAGAACAGAAAACATAACCAGAGCACGCGAGCGTGCTCGCGTCGACGATGAAGCGTCGGCACACTGGACAGCGACCGCGCGGAGCGATTCCGACACCATCAAGTGCGGGAGGTGGGAGAGGTGGTGGCGGAGGCGATGGCAGCAACGAGCCGCGTTCGACGACGCCTTCCGCAGTGCCATACCACCACTCTGCGAGCTTAAATGCAACGACCGCGATCGAAAGGTGGAGTCGATCCGGGAACGTGAACCTTAAGTTTGAAAACAAAAAAGACACAAGGCATACATAAACGTTTATGAAGTGGAGGATACTCTCGGAAAGCCTTACCATAAGCCCTCCTTGCGCGTGATCAATTGCGACGTGCGCCGCTCGTAAGATAGCGGCATTGACCCGCGCAAGGACCCCTCCCTCCACGCGCGCGGCGTTCAACGCGATCGCCCTGTGCGCGTCCAACGCCGCTCTCGTTTCTGAGGTCTCGATCAGGGAGACGCGCGTTATTTTCAACCCGAGAAAACGTAAGATCGGGTCGTGAGTATCGCCGCCATCGATGAGGAAGGACAGCCAGTGCGCAAACGTGGCCGCCTCTAAAAGTGCGTTGACGATTGGGTACGTCTTCACGAACGTGCTGGACGCTAGCGAGGACGGCGTTCGAACGTATGCAGAGGGGAGACGCAAGAGAACGCCACCGTCTTCGTCCTCCCCCTCCTCATCGTCGCGTAACAGCGCACGAGCGGCATCGCGCGCGATCGTGCCCCCCCCGTGTGCGAGAAGCCGCTTGTGGAGCCGGTCGAGCTTCTCCCGCGCGTACGGCACAGCCACGAGCGTCAGCACCGACAACGCGCGTTCTGTTCGCGTCAGCGCTCGCGTTTTCTTCACACCCGTCACGCCGTCAACCGCGTCCCGCTCTCCTCCTCTTCCTCGCACACGTGATCCTCGCCATCTTGTTCTTTGAAGCCCATAAAATCCTTCCGCCATGGACCCATTCGAAGTCGCGAACGCGTGAGTTTCCACGAGCGTCATGAACGCGGCGAAGCACTCGTCCTCTCGATCGAGGATCCACGAGGACGACGGGCGCCTGGAGACCAAGACGCGCATGGAGTACACGAGCGCCGAGCGCAGGGAGGAGACGAGCCGATCCGCGGCAACGAGCTCGAAGAAAGTCGGGCGCTGCTGACTCGCGTTCACGGGGAACTGCATCGTGGCGCACGCTACACGCGCGATGGGCGAAACTTCTTGGTTCACCGACTAAAATAGTTGCAACTACACGTACGTGTAGTGCTGTACACCTGTACACGTGTACAGTAGGCCCTACGTGTACAGCACTCATACAGCTCTATTATCTTCGAAGGTATTTTATGAAAGTACTTTCGTACAAGGATCTAGGCCCTACTTTCGAAAGTACTTTCGTAGTACCTTCGAAGGTATTTTCGTACGAAAGTACTTTCGTACTTTCGTACTTTCGTACTTAAGTACGAAAGTACTTTCGTACTTTCTCAAGTACTTTCGTACTTTCGTACGAAAGTAGATGTGCAAGGAGTTCTTGGCGTTCCAGAAGCAGGTCGCGATGAAGCAAACCCGGCGTCATGACAGCTACTACGTCGGGGGTTTGAGCGAGAAGGACGCTGCCGCGTACGTCGCGAAGATAAAGAGGTACAACATCGCGCGCATTCAAACTCTACACCGCGTATGGGTCGTGAGACGTGCGTTGGGCTACACGCACGTCTCAGCGAGAGGATGCGAGGCGAAGCGAACACCTCCGGAGCAGGAGCACTCGTCTTCACTCAACCGCGTTAAGGGGTGTTCGAGTTGTACAGCGAGAGTTAGATAAATTGACTTACATGTACAAATACAGTCAGTCAGTGTAAATACGATCAACCTTTCTAAAGTATTTCCGGAAGTATTAAAAATCCTTCAAGGTACACAGCTACTTTCGTACCTTCGTACGTAGGTACACACCTACACAGCTACTGTACCTTCGTACGAAGGTACTCTCGAAAGTACGAAAGTACCTTGGTACGAAGGTACGAATTTACACGTTACGTATGTACTTTTGTACGTTGTACACGTACAGTACGTGTGATCGTACAGTACAGTATCTCTGGTTTTAAAACTCTTCGACACGAAAAAAACTTCAGAGGGACAACGATCTTCTTCTTCCACGCTTCCTTCTGTTCACAGCCGGATGAGTCTTGCTTTTTGTATAGCCAGAAACTGCACACAACGCCGAGAACTGCCACGCACGCGTCCTCTCCGCAGAGCTCTTCGTTGCAAAGCATCCACGGTGTGTACGCGCCGTTCTGAAAATTAGACGGTTCGAGTCTCGGCGCGCGGTTGCCAAGCGAACACGTTATCAAGATCAAGATCCAACTTGTGACCATTATCTTGATTGCAGGAAGGTAAACCTTGCCATGACATCTCTCGCCGTAGCACGAGTGCGGCCCTTGTCTTTTCTTGTATCACTTCTTCTGATCTTGCGCAACCCCAAGAAGTCAGTGCCATCATGGGCATGACTGCTGGTAGAGTGCCTGGCCTTTCGCCTACCGACACTAATGGCATCAGGCGTTATTATCGTCCTGAGGGTAAGTCTGGCGGTCATGGAGTCGGCTGGACTGAGATAACACCCTATACATTCGACGTTTACGAGGGCTGGGAGGAGGTCCCTGTTTCGATTGCAGATCCAGGGGGTACTGAAATCGACGCACGTTTTAACAGTGATCTGGACGGAGGGCTTAAGATTGTCCTTGCTCCTGTTCTTCGTTTTGCAAATATCCCAGAGGGAGAAAATCCCGGAATTGAAGAGCTGATTCCAATTGATCGATTCATGTCTGGTTTTGGCCCAGAGTTGACACAAAATCCTGTTGAGGCTGATGATATTATAGATGTTTCCACTGATGTTCGAAGTGGTTTAAAGTACTACAACTTCGAGCTGCGAAATCACACGCTGGTTGCAGCGACAGTGTGGAAGAAAAGAGTTTTCATCATGTGCCTCCAAGCTCCCCCACGGCTTTGGCGCAATAGCGCAGAGAAGCTGAGAAAAACTATGAAATCTTTCACTGTGCTTACAGAGCTTTCATGAAGTATACCTGTTTTAAAATATGAGAATTTAAAATTGAACAGTTGTACTCTCTCTAAAACTCCAACTCACTTTCTCTGCATAGTTATCTGAGGACTGAGCGAGCCTCAATATAGACATCATCGATACGTAATCATTCCACGACCCTCGATCGATGGCAAGAAAGCCTTTCCATCTTTCAGACCCTTCTTCTTTGAAACCTTACTAACGAGTTTACGGACACGCTGCTCGTCTGCGTGCTGTGTCCGAGCTCTGATGTCAAGAGGGCTGATCCGAAGCCTAGGCTGGATGGCATAATCAAAGGTCTCAGCTTCGGGAACAACAGCATGGTACCTGTAGCCAGGATCACCATATTGAGGACCATTATTTGTACGACCGCTCAGGTCATTATCCTCTGTTGCGCTCTCTGTCTTGGCAGCCTTCTCTCGCCTGCGTTTCTTATTTGACGTGCAACGTTCACCCGAATCCCCTTCCACCTGGTGTCTTATATCACAGTACTGGCTGGAAAGCTCATAAACAGGACGGCTCCATTTCTCTACAAGATATTTACATTTCTTGCGGTTTGCTGGAGTCTCCTCGGGCAGGTTGGAAAGGAACATGATTATACATCCAAGACCAGAGTGTTTCAATTCTTCCTTTCGGTCTGCTAGACCTGTCTCAATAGGCAGTTGCCGTATACAGTCGATGACAGTTGTGCGGACAGTAATGTTTGGAAGGTTTTTATTAGGAAGCAATGTAAGCCACTGGGCAAGAACTTTTAAAAGACCATGGCGCAAAAATGATTCATGAAGGTCTACTTGTGTGAGCTTATCCGTGACCTCACCCAACATTTTCAGTTTGTGCGTTGCAGGTAGTTGTCTACTTACCAACTCACGATCTTGTTCTGTTGCTACTTCCATTCGTGCAAGAAAGTTCAGAACTTCAGATGATATGACTGACTCAGACTGCTTTATACGCCGACCTCCCTTAGCATGACCCCTGCCGAAAAGTTCTTCGATATCACTGTCCTCTTCTTCAGCCTCTGACGCAAGAGGGGAAGGAATCTCACTGACACCAACCCAAGGGTCTTCAAGGAGGGCTTCAGGGTTAGCACTCCTAAAGTTGTCACCTGGTGCTGAGCACATAAATTGCGAGCGACGTTGTTCAAACAATTCTTTTGATACGTCTCTGACTCTATTCAACATGCTGTCGTCGTCGTCGTTCTCAGACGGTCTCATAGAGCTCTTGCCCCTTGAAGCGGTTCGTTTCTTTTTCAACTTTTTTTCGCCACTCGTAGATGTACGGTTCGTTGATTTTTGCGATAATGATTCCTGCTGAACCCGCTTCGATGCGATCATTCGCGCGTGTTCAGTGTCGGCGGTAATTGGACTGGGCAAAACTTCGACTTTTCCGTCATCGTCACTATCGTCGCCGAATAGGTTGGCCAACTTGTTTTTCAGGTCTACCTTTCTCTCGTCCTCGCAAGCGTACTGAGGAATGGACGGCATAACTAATTGAAGAGAATAGTTATACGTGAAGAAATGTGCTAGGAACGCTTTGAGATTCCCCTCCTGCAATCTGAACTGGCGTCTTGTACTGTCCCGCCGGAACAATTCCACGTTTATAATAGGGCTACTGTAATTCCACGTTTAATACTATTTCAAAGGTCTACGGAAGTACTTTCGTACTTTCGAAAGTACGAAAGTACGAAAGTACTTTCGAAAGTACTTTCGTATTCATTACTTCCGGAAGTACGTTTATTTATCATGTACGAAAGTACCTTCGTACCTCCGAAGGTACGAAAGTACGTGTACTTCTACGATTCTACGATCTATCTTCTACGAAGGTACTTTCGTACGAAGGTACAGTACAACTATGTACGAAATAAAGTACTTCCGGAAGTACCTTCGTTCGAAGGTAAGTTGTCAACTTATTTCCGAAAACTCTAGGCAGGGCCTACATACAATCGTACAGTACATTGTCTATCTTTGTACGAAGGTACCAAGGTATATTATAGAAATAGAATTGTGCGGCATCAAAGCTGCTATTTAAGGTCGCTCCGGTATAATCAAATTTCCCTTGCCAAAAGTACGAAATTTGTATGCGTATACGGAATAAATCGCAAAAAACGTACTTTCGTGCGCGCCCACGCGCCGTCGCTGCGCGAATTGATTTGAAACTTAGTCGCGATGGTGTCTATCACGCAGCTGATGCCCTCTCAAAGTTTCGCGATTTAAGGTCGGGTTGTATTTAGTTTAAAAAACAGGCGTTTTCTGTTTTACGATGCATATGCTTTTAAGGTCACGCTCCGCTAATTAAATTTCCCGTGCCGAAAGTACGAAATTTATATTACGCATACAAATTGCAAAAACGTACGAAAGTACGAAAGTACTTTCGTACGCGCCTGAAATGTAATACTCGTAACTCCATAAACGAAATCACTACGAATTTAGCTTTCTTCCACTCTTGCGACAGAGAATACTTTCACTCTGCGATAAAGATCAGCAGAGAGCAGTCTGTTTCTTAAAATAACCCGGTGTTGCAGATATGCTTACGGCATCATATGCAATGGTGCGAGATTTGACGCAGAAAGTTAACTGCTTTCGAAGACACCGACACTGACGTTCAGTTCTTTTTCTCCTCGTTCTTTCCTTTTCTGCTGCGGTACGAGTGCCGAGCCTCTCATGGTCCTCGGGTATCGGCAGTCAGTAAGTCTTCAGAATTGGTCTCTCATGATATCGGTTATTCCGAACAGCGACATGCACCAGACCTCCGAACCCAGACGCTCTCTCGCCGACGGGCTTCACTCGCCTTTTTTTCAACACAACTTGTGTTGCACTCCAGTTCTGCTCTTGCAGTTGGTTTCACGAAGGAACTGAAGAAGCAGACCCCCTCACTAGATGACTACTCTGTTTCCGAACATTTTCTCTTTCGTTCAAATCTTCACGAAGGCGTCAAGTTTTTCGATGTGCGAGCCGGGAGCGGGAACGTATTAGATGTTGATATGGTCGCAGTGCTTCACTATACTTGCAGGTACCGCGGCCTGACTGCGGTCTCTTCCCGTGAAGCACGCACTCTCGGTGGTAACCGCACAATTGCTGAACCGTTAATGTTTAGATATGGGACGTTGCCTTCAGAATATGGTGCAGCCCTTGTCCGCAAATCAGTGATTGGAATAGGAGCAGAGGTATGCAGAGTAGTATTTTTATTTTCTCCCGAGCACAATAAATTTGGAAATGTAGGTTCGAATGGATCCCGAGCTTCGTCAACTCTGTGTTGTAAGCACGGTGTACAATGGCCCTGCAGCAAGGGCTGGTATTCGTGTAGGAGACATCATCACTTCAATCGATGGCAATAGTAATTTAGAAAATATTTCTATAACTGAAATTGGAGCACTACTGAAAGGAACAGCTCAGACTGATGTTGTTCTTGAGGTGAAAAAGGGTGGATTAAGCTCCATCAGCAACGATGTGGACATTATTGTTCTGACTCGTGAGGTAAGGAACCGACGCAATTATTTGTTTTTCTCAGAACCTTGACATATTCTTGCTCATTTCATTGTTGTATTCTGGATACATACCATACTAAATGGCTACTGCAATTCCACCTGCAAAGAGGGCCACTGAACTCAATGGAGGTGGTGGGCTATTCTCAGGAGCAGGTACCCCAAAAGTGCCTCCAATTGTGTACGTTCCGGAAGCACTTGCAGGCTTGCGCGTTGGTGGTCAACGTAACATTATTGTTCCAGCAGACGTTGGATATGGAGACGAAGGGGAAGGGGAGATCCCGCCAGGTGCTTCTTTTTTACTGGAGGTTGAACTCTTGGATGCCCGTCGTGCGGCTTGAGGACATATAGTGTGGATTTTTCATGGACTATTCCTTTTATGTATGTAGACAGACGCATACGAGGAAACTGTCGACCAACTCTGGCATTTGTTAACTTTGTGTCACCACACTTTTCCTGTTGTCAATAACCGTAGCACTTATAAGTGCCCGTTGCAACTGCTGCAAAACGTGTTACAAACCACTGAAAAAAAATGCCGCACGCAGTCTACGGTCGTCTGCTCACACAAACCAACTCAGATACACATTATTTTCCTTTTCCTCTCGGGCCTGATCGAGTTGAGTTTGTTTTAAATGAGGAGTGCCGATTATTCACCGCTTGAATATTCCCTCTCTTTGCTCGTTGTCGAAGAGCAGTGACAAAAGCGATCAGCGTTTCATCTTCGTCTACGATTGTTTGTTTCCAGTGACGGACAACAGCTGGAATCAGTTCATCTTTCGTTCCACCTTGTTGGACTTCACCCAACTTAAACACTCTTCGATACTTGCGAAGAGAAGGTGCCTGTCCTTCAGATTTGAGAAAGATTCAAAAGCCGATTTTAGCGCTACATCCTACCTCAAGTTTCGTGAGGTCTACACGGACCTGTTCATTCCTTGAAAATGTCCCCGGTAAGTGGAAAGCGACCTTCAAAAGAAAATTCGTGAAAGAGTAGTTTGACACGAGAATGCAAATATTATGAACAACCGAAACACTAACGTTTTTATCAGCGTCACTTGACGAACCACGGTTTCCATCGGTATTCAGAGTCCGTGACATGTTTATGTACGGCCGCGTGGAATTTTTCTTTTACCACACAGCGGGACGGCACGGCACGGCACGGCGCAAGTGCAACTTGAAAAACTCCCCAACTAGCTACAGGGTGGCGTGAAGGCAGGCTATACGATGGACTTCGCACGCAGGCACGTCCAGGAGTGCGTGATAACTGAGCCACACTTCCGTTCCTGAACAACAACTAACTCGGGCCAACTTTGCAGGCTTATGTGCACATTTTATTTTAGGTTCATGACATCCTATGTACTGTACGAAAGTACGTGTACAGTACGTGTACAATGGGCCCTACGACTGTCCTGCGTGGCTACGGAAGTACGGAAGTACGGATGTACTTTCGAAAGTACCTTCGAAGGTATGTAGTATGTACCAAAGGACGAAAGTACGAAAGTACTTTCGTACGACGTACGTACGGAAGTATTCTATCTACACTATCATACTTTACAGTAATATGATACCTTCGTACTGTACATCATTTTTATTAATACTTTCGTACGAATGAAAGTCGTACAACTTAACTATTTACCTTCGGAAGGTACCTTCAAAGATAATAAAATACAGAAGTACGTTGTACTTTCGTACGGAAGTACTTCCGTACTTCCGCATCTTGATTTATTTCCGTACACGTGTAGGGCTACAACTACATGAACTTTTATTATCTTCGTAGCCCTGTATGATATGTTGTAGTTGTACTTCCGGAAGTACCTTCGTACTGTGTGCTGTTCACGTAAAAATACAGTAGATAGATATTGTACAGATAGATATTGTACACGTACTGTACATGTACTGTACCTTCGAAGATATTTCCGTACGGAAGTACTTTCGTACGAAAGTACTTTCGTACTTCCGGAAGTACTTTCGTACGAAAGTACTTCCGTACTTCCGTACTTCTGTACTACCTTCGGTGGTATGAAAGTACTTTCGTACTTTCGTACTAGCTAGTAGTACGAGTGTACAGCTGTACACGTAATAGATACATAGCTTAGTACTGTAGTAGTATGTAGCTAAAAGTACTTTACGTATCTATTTTCGTACGAAAGTGCGAAAGTACAATGTACATAGTAGCATTGTAGTAGTATGACTGTAGTATGTACGAAGGTACTTTCGTACCTTCGTACCTTCGTACATACTTTACGTGTACCTTCGTATGATACGAAAGTACTGTACAGCGAGCTGTACAACGCGGTAAGTGTACAGTGTACAGTTTCTACAGTACGTGTACGTACAACTACGAGTAGAATAGATACGTGTTGAACAACGCGCGCGAAACTTGATTCACACACACTTTACTTTGTTCCCCTCCGGTTCAACTCCGAAAGGTCAAGTTTGAACGACGAACTTTCCCGCCTGTGACAAAGGCACTTTGGCTAACATCGCGGGGGTAAGGCGGCGAGCACTTGTCCATCCCAGGACTCGTTGTAAACTTCAGCTGACAAATACGCCCACCAGGACGAGATAGTTATGGGAGCAAATTTCGATTTCCACCCAGGCCGTGATCCTAATCAAGGCGATCACAGCAAAGAGCTGCACGCGGAATTCTCTCCCTCGCGTGGAACTGCAGAAGATACCAGACGTCACGGATCCGTCAGTAACTTCGGTGCAGGTGGTCAAAGACATTACCGGCGCAGAATGGTTGGCCAAGCTTCCGTTTCCACTGAAACTACCCTCAAGTTTACAGAGGGTGGTCTTGGACCGCATAGAGGTGCAATTCTGTATGGTCATCACGACATTGTCGGGTCGATTAGTCCAGAGCAACCAAATCAGAGGCGGTTTCCACGAATGATGCAACAAGGTCAAACTTTCGTTGGCATGGCACTTCCGCCTGCTGACCCAGCCCCAGAACCACCTCCAGCTGACCCATACCCTTGGGCTGACCATTTTCTTGATCACTCTGGTAAGATGTCCAACAGAGGCAAGGATGATTGTGAGGGCGAGAACATATATTTTGGCGGACAAAAAAGGCATTCCGACCGCGATCCATCTGATACAAGCCATTTGTTTACAAATCCAGACTCACCGTCGCCGGAGCAGCCAAGCAAGGAACAGCGATGGAAGAGGGGGATGGCCATTGGTCGATTCTCACCGATGCTTCGACCCGATGTTGCACTGCCCACCGGCGTTGTTCCAGCTCTAGCCGAAACAAGTGATTCAGTCAATGGACGCGATGATAACACTGGCTTCGGAAGACGTTCTGTTGGAGTCAGAGTTTTACCGGAAGGAATCTATGCAGGGACAAAGTCTGACCCAAGGAACGCCGAGATGATTGGTAAGAAAATGAGTTATCCGCAAATGACCACGAACACGTTTGAATCCGTAGGCATGACTCCGAAAGCGCTTGGTGTGATTGATGATAGGGTACAGTCCGTTAAGTTTCAACCGACGCATTATGCCGGGGGCATGCCTGTTCCGGGAAAGAGAGGATTGGTTGGGCCACGGAAGAAAGCATACCCAAACATGACAAAGAACACCTTTGACTCTGTCGGTATAACGCCAAAAGCATTAGGTGTACCCGATGACGTGGACTGTATTCGGCCAAGTATGCCAAACAATATGGCTGGCGCTTCCACTGATTTTCTCGCGTGTCATCGTGTGGCAAAGAAGCCAGGATACTTCAGTCATGCTGCCAAGTCACAAAACACCTTCGAGTCTGTGGGGAGGGCTATGGTACTGCTTGATGAGAGCGGCAGTCCACTTGGCGAACCTAAGCATGAAAAATACATCGAGAACAACTCCCGAAGTGGCAGATACAGTTGAGCTGTAATATCTACATACCTTCAGACGATTGCGTTCTTCGTCGCATTCTGAAAAGCAGGCGTCTTACAGAGAAATGAATGACTCGGTCGTTGTCTTTTCTAAGTTGTGTCTATCTGTAGGTATCCCTGTTCACACATACATATATATTGAGCTAGTGTGAAATATCAGAATCGAACTACTTGAACGTCAGTTGTGTCCGTTGGTTTGGGGTACATTGCACAACGCGCATTTCACTTCTTCGGGTCATGGCCTAGCTGGCTTTACTTTATCAGACGAACAGGTAACTTAGAAGTCTACGGAGTATCTGGAAGGAGAGAACTGCAACTCAGGCATTTTGCGAGTACACTGTGATATTTTTATTTCTTAAAGACTATTTTTGAGTCTTCAGAAGCTGTGACTGGCAGCATACATGCAACACGCAAAAAGCGACAAAATAGACATCCATACTATTTCTCGTCTAACTCCCTCTTGCACTGTCTGTGTTGCTGCAACATCCCCTGTCAAATGAACCATCTTGCGAGTAGAAGTGGCCGCTCTTGAAGCTGCGCTGGCATCCATGTCAGCACTAGCTGGTGGACCAGCAACATAGGTAGTACTCCACGAGCCGTGTACGCCAAAGGGCACATAAACCGGGAGTCTCAACCGCGCGACAGGGCCTTCATTAAATTTCCGAGCGTCAATGATAACCATCTCAGTACCACGCCCACCGAAATCTGATTTATCATATTCTGCATCGTGAACAAGCGCAACCACCCAGCCATCGTCCTCTTCGGTGGCATCCTTGCGAGCCACAAAAAAGGGTTCCATCGCAAACTTGCAGTCACCGGGTATCCACTCAATCTCCTCGACCCCTCCAAGCGCATCAATTGTTGGCAGAGTGACTTTCGTCAAGCCTTGCATAGGCCCATTTACACCATCCACATTTGTTCCTACAGAGCTAGATAGATACATGTGTCTGTATGGTTTACCGGTATAGTCCCAGCTTGTAATAGGGAGCTCGCACGGAAGGTCTGAGAGGCAGTGATGAGTCGCTTTCCCTTTGTCTGTGTCGATTACAAAACGGCTGAGTTTCATTCGCGGAAAATTATCTATGCCATTTGGTGAGCAAATATCAGTGAAGTAGAGAGTAAACTTGTCCCACGTGCACGTGTCAAAAATAATCTTGCCTTCTTTATCTTCGAATCCGTTAACGTGATGGTATGCATAACACCAGTAGTCAGCCTCAACAGTCGAAACCTCCCTACTGTCTCCTCGGCGTGGAAAAATCCTGAAAAGAGGCCTGCGGTCTGTATCTTCACAAATAAGCTCTGACAAACATGATTTTTCGAATATGTACTTCGTGAAGACCGCGGGAAAGTCGATCTTGATAGGACAGTCAAAAAGAACATAGTAATTATCTGTGACGACGAGATCATGGACATAGCTCGCTGGGTAATCGTAAGCACGTCGAGAAACTTCGTTGCCCTGCTCGTCAAACTCATAAAAAACAGCCTTTGTGGTTTCTGAGCGCCAATCAACTTCATTCAGAAAAGCGACACAGCGACGGCCGGAACCATCAGGTTCGTCAACAGTGCGATAATGTGAAGTATGCATGACAGAAGATAACGGGCTTGCAGCGTGTCCAACTGTATCGAGTGTATCAGGGTCGAGTTCATAAGGTTTCTTATAGTCTACCGCAACAAGATTCCCACCCCAGTAGAGTACATTGTAGGCTCCGTTTTGCTTACGTTTGAGGTTTCCTGCGAGGATGTCATTGAACAAGCGCCATACGAAAGCCGGTTTTCGTGGATCCTTGGCGGTGAATATGGATGGCTCGGTATATCTGCCAAGCTTCTCTTCTTTGTCGAAGTCTTCAGTGCGAACGAACTTGTTCCGAAAATAAGCTTTTCCATCCTTGATTGCTACTGAGGTCACCATGCCATCGCCATCCAGATAAGACTTTTCGAAACGTTCCGATCCCTCGCCTCGAACGTACATTGCAGGTCCATTGCGCAGAAGCGTTCCTTCAATCTCCAGTGGAATCGTTCCTTCTACTTCAGAGATCCATTCTGAACGCTCATATGACAAGCCTGGAACGGAAGCGTAACCTGTTGAGTAGTCTGAGTACGCCTTCTGAAACGTTTCCGTGGCAGGGAGGACATTCTGGCGCGACTTCACTGCTGACCGTGGGAATTCACTGTCGAATACACTCTCAGTGATGTCCGATGGTTTCGTCGGGGTCTGCACCGCCTCGACAACGACGCGACACAGACGGTGAATTCGCACGCTTGATGTCCGGAAGGCGGACGGAGCCCTAGACCTGAGGGTAGACGGTGCAGCACCTCTTCCGAGGCTGTGAATCGAGATGGCGACCATTGATTTGTCGCTTGAAGTCTAGCTCAGCTCCCTTCCGAGTGGATCGTGAAAATGAAGTTTGGAAACGGTGGAGGGAGAGCGCAGGCAGCCTCCTCCGCTTCTAGAAATCTCTGCCTCAAAAGTGCAAGGTTTTGATTGGGCAGCATTCGTGCGATATCATAGAACTGGATTTTTTCCATTTGACGAATACGACACGAGTACTGTACGTGTACGTGTACTGTATGATAGTCTACGTAGTGTCTAGCTGTCTACCTTCGAAGGTACGTTGTACCTTCGTACGAAAGTACTTTCGTACGAAGGTACGAAAGTAGTAGCTAGCCATAATAGTACGTGGATATGTAGTAATGTGCAGTACACTGCTACACGCACTGCCGGAAGTACAAATAAATACCTTCGTAATAGTGTAGAATATTATTCGAAGATAGAATGTACGAAAGTACGTGTACGAATAAGTACGAAAGTACTTCCGGAAATACTTCCAGTACGAAAGTACTTCCGGAAATACTGTACACGTGTACTTCCGGAAGTACTTTCGAGAAAGTACGGAAGTATTCTATCGAAAGTACTTTGAAAGTACACGTACTACGAACGAAGGTACTGAATAAGCCCTGAATTAGCGTTGATGCGACAGAGTTAAGGGTGAAATGAACCCGAAGGGTTCAACCCTTTAAGCTCCGTCAATTCACGCTAATTCAGGGCTTAAAGGGCGTAGTACAGTACTTCGAAGGTACGAAAGTACTTCCGGAAGTACTTCCATAACGTTGTAAACGTACAGTACTTCCATCCGTACATGTACAACGTACTTCTACGAAAATAGAATACGGAAGTACTTTCGAAAGTACGAAAGTACTTTCGAAAGTACTTTCGTACGTACGAAAGTACGAAGGTACGAAAGTATCTATCTTCGAAGGTACGAAAGTACTTTCGTACTTCTGTACACGTACGACTCACGTACGTTAGTTGTACACGTACAGTCGTACACGTACAAATTTGAACACATACTGTACACGTGCGTGTACACGTACTGTAAGTTTACTTAAAAGTTATCTAAAAACTTATTTCCATACATGTACTGTATGTGATAAACAACTACGAAGGTATTCTATACTGTAACTTCGTAAGACTACACGTACTATCCCTAGTGACAGTTTGACTCTGCGAAATATGTACTTTCGTACATGTACAGCTGTACAACGTGCGTAGCCCTACATATGCGTAGCCTACGGACGTATTCTATTTCTGGAAATATATTGAAGTACTTCTGGAAGTACTAAGCGCATTCATAAGCAAGTGCTCTTTCGAAAGTAACATTGTGCGCGTGCTGTGGCACAGTACATTCTTGTTAAAAAAAGCGTTTTTGTAGCGGACATGTCTGGAGTGGGGTTCGAACCCACGCGGGCAGAACCCATGAGAAAGGTCACCATCACATAGATAGCAAGTTTTCAGAGTCATCACACCTCATGATGACATGAATGCTCACATTTACTTGAACCTCACGCCTTAGACCACTCGGCCATCCAGACGACAATTGCACTCATCTGTGCCCTATTGCTATCTATGTAGCCCTTGTCAAAATTACCCTAAAATAGTATGATATCATAGCTGTGATAGTAACATCAGCACTTTGGAAATCGGCACTTCTAACTTTCACCAACAGCGCCTTCCACAACACTATTCTACGGCGCTGAACACGGCGCTGAACACAACTTAACACCTGAAAAGTTGAGCTGATCTCCCATTTCACTTCGTCACCTCCGGGAATTGACAAAGATAGTGCTCGGAACTCAACCCGCCAAAACACTTAACGTGTGAAAAAGCCATGCTTGATTTCTTGAAACGTGGAACGTAAATCGAACAGGCAAGCATGGGAAGAGTCGCGATTACAGACAACAGTCTTCTCAGAGAATCAGGCTCCGGGAGTGCACGTGCTCCGGAATGTTTGGGATACTCAAGGAACATTTGGGACGACCCGGACGACGACTTAACTCTCTCTCGTGAAGCACCAGGAACCAATCCAGTCAGCAAACTATGTCCTGCGAACGAAATAGACGGTGCCATCAACGAAAGATTTATCCAACAGGGCCGTATAACACTTCAGTGTCGCTCTCGAACAAAATGGGCGTCATTGCACCGGTCAGAAACCATTCTTAATCCACATGATCACGAGATATTTCCTTCACGTACTAAAAATGAGATAGGGAACATTTTGCGGGAAGGTGCAGCTCTTGTCCATGGAGGTGCTAATATTTCTCGACACCGAAAACATATACCTTCTGGTGTGCTAGATACTTCCCGCGTTCTTGATGCGAACGCAAATGATCGGAGCACCGCTGTTGTGCGGTCCGTTCATTTTCATCCACAAGGAAATCTACTATTAACTGCTAGCCTCGACAAATCTCTACGTTTCTTCAAAATAGATGGTACTGTCAACCCCAAGGTTCACAGTGTTTATTTTGACGACAACCCGATCTACAGAGCTCGCTTCGTAGGAGATGGGTCAGAGGTCGTAGTTTCCGGGAGAAAAGACTACTTCTATGTACATAATGTCCGGAGCGGGGCAGTCGAGCGGATAGCACCGTTTCCATTTCGAGGAAGTAGTCTCGAGTCTTTCGTAGAGACACCTGAATCTGTTCAAGACCCCATGCTTGCTTTTCTTGGTGCAGACGGGAACGTTCCACTGGTGTCATTGAAATGCAGATCGCGTGTTGGTGCAGTAAAAATGAACGGATCAGTACGGTGTGCCTCGTTTACTCCAGACGGCACACAGCTGACTACGAGCGGTGGTGATGGTCACATATATCTATGGGATCTTCGTAACCAAGGGCGATGTGTAGAGCAGTACGCCGCCGAGGATGGACTCGCGGTAACTTCATTGTCGTGTTCACCAACTGGTAAACAGATATTTGCTGGGGGTATCTCAGGTGCGTTGAACATATACGGCGATGATGGTTTAGGCACGCCTCCCAAACAAACTAGCGTGATATTTTCAGAAACACATCTTCCTCAGTTTGCTGCGCAAGAACCTATGACTACTGACATACAAGTTGCTACCAAGAGAGACCCTATTCGCTCAATTTTGAATCTCACAACTGAAGTTGACAATTTGAGCTTTAGTAACGACGCACAATTGCTTGCATTTTCATCTCGGCTTGATCGAGATGCCCTTCGACTGTTACATGTACCTACGCGCACCATCTTTTCCAACTGGCCATCTTCCAAGACTCCTCTTCATTATGTATGGAGTACGTGTTTTAGTCCGGCAGGTGACTACTTCGCAGTCGGGAATGCCCGAGGTCGCGCACTTCTATTTCGCATACATCAACACGATCATTAGGAATGTCTCACAGTTTTGACCTTTCGCGCGATGTCTTCCCTAGGTTGGAGTTTTTTTCCAAAACTACATTTTATTTGTCAGTAATGGTTGTTCTGAAAACTTTGCCTTTACGAAATATGGAAGTACTTATAAGGGTGCTCTGTGAGACAAATCTGACGGTGCAGAGCTTTATCGACTTGTCTAGATCACATGGCGTACAATAAATACTTGCTGTCACGTGACAATTTCCTGGATGCTTGGTATTCGTGCATAAGAATGGTGAGTTGAACTTTAGACGAGTTTAGACTAGAAAGTTCAGGCTCACATGACCAGTCATGAACAAACTCGCTCATGAGCTGCTACTCTCAAGTTGGTTGCACAAAATAGCTGCATCAAATGTGATTAAATTTTAATGATGGGAGTTGTAAGACGTCGCCATATGATAAGAAAGGAAGCTGCTTAAAATGTATGTTCAAGAAAAAAATGAGATTTCAATAGCTGTGTTCACAAAATATACTTATGTGATAACAGTGGGGGAATCCCGGCCAGTAAACTCCTTCAACTTTGATGTATCAAGTGCTACATTTATTAATGGTGCGAGCGCATCTTGTGCATCAATATTCTGTTTTGTGACATCTGGCTCGTATTGTTCGATGTACATGCGAACCGTTGCACCAGAAGAGCCAGTGCCCGAAAGCCTGAAGATGAAGCGGCTACCGTCAGTGAAGACAAAGCGGACCCCTTGATTAGAGGAAACTGAGCCGTCAATTGGATCGGTGTACTCAAAGTCATCTGCGAAGTCAAGTTCATACGAACCAAACGTATCACCTTGTTTGGCAGAGGCAGCGACAGAACGAAGGTATTCAACCATTTCATTGCACGGGCCTGCCTCACATCCCTCATAGTCATACCGACTGAAAAAGTTCCTCCCATATTTTGCCCAATGTTCTTTGGTTATCTGTTCAACGGTGACCTTAGAACCACCCACGGGAATCTCCTTATTCCGGTGCGCTAGGATAGAAAGCCACGCCAGTACTGCCCATGGACCATCCTTCTCACGGATATGGTCTGAACCAGTGCCAAAGGACTCTTCGCCACAAATGGAGAGACGGCCAGCATCCATGAGGTTACCAAAAAACTTCCAACCAGTGGGGGTCTCGAAACATTCGACACCGAGGGCTGCGGCAACTCGGTCGAGGGCAGCCGCTGTTGGCATCGATCGAGCGAGCCCCTTAAGTCCACCACGGCCTTCGAAATATGGAATGCAATCCTGAGCGTTAGCAGCAATGATTGCAACAGAATCTGAAGGGGTGACGAAAAAGTTGTTACCAAGAATCATGTTTCGATCGCCATCCCCGTCAGAAGCTGCCCCAAAATCAGGAGCATCATTCGCATACATAATCTTAACAAGTTCCTCAGCATATGTTAGATTTGGATCTGGGTGGCCACCACCAAAGTCCTCCTTCGGTGTATCGTTAACACACGAAGAAGGGTCCGCACCAAGAGCTTCAACAAATATGGGTTTCGCATATGCACCTGTGATAGCGTGCATAGCGTCAAACTTCATCGTGAAGTCAGAACGAGTGAGCAGAGATTTGATAAGTTCCATATCAAATACTTCGCTCACGAGTGCAAGGTAATCTGCGACAGGATCTATGACCTCGACCTCGAAGTCATTAAACTTAGTTGTACCACACACAGAAAGGTCAATTTCAGGTATGTCAGCCATTTTTAAGACATCCACAGTCTGTGTAAAGCCATAAATCTTATCCGTAATTTTTTCAGGGGCTGGTTCACCTGAAGAGTAATTGAATTTGATTCCCCAGTCTTCTTTTGGCCCACCGGGATTGTGGGAGGCTGACATGATGAACCCCCCGTTCGCTTTGCGCGCACGGATTACAGCAGATGCCGCAGGAGTGGCGAGAAATCCATTCTGACCGACAAACATTTTTTTTACGCCGTTTCCTGCGGCGAGTTTTATAATGATCTGCGCAGCCTCTTTATTAAACCAACGCCCATCCCCTCCAAGCACCATGGCCGAACCAACAACTTCTTCGCGTGGCAAAGCAAGAAAGAGGGACTGTACCCAATTTGCAAGGTAGTTTTCTGACGCGAAAACTGAGGCTTTCTTGCGGAGGCCGGACGTGCCCGTTTTTTGTCCGTCGATAGGGGTCGTTGGGACATCACTGACTTTATTGCCAGCTGATGATATGATCTGAACTGACATTCGCCTGGTAGTTGCCCTTGACGACTTGAAATATGACTTCACGGAGAACTGACCACGAAGAGTAGCTGATGGCTGCGCACACGATGCGACCATCACAGAGTAGCAGAGAATACACTATTTTTCGAGAATGTGCAGCAGAGACAGCGTTTCACGAGTGGGATCAGATCGGATATGATTTTGTGTTCCTAACGCCGTTTTGGATTGTGAAAATCGCGTGTACACGCCAGCCCTAACGTACAGTACGTGACTATTACGTGTACAGCTGTACACCGATACTGTTGTAACGTTGTACAGCTGTACACGTACACGTACAACTACAACGTACTGTACGTGTACGTATCAAATTTTGTATCTAATCTTTGGTAGGCCGCTAGTGGCTATCAGCGAAAGGATATGAGCCTAGAAAGGATGGCGAAAGGATGATCGCGCGCTGTGCTATAACATCGCGCAGACGCCGTTTTTGGCTCTGTAACTGCACGGCATGTTAGATGACATCACCCTCGAGGCGCGCGGATCGATCGCGTTCGTGTGTGAATCGCACGAGCAAGGCATAGACTGGCGCGATGTCGATTTGTAAAAGAGCATTTTTCTTCGCAGCTACAGCCTCGACCCGCGGAGTTCAACTGCCGACGCAAGCGATCGTTTTTTTTGCGCTGCGCGAATTTTAAATATGCGCTAATGTGTTCACGCGATATAATCACGAAGTTTTTTTACGTTCGGAACTGTTTCCATGAAGTTTCGACGTCGCGTACGCGAGCTCAGGAGACGGCAAATGATTCGTAACGCCGAGTCTGTTTTGCAAACGACGGATCTGTGCGCCGGTACAGCCTGATTCAGCGGCCCAGGTGTATAAAACACGCTGGAATGACCGATTACGCTGTCTAGTCGATGTTCGCTTTGACTCTCCGGCCTCAACCGCGGCGCGCGCCTCTCTGACTGTCCTCGCGCGGCGTGGCAGTTAAGAGGTTGAGCTCATCAGTAGTTCATCCTTTTAAAACGTACTACGCTCTTACAATTTGCTCATACGCCATCCTCTCGTCATCCTCTCTATAGCTCATATCCTCTCGCTGATAGCCACTAGTGTACACGTACGTGTACGCGTACGAGTACAGGTAGCTACTCGTAGATAAGTTGTCAGTACTACTCAGAAAAATACAGTCAAACACTCAACACACACGCATTCCTTCGCAGGTGGAGCCCGCTCCAACTCGCGCTCAAGATAATGTCATCGAACGCACTGTCGTGCATTGCTGACCCTTTGGGCGCAGTCACGACGCTCTTTGACGCGTGCACAGATTCGTCGCTTGCAAAACAGACTCGGCGTTACGAATCATTTGCCGTCACCTGAGCTCGCGTACGCGACGTCGAAACTTCGAAACTTCGAAACGACGAATCTGTGCGCCGCGACAGCCTGATTCAGCGCCCCGGTGGTATAAAACTCGCTGGACTGATCGGTTTCACTGTCCAGTCGATGTTTTCTTTGACGCTCATAACTACCTTCGAAGGTACATAAATTCTCTGGAAGTTTGCTCATGTGGTAATAGATATTGTACACGTACACGTACAGTATCCTTATGATAAAATAACCCCCGTTCCGGCTGAGCTCCAGGTTGTACAGTCTACGGGCATTTAATTTGTGACGTCCTATGAGCAGTTATCAACGGCTGAGTGTGCATGCGAGGGGCACAATTTTTTCCAAAAATTGAAGTTCTTTTTTTCACCCACGCGATCGAAACTTTCATAACATACTGTACGTGTACAGTACACGTACTGTACTGTACAACGTACTGTAAGTCGAAGTTTCGCCACTGAAGGTAAGTTTATAAACCCCTTCCCGCTCGATTAAAAGCAGACGACAGAAAGCCGCGCGCACGTGATTGACGTACGGGCAAATTTACAGTGCAAATAATCATACAAGTTTGAATAGCTACCTACCTTGTCTACCTACGTACCTAGCTAGCTCAGGGATAAACTAACTAAAATTTCGACAGCAAGTACACGTACTGTACGAGTACAACGTACAGTACGTGTACAACTACACTTAGTCAAAATACATTGTGACAAAGATTTATTGAAAAAAAAGATTTCCGTACACGTGTACGAAAGTACTTTCGTACAACGTAGTTGTACAGCTGTACACGTACACGTACATACCTTCGAGGGTATCATACTTCCGTGTCATAAAATAAATACTGTACGTTGTACACGTACAGTACGAAAGTACTTTCGAAAGTACTTTCGTACGAAAGTACTTTCGAGAGTACAAAGCAGAAGAGTGTAGACTATCAAATACGTTCAGCAGGAAATAGTCTTAAGGCAAGTCCAAGCAAAACGTCGAACATGGCGCGTCGTTATGATTCTCACACGACTACTTTTAGTCCAGATGGAAGATTGTTTCAGGTATTTTATTTCGCGTTGCATCTGGCACCTCACGGCCCACTCGATTCAGCACTAAGATATTCATAAGAAAATCAACTGCTCTGCCCTTCGATACTGACGAACGACCAACAGGTTGAGTATGCTATGGAAGCCATAAGTCATGCGGGCGCTGCAGTCGGGATCCGAACAGATTTCGGTGTCGTCCTAGCTGCTGAAAAGAAAATTCTTTCAAAGGTAACAGCGAAATTGAAATTTGGCGCGGACTACTTGAGTACTTGTTTTTACAGCTGCTTGAAACGTCTGAGGCGTCTGAAAAGATGTTTAAACTGGATGCCAACATTGCAGTTGCAGTTGCGGGTATCAACTCTGACGCAAATATACTAATTAACTCATCCAGGTAATACTTGATTAAACCTTCATTCCAATCACTTTTCTATACTCATGATCGCGTGGTATCGCTACCTTACGGGGTATTCCAAAGGCTTTTCGCACAAAGATATGCTTTGAACTATTCTGAACAAGTTCCAGTAGAGCATCTTGTACAGAGTATGTGTGATCAGAAACAAGGATACACACAGTTCGGTGGCCTGCGACCATTTGGAGTCTCGTTTCTTTTTGGTGGCTGGTAATGCTGTGATTCATATGTTCGTTTCTCAGAGTCTTTAAGGTGCCGGTGATATCCAGGGACAGAAACTTTGGTTTTCAACTGTATCAGAGTGACCCTTCCGGTAACTACTCGGGTTGGAAGGTAGGCGACTTTGTTTCCCTGAAATGTTTTACTGATTTTTTTTAAAAAAACTTTTAAATATATGCTGTCCTTCTCGAATGGCCACGGCGGTTGGTGCTAATAGTCAGGCTGCGCACTCAATTTTAAAAACCGAATACGTTGAGGGCATCTCACTGTCAACCGCAAAACAACTGTCTTTAAAAGTTCTCAAGCAAACTATGGACAGCACAATATTAATTCCAGATAAAGTTGAGTTAAGTGAATTAGCTTGGCAAGATGGTGTACCGGGTCAAGTATCGTATAGGCTCGTGCGTGGTGTAGAGCTGAGGGATTTGTGCATCGCGGTGAACAGAGAAAATATGTGAGATATCTTATCAGTGCTCGAGAACTTTTTTTAAAGAAAACAAAAAGTCTAAATGTACGCGACGTGTACATGAATGTTCTCGGTCTTAAGGCATGATAAAATCAAGTAGTTCTCCCATAGACGTATCACTATGCCTCCGAAACGATTAACTGCGCAACTTCTGAAACACTGGCGTCTTCTGCCCTTGCCGTCAGTTTCAATGCTACTTCATTTGACACGTCGATCCCAAGATTGAGCCTGACAAGTAAAGCGACATCCCCCACGTAAGTTCCAGAAAGGAGTGCTGTATGAGAGCGAGCATTTGGTGGAACTGCACCAGTACCCTCACATGGCTGCAAACCCAGAACCTTCGTAACCGTTTCAACTGCTTCTCCTAGGCTTTCACGTTTACCAAGACTGTATTCATTGGCTGTCTCGGTCTCTATGGGCAACGCATCCCAGGCCTTTTAAAAAAAATGTTAAATGTAATATATACCGGGAAAACATATGTTAACAAAACCTTGCGAAAATTAGACAATGGCGTCATGCACATGAAGTCGAGCAGCGATAACTCAACATCTTCTATTGTATACTCGTCTTCATAACCACATTCCTCGGGTATGTCACTAATGGGATCAACTTCTTTAGAGGTAAACTTGAGAGTGCAAGCAAACTTCGCTGAAAAACGTTTTCCCTGTGTTGAATGAATCTGTGATATTGCATGGAAAGCCGCAAAAGAATCTCGCTGTACCTCAACTCTTGAGAACGCAACATATGTGGAACCTGATTTGCCAAGTGGCATTGATTCCAATGGAATTGATGCACACTCTTCGAAACAGCCTGCTCCATCCAGAAGCTCCATCGCCACTGAAACATTTTCGAGGACTTGTTCTTTGATAGTGTTTGTGCATTTGAACTGAAATACAACGTGCAACTTAAAGACATGCTTGATACAAGTGACCTAGGTGGGTGCCTTCAGTCAGCAGCAGCGATAAGAAGTCAGAAGACAAGTTTAAAACATTCACCTTATATTCTGTCTCCGCTTCAGTAAGCTCAACAGCTATACAGCTCTATTACACAAAAAGGGGTCACAAAGGGGTCAGCGGCTTAAAAAAAAAAATCAAATGTGCTCTCGAACCTTGAAGATTGGTCCGAAGTGCGAGAACTGAACGATACTAGCGACCGAACGTTCAGCATCCTGCAGTTCTCTGTCAAAACCGTCATCCAAATTAGGGTGACTATTGCCTTCGAGATCCAAGACACCATCAGGGTCAGCAATGTTCTCACGGGGTGCACATTTGACAGCACTTATGTCAAAAGAGGAGCTTGTAGAGCCTGAAACATATTCAGAAAGAGAGGATTCAAGGGCACACAAGTGATACTTGAGGTGACTTTCTAGACCGTCAGCTCCGAACGTTCGGTCCTGCATGGCAGCGACGAAAAAAGTAGCACGATCGCGGACTTCATCATCATTGTCGTAAAGACAACGACGGATCAGAAGTAAAGTGCGAGGCAGCAAAACTGGACAGAGCAAACCAAACTTTGCAAGTGCACAAACAGCAGAAGCGCGAATAGTGGCATTTTCCAAAATAACGCGGTTATAAATATATCGGATATATTTGCTTGGATCAGAAGCAGTTGGTCCTTCTTCACCAAGTAGGTGAAGAATCTGTGAGGATAGGTATGTAAATTCACAGTCTTCAATGAACTCGCTAAGGTGACTCAAGCCTGAATCTTTAGCCTCAGGAATTTCTTTTATTAAGCATAATATGCTTTGGATGATTGAATTTTTGTAATCGAAGCCACCTTCTTCTCTGAGGTGACTGGAGAGGAAATTCATAAGAACCCGGTGTTTTTGCGGGAATTTAAGGCAGAGGCTCTGTATAGCCTCAACGACAACAATTTTGAAATCATCCTGCAGACGAAAAAGTAAACAAAAAAGTTCGGCAAGTGACGTCCAAGTGCAAACATGCGACGAATACCTGAATGTCAGCCATAAAAGTTGCAATTTGTTTCAGAAGACGTTCAACCGAAGACTCATTCCCAGTTTTGAGCAGAGTTGTAATAGCAAGTGTTGCTATGGATCGATTATGGTCAGAAATGAGGCCTTCCATATCCATGTTGCAGCAGGTCACAGAAGAGGGCTGCGACAGTGCTACCTTTTTGAGAGCACGAATAGAAGCGAAACGAAGTGTTGGTTTCGAAGATGACAAGAAAAGCTGCAAGACTGAAACAGCAGGCTGAAGCTCTTGAATGGTCACATCAGTCAACTCTGTTATGACCCTGCGAAATGCGAACCCAGAAAAGTCATCAATGACAATAAAATATTAATTATAAGCATTGAAAAACAACCTTGCAGCCTCAAACATCACAATTTCTGATTTGTGTCGCAAGCAGCTTTCAAGAAAAGAATAAAAAGGTCTTTCACCACGATTCTCGCCGCTACATGATGAGCCTTCTTTGATGACCTGCAAGAAATTTTGCAATTCACACGGGTGCTAGTCACAAGAAGGGGAACCAAACTCACAGGTGAGGTGGAAAAATGTTGAGGAGAAACAGGGAAGCACTGCTAAAGTTCACACCTGAAAGACGTATCGAATTACAAGACAGTGAGCCAGTTGAGAGCGAATCGTACTCCGTGTCATTTGAGTTACCAGCTTACTGACTGCCAATCTATCATTCTGCCGGATTTGGTGAAGAAGGGCAAGGGCATGAAACTGAACAAAAGGACCCTTTGAATTGACCGCCTCTTGAACTTCATTGCTCCAACGGCGAACAATTTCACAGTTCACCTGTAATCAAATTAGAATTAAAATGTTATGTTAGTAATATGTATCATCAAGTATGTATCAATTATCGAACCTTTAACAGATGTGTTCCCGATACGAGGGCAGCTGACGCAACGACAGCATTTCTATCAACTACAGCCTGTTTAAGATATCGTTCTATCTGCCCCAGAAGACCAGCATCTGTTATGTTACACAGTGCTCTTATTGCATTCGAACGATATAAATCTATTTTGCTGTTCATGTCCTTCATCAGCGAGGAGGTTACAATAATGACCTGTTATGGATGCAGTTTTAAATCACGCTCGGAAGGTCAAAAACAGTCATCCCTACTTCGTCAGCAGTTGGACATATTTCCTTTATAATAAGGTAAACCATACGACGAAGGTTAGTGTCCTTTGACTGGAAGAGCTTTGTGACAGCAAAAAATACTTCTGTAGCTTCCGTCTATAGAATTGATGATCGAGAGATATTCGTCAGTTGTGATCTCACTCCAGGAATATGGTGTTAAAGACAGGACGAAAGGAAGTTTTGAGCACCTTGGTGAAAGAGTCGCCTTGGTTACACAAATACAAAAGTTTGGTTATCACCTGCGTAACAGCGGTGAAAGAGAAATGAGCCGTTCAGTAGATCGAGTGCATAAGCGATGTACACACCTGCTGACAGCGGCGGGTGTCAAGTTGCGAGTCATTGAAACAACGCGCTTCTTGAAGGACAGCGCCTTTTTCGATCCCCCAAAACGGAGAAAGTTCTAGTCCGTCTTCAGAATCCTCGTCTCTTTTCTTTCCGTTTTCGGGCATCAAACTGTGAGCTGTTTCCACCATATTTCCCGTGCGAGAAGCTGCAACGTTGTGCTCCGCTATTTTGAAAACCGGATTTGTAGGTCTTTAGTTGATTGCTCTCAGTCGGCTGCTGCGTGAAAGTACACTACACGTACACGCACAGGAGGACTAACGCGGTGCAATATTCAATCCTTCGAAGGTACTTTCAGTACCTTCGTACACACGTCGTACTTCCGAAAGTACCTTCGAATGTACACTGCACACGTACAGTACACACAGTACGTTTACAGCTGTACACGTACGTGTACAACGAATGTATTTCCGGAAATAGATAATATCTAATAAGATAGATATGCAACTTAGCTAGCTAGCTAGATATCTACCAAGGTATTTCCGGAAGCACGAAGATACAGTACGTGTACATGTACTGTAGCCCTACAGTATCTATCTTCGTACGAGATGTGCCCTATTTGTACACTTGCACTTCCGGTAGTACACGTACGCTGTACACGTAGGGCTAGCATAAAACGATACTTTATTTTCTATTGCACTTGTATGTGTACAACGCAGTACGAAGGTAGCTGATTAGTTGTACGTGTACTGTACGTGTACAGATACTTCCGGAACTATTTTAATCCGCTGCTTTGAAATAATAATTTTATGATGTAAGGGCCAACTCATTACTGTACATATAAAGTTGTTGATAAACAACCAAAAATATTATTCACCTCCGATACTTCCGGAAGTACGGAAGTACGTTGTACAGTACACGTGTACACGTAATGTAACTTTAGTACTCCCGGAAGTACCTTCGTACGGAACGAAGTACGGAAGTACCTTCGTACCTTCGTATAATACACGTACACGTACAGCATCATGGCATTGTCATTGTAGGTAACTTAGCTATGGCCTGGCCATAATATCTTTAATCAGATAGGGGGCTTAGTACATAGCTAGCTATAGCTACATACCTTGTACTTTCGTACAACGTACTTTCACGTTCGAAGATAGAATATCTTATTTTATCTTCGAAGGCATCATATTTATAGTACGAAAGTAGTACTTTGAGTTGGGATAGATAGAGAGATAGGGGGCTTAGTACACAGCGTACCTTGGAAGATAGAAAATGACAATTGAATTGGCCTTGCTGCATGGCGGGCTCTGGTGCCCGTTCCGGTTTCCGCCTAGTGACGAGGATGCGCCCTCAACTCTATCTAAAGAACTATTTTAGTACGGAAGTACTGAAGTACTCTCATACAGCACATTATTAAAGTCTTTTTGAAAGTACTTTCGAAAGTACGGAAGTACAGTATACTTCCGGAAGTACGTGTACTATTAAAAATAAACTTACCTTCGAAGATAAAATAAACTTTTATGTGTACGTGCACAGCTGTACACTTACGTGTACGCGCTCATCCTCTTAATATCCTCACTAAGCTCCTATCCTCTCGCTGGTATAGCCACTAGCTAGTACTGCTTCCGTACTTCCATATTATGAAGGTAGGTATCTATGTACCTAGCTAGCTAGCTACGAAGGTAGCTAGCTAGCTAGCTAGCTAGCTAGAGCTATCTGCCTAAAATAAGGTATCTAGCTAGCTAGCTAGCTACCTTCAGGTAGCTAGTATCTACTGAAGTACGAAAGTACTTCCGTACTTCCGTACTACTACTTTTACTTCCGTACTACGAAAGTACGTAGTACCTTCGTACTCAGTACGTAGCTATTATGTGGATAAGTGCTACATACGTACTATTGATACATATCTACAACTACAGTAAATCTATCATATTATTAAACTATCTTTATCTATTCAACGGATATTATTTACACGTACGTGTACTGTACACGTACAGTACGTGCAGGTGTACAAGTAGTGAGTCTCAACAAAAAGACTTCAACAAATCCTGCTATTCTTTGTCCACGCAGGAGGCAGGGCTAGCTAGCCCTACGTGTACACGTACAGGACGTGTACAGCTGTACACGTACTCACGCCACTCAAGCTGTACAACCAAACTCCAAAGAAAGTGAACATTTTTAGGGGGCACGGACTCACTGTCTGGAGAGGAGTACTGCCCTAGACATGTTTAAAATTTTTGACCAAGCTTGATCGACACGTGGTTCGTCTTGGAAGGGCTCTCGAATTTGCCGCCCAGACACTCAGCTTGTCTTGATTTCTTCACAAGATGTCGACTCGTTCTAGTTCAGATTTGACTCACCAGGTACTTTTTATTGTTCGCAACTATTGGATTGCAAAACATAATCCCACGATTACCGTTACAGGAAGTAAATTTTTCGGCGGAAGACGAAGTGGTTCTAGTCGTACCAAACTTTTCTCTACAACAGGTACGAGGGAAGCGTGCGTTGATAAAAAGGTTTTTTTCTTAGTTATCCTATTTTCAGGTCCATCTTCTAGGCGGTACGGTAGGATTGATGGATAAGTCATCTTCTTCTACATCGCAAACACGGCCATTCCCAATAAACAGAACTGTGTGTGACCTTCTCTCATGTATGGACCGTTCCGCCCTCAAATTCAAGCTGCTGTCCCCCTGTGGTTTGCCACGATTTTAAAGAAGCAGGGAAAGTGCTGCATCATTCCTCCTATGTGGTTAAACGTAAATGCGCTGCGAACCGTGATCGAGACAGAACGGGTTGATGACGTTTTCCAGGTTAACTTGTAAATTACCCTGGAACGATTTCCAATTTTCCATAGTGCTTTTCTCTGAGAGTTCATGGTGTTAGGGTTTACCATTTCACTACATTGAACTAGCTGCCGAACTCTGCAAACATGCTCGCGATGACATGATAGATTGGAGTCGTTTGTATGACCTCGTGGTGGGTTGGTTAACGACATTTTTCTGTAGATGAAACTGAATGAAAGAAACCACAGGACACGATTCGGTCAGTGAGGCATGTCAAAATACAGTCAGGACTCCGAGGACTGAATGCAGATGCTTTGAAGGTAATTGCCGAGCACTGAATAATGTACATATCGCTGCTGATGCAACTACGCGCAGGGCGTGAAGTTGCGACACCTTTCAGCTATAGAAGTAAATGTTCTTCGTCCTTTCATGTCAAGTGTGGTGGACCACTTTTTGAATTGTTTCAAATGAAACCTTGACCTCTTCGACTTGTGATACCTGGGAGTGTGTTTTGAGCAGGAAAAATCTCCTCAAATCCAATCTCCCTGCTGCAGTTTCAGAGGTAGGTAAACCTCGGATAGATATTGGAAGCCATAACTGCTAAGTGCTTGTATTTCGGCTTTGGTCTTGGACCTGAGCATAATTTTTATCTCCGCTACCCACTCGGGGTTCTGCTGGATGAAACCTTCCTTTAGCATATGATGCCCTGTCTCAATGTCCTTCTGGCTCATTTCTAGACGGCATTGTTCAGGTATCTGGAACTTATTCAAATCACTTGGCCGAACCCCGAGCCACTTTATGTCTGGGGTAGTGAGGTTTGCAGAGTCAAAAGCCATATTTTTTGATCCCAGCAGATATTGTCAAAATCCATGATCAAATTCAATTGTAGAGCGTCACATGATGGAAAAAATTTCAAGGGCAGAAGGTGTGAAGGCGCTCCCAAATGCAGTCCCTGACCTGCATGTATACCGAAATTATCTTCAACCCATAAGGGTCAGCATCCACCAGCGCGAGAACTGGAATACGGAGGTCACGTTTCAGCTTTGATAAGAAGAGCCTAGTGGCGACATCAGGCTGCCCTTTGGCAGTGATGATAACACACGGAAATCGATTATAAAATCTATCCTCGGCCAGGCGCATGAAAGCCGCGTCTTTTTCAACCAATAGTACAAATTTGGCGTCCGATCTGAAGTTCGTCACCTTGTCAATGTTGCTCGGAATGGCCTTACCACCTATACCCATCTTCGTACAGTCAATCTCGTCGCCATCCTCGGTATATATCAATCTCCCAACAACAACGCCTTTTTCAGACGCGACGACATGCAGAGAGTTCCTTGTGCAGCCCAAAAGACAAGAAATATCATCAAGAACACCGTCTGAATCCTTCTGATCTTTAAATAGTTTTACATCAGTGTAGAAAAGATCGCGTTTGGTGACGTGAATGCCACGGGATAACACGCCGTGAACCAGTTGCAGCACGCGAGTGAGAATCGCGACCTTCCGCACTGACGAGGTATTAGAAAAAGAGGTGAAGGTATGTTTATCACGAAGTACGATACGATCTAGCTGTTCCATGTATACTTGATCAGCGCTGCCACGACTTGGAAGCGAGAACCCGAATCCGTCGCCGACTAAAATGCTTTTGACGACGGCCATCATTACCTGCTCAATAGCGCCAGCCACCTCGCTACCAGAAAGGTCTGTCACCTCGCGATAAGAGAGCTCAGAACTGAGGTTTTCCAATGTGCCGCCCACCGTTTGACGAAGTTTAATGTCAGCACCGAGCGCGTACACTTTGTCGAGCACCTCCTCAACAGACCCTAAGCGTCCATCACGCCCGTCTCTAAGGAGTTCATGTCCAAAAATAATGCCGGCTTTTTTGGACACTGGCTCTTCGTCTTTCGCTGGAGTTCGCATCTTTAAAGTCGTGTGGGTGGGACCTTGCTCAACTCAAAATGTGTTTCATGATACATACGGAAGAACAACTATCGGATACGTACGTGTACGTGTACGTGTACACGTACACGTACTGTACAACTGTTTTAATACAAAAAAACACTTTATTTGTAAACGTACAACTACAACAAAAAGTACAACGTTGTACTGTACAGTGTACAGCTGTACACGTACACATACTTCCGGAATTATCATCTGCAGTGATAGATAGCTACCAGGGGTTATCTTTTAATAGTACTTTCGAAAGTACACGTAACGTTGTAGGGCTACACGTGTACACGTGTACTTCCGAAAATAGATAATACTTCCGGAAGTACACGTACGTGTACACATAAATGCGTTGTACTGTACACTTACTTCAGTACATTATTGTAGCATCTAATTGTACACGTAGTGCACAACCGAACCCGCAGGACTCACGCACGGAGGTGCTGAAGAACTTCGAAGGTGCGCACCTGCGCAAGCGTGTACTTTCGTACCGTTGAGTTGCACGTGTAGGAGTCGTGTGCACCGTTGACCGAGTCGTGTACACCGTTGAATGGAACACTAATACAAAAATGCTATTGAATAGCTGTCATTAAATAAAACGTTCCGGAGATACAACTGAAGGTTTTGAAATGGAATTATTAGAGGATGCGGGTAATATTTCGGAGCACGAACCGAGGGAGTTTGAGGAGACAAGTCAAAAAGCAAGTGAAGAAATGGTAGAGCTCGTAAATATTTTTACAGAGGAGCAGATGAACAGATACGAGAGCTATCGCCGTTCGTCCCTCCCGAAATCTGTGCTAAAACGTATTTTCCAAAGTTTCACTGGCACTGTACTCAATTCTAACGGTGTAATTGTGCTCGCTGCAGTCGGGAAACTTTTCATTGGAGAGCTTGTTGAATTAGCCCGGGAAGTGGCTGACAGCCACGGGCTGTCGGATCTCGAACCTGTTCAGCCTCTCCAACTCAAGGAGGCATTTCGACATATGTTGCTGGAAGGTAAAGTATTGCACAGTCGAAATGTTGATATGTTTCGGAATCAGCGTTTGTGATATGCTCCAAGTCACTCAACTTCGCGTAAACTTTGAGTGATTTCTTCATAAAGTAAACTCGTCTGTGACACGAGACTCTTTATACCATCTGAAACTTTGCTTGTATTCATATGGTAATCTGAAAATTGTATAACTGGAAAACTCTATGCTGAGCTTTGATTGCAGCAGTATTGGCACTTTAAAGCATATCTGACTATCTTTGATGCCTGTGCTTATCTTCGCTTCAGCTCTGGACCCAAATCTGAACTCAGATCTTCTTGGCTTCTCTCGACCCGGTTGTCTCGATGAATCTTCACAGGCACCTTTTCTTCAGCGACGTTCTCAATATTTAACTTTGACAATCCATTCATGGAACATCTGAGTCGGATATGATTTCACTGGCCTTGAAGAGGCCATTTTTGCATCGTGTCAACTAGTGCATAAATTTGTATTTGACAACGTTGCTGCTTGTACTATCAGAACAAGTCTATTCAAAAGCTGTCTAATTTATCAATTGTGCCTTGAGCAAGATGAGTCAGCGTTTCGCACTGCATAAAGCACTCAACCGCTGGCGTTTCTTCCAAAAGAGATATTTCAAACTTAAAGGTAACCTCATCGGAAAATAGTGAACGGTGTAGAGAAGGAAGATTGCCTGAACGACTTCTGCAAAAAAATAAGGAAGAAGAACTTGTTGGTGTTGTTTACTTTTGGTTTGTTTTCCCTTTTCTTTTCAACTTTTCGGCACGCGCCTTCGCCTCAGCGACAGCAGTCGACGAAATTAAACCATGGTTTTTTTTCTTGCCGGTCAACTTGGCTGCCACAAGTTTCTTAGCTTCAACTGGGTTAATCAGAACAGTATCACTTGTACCAGGAGCATCATCTGGGTTGGCTGTTTTCTTTTCAGATATTTGCTCGGAGCTGGAAACAACCCGTGCGGCTTTCTTGCGGCGTCTAGCAGCAGCTTTACTCTCTCCTAAGTCAGTTTCTTTTCCAGCTTCCGTGCAAACACCTACCTCGACGCCAAACTCTGCAAAGACAGCTTCAAGTTTCTCGAGCTCAATTTTTTTCATTTCTTTCTTTGATAACTGTCTCTCCTGTGTAGCAGTGGACTTACTGCTGCGACACGGTGGTTCGATAGGAACAGTAACAGCTAGATCATCTTCATCATCATCGTCTTCGTCTAGCTCGTCAAACACCATATCTTCAATGTGGCCGTTAAACTCTTCGAAACTTTCTTTGACACATACTGCAACATCAGTCTCATTTCCAGCGGTTGAAGTTCCAACGCTGATATCATCTTCGTCTGTGTCACAATCGGCCCATGAAAGCACGTTCCTCGTAGCTGTGGCCGCCCAGAGCTTTTCATCAAGCAAGTCTGTTTCATTATTATTATTATTTTTTTCTGTCTTCTACAAGGAGGATAAGTTAAGTGAATGAATATTCACGTCAGAAAATTAAGCTGTACGTAATGTTTCAGATGCACTTCGTAAGGGAGAAGTGGATGGCGTGGCCGAAAAAAATGTGTGGTTATAACATATTAAGTGACTGAGACGGCAGACACGATACGTCACGTTACGTTCAACACGAACAGGTGGGCAAGATTTTCCCTACTCTAAGAAATCGAAAAAAAACGCACTTTAGATTTACTTGATTTGGTGTCAAGAGCATCAAAAAGATTTGCGCTCACGGTAACGCTCATTTTTCACACTCTCGAGGTCGAAAAAAGCAAAAACGTGCTTGGATCAAGTTCTTCGAGGGTTCGTTATGGAAAGCGTTCTCAAAGGAAGCTGTCAGAAAATTTCCGAAGGATTAGATCGAAAGAAGGTTTTGACAATGAAATATATACGAATGTGCTGGTCGTGATCAGAGCATCGGAGAACCGAGCGCTATAAAGCAAGTCACGATAGTGGTGGCTGCGAGGGTCCGTTGCTCTGTTCGCTGTAAACGAAGTACGGAAGTACTTTCGTACTTCCGGAAATATTGTACTGTACAGTATGATACTTTCGTACTTCCGTATGACATTCGAATGTACTTTCGTATTTCCGGAAGTAGGTAGGGCCTAGGCCTAGCTAGCCTACGTATACGAAGGTACATACTGTATCATACATGTAGTAGTTTTGATTTATTCAGCTCTATCTACTATCCATCGGAAGTACGGAAATAGAATACTTCCGGAAGTAAATTGTACCTTGAGGTATTCTATCTTCGAAGGTACTTTCGTATTTTCGTACGAAAGTAACTTCGTAGCTACGAAGGTAGCTACTAGTAAGGCTACTGTAGTACACGTAGCGCGTACGTACTTCCGGAAATAGATAATATTCTATCTTCGCACCTTCGAAGGATGTACGAAAGTACGAAAGTACTTTCGTATTTCCGTAGTTAGTAAAACTATGACTTGCTGCTCTGCTGTGAAGGCGTCTCCACGGATCGAAAAATGGCCGATTGCAATGACCACAATCGTTTGTTGCATGTAGGCCTAGCGCCTTTCAGAATAACTATGTCAGATCCGGTAATGAATGATTCCGGTCTATTTGGGATATCCTTGAATTGCGGGTTGCACGCTTCACGCGTCGTAGGTAAGGGTGGGTCTAAAATTCAGGAGTTGATCGGGAAATCGGGGGCGAACTTGCGCGTTAAACGCAACTCCGGATTCTGTGATATAGTCGGTTCCGTATCAGCGGTGCATGCGGCCACGCAGTTAGCTATCAGTGTCATCGAAGAGGGCTGTGTGAGAGACTTGAGAACTGCCGTTTCTCAGGCTCTTGGTAGTAACAAAGCACTGAACGGACTGCTTGCTGAAGTTTCGAGGAGGCGAATAGAAGTTCGTTGGACAGATGTCGCAGAAATCCCATCTCATAAATCTATTCTTGTGCCCAAACTTGGACTAGAGGAAATGCCCTTCACGGTTCCAATATGCCTGCAGTGACATGCCGAAAACAAGAAGGTGTTGGCGTGCATTCTATCAGATGTCTCAAGAGGTAGTCTGCATTGGTAGTCTACTGTAATGTACGTGGCATGGAAGTCGCTGTTCCGTTCAGAAGACATGTTTCGGTGGATAATAGTGTTCGCATTCGTGTATTTAATCAATCATGTCCGTCGCACGTTCAAACTTTTGAAATTTCATCCTCTTTTTTTCGAACCACCTCATCTACGTCTGTTGTGTGCTTCAAAGTCATTTTCTCGACATTATTTTCAAGAGACTTGATTTCATCTTCAGAGTATCCCTTTAGCTTTCCGATACTTCTTAACGTATCACGTCGAACATTTCGGAGCGCGACCTTGCCGTCCTCACCAAGCTTAGACACAAGTTTGGCCAGGTCTCGTCTACGCTCAGCTGTAAGTGGAGGAATATTGAGGCGAATGCAGTTACCATCGTTTCCTGGCATGAGGTCCAAGTCACTCGACATAATGGCCTTCTCTACATCATCAATTATATTTTTATCGAAGGGCTGGATGATGATGGTCTGAGCATCGGGTGTAGTGATGTTCGCAAGGGACTTCAATGGTGTTACTGAACCATAATACTCCACTTCGATGCGGTCCAAGATGGCTGCATTTGCCCGCCCAGTTCGCACAGTGTTCAAATTGTTTCTTATCGAGTCAACCGATTTTTCCATGCGATCATCGGCACTTTGCTCGATATCAAACGGAGTTTTATTTTCTTGAACCGCGCAAGTAACTGCTCTGCTGTTTCGAATGAAACTAAGAAAAAAACAAGTCAATATCTGCTACACCTAACACAAAAGTTGTTCGTGAAGCACACCTGCGCTTAGCGTGAAATACGGCACATTGTTTTCTTGCTGCGATGCATCTGATTGAAGCACCGACCCGGGTGTAATCCTGCGAGTAAATCAAGTGAAAAAAAGCAGTGAAGGGTTACATAAATGAATATGCTACATACAAGCGCTTTAAACGCAGGTGAACACTGAAAACGAGAAACTGCGTCAGCGATGCTTGTGGTCATTTGAATACTATACTGCGCGCTAGACCAAATGGATGTTCGCTGAAGGAACAGTCTGCACGTTTGTACAGAGTTACGTGCAAATCACAATGTGGGGAAATAAATGAGAGTGCCTGGGAAACTCCCGAGGGATTCCGAAGCCAAACAAGAGAGCACGGGACGCGTACACGTTTATTAATAGCCCTACAACGCAACGTACGGAAGACTTCCGAAAGTACGAGCGAGGGTACAATAGATACTGTACTTTCGTTGGTTCGTACGAAGGTACTTTCGAAAGTACTCTCGAAAGTACTTTCGTACTTTCGTACTTTCGTAAAAAAACGGAAAAAAAAGTACGAAAATACTGTAGGGCTACAGTACACGTACACGTACAGTATCTATTTTCGTACTGTTCGAAGGTACAGTACACGTACTTTCAGTACACGTAGTTGTACGTGTACAACGTTATTTCCGCACGATTGTAACCCTCGGCCACTCGGTCGTGGATGGATGATCGAGCGAGCGAGCCACCGACGGTTGGCGGGTCAACCCCCCGCCGCGACGGCCTCTCCGAAGATGCCGCGGTCGCTGTCGTACCGTCTTCACGACGCCCTTAACGTCCCCCTCGTAGGCGCACTATCATCGATGTGCATCGCTGGGCTCATCGGCGCGATGGACGCGCACCTCGTGACGAAGATCTTCATCACCTACATTGCGATCGACACGACGTGGATCGCATTTTCACCAAGCGCTGTCCCGCGATACGCGTGGGCGATCGTGATACATCACGTCCTGACTTTCATGATTCTTCTGCACCCGCTACGGTTCCCAGAACACGCTATTGAGACCTGCAGGGACGGGATCGTGGAGTTGAACACGTTCTTCCTAATCGCACGGCGGTGCGTCAAAGCACTTCGCGAAATCGTCTTTTGTCAACGTTGTCCTCAGTCGTTGTCACTTATCTTTCCCGTCGCTGACATATTTTCATCCTCTCGTTTTTCATCGTCGCAATCACAATAAAAGGCAGCTCACCCGAGGATCCGCTCTGAACCGTCTGTGCGACCTCTGCTACCATCTTACGCTCTCGATCAGGTTCTTTTGGCAGCCATACCTTATCTACCACTTCAGATACATAACGCACATGGACCAGGGGTACACCGTTCGAGAGCACTACATGGTGATGATATCCCAAGTCATGCTGTGCGTGTTTAACATCCTTATCGTCTTGCCGGGCTTTATGGGGAATATGAAGAAGAACAGGAAGACGGAAGCAAGCGGAGAGGAAATCAAGTTAGAGTAAGGTAGAGTGAGGAGCTTGTCTGTGGCTTCAAGGGCGGAGCCGCAGCGGCGGACGACGAAGACGAGACATTTGATGCGCGTGCGAGTAGAGAACTCGAGAGGGAGGGTGACCGAAACGTAGCTAATAACACTTATAAGATAATCGCAGGTTTCATTTCTTGCGGAACGCAGAGTAGGAGGGGAAGCCTTTCTGCAGTCGTCACTTGTTTCGCTCATGCCATCCCCGTCATGTCCGCCACCTCAGCGACTTGCGACACAGTCTTCTCCGCTTTGTTCTCCGTGGATCGTAGAGTCCATTGCATATTTACAAATTCCTTTGACGCCCACGACAGACCGAGCCCTTTCGCTGGCCGTGCCGGCCTCATTTCCCCCTCCCTGTCGACGAATTCGATGAAAGCCATCTTCGCGCTGTCGCTCCGTCGCTGATCCGTCTGTAGCACCCTCGTAAACCCCCCCGCGCGGTCTTTATACCGCGCCGCGAGGGTGTAAAACAGCTTCTGCTCCGCTTCGTCTGTCCGTAGAAGCGCGCGCGCTCTGCGACGGCCCGCGATCGTCCCTTGCTTCGCCAATGTGACGACGCGATCGGCGACGCGGCGCAGGTCTTTCGCCTTGGCGACGGTCGTCTTGATCCGCTCGTGCGTGATGAGCTGCGTGACCATCGTCCGAAGCATGTTCCACGACTGGCCGTGTTTCGCAAGCTTGCGCCAGCTCTTCGCTTGGTGTTTCATGTCGTAATAAGTGCGTGCGTAAAGTGCTGGCTGTGTACGTCCGAGCCTTCAAAGCGACTGAAATGCCCACGTGTACGAACAAATGCGACAGGACGACTCCGGTGAAACATGCGAGATCTGAGAGCGCGCGCCCGATCAAAGGTAGGGTTACGATTTTGGCCACAGGATCGAAACGCAGCCGTGATTGGTCGAAATTTTACCACCTGAACGGTACGGAAGTACTTTCGTACTTGTATGTACATCGTTGTGTACATACTGTACACGTATAGAATAGTTGTAGTTTTACTACTGTACTTTCGAAAGTACGAAAATAATATGAAAGTATTTTCGTACGAAATAAAGTTCAAATCGTACGTACGAAATATAAAAGTATGTACGAAAGTATTGTAAGTTGTTATTCTATCTTCGAGGTCCGACTAACGTTACACGTACGTGTACACGTGTACGGATCATAATTCTTCGTAGGTACAGTACAATGGCATTTTGATAATATCATACAAGGTAGAATAGTATGCATACGTGTACATAACTATGTACGAAAGTACCAAGCAAGGTATGATAGATATGATAGTTGTTCCATAGTTAATAGAAAGTACCAAGCAAGGTATGATAGATATGATAGTTGTTTATTGTGCTGTAGCCAGTCCAGTGCCAGACCAATGTAATTATCTAGCTAGCGTACTGTACTTGGAAGTACTTTCGAAAATATGATATGATACTGTATGATACAGTATGATATCATATTAATTATTACGAAAGTATTCTATTTTCGTATTCGTATCAATGCTTGTACGGAAGTACGAAAGTACTTCCGGAAGTACGTGTACCTTCGAACCTAACAATAGCCGCGGAAACACCACCTGGAAACACCTCCCTGTCTTCATTCAGTTTAAAGAAGCGCGTCAAATCCCAGTCATCATACACAGATATGACAGAAGGCCATGATTTAGGCGCAAACATTTCCTCGCGTACGATTCGTTAAACCGTGAAGTTTACACGTATGATAAATACTGAAGAAGAAGTAACGCAATGTACAGGTGAAATTGAAAATAACTTTTCATCAAGAGTAGAGCCTCGCAGGTTCGTGCTTAACTCGTTTTATTGTGAAAGATGTTCCCCCAAATATAGCTTCTCTGTGCAGGGTCACTGTCAACCAAGCTGGCACGAGATTGCCTACCGGAGTGGAACCAGAAGCAATTGACGTGACCGTATATTATACGCGAGCGGAAGACTTGACACCTCTACACTCGCCTGGTTGCGAAGCCACTGCTCTCCTTGTGCAAATCAACTCGGTCAACTGGACCACTGTCTGTTCTGCTTTGACCACTGCACGCCGCCTCGCAATTTACCACCCCAATGAGTTGAAACTTGTTCTTGATACAGTTATGCCTCACTTGAAATTACACATTGCCAGTCTTAGAAGTTCAGTGTGCAAGACAGCATTGATATGTGCGACTGATTTCTTGAAAGCATTTGGGGAACTCATGTTCATTCACTTGCAATCTGGTTCACCCTCACTCTTGGCAATCCTTTTGCAAAAGGCTGCGCTGGATAAGCGATTTGTCATGGACGAAGCGAAAAGAACCCTGTCGATGATGATAAATGCCATGCCTTGTAAAGTGCTCCTGAATATGCTATTCCTCCACGTTCGCGACACGAACTGCAAGGTCCGAGCAATAGTTGCCAAATATTTGACAGAAACCGTTGAAAAAGCCCTGTGTGAGCGAGAACGTGGTATAGAGGTATGGGCATTCACTTTCTGTTTTCTTCTCGTCTGATAATTGAAATTGACTAAGTGTTGCGTGCTTCTCCTGCATCAGTGCTGCATCGACTACAACCATGAATATTTACTTCAAGCTGTTGCAACTTTTGTAAGTTGACTGACTAATATACCTCAAGCACTTTCGCTAAGAGGCAAACAAATGTGTATTTCACAGGTAAATGACAGACAGCCTGGGGCTCGAGAAAGCGCGCGACAGTTGCTCTCAAAATTGAAAGATACATACTACCACGACACAAGTTCTGATGAGTGGTTCAGGTTTGTAGAAAGATCTCTCGGAAAACCCACTGCAATCAAGATTTTAAGAACTGTTTAACTATTTCTGTACACCATCTGGCAAGCCCGTCATCGTAACTAGGCCATACCCGTCTTGAAAAATGAAAAAAAAATAGAATACGTAATGTTGCCTTCATTTTTCTTGTGATCTTCACGCAAGTGCTTTTCCCTCAGCTACACCTACAAGCCAAGAAGTCAGGTTCCGCGTCAGGCGTTCTCCTTCTTGTCAAAAACTGCCCGAGCCCATTCAACCCCTGCAATTTCAGGGCAGCCTACTGGCTTCTGCAAAACACTAATTAGATTTTGGTAAAGTGCAGGATCTGGTTGCAGATTCTTAATGGCCGCCTCAACACGACGAGGATTCAATCGATCCTCTGTCAGGTACTTGTTCTTTATTTGCCTGCGAGACCGGGATGGGAACAGGCGTTGTATGAGTGAGAAATCTGTTCCGAATTGCTGAATAGCATTGAAAAACAATTCAGTATCAGCATGCGTCCACTTCTCTGCTTTTGTGTAGCTTGCATATGTAGCTGAATTGAGTTTTGTAGCGCTCTCCTCTACTCTTGTAAAATCGCTTATAGTGGTAGTGCGCTCCACTGCAGCATTTACTGTGAGGCTGTTCTCGTTGATAACAATTTGACCATCAACTACGAGCACCTGCGGAGTCATGTTGACATGCCCAGTAACAAATTGGGCAGCAACAGAAGAAATATTATTTGAACGTGTCGGTATACTTCGGGAGTCTTCTTTCCTTGTAAAATGTGGTCTATCCACGTTCAGCTGTTTAGTGTTGCCCTGCAATGATTTGTGTAAAGAGCTGTTTGATTCAAGACACTTCCTTTTTGACAAACGTGTCTTTGCCTCTGTTGCCCGCTCCTCGCGTGTTCGCTTTTGAATTATCTCCCGAATACTGCAAGCTATTTTATCATTAGCTGAAGATATTGAAGCTGAGGGAGGAATCCCCTTCCGAAAAGGGGTTTTAGTGCGAATACCGCGTGCCGTGCCCGCACTGCGGACCCATCGATGTGCAGGAGGCAATGATTCTGCTTGAGCAACCCGATTATGGATAGTGGGAACCTGTGACTTGGTCAGGTTGTCCTTGCCTGTGTCCATTTTAGCGCATCCATTTTTGCTTGATTTCAAGCCACTTGTGGGCGGGCGGACCAGACCATGACAAACTTCCGTAGAGACCAGGGGAGCAGGCATACGTATATTCTCTGAACACATCTCGTACCCATTTCCTTGCGAACAGACTGCTGTGAGCTCCCCACGATTCTCGTGCGATAGACAAATTTCTACGTTGCTTTGTTGAGAGCCAGGAATTATTACATCGTTAGACTGTGTGGGTGCTGTCCAGCCGGACCGGTAATGTTCATCTATCAAACCCGTGGCTGCCAACTGTGAAGATTGCACGTGTTCATCACTTTGAATCTTCATGAAAGGCAGAGCTCTTTTCTTGTGAATTGCGTACTCATTGCGCGTGCGAAGTCCTCTTTCGTCAGTGTCAACAATCACTGAAAGATCTTTTAACCGATCATCTTGTCCAACGGTGTTCAGATCAACGTTCAAAGGATTTCCAACTAGTCGAGCTCGCTACGAACAAAAAATCGTTAGTTTAGGTTTGAACTGTGCTTGTCCAAGACCAAAGCAAGATCCTTTTTTAACAGAGAAATAAAGTCTCGGAATAGAAAAATCACAAACACACACCGTTCTTTGGCTGAGTTTGGGAGCAAAAGAGCTGCTTCGCTGTTTCCCTGTGATCAAATCGCAGAATACTTGAACGCGTCGCTCGAAGAAAAGTAAAGCAATTAATAAAAGTATCGCGTACCTAAATGTCGCTTTTCATCAGATTCAAGACTATCAAGGGCTGATGAATCCATCGAAGAAGAAGACAAAGCCAAGAACTTTCTGAGAAGTACGCTGTCCAGAAAAATAATATTACGTCCGCAGGTGCACGACTGATGTGTGACACGGGTCCTTCGTTTTCGTTGGGACTACTCGTACGTGTAGAGAGGTTTATACCTTCCCTTTCACTGATGAGTGTTGACTTCCAAGTTTAATTTAACGTATTTTTTTTGCAGTACAAGTTTTCTTGCTTGGGTGACGAGGGTAACTATGGCTTCGCCCGAACACAACAACTTCCGCTGGGGTGGTCGTCGAGTTGTCGGGCATTTTGGAGTACGAAAGTACGAAGGTACGACGATGTAAACTATGCATGCATGTGTACATGTGTATTCTACCTTCGAAGGTATCTTGAAGGTAGTAACAACTTATGATATGTGAACTACGAAGGTACTTTCGTATTTTAAAACACTACTGTATGTAGCACTACGTGTACTGTAGTCATAAAATGTATGATCTCGTATCATATGCATTCTATTGCACCTTCTTACGAAGGTAGTACGGAAGTAAAACTGTACGGAAGTACTTTCGTACTTTGTACGAAAGTACGAAGGTAATACCTACCTTCGTATCAGCTTACTTATCATATTAAGAATGAAGTACTTTCTGAAAGTACGAAAGTACGAAAGTACTTTCGTACAAAAGTAGTACACGTACACGTACGGCTACATTTGTACTGCCATCCTAATCAAGTCGGTATTCTCGAGAAGTGTTTGCGTTTTTCACTTTTAGAACCTGTTTCTCTTCACTTCTGATCAGAGTTTTGGGTGTTTGTGTGTAATATAGACACAGCACTGGCGTTGTGGGATTGATTCGCTCATCCTCCGCCACAACTTGTACCCTCTAACGGTTGTAGGGTTGATTCGCTCATCCGTAAGTTTACTTTACTTTACAAATTTACTTTACATCCTTGCTTACGAAGGTAAAGCAACTACGAAGGTACTTCCGGAATTACGAAGGTACACGTACCGTACAACGCGGTACACGTACAGTATTGATACCTTCGTTCGTACTTTGTACTCACGAACAGAAAAAAAAATCGAATATTATTTACCTGTACACGTACATGTACACGTACTGCACGAGTGTACGTTGTACGTGCATTGTATTTATTCATTTCTTGGCAGTATGACTACACGTACACGTATTGACTGTACCGTATAAAGTATGAAAAGTACACGTACGTGTAATGTATAAACAACTTAATTACTCTATGTACACGTACTTATGTACTTCCGGAAGTATAGATACCTTCGTACGAAGGTACTTTCGTACCTTTTATGGGGTACGAAAGTACAACTGTATTTCCATCCGGAAGTATTTTTAATATCATACTATACACGTAGCACGTAGGGCCTAAGTTGTCAACTTACCTTTTTTTTTCGGAAATAAAAATTCAGTACGTGTACGTGTACACGTACTGTACACGTAGAGTAAATATTTTATCTTCGTATTTATTCATACAATTTTTAGATAAGTTGTTTATCTGTACACGTACACGTACAGTTCATGGATAGAGCAGTGTCACTATCTTACAGTGAAATACTTTCGTAAAAACTAAATTTCCGGTGGTCGAGCTACGTGTACGTGTAGCTCAGAGAGCAAAAAACATTTTTTTACGCGTGAAAAACATAAGTTTTTTTTGCTGGTTTTTTCGAATCACGTGGAGGACTACTACTACACGTACGCTCACGTACGTGTACTCGTACCGTTGTACTTTGCTTTAAATGTACACGTACGATAGATAATTGTATGATATGAATATTTGTATGAATGTTGTATTCTGTATCGACTTATTGAAGATAAAGTTGATACAGTATTAGTGTCGAAATTTTTGTAAGTTCTTCTACACCTCTCCATTCTTGTACACGTACACGTACAGTACGAGCAATGCAGTTGCTCTACAACCTCCAAATACATTACCACTTCCCGGTCACGACGCAAGCAACACGCTGATGGTACCGAAAAAGTCCAAGAAATATTGTGGCGAGAAATCCATCAATAATCAGCACATGAAATATAGTGAATTCACGGTCAAGCTGCCGATGATTGCTGGAACACCATAATATATATGATATCACAGAGAGCGCTTCAGCAAAAAAAAATCTTAGTGTGGACTCATGGTAAAAGAAGTTGCAAAAGAATATGCCCAGTATCCACAAAGCGGCAGGAAATGCGGTGTAATCTAAGTTACGATAATCGCGAGCAATATTTATACTCATAGCAGCACTTGTGAGGGACACCCATGCTAACACACATGCCTGGTGCCAGTCCCATAGGCACCGTGGTAAAATACTGAAGCCGAAGAGAGTTGTCGCGCAACTTAAACCCAGTGCACATTGAAGAATTGCTAAAAAGGGCCGTGGCTCCTGTTTAAGTGTGATTGCGGCGTGCCAGAGTGTCGAGTCTATGCCGCTGCTCGCAACTTGAAAATATAGAAAAGCCACCCAATTCGGCAGAAGTTCAAGGTAGCCACATATGGATATGTTTGGCGGGGACTTATATACACCTCCCACACAGATGACGCAGAAAAGTGCATATTCAAAGCAGATAAATAGAGTGCCATACATAAACACCGGCTGGCCTCGTAGCTTAATGCACTCGCCACAACAACCAGTGAGAGTGGTCCTTGAAAGTACTTCGACGCAGCGATACATTCTCTTCGATCAACTGACAGTAATTGGAACATTTTTCTTTTGAATTACCTTCGGAGTCGACACGATCAGAAGAAACGCGCACATGAACTTCAACACAGAACCGAAATGATATATAAACTCAAAAAGAGCACTATCATGGGGTGAAATTTTCCAAGGCCGTTGAGCTCGTGATCATCTATCTCTATCTGCGGAAGGGCAAATGAGTCTTGCGGGAAGGATAAGTGCCATATGCGTAGACTACGAAGGTATGTTATATAAATGTAGCAAGGTAGCTACCAGGGGTTATAACTTACAAAAATTTCGACACTAAGTAAATACACGACTGCCGGAAAAAAAGGTAAATAAATAAATATTTCAAGGTACCGCAGTTTTAACTCACAATCGACGGTCTAATTTCGCTCGACCCGCAAAAGTCTTCGCCTTTCGAAAAACTAAGTAAACTTTTACTTAGGGCTACACTACTCATAATTTATTTACAGAACTATGTAAACTTTTACTCACTCATTATTTATTTACAGTACGTTGTACAACTGTACTGTACATGTACTTCCGGAAATATATAATAATAATAAATAAACGCGTTTTACGGAAGTACCTTCGTAATACATTTAGGGCTAATACCTTCATTCATACGAAAGGACCTTCGAAGGTACAGTACGAAAGTTGTTACGATTTGAGTCAGACGACGTAGTACGAGTACACGTACTACGTACCAAATCAGGAACCTAGACACTAGGTCTGCCTCGCAATGAGCGATCGCGAGGTGACAAGGGTCAAGTGTCAAGTTCAAGATACACAATCACAGAATACGCGAATGTGCCGATAGGTACGAGTGGAGTCTGGGATAAGTCTGAGGAGGCCTGAATCCGAGTAAGCGTGCGGGAATGACAAGTCCCGTGCGCTACGGAGCAGGAGGTAACGAAGTGACGAAACTGACAAGACAGTCTCGGAACGCTTTGAGTGAGAGTAACAGCAACCTGTATCCAATCGGTTGGGTTAGAACCCTACAACCGTTAGAGGACACAAGCTGTGGCGGAGGAACTTAATCCTACAACGCCAGTGCTGTAGATAATCAATATTACATACAAACACAAGAACTCTGAGCAGAAGTGAAGAGAATCTACAAGGTCTTAAAGGGAAAAACGCTTCCTCGGGAACACCGATTAGTCTTCTCGGAACCTCGACTGATTAGGATGACAGTAGCCGCAGTACGTCGTATAAGCTGATAAGGTAGTACATGGAGTACGTATGATGCGAGATCATAACAAAAGTACGTACCTTCTATTCGTATGTAGTACTAAGCTAAGAAATAAAGTACTGAATTGTACATACAGTACGTACTTTCGAAAATAGAATACCTTTGTTCGTACTTTCGTACTTCCGTACATAGTACGGAAGTACTACTTCCGTACGAAGGTTGGTAACAACTTACTTCCGTACACGTACATTCATGAATAAATAAATTAGCAGTAGTTGTACGTGTACGTGTACTGTAACCGGTTTGTAGCTACGTACACATGCGTACTGTATGTATGATATTTATGTACGAAGATACTTCATATCTGATAAGCAAGGTAGTACTTTCGTACATGTCCGAAGGTATGATAAAATAAAATATTGATACGTACGAGATCATAACACTACTAGTGTGCAGTACGTGTACAGTACGTGTCTGTACTACTGTAGGCCCAAAAAATATGTGCGGAAGTATACGGAAGTACGGAATACGACGTACGTACTTCCGGAAATAAAGACGTCGATTTTTGAGTTAATAACTTAATAACTTTCTTCCGGATGGTTTAGTCCGAGGCAATATGACTACCTTAGATAGATAGCTACCTTAGGGTGCCCCCACGCAGCATGCATATAGGTTATGGGCCTGTGTCGCTTTGCTTCGCTCCGTCGATAACCGAAGTCATAAAAACCGAGAACTACTTGCTCTGCGCGAGTGTGCGCGTCTTTTATCTGTCGCCGATCATCATCGAGTGACCTCTGGCGCGACTTTACCGAGTCGCTGCAAGTTTTCGGAAAAAGACTTTCACAAGCTTTTCCCGGAAGCGTACTTATCTGCCAAACGCGAATTACCATCCGCGAAGGGGCTAAGGCTTATTAATTGAGTCTTTTATCGCCTATAAAGGCATTGCTGGAAGTACCGTCCAGCATGCGTTGTTATCAACACGTATCGCGTCTGTACGGAAGTACGGATACGCACGGAAGTACGGAAGTACTCCCGGAAGTATCGACAGATAGACACGGTAACGTTGTAGGGCTACCGTTGGGCCTGCATGGGTTAGAGCTCAGTCTTTTTATGTAATCAAAACTACGAAGGTACTTTCGTACGAAGGTACTGTACAGTGTACACGTACTACGTAGTACGAAGGTACTTCCGGAAGTAACGTTTATCTTCGAAGGTAAACCATAAAGGCCTTCATACGTATGATAGGCAAACATGCTCCGCTATTTAAATTTCCCGTGCCAAAAGTACGAAATTTGTATGCGTATTTGGTTTATATCGCAAAAAGCGTACTTTTGCGCGCGCCCACGCGCCGTCGCGTCGTCGATCGATTTGAAACTTCGTCACGATGGTGTACATCATGTCGCTGTCGCTGATGTCCTCACAAAATTTCGCGTTTTTAGGAGGACTAGAAGGCGGATTTCGGACCCCTCGGCGACTTATTTTAAAAAGGCTCCAAAGGGGTCGGAAAACCGTCTTTCTGACTTTTTGGCACGGGAAATTTAATTAGCGGAGCGTGACCTTAACACTTCCGTACGTATGTACGTTGTACGTGTACTGTACGTGTACACGTACTTTATGGAAAAATGAATAGTGCATAGCTGCATACGAAGATAGATAGTTAAGGGTGAATTGAATCCGAAGGGTTCAACCCTTTAAGCTCCCGTCATTTACGCTAATTCGCGGCTGAAAGGGCGTAAAGTACGACTCGGTACCGGTTTATAGCTTCCAAGGTACTTTCGTACCTTCGTAGTGGCTAACACAGCGATAGGATTCTGTTGACCGACCGCATTGAGCATTGGTTCTGACCGAATTAGGGCTTAGGGGTGCTCTACGTCTGATTTGTGGAGTACTTTCGAAAGTACCTTAGTACGTGTATACTGGTCGAGTACTCGAAATCATGTCCATTCCTATCACTACATTTATACATCACCTACACTTGTATAGTACTGTAGCCATACGGTGCACCGTGTACTTGTACAGTGTGTAGTTCTGATTACAAAAAGACTGAGCTCTAACCCTCCGGGCTAAACATGTGACCTAGTGCGAGCAAACTACTCAACGGGTAATCCTCTCACGCAGTAAGCAACCCCACGATGAGATTCCTGAGACCCGTGTGAGCCTCACGAGCACACGAAGCCGTGGCGACGTGGAAATCGCATGCTGTGTCAGGCTCCATGAAGAGGATTTGCGTTGCCGTCCGCGTGGAAGTTTTCAGAGTCACGTGCGGTTCTGAGCGCGTACGAGATGGGCGCGCCAGCGATGCGGTTCCCGATGTCGGATACGAGCGCGACGGAGATGTGGCCCGTGATGCGTCGTTTCCAGTAGCTTTTGGTGGGTGGGTCGTTTTCCCCACTTTCAGCGACACTTCAGAAGAATTTGAGCCCAGATCGACCGATCGAAAATTTTGAAAGGAAAACGCTCACCGCGAAATTACGTGTAGTCTAAGTGTCGCTGGAAGTGGCTGGGGAAAACGACCGAACCGTACGTGTACAGTGTGTAGATCTGATTACAAAAAGACTGAGCTCCAACCCATCCGGGCAAAACATGTGATCTAAATGCGAGCAGACTACACTACGAACAAACCTCTCACGTCGTAAGTAACCCCACGACGGGATTCATGATACCCGTGTGAGCCTCACGAGCGCATTAAGCCGGGGCGATGTGGAAGTCGCAAGTACGTGTACACTGTACAGTATACGTACGTGTACTGTACGTGTACAGTGTACACGTTCGTGTATCGTTACAGTACACGTACGTGTACTGTAACGTTGTGTACACGTACGTGTAGGGCGACGGACCGCGAGGACAGCTGAACGAGCGACGACAGCAGAGATTTTGAAAAAACAGCTCCGAGGACACCTGATCTCGAACTGAACCCTATGAAGTCATGGGGTCGATTCTTGAACCTTTGCCGACCTTGGTCGTGTGTGCTGCCGCGCTTAGTGCTGGAGCCGTGCACGTCTATCACTCGGGAGGTTTGTCCAAGTGCTCGCGGCGCAATACTGCTAAGAGCGACGGCGTCAAAATGTTGGCAAAGAAGGTATCTGACTTAAACGTTCATAGGCTCTCTGTTGTTGCGGAGGATGCATCCACCAGGAACGTGCGATTCCCATTCTCAATTCAAGAGGCGTCTAAGCGAGGCACGGTTGTAGATGTTCTTGGCGAGCCGGTTGACCTCGGTAACACAACTGGCATTCTATTAGGAGGTGTGTTGGGTTTCAGCCTCACCTTCTGGCTGAGTAGAGGGCTGCGCTCACGGTGCAAAAATAGCCCAGCCGTTCCACTGACGAAGCGCACGACGCTGGTGTCCTCCCGTTCAGATATTCTTGGAGACTGCACGGAAATGGTGTCGATAGATACGGAATTGTCGTTCCAAAAAGCTTTTGAATTAACAAGAAGTGTGATTGCAACACCGTCAAGTTCACCTTTCTCGGTCCCTGTCCAGAGGACGATGTCATTGTTACATGCGGAATCTGAAGATGCAGTGTTCTCGGGCCTGACATTTTCAGATGACGCGCTGAACGAGCTGGGAGTCCTTGTAGAGCGCGCGGCTGCAGCAGCTGAGTTAGTTACGTCAAGCTGGCTGGGCACCGACCAGCCTTCCCTCGGTGTGGATCGATTTAGCAGTGATGAAAACGATACTAACATGGCAACACTGCCGGCAATGACATCACGCCAGTCGACTTGCACGGAGCCATATTCTAAAATGCCTGAAAGTATGACGAGCAGTGATTCGGTCACTACGCCACCTCGTCCTCTGCAGATCGGTAATCAAAGAAAAGCACAAACTGATGGAAATCTGGACTCAGATACACAGCCTGCACCTGTGCAGATATTGAGCTCTAGCCTGCTTCGCACTTGCGATAATGAACTGGCGATTGGCGAATTGACAAGACTGATGAACTATACACAGTCGCTCTCAGCGCGATCGCTATGCCGACCAATGAGTGCGACGAAACATCCACAAGTTGTGCAGAGTAGTCTTGGTGTTGCTGATCGTATCACCCGAGCTAAGGAGCGCTATCTCCAGGCATGTGCGAGACTCCATGGAGAACCAAAGTCCAGCTTTCAGTCGAAGACTAAATCCTGTGACGCGAGCGGCAGTCGTGTGGAGACGAATGCTTTGCAGCCTATAGATGTCGTCGCGCTGCAGGAGGTGGCGAGAAAGGTTGAGGTGGCACTGGCTCGCAGCCATGTAACGCAAGAGCGGATGAAGTCGGCGGCACGGAAAGCGGTGAGAGATACGAGAGATACTGCTGCGAAAGTTCGGACAGACTGGTCAAAAACTTCGAGTTCGCGTGCGCCGTCATGGAATTCAAATTCGCTTTTATCAGACCTGGATTCAGAGGCTGGTGTCCACCTTCGGTTGGGCCCAGGGGATCAGGTCACTGGCAAACCGGATATATTTGACAACTGTATGCGCTCATTCTCCTTTCGCGACAAGCAGGAAGCATTCGAGTTGGTTAACGATCTCGAAATAGACAAAGGTCGCGGCCATGTAAATGACAGCTCAGGTATCTACCATGAGAACTCATCACCCTCTGAATCCAATTGTATATCACCGGGTGCATCATACGGTGCCCTCGCGCTTTCGCTCACTGGCGATGCGCGCGAAGGTGAGACGTTATATGCCAAGGTATCAGGTTTTGTGCCACAGCCGGGCACTGCTGCGCTGAGTGTGAGGTGGCAGCGCGGGTCCGTCCCCTGCAGAACTGCTGAAGGCAGGCGGCCGCCCTCTCCGACCTTCAGAACTATTCTTGGAGCAAAGAGCATGTCATACACTTTGACACGCGCGGATGTTCGGAATGTGATACGGGTTGCCGTTGCCCTGGTCAACAAGTCGACAGAAGTTACGGATAACAAAGGTGATGAGCGGTGGTCCAAATACGCATTTGGTGCTGCCAAAACTGACATTGCCGTCCAACCTCGCTAGTGTGAATAGGCTCTACTTGCAGCTCGTCGAGCCAGAAGCAAATCGTGTATTTTTAGATCTACGATGATTATTAGTTGTGTTATACAAAGTGCAGTATTTCCTGCCAGCTTTCATTCTGTGGGTGCTTTAGGTGAGTCACCACTCGCGCTACCACTCGTGGAAAAGGGCGGCGGTGTCTTAGGCTTTTCCGAAAGTAGTTCATTCAGATCAGTTACCGAAGGATGCGTCTCCATGTTTATCTCAGGAAAGTCCATTAGGTTAGCCTCTTCACCACCTGGAATCCACAAACAAATGTTATTCCTGTGCGCTACAGACTCCGCTCCGCTGTATCCTACGATGTCGAAAAAATCATCACTCTGTTGTCCGATGAGCTTCTCGCATTCATTTGATGAGTAATTGACAATGGCGCGCCCAAACTCACGCAATTCTCCTTCCGAGTCAGTAATGAAAAGTGGAACTGCTTCGTCTGCAGTGAATGAACCTGCAACAGAGATTATGTGAGTCCCATAGAGCGATTTGTCGTTATTAAGCGCGACCTCCGCCTTCTGGTTCACAACAATCTGGCCGTCAGCGGGCTTTTGCAAAAGAATCCATCGTTTACGGCCAACTAACGGTTGCGGGACAGCGAGGAAAAGGGTGCCATATGATGCGCCATTGATCACGATGTCCGTGAGATGACAGAGTTGGTTGCTATGCATCACAACTGTATGGCAACCTGAAGCAGTGGCTAAGCGCGCTGCATGTATCTTTGTCGCCATTCCTCCCGTACCAAATTTTGTCCCCGCGCCATCGGAGGTATCAACCACCAGGTCCTCAATATTTTCTACCTATGATAAATTTGACAAAAGCACCGGAAATGTGTGAGTTACAGTTTAGACAAAGTTGCAAGAATAGTGCACAAGTTGGGTTAAAAAGTATTGCTCACCAAGGGTATGATTGTCGCTTCCGGATCATTCACGGGGTTGCCAGTGTATAGGCCATCAACATCAGTCAACAGAAAAAGGTAGTCAGCATCGGTAAGCGATGCAATGTGAGCGCTGAGTGTATCATTGTCTCCAAACTTCAAGTCTTGTACAGCAATCGTGTCGTTTTCGTTAACTATTGGGATGACATCTCGGGCGAGCAGTGCCTGGAAGGTTCTCTGAGCATTCAGGTACTGTGTCCGGTCCATGAGGTTATCTAGGGAGACTAAGACCTGCGCAATGGGCTGCGACACCGAGGTGAAGAAGTCATCGTACATCCGCATAAGTCGCACCATGCCTATCGAAGCCATAGCCTGTTTGCCAGCAAGGTCTGTGGGTTTATCCTGTCAGAGACGAAGTCAGATCAAAGCAGTCAGCGATTCTTCCCCTTTATTATTCGTCTGTAAAAAGAATATAAATGCCAGCATTTGATACTAGGCATCACGAAAGCACAGCCGCTAGTCCGTTAGTGTGGTGTACTCACACGTACGAATCCAAGTGGTCAGTGCTGGCCACCAGGGTTCGAACAGTTACGTACCGTTGTTCCCAATACCTGACACCCTGCACCGACAGCACCGGATGTCACCACAATAACCTTGAACCCAGAGTTCGTAAGGTCAGCGCACGTCTCCGCTAGAGCACCCAGGAGTGACAGATGAAGATGTCCTTTCCGGAGCAGCGAAGACGTTCCCACCTTGATAACCACCACCTTGTATCTTGCCTCCGGTTTACCGACCCGCAACTCGGGACTAACGCTCCCCATTCGATTGATCTTCTGCATCGATATTGCGCTCGACACGGTAGGGACGTGCGATATGAAAATATTATTATTCTGATCGAAGCGCACTTGACGTTTGTCTCACTCCATGAAGCGCGAAGAAACCGCGTAGACCACTTCTATGCCCGGCCTAAATAACGTGTCGGAGTGAGACATGTACGGAAGTACACGCACAGTACACGGTACACGTACTGTACGCACGTGTACTTCCGGAAGTATTTTCGTACGAAGATAACAACTTATTACGAACGAAGGTATTATCTATGTACGAAGGTATTCTGTCTATCTTCGTACGGAAGTACGAAAGTACTTTCGTACCTTCGTACGAAGGTACAGTACACGCACGTCCCGTTGTAACGAGTACGAAGGTATCTATCTTCGAAGGTACCTTCGTCGTCTGTACGTGTGTACGAAAGTACGTTGTACACGGTAGCTGACTTTTGCTTGTATTCTATCTTCGCACAAAAAAACGAACGTACGTGTACAGTACGTTGTAGCCCTACTGTACATAGAAAACGTACATGTACAGTTGTACACGTACTGTACTGTAGGCCGAAATTTCCCGGGGCACCGAACCCCGGGATTGCCCCCCCCCCCCCCCAGCTAGTACGTGTACGTGTACGGAAGTACAGTACTTCCGGAAGTACAACGTCTTTCTACAGATTTTAGTATTTCCGTACACATAGCATTTAAATTAATATCGAGTTATGGGGCTTTTAACGCCACTTTACTCTATTTAACACTACAATAATAAGTGTACGTGTACAACGTTGTACTTCCGGAAGTTCAACGAAAGCAAGTTTATTATCTCACTAGCTAGGGCCTACATTGTACGAAAGTACTTTCGTACAAGCTAGACTAGCGAAGGTACTTTCGTAGCTACTAGCTACGAAGGTAGCTAGCTAGCTAGCTAGCTAGCTAGCTAGCTAGCTAGCTACACTATCTAGCTAGATGGTACGGAAGTACTTTCGTACTTCCATATCTAGTCTACTCTAGATAGCTAGCTAGTACACGTACTTTCGCAAGTGGAAGTACTTCTGGAAGTACGGAAGTACTTCCGGAAGTATTTTCGTACTTAGTACGAAAGTACGAAAGTACCTAGCTAGCTAGACTACCTAGCTAGTACTTTCGAGGTAGTACGGAAGTGCCCACTACCTACCTTCAGGTACACACTCTAGACTATCTACTAGGCCCTAGCTAGCTAGCTAGCTAGCATTTCTTGCTACCACTTCCGTATCTAGCTATCTACTGTACCTCCAGAAGTACTTCCCGGAAGACGAAAGTACTTCCGTACGATGGTATTCTATCTATCTAGCTAGCTAGCTAGCTGCAGTAGCTAGCTAGTTAGTCTAGCTAGCTAGCACGGAAGTATTTTATCTAGTAGCTACCAGCTACGAAAGTACTGAAGTACGAAAGTACCTTGCTTCGTACGAAAGTACTTTCGTACTTTCGAAAGTACTTTCGTACGAAGGTACACAACTACACTACACATGCAGACAGCTACACACGTACGGAGCTACGGACGTACGTGTACTTCCGGAAGTACTTTCGTACTTTCGTACGAAGGTATTCTATCTATCTAGCTAGCTAGCTAGCTACAGTAGCTAGCTAGTTAGTCTAGCTAGCTAGCACGGAAGTATTTTATCTAGTAGCTACCAGCTACGAAAGTACTGAAGTACGAAAGTACCTTGCTTCGTACGAAAGTACTTTCGTACTTTCGAAAGTACTTTCGTACGAAGGTACACAACTACACTACACATGCAGACAGCTACACACGTACGGAGCTACGGACGTACGTGTACTTCCGGAAGTACTTTCGTACTTTCGTACGAAGGTACGAAAGTACTTCGTACGAAAGTACTTTCGTACTTCCGTAGACTATGGCAGACTGTTTTTATTTCCGTGCAGATTTCAAAACTTTGAATTACCCATAACCCAGCTATATGCATGTTTTGATAAATGTGTACTTATTTTCTGAAGTGATGCGAAGAATACTATGCGCTGAGATCAATTCTTGACATGCATTTCTTTCGCCTTTTACTAAAGAAATCTGAGATGTGACCTTATAACGCGCGTTTACAATTTTTGAGCCCACAAGGCTTCGTATAGACAAATGTGACCCGTGGAGCACAACAATATGTACGGCCACCCGCAATATCAAACCCGCTTGGTACGTGTAGTAGTACAGCATAAATGGTTCTATCTCCGCTTCTCAAACATGCGCTCCAATACCGAATGCTCTAAGATGTTTCCGTCGACAATACTAATAACTAGTCTTCCATAGTTATTCTTCCGAATAGGGGCGAGAGCCGCGCGCACGCAGCCTCACCCTACCATAAATTATCCCATGAAGACAACCGCTTGGGTTGTTCCTGCCTATCACCGCAACCGTAGTGCAAGGGAGGCGGTTCCAGACATGGCCACGGCCTTTTGGATCACCGTGTGCCACTGAGCAGGTAAGTATGACCCGTACGGCGGACGTCCGCTGGAATTATATATATTCTCTAACTTTAAAATATTTAGCTGCTTATGGGTTAGCAAGATTTTCTCTCTTTTGTTTTCGAACTCGCGCGCGTTTGCTTGCATCGTTTTTTTGAAATCGCCACGTGTCGAGGCCGCGCGCGTGACTAGTTCGATTAGCGGTGAATCACGAGCGTTGCGTAAGGGGCGGACGTCCGGAGCACATGTGCAACGCCACGGCCATCCACGCCACCCACCATGCAAGCATGACTACTTGGGTGGCTTCCCTGAAAAATACATTTAATATCGTAACTGGAATTTCCAGTTTACCAGATATTAAACTGATAAGAACAGATACTACACTTGATCTTAGCCAAAAGGCCGAGAAAGGTATGACTGACCAAGCGCACTCAAGTTCTATATATATGTAAATATGCGAAATATAGGAAACTGGATTGTGGGTAAATCTTTATTTCACGTCTGTTTGATAGAATACTGAATTCTATCAAAGACTACACTACACGTACATTGTACTTTCGTACGTACGTGTACGTGTACAGCTACGGAAGTACGTGTACACGTACTCTCGAAAGTACTTTCGTACTTTCGTACGAAAGTATTCTAAATCTTCCGGAGAGAATACTCTGCAATCAACTACAATGTTGTAGTTGTACGTGTACAATACAGCTGTACACGTGTCGTACGTGTACAACTACTGTACAGTAGCCCTAAATTTTTTTTTCATGAAAATAAAATGAGCGCCTCAGCGTCGGTACGTGTAGTGGAGAAGGGGGCACAGCGCGGAAGGTATTTAGGCTGAAAAGTACGGAAGTTCGTGTACTGTTTAAAAGTGGTTTTCATCGGAAGAGTTCATCCTTCATCGTCAGGTCCCATGGCGGCCTTTTGCATACGAAACTCCAAACGCATTTGATAGGCTGAAATTTTGGTACCTAGGTCCGGAAAACCCCCTGTGTAGATTGGAAGGTACTGTAACCTTACTTCTCCCAAATATTCTATTCGTGTATAGTCCTATTGTAAGTGACTACGTGTACAGTACATAGCTACATACAACGTATGGCCTTTGCGTACGAGTCCTGTACGCACCTTCGGGCTATTTATGTTTGTATTGTTGAAACTGCTGCACGACACCCAGAACGTGCGCTCTCGTTCACACTAGGCAAGCCGAAATTTTATTGCTCTTCCAGATAAGAAGATGCCGAAAGGACTGTCTTATAAGTGCTCAACATCTCACCATAGTCAGCAGGGTTCACATAGACGCCATTTTCCATCCACTGCAACAAATCTTCTGAATCTGCACCTGCCTCCCTCAGCAAGTCAGCAATGTTCTGCCCTTTGTCTACGACAATGGAAACTGTGCCGAAATCGATACAGACATCAGCCCCACGAGTTTTCCTTCTGGCTTGTGCAATGCAATGAAACGGGCTGCCGCTGAGAAACAAGTTCGCAACGGGTGGAGATCCAAACAAGTTGTGGCCTCGAGAACCTAAAGAATCTTGATATGCCCCAACGAGGAACGCAGCCACCAGATATGTTTCATTAACTCGCAAAGGATGCAATGGCAAGAGGGAACCACCAGCGTTTGCATTCGAACCTGAAGATCCGATGAATTGGTCGATGCGGCCATCGCTGTCACACGTAAGGTCAGCAATCGAAACAATAATTGAAGGTTCCTCAGATAGACGGTGAAGTGGAGCTACAGGAAACAGCTGTCGTATAGCCCATGCGTCTGGTAGCGAGCGAAAAACACTTAGATTGGCATGACACCATGTCAAAGGTTCTACTGCAAACAGCGACACCTTAACAAAAGGAACATATCCACCAAAATATTGTAAATTAAGTGAAAGGCTTCAGGGGCAAGCACGCGGTGCAGAATAAACTGACACGGATAAAGCAGAACAGAAAGTGACTCGAACGCTCACGATATCTCTCAAAAATGTAACGCGTAATTTTCATGATTTGCATGAATAAGGAACCTACCTCAGTTGGGAAAATGTTTGTGTCCGGTATGGTTCTTGCGAAATCTAGAGCAAGTGACCGGATAGACGAAAATAATTCTTCAGCCTCAGCTCTGCCCTCCAAGCTCATTATTCCTAGCTTAAAAAGTCTATCAGCTTCTTGTCTGAACTGTATTGCATCATTAAGAGATTCTTGTATCTTTGAAATATTTTGCTGGCCTGACTGATTTATTATCGTCATACTACCAAGGATGCTTTGAAAGTTTTGCAGCAAGAAAGAGCTTGGTTCCACCGAGCTTAAGTCCTTCATCAAGCTGGCATCTTCCACATGGACTTTTGAGACCGTTAACCCTTTATTCAGGTGACAAGGATACTCATCATCGAAGCTCGGCATTGCTCCTCTCGGTTCGGTGGACACTACTTCAAAAATTAAAACGTCTGCAGCAGAAACTATTGCACGACCTGACTCAGTTACAAGAACCGGAGGTTTTATCCCGGTGCGCATAATGGTATCTTGCAAAGCGGCGACTACATCATTTGCATAATTCTGCATATCGTAATTAGTACTCCTTTGCCCTCCCCAACCTTGACTGCCATGATACTCGACACCAAGACCTCCGCCAACATCAACAAAACCCATTGGAGCACCTAAGCGGACTAGTTCTGCATACATTTGAGTAGATTCACGCATAGCTTCCTTGAACGTTGCAATGTTCGACACTTGGCTGCCGACATGAAAGTGAAGCAGTCGAAGACAGTCAAGCATACTTTCGTCAGCCAGACTCGCGACCAACCAAATCATCTCTTTCGCACAAAGTCCAAACTTTGCGTTGTCACCTGACGTTGGTCCCCAGTGACCACTGTGGCCAGTGGTGAGACGCACGCGAATCCCTAAAAACGGTCGGTGTGCACTTCGCGGGAGATCTCCCACAGCTGTGATATAATACTGCAGATCAGACGGTTTCTCTATCACGATGAATGTGTTTACTCTCAGAGCGGCGGACTGCACAGCAAGGCCAACATAGTCGCCGTCTTTGTAGCCGTTGCATATAAGGAAAGGAGTTGGTAAGGAGTAGTCGGACGCTGAGAGAGTGTGTGCATCAAGATTCCTGCAGTCATTTCTCTTCTTTATGGCATGGTATCCGCCCATTACTTGGGCCTTCTGCAGAACTGCGAGACATAAGATAAGCTCAGCCTTACTCCCAGCTTCAAGCCCGAAACCTTCGCGAGCACCAGCCAAAACTAGAGAAAGCAGCAAGGATGCATCGTGACAACATTTTACAGGTAATACTCCACGATGCAATGAGTTCAAGCCCCAAGTTAGCGCAGCGCTTTGAAATGCAGAATGGAGCTTGGCAGACTGACTACACGCAATATCTGGAAAACGAAACAGCAAGGGGCCACTACTTCCCAGTCGTTCGCGTACTGCAGTCGCAGCCGCGTAGAGGTCGACTTCCACTTGATCGATTTCAGCTTCGCAGACTCCCGCGGGCCGCACCACGACACGACCATCGCACTCTTCACCCAACAAAAAATATGGGGCGCCCCAGCCTTCAAAGTTGTAGAGAGCTTCACTATTTTTAACGGACCAAAGATGCGCTTTTGTCAGTACGCTCGAGAAAGCATTCCTTCTCGTCTGGCGTACTCCGTGCGTGTAAAAGTGCGTTAAGTTGGCGCGTCCGGACCTTTGATGACAGCGATCAATCTTTGCGAGCACCCTATAAGCACTTCCCTCGGAAGCGATTACCATACACAGGAATAATATCTGACCCACTAAGTCGCTAATATATCGAGCAATTGTGCATGAGTGTTGTCATGCATCTCTGCGAAACACGAAGAACAATGAAAACAACCATTTTTCGTACTTTCTTACTTCGGTATCAACTTACAGTACGGAAGTACGTTGTATGTACATTCGTACGAAAGTACTTTCGAAAGTACGAAAGTACTTTCGTACGAAAGTACATAAGTACTGTACTGTACTGTACAGTACGTGTAGTGTACAGGCTGTACACAAGCGGACCACGCGGGATACTGTACACGTACAGTACACGGATACTGTACACGTACAGTACACGTAGAACTTAAAAAAATTTCGAAACTTTATCAATGTGTACTGTACACGTACACGTACTGTAGCCCTACGCGTAACAAGTTGTACAGTACACGTACGTGTACTCGTACGTGTACACGTACAGTAGAAAATACGAAAGTACTTTCGTATCTACCTTCGAAGGTATCTTCGAAGATACAGTACACGTAGGCCCTAGTTGTACTGTACATGAATAAAATACTGTAGATATTTGTACTTTTGATAAATAAGTTGTCATATGAGGCGATGCGCGCGGAGCGGATCCAGAACAAGATGGCGTACGTGTACAAGGAAGCGAAGGAGGCCGCGCCGAGCGAGGCAGGAGGAGAGGCAGAGGAAGAACATCCTGCACATAATAATAATATTTTCAGTTAGCACGTACGGAAGTACTTTCGAAAGTACTACGTACGTGCATGTGTAGTCATACAGCCAAGAAATGAATAAATTTTTGTATGTGTAAAAAATACTAATATTTTTTCCGTTCGTGAGTACGTGTACACTATCAATGAGTACAGTATGTGCATAGGCCATAGTGGTCTAGAGCCACGAAAAGTCTTTCTATCCAATCAAGAGGGTGTCTCAATATAATTACCTAGAAATATGGTGACCGTAACATGAAAGCCTGAGTTTTGAACTCGCATATCAACAACAAGATCAATATTTAAAGCTAGCTAGCACAGCCATGTTGTATTACATAGCTAGCTAGCAAGCTACTAGCTAGATAGCTAGCTACTAGCTAGATATTATAAATACTTCCGTACAATGCTACATACGAAAGTACCTTCGTAGTACATAGCTACATACAGTACACGTACGTGTACGGATGTAGCAAGCAAATATGTTACCTTTGTAGTTTATCTGTACGTGTACACGTACAACGGGGTAAGTTGTTTTATACAACTATCATAAGCAACTTATGGAAATAGATTCACTACACGTACGCGCACTGTAGTTGTACAGTAGGCCTACAGTATATGTTCATTGCTATTTTCAGTAAGTAGTTTATTTATTCAAACGTACAGTACGTGTACTCGTAAAATGATATTTTATTGATATCACAGTCTATCTACGAAGGTACTGTAGCTAGCTAGCTAGCTAGCTACCTTCGAAGGTACTTTCGTACTTTCGTACTTTCGAAAGTACTTTCGTAGATATTAGCTACGTAGCTAGTACTTTCGTATCAATTTAAATAATAGTCTACATACAACTTATTAGATACTCTCGAAAATATCATACGAAGGTACTTCAGTAGATAGATACTTCCGGAAGTACTTCCATACGTACAGTACGGAGGTACATAACCTAGCTTGTACCTTCGAAGGTACTTTCGTAGATACGAAGGTAAGTTGCTTGCTTGTTACTACACGTGCGTACGAAAGTACGAAATAAAGTACGTACGTAGTACTTCCGGAAATAGAATACTTCCGGAAGTACGTATGTAGCTACGTAATAGTGTAGGTTTTGATAGGATTGATAAATAAGGTCATGGTGGGGTAATTCGCGATTTCGCGTTGAATCGACATAGTGACGGGTCTAATGAAGGCGAAGGGTGTACCCTTGCACTACCGTCAATTCGCGGGCTGAAAGGGGCTGTACTGAGTCGAGTTTTTTCGTAGACTTGTATAAGTGTTCTGCTGCAGCACAACTGGCAGAGAATGTAGCCAATATGTACAGTATGTTGTGAGCGTGCATGACGAAGAAAACTTGAAAACTTGTGTCAAGATTCACTTTACTACTTCTTCAGTATATCTTTCACCTTCACCTTTTGACTAAGGCTAAGAATTTCTGGGAAAATAACCTGAAAGGTGATGACAAGATCACCACGTGAATTCGGAACATCATAAATAGGAAAACCCTCGGACGGGATAGATAATATTTGACCAGGCATAGTCACCTCTGTATTCTGAAGCTCTATGATATGACCGTCAAAATGAATAAATTCGTGGGTAAAGCCGGCAAGCGCTTCCGCAAGATCAATTTCATATAATATGTGGAGATCGTTACCAAACCTCTTACGCTTGGTGTTGTTAGCAGATCTGATTCGCACGCGAAGTTCACCAGAGTCACCGTCCACGAGAGTCTCGCCATCATCATAAAGAGTTATTTCATGCCCATCTGGAGTACCAGCTTCGATGTCAATCGTGATGATTTCAAAACCACGAACTATCTTGATGTTGTCGCATTCTTCACATTCCTCCTTGGCATACTGTTGAAACATGCCGGGGGCAACCTGTCGTGTTACCATCCGCTGCATACAACGGCATTTACGCTTCCCTTTGGCAGGTTTATGCACACCTTTATCACGTCCAACCTTGAGACTGCAACCGGTGTACAGATCCTCGAGACTTAACTCAAGGTCAAGTACCACGTCATCACCGTGGCGTATGTCTGCCTCTTCATTGTCAAAACCGAAATTATTGCCAAAAAATTGAGAGAAGATATCATGCTGGTGGCGCCCCTGTCCACTACGCGTATCATGTTGTCTCACACCATCCTCTCCATACTGGTCATATACTCTTCGTTTCTCTTTGTTCGATAGGACTTCGTAGGCGTTGCTGATCTCAGCAAAGTTCCCAGCCGCCTTCTGATCGCCTTTATTCTTGTCTGGATGATACTTCAGCGCCAATTTTCTATATGCCCTCTTAATCTGAATATCTGAGGCCCCGCGGTCGACCGCGAGTGTTTTGTAGTAGTCAGTCCTGAGTGGTGCAAGAGCAGAGACGAGAATAATTGTGAAATCGATTGTTTGCGAGCTAGTCAGCCTGAGCGAGCTTGAAAGTCTACATATCGAGAGTTTATGTACCAAAGTCTTGTAAGAAGCCACTTACCCCAGCACCTGCATCACATTCATAAAGAGTATGACCACAGTTAGTGTGCAACGTTGCAAATATACGTGGTGCATTTATTAGACACGTGCACTTCGACTCGTGCTGTGAACGAGGTCTTCGGGCCTATGACTGGCTCCTCCTCACGTCGTGAAATAAGTTACTCTAAAGTCGAGACTTCTGCGGTGAACGTTCGTACTTGTATGGATGCCTATGCAGCAAGTTCGAAACCGGGGCTGGTTCGTCGACTGGCGAGTCACGTCGCGTACCTTCGTACCTTCGTACATACAACGTTGTACGGAAGTACTTTCGTACTTTCGTACAAAGTACTTTCGAAAGTACTTTGTACGAAAGTACGAAAGTACTTCCGTACTTCCATAATGCGCTACAAATGATACTACATCTATCGTTCTACACGGAAGAACTACAAATGTACATACAATCTGTACGTGTACTGTTTGTTACACGTACAGTAATATTTTTATTTCGATGATCGAATCGAGTGAGGTTCAACCTGGTGGTCGATCGATTGGTCGACTCGGTCATCAGTTGTGTTTTTTTAGTACGCTAGATGTAGTAGTAGAATAGTAGTAGTAGTATTTTCACGTATCAAATAAGTTTAATTGGGAAGGCCTACGCCCTTTAAGCCCTGAATTAGCGTTGATGCGACAGAGTTAAGGGTGAAATGAACCCATTAAGCTCCGTCAATTCAGGCTAATTCAGGGATTAAAGGGCGTAGGCCAGTACACTGCGCTTATTTTCATAAATTATGATACAAGGTCGACAGTTGAACCTTCGAAGGTACCGCGTTGTACGTGTACGTGTACACGTACTGTACACGTGTACTGTGCACAGCTGTACACTGTACAGCCACTTACTGCGCGCGCGGCGCCAGAGCGGCGTTGTAACTTTCTAAAATTTCGACACTATTATTAGTAAATACAGTACACGTACATGAAGAACGTTGTACGGAAGTACTTCCGTAGGCCGTACAGTTGCCCCACTGAGGAACGCGGATACATGCCGCGCCGCGGTGCGCGATGTCAGCACTAGAATGTACTTTCGTACTTTCGATTTAAAAAAAATTACGAGAGTGAGTAGCTGATGAGTGCGTTGTACTCGTACACGTACACGTGTACACGTACAGTACACGTATTTACGTCATTCAGCCAAGAAATAAATAAATAAAAGTACACGTACACGTACACGTACAGTATGTAGTCACGTACTGTACACGTACTTTATTTGTTTTTACTGTACCTGTACAGTAGTTGTACGTGTACGTGTAAACATAAATTCTTTTACAGTTACAGTAGTATTTTTTTTCTTTCATGAATATGAATGATACAGTATGCGGTTTTCCCGACGATAGACTATGAGTACACGTATTATGACAAAGATAGTGAAAGTAAAGATACGAAGTATAACCGGACTATAAACAATATAAACGAAGTATAAAGCACCTGTCGCACTTTCGACGCGCGTTGTGATATGGCGCGCGCGCGCTCGGGGGTTCCCGCGCAGCGCGGCGGCGAGGGAGGCAACTACACGTACACGTACTTCCGGAAGTATGTTTTTCACGCGTAAAAAATGGTTTTTTGCTCTCTAGCTAGCTAGCTATACAACTTAGCTAGACCTCGGAAATACGAAGGTAATATGAGCGCCTCCGCTGCGCGTCGGTAGTTGGGAGAAGGGGGCGCGGCGCGGCAGGGTATTTTTAGTATGAAAAGTACGGAAGTTCTTGTACAACTACTGGTTTAAAAGTGGTTTTCATCGGAAGAGTCACATTTTGTGAGTTTTAGACAGATTTGCATACACGAGTTTTTGTACATAAAAGCTACGAACTTGAGATTCCAGCGCGAGACGATGATTTCATCGTAAGGTCCCGTGGCGCGTTTTTGCATACGAAACTCCAAACGCATTTGATAGGCTGAAATTTTCGTAAGTACGTGAAGTTCCGGAAAAACCACTAAAAAAAATTATTTTGTAACAACTAATTTAGACTACTGTACGTGTACTGTAGTCTACGTGTGGTAATGTATGTAGCTATGTACAACCCTGCTCCTTGAGGGTACTTTGATAGTCTACTAGCAACTACGAAGGTAGCTAGCTAGAAGCGTACCTTCGAAGGTACTTTCGTATCATATTGTACAGATGTACACTATTTATTTAAAGTTGTTATTCTAAATAAGTTGTTTATTAGCCCTACTGTACCGTGTAGTTGTACTGTACACGTGTACGGACAACTTACTTCCGTATTCTATCATGCATACGAAGGTACCTTCGTACCTTCGTACGCTACTTTCGAAAGTACGGAAGTACTTTCGAAAGTACGAAAGTACTTCCGTACGTGTACAGCTGTAGAAATAGTCATACAGCTGGCTGTTCGGGAACTGGTTGTATGTACTTTGAAAGTACTTTCGAAAGTACTTTCGAAAGTACGTTGTACTTTCGTAAGTTGCTTGATTGTGTTCGGATGTAGAAGTACAACTACAACGTTGTACTCTACGTTTTTCGAACTGAGCAGCAAAGCTCAGCTTTCAACCTTCGAAGGTAAAAAGTTGCGTTGTACTAGGCCGAATTGCGGGCTCGTGCGCAACATTTTTTTCAGCTGCTCGGACGTGGGCTCTGAAGACGCGTATATCGTTCGGAGGTGTTTAAAAACCAAACTAGCAAAAATCCTAAAGTTATTCTCTTTCGCTTCTCTCTAATGGACCCTCTCGCCAACGTCTGCTCAAACTTTGAACAAGTTGGGCAGGTAGGTTTACACCTATATCTACTTAAAGAAACTCTTCGTATATTTTCGGTTTACTTTTTTACAGGCGTTTGTCTCGCACTATTACAATACATTTGATGCGAATCGCAGCCATCTGGGACAGCTATACAAGGTAACGATAACAACTGCTTCACTGCATTTACTACCCAGTGAACTGGCGAAGTGGTTTGTTTAATTTACTTTCCGTGACTGCTTGGCTGGATGCCATACGACTATACAGTATTTCTAGCGACTCTTTGCTGGTACCTTCGTGGAGCCAAATTTGAAATTGCACTCCGCTCCGCGAGTCTTCGAGTGCATAATTGATCTTGTGAAGTTCTACTCATTACCTGTTCTCTTTCTGGCCTTCGCAAAAGGACGAGGTGTCAATGCTAAACTTTGAACATAGTGCTGAGCGACCAGGACAATATAAGGGCGTATCCGCCATATTAAGCAAAATCCAAAGCTTGCCATTTCAACAAGTTAAACACCACGTTATTACGATTGACTGCCAACCAACTCCAGGTGGTGGTGTTATAGTAATGGTTTGCGGGAACTTGCTTGTAGACGCTGAACAAATACCTCAAAAGTTCAGTCAAGTTTTCCAGCTGCTGCCCTCTGGTAATGGATCCTTCTACATCTTGAACGATATTTTCCGCCTCAATATAGGGTAGGGATGAATACGTATGATAAGCATTGGCCGAAAAAGAATGCGCACGCGAAGGCCTCCTCAACGCAGCAAAGTAATATTACGCTCCCACATTAATATCTTCCTCAACGGTTTCACAACGCAGTCTTGCCATCCAAGCAGCTGTCAACCTTCTGAAGAAGATTCGTATTCTCTAGTGCCGCCGCGACACGTTCTTTGTCGTTTATCTGTTTGGTGACAGCTTCATGTGATGAATGATAGCCCGGCCTGACTAAGATGTCTAGCTTGAAACAGCGAGGCAAAGCGCGCAACAACTTAACGCGGATAGATAAGCCGATTAAAGTCGCCATACTGCAGTGAGGTACAGTAGGTGAGAATGTCACCTGTATTCGGAAAATAACTTTCGAAACCAATAAATATTTCGCGTTTACCACGCGCAACTGCAAAAAGATAATAAACAACTGTTAAAAAAAACTCTCTTGAAGAGGCTTGCCTGTTCTAGACTAAAAGGATGCTCAGGGTCACTTATATCCTTGATATGCTCGAAAACCTCATTGGCGTCGATTTTATCAAGATCTTCAGAACTTCGATGCGAATATTGAGATGCTTTACTCCAGTCAACAATTCGCTGCTGGAGCCTTTGCCCCGCGTGCACAACTGGCGTCGGATTGACGAGAACCGGCTGCAGCTCCATAAGTCAGTGCAGGGGAAGACACGAGTTGGAATCAACAAAGAGAAGAGGCAGGTTTAAACGATAGAATTTGCCGCGGTGGTGCGGGCGCGCGTAGTCGCGCACTGATGGTGCGTGTGCGGCGGTCCGTAATACGTACTGTAGGCCTACGTGTTCAAGTACACTACATACACGTACGTGTACAGTACAGTACACATAAAAATAAGTTGTTTCCGGAAATATCTACACGTACTGTACAGTACACGTACACGTGTCCCTTCGGAAGGTATTATCCCTATGTTCCGGACGGAAGAACATCATTTTATATCCGATACTACACGTACGTGTACAGTAGTACATAAACGACACCTTTATTATTGTACGGAATGATATCTTAATACTTTCGAAAGTACAGTACTTTCGTACCTTCGTTTTATTTATTAGTGGGTTTTAGTTGCGCCAAAATCGGGTCTAAAATCGGGTCTAAAATCGGGTCACCCACCCGATTTTAGACCCGATTTTGACCCACCCGATTTTAAAATCGGGTGGGTGACCCGATTTTGACCCACCCGATTTTAGACCCGATTTTAGACCCGATTTTGCTTTTGCAACTAAAACCCTCTATTTCGTACGAAAGTATTTACGTACTTCGAAGTACGAAGGTACACTCACTCATACTGTAGGGGCTGGATTTATGGCTGAGCAGAAAATCTGCAACACGCGATCAAAGCATATTGATATTAGCCCGGTTATTTTGACGAATCGACCAGTTTGTCTACAGTCCGTGGTTCTCACAGACCTGCACACGTTTTTAATTTGACCTTTGCCGCTTCCTGAGTTTCAATCGGACGCTTGTTCGCGTCGTCCCGGGTCCCTGGTTCATACGTGCACATGTGCTTATTGTCACTTCAGGGCGTGCCACCTCTCAGAAGGGCAAGTTTTCTTTAGATGTCCAGATCACGTTGCCATGTTCCGCCCAAACCTCTACCGCTGTCGTTTTCTCGTGGTAGTCTTCCCTCTGACGGGTCATCAGTCCTCGTTATCCTCTTTGAAACGAATCCGCTGCTATGGAGCGGCCTTGGCGGGAGGTTGGACGGCAAGGAAAGCTTCGATGAAACGCTGAGACAGCTTCTGGTTTACATGATTGGATTTCTCTCGCTTCACGAACAGAACAGGGTTGTTATCATCGCCTTGCATTCCAACGTCGAACATTGCATGTACGCGATACCTACACTAGCGAGTGGTGAGAATGACCTTACGAATACAGGTAGTAAGAGTGATTTGTGTGCCCAGGTTATCTCAAATTTGGCAACTTTGGCAATGCGAATGCGAAGTGACTTCGACTTAAGTACGAAGTCAAATATGCCACTGACGACGGTAATCTCGATGGCTTTATGCTGTGTTAACCGGGCACGGGTCTACAAACCTCACTGCTCTCCTCGCATATTATGCATACTTGGGTCTCAGGATTCTTCGGGCCAGTACTTCTCAGGAATGAACGCTATCTTTTCAGCAAAAAATTCTGGTGTTCGGATTGACGCGTGCTTGCTTGGATATACAGACTCATTTTTTCTTCAGCAGGCCGCGCAAATAACTGGTGGTTCATATTGCATGCTTCAGCAGGGTGAGAAAGCGTTATACTACTTGCTCAGTGATTTACCTGGAAGTGAATCCATTCGGGCGAAGCTACAGTCGCCGAGGAAGTTTTGTTCGGAATACCAGGCAACTTGCTTTTGTCACGAGGTAAACCTTCAAGTTGGATTTGTGTGTTCAGTCTGCCTCACCATATTTTGCGAAAGATGCCGAAAATGTTTAGCATGTTTCGCAGATTACACTTAGCTGTATAGTAGAAACATTGTTATAGCATTTTGAATGCAGCTTTATATAGTGTACGTCCGAAGGACTGATGATAGCTATACACGTACACATGACTCGAAACTTTATACAGGAATGTTTTGAAAAAATACTTTCCAACTACTGTACACGTACTGTAGACCTCTGATATTCACGATGCAGTCGGTTCGCTGTGATGCCCTTCGTTGAGAGGCCCGGCACTCCTCGGGTTGAAATTGCGTTTTAGCGCCTCCTTGTTACCACCGAGGAAACGTACCAAGCTCAGCAGCTCGTCGCGGACCAACCACGCTCTAACCTCCCCTCTCTCTGCGACTACACACCCAATGTTGTGGACTGGAACAGAGAAAGGTGAATTCAAACCATCCAATAGAGCAATTACTCTTTCCTTCACAGGACTGTATCCGAATACAGTGCTGTGTTTTCCCCATCCCGTCACCACCTGAATTTGCTCTGGCAAGTCCCTTATTTGAACAGGGATCGCATTTTTTTGATGCACTGCTGAATTACCAGCTGAGGCAGAAACACGAGCAGTAGTATGTGTGGGCCCTTTATTTTTGGCATTTTCTAGAATTGCACGGGTGCCTTGTCCTGCCGCGTGCACATCGAGGGGGGCAAGCGCTCGCGACCTCATCCGCCGCAGCCACCAGCGCAGAACTGCTTGTGCTGTTCCAGCAGATCTGATGCGGTGGAGGTTTAAAATTCCAAGCTCATCCTCACAGCGCAAGTGACCCTGCTCTTGTGCCTGTACTAGCCAGGCCGTGGCCCGGTCCCACTGTCCCATCTCCTCACATACATCAATTAATGCGTCAAAGGTGAGGGCGTCCGGTGCGATCCCTTCTTCTTGCATTCTTTTCATAGCTTCGCCAGCCTGCTGCCACTGTCGTCGAGCTTCAAACGAGGCGATCAGCGTATTGTACGTGTGGACTGTGCGACGAACACCTCTGCTTACCATCGTTTTAAAAGTGGATTCAACTTCAACGCCACGGCGAGCCACGTGGAGCGAGCGCAAGAGTGCATCATACGCGTATGTTGCAGTGTCACTCTTAGCAGAGGTTGAAATGAATCCAGAACTTGTCACGATACGTTCATGATGATAGCCTCTCTGTTCGGGATTGTCTCCATTTTCTAATGAATAAGTCCCTGCCGTGTGCAAGAGTTCCTCTTCAACAATGCATAGTAAGAGTTCTGGAAGGTTCCCAAGTTGCTTATCTGATTCACTGCTTGATATATCAACAACGGAACCAACGTGATTAACCTGAATATGCGTACTATCAAGCGACGCATCTATTGTCTCTTCAAATATAGCTCCCATAGGTCGCCTACAATGTAGGTTTCTATGATTTCTGGCGTCAGCGGCCACTTGCAACTTCTCAATCCCACACAAACAGTCCAGCGTTATAGCATCCGGAACCAGCCCAACGCTCAGTAGTTCTTTGAAAGTATCTGCTACTTGCTCCCATTTCCGCTCTGCTGAGGCTCCCATCAAAAGTATATTATATGTCACCAGCGTGGGCACAACCTCCTCTACGCGCATGCTGCAGAGGACACGCTCTGCCAAGTCACTGTTCCCTGATTTTATGCAAGCCCCTAGAGCAGAGTTGAAAATCACTGCAGATTTGTACAGCCAGGGCGTGCCACAAGCTTCTTTCAACAGCTGGTACGCACGCTCACATTCCCCCGAATTTCCATAAGCTGTTATGAGAACACTGAATGTGGTTTCGTTAGGCTTGATATCACTTTTGCGCATATCCCTGCGCATCGATTCCATATCTTGCAAACGTCGCTGCCGTCCGAGTGAAGTCATCACTGCATTGTAAGTTGTCACGTTTCGGAGAATGCCCTGCGTTGGCATACTGTCGAAGACAACCGCTGCTTCGCGATATTGAGCAGCACTGACAGCTGCACTCAACAGAGCATTGTATACTCCTGTATCCAAGGCTGTGCCCTCTTCCACAAGCGCCTCAAAAGCGTTACGGGCTTTGTCCCACTGACCACCTTTCCCGTATGCTGAAATGAGGCTGGTATATACATAGGCAGATGGACTACAATTAGGAAATTCACGCTTCATTTCTGCGAAAGTGTATTCCGCAAGGCGCCACTCGTGTGCTCTTGAGAGCGCAGCTATTACCTCGTGATAAGAACGAGCATCAGGTGCAGGCCCTTGTTCACGCATTTCGTTGAGCAATCGCCGAGCTTCCACATGTCGAGGGGGAACGCTGCGCTTGCAAGCACGAAGTGTAGAGTTGTAAAGAGCAAGTGGCAAAACATTGCCTGTCTGAGAGAAACTTCCAGATGCTGTGACTTGGTGCAGATTGCGAAGGGAAGTAAGTGCATAGTTGGAGTCCCCTCGATCTGCTGCACGTTCAAGCTTACGCAGCACACCTTGCAGTAACTCCGAGTAATCTGAAATTCGATTGGCATCATCCTCACTACCGTTTTGCATTTCTTCCAAGACTTCAGTGTGCCTGTTCATAAAGACATCACCCTTGCTGTCTGGCGACACGCAACATGTATGCCAGGTCCTGCCTCTCGTGAAAATAGACTGCTTTAATGCGCTGCAGCACTTTACTAAACCAAGATTACTGTGTATCCTGGATGAAACTTTAGACGAGGGATCCTTCGCAGTGTAGTCACTGAGGTCTGGGTAATCGTGGCATTCAAAGGAACGTCTGTGTTTCCTACCAGAAACATCGTACTTTAGTTGAATAGTGACCATTTGCTCAACTAACTCGCTGGTCGGAGGTACAGCTGGGAACGTCAGAACAAAAAAAATAGTCGGCCCACTCAACCAACACGGTCCGGAAGGACTTCCGGAAGTAACGCGGTGTGAAAGGCCACGGACTAAACTCAGCGGCAGATATCGGAAATTTGCCCTTTTGAAGCTCTCACGATCGACCCTCGGACTAAACTCGCCGGTCAAATTTTCGCCCTTGGACGCGCTGAGCGCGCTGCAAAATAAACAGAAAAAGCGCTGACAGCGCGTCCAAGTTCAAAGGTATATACGGGGCAAAAAAATAACTCCCGACGACGAGAAAAAAATGTGCCCGGCGAAAAGGTGCCGCCGGGCGGAAAGTGGAAGTGTGTGGGCGCACATTTTTTTCCCGACGGCACATTTTTTCTGCGGGTCGAGCGAAATTAAACCGTCGATTTTTTAGTTAAAAATGCGCCGGCAGTTTAGTCCGTGGCCAGATAAATACCTTCGTACTGTATGTACAGTACGTGTAGAAGTAATAATAATAATACGAAGGTACCTTCGAAGGTACTTTCGTAATAAATAAACAACTATCTCAATGTTGTTTATTTTCGAAGATCGAAAGTTTTATACAAAAAATGATCCTTAGGGGTCCGGAAACCGCTTTCCAGGCCTCCTAAAATCGCGAAACTTTGTGTGGGCATCGGCAACATGATGTACAACATTTTGACGTAGTTTCGAATTGATCCGCGCAGCGACAGCGCGTGGGAGCGTACGCAAGTACGTTTTTGCCATCTGTATGCGTATTCAATCTAAATTTCGTACTTTCGTACTTTTTTTCTGAAATCGTGAATTACCCCACCACTGTACAATAATACTTCCGGAAGTATTCTATATCCGTCCGTACGTAAAGTACTTTCGTACTTCCGTATATATGACTACACGTGCGTTTATTTGTACCTTGAAGGTAGCTACTAGCTAGGGGTCCGAAAACGGCCTTCCCGTCTTATAGTCTGCCGCGCAAACTCATTGATCTGTTATCGTAAATCGCAAATGGCTGCTGTGCAAAGTTGCAGATCCTTCCACGCCGCAACGGCGCATGTGGAAGCGCGGACGTGAGGGGGCGCGTCTGACAGACAGACGCTCATACGAATTGGGAATAAAAAAATCGCAAAAAACACGAAGTTCATAGTCTACGCGCACACATAGACGCTATCTGGTTTGAATGTGACTGGACACGGTCGCTTTCTCGGACGAGACAGTGACTGCGATTTGTGCAACTTCGTTGACCGACTTCGCTTCGTGACGAAAAGGAAGACAAAGAAAAGCGGTGACGCAAATGCCACATACGCCAGAACACGCCAAATAACTATGATGCAGATGTCGTGGAGGGATAGATGGTGTCCGAAGTTGAGCCAGGCATTGGTTACCCACCTATGAATACTTTGCAGCCTACCTTCCTCAAAAAAGTTTCCCGCCGTGCACTAGTGATCTTGCCGACGACAGGCAACGCCCGTAGCGGCACAGGCACGCTCGTTGACTTCCAAGCGCTTCACGGCTATGAGAAGATAGAACTATCTTACGATTCAACGGATGCGTCTGTCCTTCAGAATGTCATTCTGACTTGTGGTATTATAATAAATGGTATTCAAAAGGTGGACTTGCAGTTGTGGACTGCATTTCGTGAGGCAAGGAAAATCGGTATACTTGTGCTGAACTATGATCGACCGGGGTTGTACCTCCATCAAAAAAAATATATCGATCTGGCAGCTGCAATCCCGAAGTATCTTGCACCGTACTCCGCCCATCTTGAAAAAACGTGCGAAACTCGTGATGATGGATACAGGGAAGTCCTTATTCATGTGATATCTGGACCTGGTATGGAAGCAGAGCGACTTGTTTTGCGTGACAAAGTGTGTCCGGCATTAGTGGATTTGTGTAGAACTCGACGGCTTAGGCCAGTCTATGCCGACACGTTGGAGAGCTGTGGAGTTGCTTCAGCTATGCGATCTGCCGAGAAAGCACGTTTACGGTCTATACATATCGTTTTAATATCGGGCAAGCGCGAGCCCGAGGAAAGAGAACATGAATATTTGTGTAGATTCGTCGACAAGATCCAGAATAGGAATGAGCAAGAAAAGTTTAACTGGATTCGACGAGCTCCACAGCATTACAACCGATTCGAATTCGTAATAAGTCAAGTGTTACAGCTCGCAGAAGAGCCAGCGTGGAATGCGTCCTCTGGGGCCACTACAGATCTGCGAGAAGTAAACTGTGTGTCGCCACAGCATGTTCTTGCTTACCTTCGCGACTCTCACTTCATGCAGCAATTACCAGATGATGTGCGCAAAGAGTACTACAGTGTTAGTACGCTTGAACGGAGACGTGTTGGTGCAATGTTATCAGTACTGTATGCTCATCCTTATGTGGCTATACGCCAGTTTCAAGCGGACTATGCACCGTCCGCTGATTCGAAAACGATGAGGAGATTTATCTGTGGTGTTCCGAGACACACCACAAATCTTGGTCGCTTTGCTTCAGATGTTCTGGATGACATTTGGTCGCGCATTACCCATGAGTTTCCCTTGAGTCCGAGCGAATTTACTTTGAAGGAGCATGAGCCTGAATTCTCACTGCAGCAACAACTTCCATTTTATTTTAATAGAGGGATTTATGAATATACATTGATGCGCTGCATAAAGTTGGGAAGACCTAATGCAGTTTTTGTAGGAGGCGAGGAGGGAAGTGGGGTAACAAGCATTTTGCAGCGCTGTGCCCGCAAGTGCCGACAGCTATACTGTAGCTCCGATAAAGTGGAGCAGCATGAAGTTGTGATCTTATCACTTTTTCCCGGGCTTGGTCGTGCTTACTACAATCCCACACAAGTACATCGCTTACTCGCAACAAGTCTATTGAGATACTGTGGAAACAAATATAACGTACCAGGAAGATTCAATGAATCACGGGCGTGGCTCTTCTCTTTGCTCCGTCAGATGGTGAACAAAAATCACAGAGTGTTAATTTTTATTGATGCCGCTACCGCACTAGAGAATCCAAGAGGCATTTCGTGGCTTTTTAGCGAGACAGAACTTCCTTCAGGCGTACAAATGATAGTAGGGGGTGATGTTCTGAATTCAAAAGTCGAGCAAAATACAAATACAATTCACAAGGTTCTTCCATCGTCGTATGATATTTCGACGTTTGCTGCCCAAAAGACCCTTCGTAGACAGCTTGTTGGTCTATATGCGTGCATACCCAAAGCGATGAGCAAAATGCTGCTGTTAGGACCAATGGAATACATTGAAATAAGATCGTACGTTACGAAGTATCTAATAGTTGCTGCAAACATTGAGCTCGAAGACGCTCTTTTAAATATGCTTCTGGGACTACCTGGACTGGCGTCAATAAGCTATGCAAAGTTACTGGTGGAAGAAATATCGTCTATGAACATGGACGACACCAGGACTATTTTCGAATATCTCGTGAAGTTGACCACACAGAAAGTTGATATCATATCAAGCCGCCTTGACAGAATGGAACTGATTTTCCCTCGATCAATGCTGGCACTTATATTACCCACTGTTGCCTATGGCTGCAACTCTCTCACCTTGGAGGGCATCATGTCTGTGATTGCTACCACTCTTGATTGGGATGAGCAAGTCTATCTTGGTTCTTTTATTGCTCCTACACTCATGTGGGAGGCTAGGGGTCTAATCCTTGGGCCTATTGAGGGTACATTTAAAATCAGCAGTGATGCAACAGCTGGAGTTATAATTGATCGATATGCTCCAAATGAACCCAAGAAGCGCGCAATATTTCGATTGCTTTCTAAATATTATGGATCCCTGTATAACGGATCAAGTAAGATACAGAAACGTTATACTGAAAACCGAGGAAATGATGTTCAATTTTCTCTTGCTGTTTCAGCTCAAAGCACAGGAACACAACGAAAGCGTTTTTTTGGAAACGAACCACTCTTTCGATCGACAAATCTGAGTTCAAATGCGCTCGAAAGGGATGCCGATGCACCGCTAAAGCTTCCGGCAACGCATCAAGAACGTCATCTTGTTGTCGATGCGATAAATTTACTGCCTTATTATCTTACCCAGGCGCGGCAGTTTGGAGAGCTTTGCACACTTCTACAAGATTTTTCCTTCATTCAAGCTAAGCTTAAGCTTGGCGAAGTCTCGGCATTACTAGATGATTTCGATCGGGTTCTGCAATTTTCTAGACTTGCATGGTTGGAAGACGATTTTTCAGATGATTGCAGTCCTAAATCGGTAGAATATGCGTCTTGCAAGCAGAACGTTGAGAGTGCACTTCGAGAAAAGTGCATAGGTCATCACCCTGAGGACTTTCGAAGGTGGGTATTGACAATACACGAACACGAGTCCCCATTGCAGAAAAAAATACTAGCTTACCGAGACCTCATTTTTCGGAACATGTCTGCACTTCATTTTCGCCCTTTCTCCATTCTTCAAGTGGCGCTGAATGCACCAGGTGGAGCAGCACCTGGAATACATGCTGAGAGGGAGGTACGCAGACGATCTCTCTGGCTCGGCGAAAAGTACTCGAAGTTTTATTCTCAAGCAGATTCTATCCTCCCTGGTGTAAATATAGAACATACAGAACATTTGCTGCTGTTATGGGGAAACCGTCCTCAGGAAGCACCTGTGATGGAACTGCGTGATCATGCTGTGCATAAGAGTGCAGTTACAACTTGTGCCTGGCTGGACGAGACTGCATTTGTCACGGGCGACGATGATGGTTTGTTGGCAATTTGGTCAACGAACACGGGGGAGTGTGTTGCCCGTCTCATTGGGCACAGCAAAGGGATAACGAGCCTGGTGCCTGCCAATATATTCAAGCAAGATCAACGTATTATTTCTGGGTCGAAAGATTTCACCATCCGCTTATGGAAAATAAAAGGCGACCTCGGGCAAACGAATCAAGTGCTCACGGGTCATACAGATCACGTAACAGCATTGGCGTTTTCTCAATTTGCATGCCAGTTATTTACTATTGGGCGTGACCACAGTCTCATTGTATGGGATCTAAAGCTGCCACTTGCTGTCAAACTGCACTGTGTGAATACTCTTCACCTTGGTCACATCACAAGCCTCGCTTGCTCTCCCAAGGCCACTTCATTCGTGACAGGATCAAGTAATAAAACCGCGCAGATTTGGACAGTAAACACCCGAAGTAAAACTGAATCGAAGGAACGATATTTGCCGAATCAAGCAGCAGCTGCTGAACAGTTGGGAACACCAGAATTGTCGATACGACTATGTGGACATTTAGCAGAGGTGACTTGCTGTGCCTTTGGACCACACGACACTCATCTCGCTACTGGTTCGCTTGATCACTCAATTTTGCTTTGGAACTCGTTGTCAGGCGCGCACATGAACATTTTAGTCGGGCACAATGCGGCTGTGATTGACATATGTTATGACAGCAGCGGCAAAATTCTTCTTTCACTGGCTAAGGACTTGTGCATACGGATCTGGCGCCCTCTCTCTGGTGAGACAGTATTAGTTTTAAAACAGTGCTGTGCAATGCAGTCTGCTCGATTTTCGCCGGATGCAAGCCGTCTTCTCGTTGTAGGCGGACATGGCACGATAGTATTATGGAATTGGGTGGGTCGGATTGGGTCAGCATCGGTAGGACATGTCCCCCAAAAGCCTGCTCTTTTCAGCGAAGGATTTAAATTGAGAGTAGATCTGGACCGCGATGAAATAACTGAGAAATGTCGTACACGCAGTTTGCTGAATTCCTCAGAGCTCGAGGAAATAGTGTCTTGCGCAGTTCCGCGTGCATTTGATGGCCAGATTCACGAAGGAACAGTCACAACCATCCTTGGACTTCAGAGCAGTGAATTCAGCGATCAACCTAAACTTTCCCAGAATCTATCTCAAAGTTCGTTTTTTCTTTCGGGCGGCCAAGACGGCTTAATTCGGAGATGCTCTTTGGAGAACTCGGATGTGAAAATTAAGATGACGTTCAAGGGTCACTCTAAGGCAATCCGCGCCTTGACAACCTCTCGAGAGCTGTCAGCTACTGTCAGTGCTTCTGAAGATGGAAGTTTGGTTTTATGGGATACTGCAAGAGGCCAAGGTTTAAATGTCTTGACTGGTCACAAGGGACCAGTTTTAGCATGCTGCTTCATCGACGGGCACCCATCGGTAATATCGGGAGGTAAAGATCAACGTATTCGTGTATGGGATGTATCAGAGCCTGCTGGTGGGATAATGAAAGCTGAACTTAGTGGGCACGAAGGCCAAATCACTGGATTAGCACCTTTAGGTGAGGTAAAAACTATGATTGCATCGTGTTCCACCGATAAAACCTGGCGCATATGGGACATTAATAGGAAAGAGGCAACGCGATCTTTGTCTGGGCATACTTCAGGGCTCACCTCTCTGGCGATAACGCCATGTATGGATATAACACTCACGACTTCATTGGATTTTACTGCACGTATTTGGGACTTTCGGGAATCAAGAGGCGAAATACACAAGTTTGATCTTCCACTTGTACCTGTCGCTTCTTCTGCAAGTCCGTATCAAGATTCACTGTTATGCATCTGCGCAGGGGATGGACTGCACATGTATGACAATCGTATGTGGAAGGAAGTTGCATTCTTTCAAGGTTTGGCAAACTTTGGTTGTGTTAGTTTTGGTGCACCAGGCCGTATATATTGTGGTGATGATGCAGGGAGGATATACTCACTTGACACATGCAATGCGCCTGCGCTGGGCAATGATTTACTGCACTGACAACACACCCTGTCCTTTACCTGGAAGTCGAATCGAGTTTCACCTTGAGACTAGTTGGGAGCCTTACACAGAATATGCTGTCATGATCGAGGTTCATCTCCCGCAGTGTCTGCCCAGTTCCGAAGTACACTCGCAGCTCATGTTTTTCTGGAGCCTGCAACAAGCTCAGTTGCAGCTCGTCCTTGTAAGGTAATAGTTCTCGCCTTTCGTCGACAATACAGTCTCGTAGCTGTTCCAGAGTGAGTGCCAAATGCACCCGACTTAAAGCCAGCACATCAACTGATGAAGTGTTCCCTGTGGTCGCGAACCTATATGGAGGACACGGCTGTAGGTCTATTTGAATGGTGAGAGCAATGTATTGTTGCTCAGCTAACATCGATTCTAATGAGGTGGCCTGTTGTGTGAGCACCGTAGCCTCAGCGGCTGACACTTCGCCAACTCTTGCAACGGAGTTCCTATCCGGATGGTTGCGAATAATGATCTTGCGCAGGTGTCGGTTGATTTCATCAATATTTTTGATGTCATCGTCGATGTTTGAACCCGCAGCACGAATAAAACCAGTGCAACTTGCAGCAATGCACTCTAAAGAGCAAAATCTAGATCGGCAAAATTCACCAGAGGATGGCCCTAAGGTCTTTTGGTGTTCAGTAAGTCCAGGTCGTGGGTTGTGCACTTTCGGGAGATGCAACTGTACTCGCCGGAGTAAATTGGCCCGAGCAAGTTCATATAGTGTACTATTGCCCATTCCATTATCAACCTCAACGATATATTCTGCCTGAGTTGATATTCCTGTAAATTCGCGAACATCCTGCCTCTCAACTCTCGCTTGACTCGTCTGAACAAGTTGCCCTTGATGCCAGGACGGAGGAAGATTTACTCTCGTATGGTTGCTGTTCGAACTTTTTGCCTCTTTATCTTGAGGAGTTGTGTTATCGCACCTTTCAACATGTTTAGTTTTCTGCTGCCGTTCTACCGCGACAACGCACGCGTTATCAATCCTGGCATCGATTTTCTCCAGTGGTATTGGTGGAGAGACCACTACACTTGTTACTTGTTCTTCTTTACACACACCCTCAGCACTTGGTTCACCACCCGAATGTTTGACATCATCGAAACGTGCACGCTCTTCATCCCTTGTCACGATTTCCGACCACGGGGACACGGATGGCACGTCCGCTGAGGATGGCCCGGTGTAGTTCCCGCTCCGTGATGGGGTCTCTAGGAAACCGTCAGGCAAGGAACCCAAAGGGCGATATTCCTGCCAACCGTTGCATGTTACATTCATATTGTTTAGTTCACCATCGTGAGTGAGATTTCTGGTCTTCAAAAGGTCGTCGCGGCGGGACGAGAGGAGCCGGGTGAATCGCGTCGAGTTCTCAGGGCTGAAAAGTAGAACCTCAGTAAAGGTCCTCGTTTCACTAGGTCTCCGTACAAACTCAAGAGCCAACTGGTGAAGAAGTCCATTATTCTTCACAACAAGATACACCTGTCGAATATCCAGGATACCTTTGGTCCACTTGTGCACGACAAATCTGTTCTCCTCGGCCTCCATGCACACGATATTATCGATGTCAAGCAGTATATACAGAGGGCTCTCCTTGATTTCTAGGGCGTAGACAAGCAAATCGTCTTGATATTTGCTGCACTGGAAAAAATCACATTTAATACTCTTCAAATTGTCCAGCGACAAAAACTTGAACGCACATAGGTCTCGAGCTTTGAGGGTGGAGCAACTAGACAGCTCGGACTGCATTCCAATGCGATGGCTTGCATTCAGATGTGTCTGTGATGCATCAACTTCTGGCAACACTGCTCTCCCTGTCAAGTCAGAAGTGTCCTTCTCTCCCTCTGTTTTGTGGGCTGCAACATCAAGTACGCCCTTGACTTCTTCAGCGTTGGCTTCCTGGACATCTCGACTCGCAGCAATCTTCATATCCACCCCGAAATCATGTGAAGCCATTTCTCCATTTTCGGTGACTACTGCGGCAACAAAGTCTACTCTGCTGACAGTTGATGCCTCATGAATGGCTTTCTCAACGCAGTCCACAGAAACATATTTATCCGTGAATGACAAGCGCGACATTATGTGAGAAGATTCACTCCATGAGTCAAATGTAAGCGTTCCTTGAGTTGATAAAGGACGACTTAACTTACTGACAGTCCTCGGCGCATGTTGTGAACGTGAAGATGATACCTGCCGCGCGTGTTGAAGTGCACAGGCTACCCTTTCGAGTCGTGAATTCATCTCAGCAATACCGTCCTCGGCTTTCGCGCTTGTGCGAAACGACCTCAACTCAGGAGCAACCTGAAGCCTAAGTATGCTCACGATGATTTGAAGCTCCCGATCTGCTTCGCTTGTAACGTCGAGAGAACATGATTTTCTCAAGAACGCGGACGTCATCCTACAGTCCGCTAAGTCCTTGTGCAAGACCACAGCCCATTGAACTTTCGTACAGGTACGAAGGTACGTGTACACGTACGTGTAATGAGTAAGTAAAAGTTTACATAGTTTTTCGAAAGGCGAAGACTTTTGCGGGTCGAGCGAAATTAGACCGTCGATTGTGAGTTAAAACTGCAGTACTTTGAAATACCTTCGTAAGTTGTTACTTATTTATTTACTGTACCTTTTTTTCCGGCAGTCATGTACAACGTTGTACGAAGGTATTTTATTTAGTGTCGAAATTTTAGTAAGTTACCCCCTGGTGTACACGCACAGTATTGTACACGTACGTTGTACGAAAGTACTTTCGTACGAAGGTACGTGTACAATTACATTTTATTGTGTACGAAAGTACGAACGAAGGTACGAAGGTAAGTTACTGTACACGTACAGCATTATTTCCGTACAACATTTTGCTGTCGCGAGTGTCTCTCTTGCTCACTGAAATCACGGAAGTTGTATGTGCAACACTAATGGATGTCGCATCATTATATTTACAAGTAATGAACAACGTTATCGATGGTGTTCGGGTGCGGTTTCTCAGCTTGTCTTTCTTAGCTCTTCAACTGATTTTCGGCTGCGAGCATGACAGGGCGACTTCAGTTCTGAGCAGCTTGACGAATCTGTGCTCGAGTCCTTGGCATCGGTGAATCAAACATCTTTAAGTTCAGGCGTTCTTATCTTGAGTGATCGATTTTCCCCACAGCTCTGGGAACGCAAGCTTCTACAGTCCGGATCTTCTGCACCAGAAAGAGAAACCAACAACGATATAGCTGTACGTTACGTTTTCTCACACTCCCATCTTCCCTGAAATCAAATTTGTGATCATTTGTGATCTAGACGCGGGCGATGCAATCTCTCTTTATTATATATTGTATCTTTACTCAAGTATCCGAGTCCGCATAAAACCCATGTCAACAAAAGCAGGAGAAAGCTGTAGATGAACCCGGTCTTGTGCACAACGAGAAGGTTAACTGCTCGTCAGAAGAGCAGCAGATATCGAGTGCTGCAGTAAAAGGTTAGATGAACATTCCACGGTGTACTCTCTCCGCTTTTTTTTTCGTGGGCTAGCCATTTTTGTAAAGGAGTCTCAAATTTTCACGACGAAATGCCCAAAATACTGACATCGCTATTAAGGTTTAAAAGAGGACAGCGCTGAGTCTTTGAGTTCAGATAGTGATGAAGGTCTGTACATTTGAGAATGCAAAGCCGTTAGTTTAACTTCTTTTGAATACAGGCCTTGTGGATTTGTGCAGCTCCAATTTGGTCTTGGCACAGTATGATAAGGTTACACGTGCAAAAAACAAGTGGAAATGTACCCTTAAGAAGGGCGTGATGACTTTGGATGGCAAGGACGTACTTTTTGGGAAAGCTTCGGGCGAGTTTTTATGGTGACGGTGGTGGTGATAATATTTGTGATGCAGGTCCACTAAATGAAGCTAATGATAATAAAAAAAGGCCCTTGCTAACCTCGTACTAGCTATCCTTAATATATATGCTCTTTTTTCAACTATAAATGTCAGTTTCGCTCAAGAGTTCCACTTTTTTAGATGGTCTCCCTTTGTAACAGAGAAGCACACATCAGGAAAGAAACAAGTTATCATCAAAAACCCAATGCAAAGAAAAACCTGCTGACAAGAAAATGAAATGTGTAATTCGTTTGAAGTGTATGCAGCTAGTCGAGACTTTACCTCTACAAACGGCGTTATCCAGCCATAGACATGCCAGAACAATTTAGCGAATCTTCAATAGTAATACTGTTCAGCACTATTTAAGAGCAAGGTTTTGCCAATATTCAGTCTTACCCAATAAAAGATATAATACCGCAGATGGAGGACGCAGGCAGTGCCCAGGGTGCTTTACGTGACCAATTTGACCCGCGGTGTTGTAATTGGTGCCGACGAACAAGGTGGCACATAATCCACATGTTAATTCCTAGAGGAAGAAACGCGAGGACATACCAGCTCCTGTGTGAAAATATTTTTGAATCACATGAACGAAAAGTGCGCGTACAGTTAATACCACAAGACGCCCGATTGACTAGTTGAGGCGGTGACCAAGTCGACTGAACCATCTCCGTAGTAAATGATGCAGAAGGACGTGAGTATCCAAACCACTCGCTCAACTTTCGCTCGCAGTTGATGTCGCCTTCTCGCACGTTGCTGCACAAGAGCAATACAATCGAAATTCTCGCCAGCTTTCAGTGTTACTTCGTCCTGAGCTTCAAGGATTTCATCAGGGTACTTTTTCAAGGTGGGGTGCATGGCTTTTTTAGGCCGGCTTTTACATTTCTGTGTCTATTTCTTTGTATCTATCTTCGTACGAAATAAAGTACGAAGGTACGAAAGTACTTTCGAAAGTACTTTCGTACTTTATTTCGTATGTACTAAAGTATGAAGGTAACGACTTATTATCGTATCATCGAAGGTGATATGTCCTGTCACACACGTACACGTACAATACAGTACACGACTACAACGGTAAATAGTGTACTGTACACGTACCTTCGTACGGAAATAGAATATTGATAGCTATCATAGCTAGAGTAGCTAGCTAGTCTACAGCTCTACACGTATAAATAAAGTAGGGCCTAACTACGTTTCTTTCAGACACTCGACCCCCACGATTCATTTCCCGTCCTCCCGTCGTCTTCTTCGAGACGCCCTCAACAAAGTCAACATTGAAGCTGCTTATTTCTGGCTTGTGAAATCGCGTGCACTTGCCGCACTTCATTCGTTTTTCATAATTTCAAGAGAATAATGGTACGCTTTCAGCGACGACTTTCTCGAAGAAAACTGAGCGTAGTTTCTGTCACCGCGATTAAGTGGCACTCGGCAATACATGCCATCTCGTTTACTTTCCGCATAGTACAAATTTCTCTCAAAACTAATCTTCTTGCAGGATCCCATAAAACTGTGCGTTTTTTGTAAACTGTGGAACTTTGACGAGAACAACTTAATTCCGGTTTTAGGGTTTTATGAAAAACTCTTCTAAAATATTTTGAGACCTCTGCAGGGCCATCGTGATGAAGGTAATTGGACGGACAGGCTCTCGTGGCCAGGTAAGTAATGGACACAACGCTCCACTTTTCGATCCCTCGCATGCATTCATTCATTCGTCGACCATTTGCAACCCGCGTTGATGTTTTTTTTTCTTTCAATAACAGGTAACCCAGGTCCGCGTGAAGTTCTTGGATGATCAAAATCGCCAAATAATGCGAAACGTGAAAGGTCCAGTCAGGGAAGGTGAGTGACATAAACTTCATATGTTCTGGCATTTCTCTGACTGGCGTTTTGCCGTTCCCGGGAAAACTAACTTCTTATGCTCTCAGGTGATATTCTCACTTTAATGGAATCTGAGCGCGAAGCTCGTCGTCTGCGGTAGTTGTGTCGCTTGAGCTCTAAGAATTTATTTGTAGTCGCAAGACACAGCGGCTGTTGGCTGTTTCAACAAGATGTCGATAAATCTGCGGGAGAAAGAATCCCAATAAATGTACTCTCGGGAGCAAGCAAATATAGGGTGACCGCAAGTAAAACAAATTTTAATTTAAGCTGGGTTACGTTTGCCACTAAATAGTCTAGGAATTGGTCACCGTAAGAAACAAAAATGGCTCGACAGCGCATGAAAAGTGAAAAATGTGAGTGACTTCCAGGATTCTAACCAGCAGAAGGGCCAGCACTAGCAGTTTTTAAGTTTTTGTGCCTAGCTCAGCAAAGCGAAGGGCACGAAGAAGCACTGCAGAAATTTCAACAGAACTTCCTGCTCCAAGGATTAAAGTGACCGAGTGCACATTGTCAGTCAGCACATCAGGCAAATTTTCAGCCTCTTCTTCATAAATCTCATTGCCAATGTCACCTTCACAATATTTGCCGGAGTCCAGGATGCTGGATTCAATCAGCAGCTGCCTCACAACATCTTGAAACGAGTCAAAATAAAGAGAGTTGCTGCCAATGCACCGAGATATGTCCTGTCCACTGATTGCATTCGAAGACAGTGCACTCAGTTCCGTACGAGCGTCATACACAGAGGTCACCATTACACGGTCAACTTCAGAAAGCGCGGCAACAAAACTCCTCAACATCACGAAAGTTCTAGAAAAAGTATGCGGCTCGAACAGGACAGTCACACGCGCCTCTGGGTATTGCTCGCGCATAGCTCCTATCGCAGCCTTTATCGCGGTAGGGTGATGCGCATAGTCATCGTACAAGGCGCACGATCCAAAAAATCCAACAAATTGCATTCGCCGTGCAATACCCCTGTAGTTATTAAGTGCTGTAAACATAACTGGGTCGAAACACAGCAAGTTTTTCATTCGATGACAGCCTCGTTGTGAGGGTGAGGGTGCTGCACAAGATGCGTCGCAAGCATCCCTAATGCAAGATGCCGTCGCAATAGCTGCTAGAGCATTCAAAACATTATGACGGCCTGGAAGAGAAATTGACACGTCCTGCTTCTTTACATCAGCACGGGAAACTGTGAAGGTAGTTCCTCCTCCAGTGTTGCTTTTAACGTTCATTGCACGCCAAAGATTATTCCGAGCAAAGCCATATGTTACAACTTCCTGCAAAGGCATGGATTCAGAGAGCTGCGAAGCGAGGTATTTAGCATTTTCAGTACCAACTTTGAAGAACACGCTTTTGACATAAAAGTACTACTATTGGCGTCATCCCCACAGATCACAATACTGCCCCTATTCACATGTATTATTTTGTGAGTTATCTCGATCAAAAGCAAAACAAAATAGCCCGTACCCTGTCTCAATACGACGAGTAAATTTTTTAAAAGCGACCCGAACATCTCGGAGGCATTTAAACAAATCAGGGTGGTCAAATTCGACATTAGTGATAACTGCAATCTGTGGACTGAGACCAAGGAATGCACCGTCGTACTCGTCTGCCTCTATCAAAAATAAATTGCCACTTCCCCCGATCGCGTTTTCTCCACCTGAACTAATCTTATTAACATGGTTTCTCGATTCGAAAATATCTATAGCGTACCTGGAAACTGTCGAACGTTGCCACCAACTAACGCAGTTATATCCAGATCATTCTCCTGGATAGTAAATATAAATATTGTAAAATAAAACGGCCGTGATACGCTTTACCAATAAAACCATGGCAACCATGGAAGCTGTTGTCGTTTTACCATGAGTACCAGCAACAGCAACAACATTCTAGAGTACAAGAAATTGGATATTATTGGAGAAGGAGCTCTACTATTTTCCATTACCTTCCTCTTGCTGGTGCGGGTGAGCCACTGCGCACGATTGTAAACGGGGATCCCTAACATTTACATCCATGCTTGGGCAGTTCATAATCACGGAAGAAGACGGTTGTCTAACCTGCTTCACGGGCAAAGCTGTATTCAATGTTCGTTCGAGGCACTGCACTTGAAGCAACGATGGCGTCAGGAACTGACACTGTAAGATGAACATCTTCTGTTCCGATAGTCTAGTTCAGTTGCTTAACAAAATCATGGCGCAACACAAGCAAAAAGCAGACCTGGAACATACAACGGCTCTGATGAAGAACTTTTTTTCGACCCAACATTCGTCGAGGAGTGACCAGCAAAGCATATAGCCCCCTGCAAATTTCGTTGAGATCGAAAACCAACGCAGTTTCGTACATATATTATAACCTTTGCTTCGACTTGCACAAGTTGCGCTGACCTCAACAAATCTGATCCAGAGACAAGGTAACCCTGCACTCACTCTTGATTTGAAAATTCCTAAAGCAGTGCACATTGTGCTCACCTGGGAGAGGGCGACAAGGGCTAGAGCTGACATGCCTGAGCCCCCAACACCAATGAAATGGAGAGCAACATTCGAGTTCGTTGGCATATTTGATGCGGTGTCGTGCTTACATCTAGGCAGCGGTTTACGAGACTGCTTGTACATACGTTGTATTGGAGTTGCCCTGCAACCCATCATGCTTATTTAACTCGCGGCTATACCACCCAGGTTGTATTCTTGTTAGTCTACGCTCTGACACTGTTCAGCAGAGAGTGTGATGAAATTCTTGCGTGAGCGAGTTCGTACGAAAATGTACTGAAGTACAGTAGTTGTACTTTCGAAAATATCATACTTTCGAAAATAGATACTTTCGTACCTTCGGTACGTACGAAATAAATAAAGTACTGAACGAAAGTACAATAATATTTGTACTTTATTTCGTACGAAAGTACTTTCGTTCGTACTACTACTGTACAACGTTTTACACGCACGCACAGTACGGAAGTAACTTCGTAGGGAATGAAGTACGAAGGTACGAAAGTACTTTCGAAAGTACTTTCGAAAGTATCATATGTAGTTTATGTACTGACGTAGCGCCTAGCGCTAGTCAGCGACGCCTAGCACTCCGCTAACGAAGTGTGTTATTTGATGTGAAGCTGTGATGTAGCGCAACATAGCGCGATCTGCCTAGATTTGCATCTGATCGGCGCGCTCGTTCGCTACATGTGCTAGCTGTTCGCTGCCACCTCGTAGCGATTCGCGAAGAGCTAGAAACGCGATATGATCCTTCGCCGCTGTGATTAGCTGCTAGGTACTCTGGACCCGCCCATGGCTGCTGCTAGTGCTAGAGTGCTACTAGCGCTAGTGCTCGCTCGAGTCGCCGCTATTAACTGCTGCTAGCCGCTATTTCCTGCTAACTGCTGCTAGCGAAAGTACCTCATTGTAGCATTGTAGTACGGACGGAAGTACTTCCGTATGTACTTTCGAAAGTACTTCGGGAAGTACATTTGAAGACAATCTTCGAAGATATTCTATACGTGTAGGTTAGCTAGCTAGCTAGCTACCTAAACGCTAGCTAGTAGTTAGACTACCAGCTAGCTAGCTAGCTAGCTAGCTAGATAAATAGATAGCTAACTTCGTACGATATCTACGAAGGTATCTTTGATCGTCGCGATTCGTGATTCTGGTCAAGATCTGCGCTTTCATCGCGAGCACGCGGAATTCGAAAAACACCAGGTATGAGCTGTGCTTATGTCTTAGTACTCTCATCATGCAAAGTTTCGCGCCAGACTTGCATCGCGCGCGCAGGAGTATTGTTTCACGCGCGGGTGCCCGCGCGTCACATTTGTCTGCGTTTTTTGTCACAAGTACGTTTTCTGTTCTGGCGTTTTTCGAATTAAGCACACGTGCACTGTGCGTGTAGACTGTAGACTCCTACCTTCGAAGGTACTGGCTAGCTAGCTAGCTAGCTAGCTAGCCTGCTTGCTTGCTTGCTTGCTATGTCTACGCCTACTGTATGTACCTTCATCCGGAAGTGCATGTATGTAGTCATGTGAGTGTACAGTTGTACACGTAGTGTGAGTGTCATGTGCAGTTGTACACAATACGTTGTACGGAATAGATAGAGCCTAGCTAGTACGGAAGTACCTTCGTAGCTATGATAGCTACCTTCGTAGCTACGTGTACTGCGAAGGTACAGAGTAGCTAGCACAGTAGTCTAGCTACTAGCTAGCTAGCTATCTTCGAAGGTAGTACGAAGGTAGCTAGCTACGTTGTACTTTCGTACTACGTACGTGTACTAGCTAGTACTTTCGTACTTTCGAAATAAAGTAGCTATTTTATCTAAAGCGGTAGCTAGCTAGCTAGCTACTAGCTCTAGCTAGATAGCTACCGAAGGTACCTTCGTAGCCAAGTGCTAGCAGTAGCTAGCTAGCTACGAAGGTAGCTAGCTACGTGTGTGACTCGTGTGTGTACACGTACTAGCTAGGGCTACTAGTAGGAGGAGGCAGGCCTCCACGTACAGTAGTTGTAAGGGTATTGTACTTCCGGAAATACTTCCGGAAGTATTAGGGCATCGATAAAATAGGGCAAATGATAAATACAGTAATTATTTTTTGAGTGAGGCTGATTTGCATACACGATTTTTTGTACTAAACAGCTACGAACTGGATTTTACAGCGCGAGACGTTGATTTTGCACTATTGCAATCTTTACATACAGTGTACATACAGTACAGCTGTACAACGTTTTACACTACAATTTCCGGAAATAGATAGATACTGTAAGTTAGTTAGTTGCTTATCTATTTTCCATGTGTGTAGTGTGTAGCTGTGTACAGCTGTACTGTTCACTACTTTCGTACTATTTTTCGAGTACTTTCGTACGTTCATACGTTGTACTTTCGTACACCGTACGGCATGACTACTAGTGCATGCGTGCATATCTAGCTTGCTAGCTACCTTCCTATCATATTACTTCTTCGTACAGAAGTACTTTATACGAAAGTACGAAAGTACGAAAGTACTTTCGAAAGTACGAAAGTACGAAAGTATAGATACCTTCGAAGGTACTTTCGTACTTTCGTACCTTGGTATGATATTAAAGTACTTTCGTATTTTTTTTACATGTACAGTTGTACACGTATGTATACGTGTACGCGTACGTGTAGCCCAACTTCCGTATGTTTTTATCTTAGTGCGCTCGGCGATCCGTCTTTGGGTTCTTGAACTAAACCGATCTGATCAGCTTCGGCATCATCGGGTGAGTACACCTTACACTCGGGTGAAGCCCAAATGATGTCGAAGTACCCTCGAGGATATTGCGTGTAGACAAAATCCATGATGTCGCATTGGTGCGTTGGATTGAACTTTTTCAAGATGTCCAAGCTGACCACCTCCCAGCCAAGCCTCTCGTGAGCGCGTGCGTCAAGAAAACTCCAAGTATGTATATCAAGTTTTGAAAATGATTTGATATTTTGACCCTGAAGAGTACTACTAGAGAACCCGTGGGACTCTGCCATGAAAGACCTTGAGTGGATGGTGTACACTGTGTATTTATGACTAAATATGTAGCTAGCTAGCTAGCTAGCCATGCTAGCTAGCTAGCTAGTACCTTCCGAAGGGAATAACTACGTAGATAATACTAGCTAGCTAGTACGAACGAAAGTACGAAAGTAATACGGAAGTACTTTCGTACTTTCGTACGTATAGTGGTAGATAGGCCAATATTGCGCCATACACTGGCGTGTAACGTTGTACGGGAGTATTCTATACGAAAGTACTTCCGGAGCTACCTTCGTAGTTCATTCCACCTGTGGTACGAGCGCAACTGTTCAAGAGAAATAATTATCGAGTGTCTATGTGCAGCGTCATCCGTAAACTCTTTGAATGATGACGTCGAGGAGTGACGCAAGATATTTTACTTCTCAAAAGAAAGGTCCGAAAAATTATAGACGACCGTTTCGCTCCACCAAAACATTTTAAGTTGCGGTTGATACAGGGGAAGTAGCAGAGTGGCGGGATGAAATTCATGATCCCGACAGAGACAAAAGAAAGAACGCCGTAAAGAAAGGTCGGAGGCCCGGATATCATCCAGTGCAGTCATTCAACCCCCCCCCCCCCAAAAAAAAACTTCATAGATAGCTAAACTCTCTCCCAGCTTCCTCCTCGTTTCAAGCAGTAATCGCAGCTATGACGGTTGGGAAGGACGTTTCTATGCTGTTTACCGATGTGGTCAACTGCGGGCAGACTGATAGCGTGGAGCTCAAAAAATTGGTGTATCTTTACTTGATCAACTATGCCAAGACACAACCTGATCTTGCTATATTGGCAGTGAACACTTTTGTGAAGGTGCTCCCCAACTTCAACTTTTCAAATGCAGAGCAAAAAACTGTATTCTGGATCAACATCGTGAAAAATTGTAACTCAGGATTCTCAAGACCCAAATCCGCTTATTCGTGCCCTGGCTGTTCGAACAATGGGATGTATCCGTGTGTCAAAGATAATCGAATATCTTTGTGACCCGCTTCACAAGGCACTTCTTGTAGGGGCTTTGGGGCTTTGAAGATATACTTTTAGCGTTCATCATAGAATATCTTCTCTATTTCTCTTATCTTTCTAAACGTTTGTGTGTTTGTATTTCGAATTTCCTCTAGACTGTCCCTTATAAATTGCTTTCGCTGTTTGAGCATGACCTTTGTTGCCGGATGAGGATCCATACGTGAGAAAGACAGCTGCAATATGTGTTGCAAAGCTCTATGATGCTGGTCCAGAGATGGTGACTGAGCATGGTTTTGTTGACCATCTGAGAGAACTCCTTGATGACAGCAACCCGATGGTTGTGGCTAACTCCGTAGCAGCTCTCGCAGAGATCCGAGAGAAATCTTGTAGCCCCGACAGTACAGTTGGCTTAGACTCAAAAGTTGTCCACAAATTGCTTGCTGCACTAAATGAATGTACCGAATGGGGTCAGGTCTTTATATTGGACACACTCTCGTCATATGTCTCCCAAGGTGATCAGGGTGCTGAACGTGTTATTGAACGTGTATTACCACGTCTACAGCACGCTAACTGTGCGGTCGTTCTTTCTGCAGTGAAAGTAATTGTTGTTCAGCTAGAAGTGCGTGCTGGCTCCGCGAGTTCCGGACTTTGCATTTTGGATTCTCATTTGTCATTTTTTTCCAATCCTTGAACCCAAGATTGTTGCGAGATAGCACTAGGATCTAAGTTCTTGCATTTTGCATCGTCCTTCAGGATTTACGAGACCCAGCGAGAGTGCAACAGCTTGTCAGAAAGTTAGCGCCTTCGCTCGTCACATTACTTAGTGCAGAGGCAGAAATACAATACGTTGCACTACGAAACATTAACTTAATTATCCAAAAATATCCTGATATCCTGAAGAGTGAGGTGAAGGTTTTCTTTTGCAAATATAATGACCCCATTTTCGTCAAACAGGAAAAAATAGAAACCATGTAAGGTCTAATTAAGTTGTGATATCCACGGCTTTGTATGTTGAAATTTTGAATCTCTCTCCATCTTCAAATCATGTATTGTCACGGCTACCCTTATTTAAGGGTCAGGACTTTCTCCCCTTCATTCAGTTGTTCGATTTGTAGTGTTGCCAATGAAGAAATTTGAAACATCGTGGCACCACTGCAGAAAAATTAATTGCACTTTCTTTTCCTATGAAGTAACGTTTCCCCTGTTTTTGCCGTGTCCTTCTTTCAGGTCAGACTCGCAACTGAACGAAATATTGATCAGGTCAGTGGAACTCGTTCACAAGCTCTATTCCCAACCCTGTTCGCGTGTAATTGTTTGTTTATTTGGTGAATAGTTTTTCAAAATATTTTTTGATACTCCACACTCCTAATGCATATTCCTAGGTTTTGCTTGAGTTCAAAGAGTATTCCAAAGAGGTCGATGTTGAGTTCGTGAAGAAGGCGGTCCAAGCTATTGGCCGCTGCGCCATCTCAATAGAACAAGCCGCTGAACGTTGCATCAGTGTTCTCCTTGAATTGATTGAGACAAAGGTCAATTACGTTGTACAGGAATCCATAGTGGTCATCAAACACATCTTTCGACGTTACCCGAATCAGTACGAGGGTATAATTGAGTGTCTGTGTGACTCGTTGGACACTTTGGATGAGCCCGAAGCGAAATCTTCGATGATTTGGATCATTGGTGAGTATGCTGAACGCATCGACAATGCTGAAGAACTTCTCGAAGCTTTCCTTGACACTTTTCTTGAAGAAACACCTGAGGTTCAGCTGCAATTGCTCACCTCGACAGTAAAGCTATTCCTGAAGAAGCCTGCAACTGGACCACAAATTCTTATCCAAAATGTTCTACATCAGGCAACCATAGAAACTGATAATCCTGATCTCCGGGATCGAGCTTTTGTATACTGGCGACTTCTTTCATCTGACCCTGAGTCCGCCAAAGATGTTGTCTTGGCGATGAAGCCAACCATACGGGATGACTTGACGAACTCTCCTCAAACCGAGTTGTTGCAAGGCTTCTTAAGGCAGCTAAGCACGCTGAGCTCAATTTATCACAAACTCCCGCCATTATTCGTTCCGCACGATCCCTTGCGAACACGCCTCCTGTACGGGCAAAGTGGTGAAACTAAGAATACAGGCCTGGATGGTAGTCTCACTAACCTTCACGAGAACCAAGAAATTGTCTCGGGAAAGAAAGCCAATCCTGACCCTTTAGTCGATTTGATGGATGGCACGAACTTAAAAGAAGAAAAACTTGGGAATTCGAAGAACGCGGACACAATTCAGTTGGCAGATCCCGTGACTAACGAATTCAGACTTTTCTATCCGTCCGAATCCACGTTACTGTCTGCAGATAAAGGTGCGGGACTCGAAATAAGCGGGGTAATAATGCGCGGTGAAGATAACTTGCCCTGTTACAGCCTCAAACTAACCAACCATACATCAGTTCATATTGATCATTTTCAGTTCCAATTCAATAAGAACTCTTTCATGTTGGCACCATGCAGCCAGCTGCAATATTCAAAGGTTGCCCCAAACGAAAGCTTTCGATGTTTGTTGCGTTTATCATTCTCAGGTAGTTCTTCAGAAAAGACAGCGAGTCCGTGGCTTCAAGTTGCAGTTAAGTCTTCGCATCAATGCGGAGAAGTATTTTATTTCAACGATCGAGTTCCTCTAGAATCTGTGCTTTTACCCGAAGGTAGGTTGGAGTATGAAAAATTTGTGCAGCTTTGGAACTGTGCGACAGATGAGTACGTAGCACAGTGCCAGATGTCCGAGCTATTAACCCCCGAAGCGGTAATAAGGGCTTTTGATAGTCTTAACGTGTTTGCCTGCTCGCCTGCGTCGTTTTCAGAAAGTGATAACAGTTCTGTATATCTTTCAGCAAAGGCTCCGGGGCCTCATGAGGAACAGTGGATTTTGGTCAAAATCACTTTCACTTCTACAGTCGGATACCTGGAGATATCATCGCGGTCATTTATTAAGGGTTATGCTGATATGATTTACAACTCTTTGCGACGGCTGCTTTTAGGGCTGTAAAATACTATTCATACCTTCGAAGGTACTTTCGTGTTATTCATTTTTCATCACTCTAAACAAGTACGGAAGTACTTCCGTACCTTTGGAGGTACTTCGGAAATACTCGTACCTTCGTAGAATTCTTTAGGGCAACCCCCGCTATCTCTTGGGGTACAGTACATACAACGTTGTACTTTCGTACTTCCATAAATGTACGGAAGTACAGCGTACACGTGTGTACGGATGCACTGACAATCGATTTGCGGGTGATTTTTTGGTTTTGGGCATCACTTAGGTTTCCAAAAACCCTAAAATTGATACAAAAATCACCTATCAAATTAGGTTTTAATAGGCGAGTACTACGCCCTTTAAGCCCTGAATTAGCGTTGATGCGACAGAGTTAAGGGTGAAATGAACCCGACGGGTTCAACCCTTTAAGCTCCGTCAATTCGCGCTAATTCAGGGCTTTAAGGGCGTAGTACAGTATGCCATACGAAGGTAGTTGATAGTTACTCGTACACGTACGTGTAGTCGTGTACTGTACGTGTAGTATTGTACCTTCGTACATTATTAGTTTGTGTCGTCGTCATTGTCAGACATATTTGTTGTTATTACGAGTTACGCATAAAAACGCTGTAGTAGCCCAACGTGTACTATGGTACGGAAGTACGAAAGTACTGTACAACTTTGTAGGATACCTTCGTAGTACGGAAGTATGGTCATACTACGTTGTACTGTAGGATAGTCAATTGAAGTGAACCTGTTTTATGAATGTTTATTGTTTCCGGAAATACAACTACAGTACACGTAGTGTAGTGTACGAAAGTACATACAGCTGTACACGTAGCTAGAGTACGTGTAGGGCTAGTCTAGATAAAGTTGTTACATGTTCCGGAAGTACGAAAGTACTTCGACGGTACTTCCGTACCTTCGTAGGTACAGCACGTGTATTTCCGTACTCCCAAAACTATTTAAGTCTATTCAAACGCATTCGTACAGTTGACTCGTGGGACAGGATACGACCGACGCTGATTTTAGTAGTTTAGGTCAAACAGGTGGGTCAAAGTACTTCCGGAAGTATGAATACTTTCGTACGATAGTACGTAGCTACATACGCACGTACGTACCTTAAGATATTGTGACATACTGTTGCTAGTAGCTACGAAGGTCTAATAGAATACCTTCGAAGGTACCTTCGTACGTAGTACGTACGAAGGTACTACTACGTAGGCTACGTACATACAGTACCGAACGAAGGTACAGTACGTAGTTTTTTGCTTTAGCGAGCAGATTTCTAGGGCTGCACGTCACGGAGACTTGAAATAACACACACACGTACGTAGACGGCAACGTTGAACTCAGAGGAAGTGGTATGAGAGCGAGCAGCCTTGAAAGTTGCACCGAACGTAAGATGCGCATCTTCGAAGCATCGAATATGAGTATGATTCGGTACATAATGCACTATTTGTGACGTTATAGTTTCGTGTCATGGTGTTGCGCTACACGGCAGTTAGCGCTCTTCTTCTCATTGTTGCCGAATTTCCGGTTGGTTGTGCTGGCAACTTCGCGTTTCCGGACTTCAGTGCATCGCGCACTGTTTCTCTGCAGGCACGCTTTCGGCCATTTCGAGGTCTTAGTTTTTTTTTATTTCATTGAAGGCAGCTGCTCACTTGAATCCTGAGCAGGGGGTGTCAAACCGAACTCGGACGTGGCTTCGGTTGACTCCGTCGAATCCTGGTGTTGTCGGATCAGCTTGGTACAGCACAAAGCAGTCTATTGTCGGTGGTTTTCGAACTGATTTTACATTCAGAATCACTGTTGACCTTGACCCAACTTTTCCTGGACCGTGCAAATGGGTTGATCACGCACCTACTTCGTGTTCTCGGCGCGGTGGAGATGGTTTTGCATTTGTTGTCCAGAATCATTGTTCCAGAGCACTCGGTGGTGGAGGTGGGGGTGTTGGATACAGTGGCATACAGAATGGTATTGCTGTTGAATTTGACACTTGGTTTGATGCCGATTTGCGTGATCCGTATGAGAATCACATTGCTGTGCTGACTCGTGGAAGAGACCAGATTCGTTCTGAGCACGGCTCACATCTCGGTGTCAGTCTGGATATACCTGATCTTGCGAACGGAGAGCGACATGATGCGCGCATTGAATACGTCCCATATTTAGCTTCTGAATCCACAGGGCATTCAAGTTTTCAGGCTGCGCCACACCTTGCTAAGCTTGTGTACCCATCTGCCTCTGGGCAAATGCAGGGGCTTGGATCTCTACGTGTATATGTAGATGATATGATTAACCCGGTTCTCATTGTTCCTGTGAACGTTGCTGACTTCCTGGACTTGGATGAAGGCACTGCATGGGCGGGTTTTACGTCCAGCACGGGTGTTAGTTTCCAGAACCACGATGTTTTGTCGTGGGCTTTTCATGAGTATGTGTCAGGAGAAGCTCCTCGTAGTATTACGGGAGGCTAGTTTTCAAACGAGGTCTGCAAAATGTATTTGACAGTGTGAAGTGGTTTTCGAAGGGAGCATGGCTAGACTGAGGTTTCACTATTTGCGCGGCTAGTGCGCGCAGATTTGGGGGATCTCGTCATTCTTCTTCTTACACGAGATATTTAATGTATTATAAATGACGAAATATTTTATAAATTACACGCCAACAGTTTAATAAATGAAACCTGACTAATACCTAAACTTAGCTATCTATAATACTATATACTAGAGTATACTGTAGGTCTAGGGCTATATGATAAGCGATCCAAAGTATCTCGGTAGAATTAATTTCAGCCTCGACTTTGGAGTTCAAGGTGTGTTTGTATTGGGTAAACACTTGTACTAGAGAGTATAGACCTTCAAATCGCATTTCTTGCAAGAAATATCAAAAGAAATATGTCAGCTTTTCGCGTGAATAGATTGAACCATTTTTTTGTTTGCTTCAAATTATCTCCCGTGACCGAGATAGATGGACTTGAGGTGTTGTCGTGTCAGAAGTGACGCCTTTTCGATAAACTTGTGTTGGAAAGTAAACCTGTAGACGTTGAGCCAAGCACAAGCTAACACAAAAGGCAACACCAAAACGATTGAAAATATGATTGCTTCATCATTGGTTGTTTTTATCAATATTTGACAACACGGCTCTTGCGTTTGTGCTAAGCGTAATAGAGGTGCATCGTATCGTATCATGATGCGATGGAAGACACTTGCTTCAGTGATTGCTTTTCTAAAAAATGTTGCTGACACCTCATCAAAGTTTGGTGCAAAGTCAAGCTGGTAAAAGTACATCAAAGGATTTAATAACTCGCTTCCGGTAAGATTCGCATTGATTATCAACTCCTCTGGTTTGCGTAAACATTCGCTTAAGCTATTCCAGCCGTATGAGTCATTCTCGTTATAAACGCCTTTATACGCCAAATCACAGTCCATAAACATTCCCCAATAATTATTACACACGTACCAGAAGGGCACAACTTCTGCAGGTGTCCAGCCATCGGGGACGATAGGCACCGCACAAAATGTGCCAAGAATGCCTGGGCCATCTAGAGATCGCTTCGAGTGAGACTGACCCATGAGATCAAACCTGAAGTTACTGGCTTTCAATCCACGCAGTGCATATGTATCTGCAGTGGAGTGAACTAGTCCTTGACCAGGATCTATCCCTGCACCGTCAACTCCATATGCATTTACTGCTGCTGCTAGACGCGAGATGACCACCTGGGTTGAAGCCGTAAACGACGCTGGTATGACAGAAACGAGCGATCCAAGGAATACGTGTTTTGCAATTGGGCCAGGGCGGATGTAAAAGCACGCACCAGCAGCAGTGACATACGCTGAAGCGAACAAGGAACCTAGGAACGCTCCACCAGAGCACGAGCCGCAGGCGGATGTGGGCAAGAGGACAATTGCGTACTGCAATATGATAGAAACACACAGCGCCAGAAGGGTCAGCCAGCGTCTAAGGTCGTGTGCGTTGGCAGCACCAAGCAAAATGTTAATAGCTGTGTTGAAACGCGCATGCAGCGAGTGCTGGAGTCTCTGCGCAGTGGGGTTCTCCAAGGGTCAGTGTAAATCCCTTCAGCACGAAGAACAAGAAAAAGTCCGAGGATGGTTGACCTCTTCGAGTAGCGTCACGTTGCGACTAGAGGCGAGGGCGCGCCTTTTTTCGCTGGAGATCGACGCACGGTGACTGTGCTGAATTCACGTTCCTCATCCCTGTTAAGCATCCGTTGTTCTCAACGAATGATGTGCTTTCAGTTGTGGCGCGCCTACCACGCACACAGCTGAATTGTATATGAAAAGAAAAGCGTTAGTTTGGCTCGCGTCTCTCGCTGCGATAGCGCGAAGTTAAAGCTCAGTCGAAGGAATTTCAGGACGTCGAAAACGTGTGTGTGTGTGAAACGTGGCGGTGGTTTATGGATGAATTCTCTTCAGGAATAGACGAGATGCGCTAAGTCACCAAATTACGAGTACACGTGTACACGTACGTGTACACGTGTACTCGTAACGCCAAATTAATTTGCGATTTTTTATTCCAAATTCGTATGAGCGTCATACAGACGCGCCCCCTCACGTCCGCGCTTACCCATGCGCCGCCGCAGCTCGGATTGACCTGAAACTTTGCACAGCAGCCATTTACGATTTTGGACAACAGATACATGCATTTGCGCGGCGGGAAAAGACGGGAATGCTGTTTTCGGAACCCTGAAGTACTTAACTTTCGAGAATAGATACTTGTAGGATCTTGTACGAGTAGGTAGCTAGGTACCAGTACGTGTACAGCCTGTTCACGTAGGGACTAATAATAAACGCGTTACATACGTGTACACGTACTGTACCGTGTACAAATGATTTTGCTTTCAACGTTGATTGTTCATCGATTAAAACGTACCGTACTGTATACAGTACTGTACTGTATTGGATACAAATTGATGAAATAAATTTCATAGGAGGCTGAACTTCACACGTTCACAGCGTCGCCGTCGCCGCGTGAACCAATGCGAAACTTCATGGCCGCAATTTGTGCGTACAGGGGACAACCTCCACGAAGTTTCGAGTAGGTTCACATGGAGACCTTACCGAACTGAAATGGAACACGTGCGCTCATGTGTATCGTGTCTACTGCATCATTCCGGCATAACAGTGTAGAAGTGGTACTGACGTGCATGTAGGCCCTTCAAATATTATTTAGGGATATCCAACAGATATGACTAGGCCGTAGGCCCTATCTTCGAAGGGAGATACATATCTGATACATACCCTAAATGTACACGAAATAATAATAAAATGATAATACTAGCCCCACGAAGGTACGTACCTTCGTAGATACGAAGGTAGCTGATATCATTGATATCTTCGTAGCATTAATACTGGGCCGCTCAGGAAACTCAACCGATTTTTCGGTTGGACTCTGCGTATAGAATACCTTCGTATCATACAGTATCATATTTTTTCCAATAAAAAGAAGGCAGACCTGCATGTGTCCTTAACAAACGTGTACGTGTACGTATACATTAGATTACAGCAGGTAGAAAAAAAAGATAAGAAATTATATTTCGCCTTTCAAGTTCCGATCAAGGGGGTGTGTCAATACTCACATTTATCTAGCCTAGCCCTAGAAATATGGCGATAGCACGGTAGCTTTAGTTTCGGACTCGCATATCATCGAGTAAGACATGTATGTTCTGAAAACGTACTAAGTCTACGTACTTCCACACAATTCGTACATGTGCGGCACGCAGGAGGTGTTTTTTTTTGTTTAATAGTCTAGTCTACGTATGGAAGACTTATGGAAGTACCTTCGTTGGGCTAGCACTAGTCTAGCTAGTTACTTCCGGAAATAGAACTTCTGGAAGTACCTTCCAAGGTATTTCCGGAAGTACTTCCGTAGTACGGAAGTACTTCCATATACAGTGAAAGTACATGCATGTGTAATAGTAGTAGTGTATGTTGCCTATGTTCCTTCGAAGGTAGCTATTATGTACACGTACTTTTTATAATAATACAACTAACGTATTAGTACCTTCGTAGAATACTTCCGGAAGAAAGATAGTAGTAGCATACTACACCTATGTCTTTCGGAATATGTGTACTGTACACGTCATTTTAGCTAGCTTTTACTCTATTTTAGCTAGCTAGATAGTACGAAAGTACAGTACAATATTTTAGCTAGCTCTAGTAAGTTGTTACTTTCGGAATACAGTACAACGTTGTACACGTCATTTCTAGCTATTTCACACAACCGGAATAATGTGAACTGAAAATAGTACGAAAGTACAACGTTGTACACGTCATTTCTACCTATTTCACACAACCGGAATAATGTGAACCGAAAATAGTACAAGCCATAAATACTTGAGTATATGTGGATCCGCACCTTCGTAGGCAGGGCTACAACTACAACGTACAGTAATATGGCCCTGTTTTTTGTCGAATTCGCTCTACACGTACATGTACTGTACGTAAAAATGTACCTTCGAAGGTATACGAAGGAACGTGGTTGACTATTTATACTCTACTGTACTCTATTTCCGGAGGAACAACGTACTTCCGGAAGTACTTCCGGAAGTACCTCCGTACGTTCGAAGTGTATGTGTGTGAGTGTACCTGTGTGGCCTTGCGTGGAGCTCACCAGGAGCCGCCCGCGTAATACAACTCAACTAGAAGAGCTGCGAGAGAAAAAAATAGTTTTGAGATCCAGAGCCCTGCATAGTATTCCCGACCAGTAGTAGTGTACTCAAAATAGATACGAAGGTAGATACTTAGACTAGTTTCATACGTCGAGTACGAGTAGCGCGCGTCTGACTGTGTTCATATGAAATAAAGTACGAAGGTATAGAGGATTCGCCAAAAAAAATTTACCCTGATTTTACCCAGGGTAAAGTACCTTTTTTTTGGGTTTTACCCTCGAAAACTCGAATACAGTGAGTTTACCCTGATTTTACCCTGATTTTACCTTCGTATTTCTTATAGTGATGTATGTGTTCATAGATGTGTAAGACTAATTTCACACCCCTGCTTTACTGTATAGAGGGCATATACAAAACAGTATTATTTTTTCGAAGCTTTGACCTCACCCAAGCAAGAAATACAGCGATGGAGAGGTAAAATGAAGAAACATACATCTCGTCAATCTCAAAACTAGGAACCTAGGCACCGTTTCCATTGCATTACCTCAATTAATTATCTTTCCGTTTTTTATTATTGCTGCCGAATTCGGTCCAGGACGTTCCTTTCAACCACTCAGTATTGTTGTTCTGTTGGCTACGGTCAGTACCTATGTCGAAGACTTGTCGCACGCCATCGCCGATGAAACTCCTTTTCATACAACTTTCAATCACAGGTAGTGCACAAGTGATCTTCAAACTGAGGTAGACACCGTACAAGAAAAGCACCACAAGGAACGTGTACAGGGAAACAGATTTAGCGTCAACTACAGTGTTGGGGTCAAGCACAACTACTGTGGTATTGAAGAAAGTGGTAGCATACGTGTCTGCATCATCATGAAAGAACACCGTGAAACATAAAGCATATACGTGACCAGCATGTTCAGGTTCAAGCATGAAACTGTACTCAAAAGTTGCTTCCTTGCCAGGTTCCACAGAGCTCATATAATCAACTGCAGTGAAGTTTCGAACATAAAAAGAAAACTGGTTGAGTGAGTTCAAAGAGCCCGCAATTTGAGACACGGTCACGGGCAAAACGCCACTGTTCCGAAACCCAAGAAGTATCGTGTGCCTTTCGCCAGAGGTTAAACCACCTTCACGAGAAACAGGGAATGCGTAAACCGTGTCGATGTCATCGTTTGAATCTGGGATATCGGTCAGCAAGTATCCACGAGTCGTTGCGCCGACTTCGTCTTCGATCGCAACTGTAAATAAAAGGTTGGCGCAGGTGTGCGGGATATATTAACAACTGTCTCGTTGAAACGCGGGAAACTAAGGTTCCGTCAACACGAACAGGTGTAGGTTGAAATTAATTACGAAGCCGCTCAGCTCGTAAACTTGCCGCGGCGACTCTAGCCGGTAATTTAAATACGAAACGCGCACCCGCAAAGCTAGAGACTGCAAGAAGAACGATCAGCTTCGAAATAGCAAATTGCGTCATCGCGTCCAACCTTCTCACTTCAATGTTCAGAGGAAGTAATTTTCAAGTCGGGGTTAGTTGGTGTGTAAACGACGAAGGTACGAAAGTACTTCCGGAAGTACTTCCGGAAGTACAGTACCGCGTTGTACGAAGGTACGTGTACAAGTGTACAACTATACGTTGTACGAAAGTACTTTCGTACTTTATTTGAGTACTTTATTTCGAAAGTACTCAAAGTACGAAAGTATCTACTGTACCTTCGAAGGTACTGAAGTACGAAAGTACTTTCGAAAGTATTTCCGTAACTCGTTCTTCCGTACACGTGTACAAATAAAGCTACACGTACGTGTAGATTATACAGTAGATAGATAGCTAGATACCTTCGGTACCTTCGTACACATACAGTTACACGCGTACACAGTACACAACGCGGTACACACTACACTACACACTACACTACACAGGTACGAAAGTACTTTCGAAAGTACACGCGTATACGTGTACACTACGAAGGTACCTTCGTACGAAGTTACACAGCTACACACGTACACAGAGATACCTTCGTAGATAATATCAGTAGTTCAGTACGTGTACTTGTACAGTAAGGCATAATATCTACGAAAGTAACAACTTACTTTCGTACGAAAGTACGAAAGTACAACTACTTTCGAAAGTACTTTCGTACTTTCGTACCTTCGAAGGTAGCTAGCTAGCTAGCTAGCTAGCTAGGCAGGGCTACAAAGTACAAACTACCTTCGTAGGAAGATACACTGCTACACGCGTTCACTATCGTTATATCACATAATGTACGCATAAGTGTACAGTACGTGTACTGAATAGCTATAACTCCAAGATAGATAAGGCTCAGAATTCTAGATAGCTCAACACACTTTAAGTGACACAAGCACGCTAAACGGCGTACTTTAGTAACTTTCACAGTACACGTACGGCTACACAGTACGTAGCTACCTTCATAAGATACGTACGAAGGTACCTTCGAAGGTACTTTCGAAAGTAGTTTCGTACGAAGTAAGGTTGTGCTACAATGTACGTGTACGTACAGTACGAAGGTCCTCCGTACTTCCGTACTTCAAGTACATGTATCATACGTGTATGTAGCCCTGCTGCCTATTACGGAAGTATCTATACCTTGTACTTCCTTTGTATGTTGGACGAAGGTACACGTACAGTAATATCTTCGAAGGTACTTTCGTACGAAAGTACTTCCGTATTTACGTGTGCATGTACTTCCGGAAGTACAAATGCTACAATCCATATGATAGCCAGATACTATGGCTACATGTACTGTAGCACTCTAGCTTACATAGCTTCGGTAAGTTTATACAGTACGTGTACTGAATAGTAGTATAAATACCGAGAGATAGACAAGCTCAGGGTTCTTCTCACATAGGGTACTGTAGCTCACTTATAAATATACACGCTAAGCAGTAAGCACGCTGTACTTTCGTACTTTCGTACCTTCGTTCATTCGTACTTTCGTACGAAGGTTCGTGAGTACGTGTACAGCAGTTGTACAGCTGTATGGTCTACGTATGTGTACGGCTATACACGTAGTACGTGTACTTTTGTCATAATTGAACCTATTGACCTTTTTCGTGTGAGTTCGCATCACTTATTTTTCTCGAGCGTGTATGTCGCGTTTTGTATCAGCCCAGCGGGCTGTTACACCTTTTGATGTCTCACAGAGGATAAACGGCCAGAGTATCGCTCGCAGGTTGATTTCTCGCTTCTTCCGTGCCTTTTGAGAATTCCGAGAATCCGTGTCGACTTTTTCTCGTGATGTAAAAATCAAAACCCTAACAGGTTGAGCACCGCTACCCTCTTACCCACCAACGCGTCAAAATCGCTAGCGAATCATGCAATCTCGAAGACACGTTGTTTAAGGTGAGTGCCCTCGCGATTTTTATCTCTCATGTTTCTGAAAAAAGTGTAACTTCCCCTGTATGAAGTTGAGTCCCTCTTTTCGAGCAGGTTGGATGTCCATGCTCAGCAAAGTAAGGGACCCCCGCCGATGGTAATGGAGCGATTTCAAAGCGTGGCTACCCAGCTCATGAATCAGGTAATCTGCATATATTTCTGCATTGTGCCGCGAGTTGTCGTGTTTGACTGTCTTGAATCAAACTAAGATCGTTGTTTTAATCAGCGAATCATACGTCTTGGAGGAGCAGTTGATGATGACAGTTGTAACCTCATAGTCGCTCAACTGCTTTGGTTGGATGCGGCAGATCCTAATCAGGTGAATTCAGTGAAACTACACAGTATCATTTCGCCCATTAACCCGACCTGTGAACGAATTTCAGGACATCACTATCTATGTGAACTCTCCCGGTGGATCTGTTACTGCTGGAATGGCGGTCTTTGATACTATGAGACATGTTCGTCCGAACGTCTCCACTGTGTGTGTAGGACTTGCAGCATCCATGGGCAAGTTCACATATGAAATCCACCTCAGACCCCCATATTTATTTTCGTAAAGTAATCTTGGACACACCTGTCACTACTGTTTTTTCCTTTCGAACTCTGTCCTTACTATATGGCGCTTTCTTACTTTCTTCTGGGCACAAGGTTTGCTTTCGAGACTGTTTAGATCAATGAAGACTCGAATACGTTTTTGACTTTGATGATTTGTAGGGCAAAAGATACAGTCTTCCAAATAGTCGCATCATGATTCACCAGCCTTTGGGCGGAGCGCAAGGACAAGCTGCAGATATTGAAATCCAGGCAAACGAAATAATGGTGAGTTTCTCAGTGAACTTTTATTCGTGCAGAAAACTGAACAGGGTTTCTCGTCACACGACACAGCATCATAAGTCCACCCTCAATGGATATCTTGCCGAGTTCACCGGTAAACCCCTTGAAATGGTGCGCCTCTCAGCACACTCCAAGTCATATACTTCTTGAGTTATAAATCTTGAGCACCTCTTCAGGTGATGGAAGATACAGATCGAGATTTTTTCATGTCCGCTACGGAGGCCAAAGAGTACGGTCTCATTGATACAGTCATAGAGCACCCAACTGATGTTGCCGTGAGATCGTCTGGAATACCGTTGTATGCTGGGGAGCTATAGGGAGAGAAAGGCAAAGTGGGAATAATCCTTCAGCAGCAAGCTTATGTGCTTCCCATGAACTTATATAAATAATACACACTGTACATTCAGTTATATTTTCTACTAGGGAAAAACAACGTTACTTCTTACAAAGGTATCATACTTCCGGAAGTACATTTCTAGTACGTGTAGTGGTTCAAGATGGATATAAATACTCCAGATAAAGGATTAAGGTATTAAAGGCGCACACACCAGAAACATTCCGTCTAGAGTTAGCTTGGAATGATGAGAGTGCACAGAGAATGCGTAGTCTAGTTGATTTGACTTCTCTGTACGAAACTCTCTGCACCAACAACCGGGGCCAAGAGTAAAGTCCCAACAGTACACGCACACAGCAATGCAGCAAAGAAAGCATTCCACCCATATTGCTGCACGAGTAAGGAGAGGGGGACACCTGCGTTTGCTGCACCCTGTTACCCACTTAGTTGAGTCAGAAGGAGTGAACACTAGACGAAAATAAACACTTTCCAGGTATGCAATCCAACCCAGAAATCCCTCACTAGCTCCAACAGAGCGTCTACCGACGATTTCTGCACCACAAAGACCTAAAAAAAAACTGTTAAAAATATCCGTGGTTTCTCGTCTGCGATCGATTACCTATCAGCATCTGTGGCCCATAGAGGAAGAAGCCTATCATAAACACAATTATGGCTTGTGCAACAGGGTAGCCTGTAGTGCACTGGTTAGGATTCCCACAGGAAAAAAAATGAGAGCACGCGAACCTGCTGGCACAGCTTTAAAGGCAATGAGCATGGTGGCCACACCAATTAGATAAGCCATTACAATCTGGATACGCTTGCCGACTGCGCCACCCGAGGACTGTGCAATGTACCAATCACTGATCCTCCCTGCAATGAGGCTGCCGAGGAGTCCGCCTAGTTCTAGACCTGAAACTCGTACCTGCATTTTTGAAAGTTTCGCCAATATCTACAAACAGTAGAACGATTTTGCAAAACAAAACATACAGCTGCTGCACCAGCATCAATAACTCCTTTTTCTTTTATAAGATAAAAAACCGACCACGAAGTGATCCCCTTCAAGGTGCGAAGTTTTGCAAGAATGAGAAAGCTTCTTTCAAACAGGTGAAATCCTGAGAAGTGCACCACGTACTTGACGAACGACGTAAACACAAAAATATGTGAAAGCGAGGCCCCTAGGGGAATTAGTGAAATAAGATCAGCACACGTGACCTGAAAGACAGGTAAACTGTTCAGGAACTTTTCATTAAGGTTTTACCATATGAAAGGATTCGAGAGCACATTTTGAAATAGGTTGTCGAGCAAACTCTCTTCACCCTGTGTCCAATGAAATGCTAAAGCAGCAAAACTAACTTTACTGGTGAAAAATTTCTCAACCGAATCTTTGTCAACAGTCTCGCTGAGGGTGCCTACTGCTCGGTATGAATAGGTGTTCATCGAAAAACGGATTAGAGCAGGTAAAGAAAATTTCGGTTTTGATTGGGAACTTATACCTCTCAATTCCTCAACTGGTTCGTAACCCCGAGCCTCAGGGGAGTCTTTCAAGCTGGATAAAATAACAGAACCAACAAGAAGAGCAACTATGCCTGGTGCCCAAAGACCCCACTGGTGGGTACAGTGTAGGAGGAGAAGAGTTATTTGAACAAAAAAACTTGGAGACTGAAAACTATTCTCACATTCCAGCCAAGCGTACGAGCGGCAGTGCCTGCAAGTAGTGGGGCTGCGAATCCTCCGAGGTTGTGCGCTATGTTCCACATACCCTGCAAGATAGACCGAAAACTTTGAAGTCGAGAACAAAACTGTCTGAAAGGGTAAACAGACCCAATAAGTCCCTCTTTCTTTCGCCGCAAACCAGGAAGTAAGTATCTTCGCGCAACTTGGAGCACCAAAGCCCTGAAGCACGCCTGCCGTAAAAAGAATATGTTAGGCAAGAAAGAACAAAAAAAAGGAAACGAGAGTATACCGTTCGTCGCCCACAAAATGCAGAACAAGGGCAGGGTTGAGCTGGCACCAAAAGCAATATTCACCTTCATTGAAAATATCAGAATGTGAACGCGTAACCAGTCTGAAACGGAGTGAGTACGTACCATGCCTGTTGCTATTAGTCCTCCTCCGAGCATTACACCAGGCGACAAAGTATCACCAACAACACCACTGACAAACTTGCTGCAACCGTAGCAGAGAGGAAAAATAGATGTGATCACCCCAATAGAAGTGATATCCAGGCCCAATGACGGCGATGCGACCATCGCGGGGGCAGTAAACGTGAGGCTATTGCGTGTTAGATAATAACAGGAATACCCCACTAGAATGCTGTGACACGAAGCAGTCAAAACAGATCGAAGGTTTGGATCGAAGACAAATCTTACCTCAGAAAAACCGTCCACCTGACAAGCAGAAAAGACTCCGTATAACGCCCGTTTGCTGCATCAAATGTCGGCTTGTGGCAAGCATGCGATTGAAAAGACATCATTTGGCGACGGTCCTCATATTTGAAATAATGCCGATGATATCTTGCCAAGAGCGCATTTTGTACGTCTAAATTCGTTCGCCTCTTTAACAGAACAACCGAGGAGCGGCAGAGCGGACCGTAAGACTGCACCTGGCAAGCAGCGGCGGAAATTTGACGGCCACGTGCTCTACGCACGATGTGCGAAACGACGTGGGAATGTTGACTTTTTCCCGGGAGAACAAAGATAGAACGCATTCTCTTGACTCGCTTATGTGCTGTTGGCACACGACGTGCGCACCGAGTGTCACAACGAAAGTACGAAGGTACCTTCGTACACATATTGTACGTGTACGTGTACGTGTATAAACTACGTACGAAGATAGAATACCTACGAACGGAGGTACAACGACGTATCGAATGAAGGTACACGTACAACTTTTATTGCAATACTACAAGCAGTCTATCTACAAGCTACCTTCGGTAGGAAAGAAGTGGGGTAATGTCATGTACTTTCGTACTTTCGTACGAAAATAAATACACGTGCGTACAGTACGTGTACACGATTTATCGCAAAATACCTATGGTTTTTTACACTATCGTTTTTTTCGGTTTCCCGGGGTAGGTACCTCGGAGTTCGGATCTTCACAGTGGGGTTTTTTTCATCGTACCGCGGTTTAGCCTGGTACTATGACTATTTACAGTAAGCGATTTTTTTAAAATCCGGGAAACGTTCTACGATGGTACGTGCGTGTACGTATCTACATACAGTACACGTACACGCAACACACACACACACACACACAGATCTTGTTCTGGCCTATACGACGCGCGCTGTTCTTGCGACTAGGTCAAAATTTAGTTACAAACTCACGGCGATCTACTGTTCACGAATATGCTTCTATTAAGAGGAATATGCGTACTACTGGCATTAGTATTTGGTACTTACTGGTTGCCAAAAATGATCGTGTCAGTTTTACCAACTCAGGACCTAAAGAAAAAGTATGATGCCGAGTGGGCAATTGTTACCGGGTCATCTAGCGGCATAGGTAAATCATTGGCGTTCAGGCTCGCTGAACAAGGCATCAACGTCGTACTTGTTGCAATTCAAAACACGACTCTCGACGAAACTTATGCTGAGCTTCGATCGCGATTCACTGCTCGAAAGTTTATCAAAGTGGGTTGCGATCTTGGAACCCCGGGCTATATTCACGATATTTCGAATGCGACGAAGAATATAGATGTGCAGATAGTATTCAACAATGCGGGTTTTATGCTCACGGGCTTTTTCGATCAACAGTATGTAGTCTTTCTCCCGCAGCTCTGTATTGTCTTCCCTTGCTTTCGAAATTTCTTCTTTTGTTAACCTAATTCTGCCTTCTTGTTAGGCCTCTGTCTAAGCTGATGCTTAACCACGAATGTAATGCAACTGCAGCTATGCAAATCACGCATGTCTTCGTTACCCGAATGCTTCAAAAAAATCTCAAAGGATGTGTTGTGTTCACTTCCTCTGCTGCGGCCTGCCAACCAACTCCATTCAGTGCACTTTATGGTGCTACGAAGGCTTATATCAGCTCGTTTGCGGCTAACATCTCTATCGAAGTTCGTTCACGTGGAATCGATGTGTGCGCGGTTCATCCTTCTCCCGTTGCAAGCAATTTTTACAATAATTCTCATAAGCTGGACTCACTTGCTTTCTTCATGAAGTTTGCAGTTAGACCTGATACCCTTCCTGACGAGTTTTTCCGGCCGATCGGCCGCGTTGTTTGGCATGACATTGGCTTAGTCGCCATTGGATTTCGCATGCTAATGAAAGTATTTGATTTTGGGTTCTTCGCAACCTTGATATCAATTTTCGCACACACTTTGTCCGATTTCAAGAAAAATTTATGACCCCAATCACGACGGGTGAAACTACCACGAGAGCACACTTTTATCTTTACCTTAAGCACCAGTCTGTGGTGCTTGTCGGTGTGAGCAGTTATAGAACGTATACTACATCTTGTGTATAACAGCATGAAAACTCTTCTGATGAGCGACTGTGGTTGTGTTTCAACGTTACTGGGGTACATGTAAGATGGCTAATCGTTTAGATGTAAACACGAAGACAAGAAACGCTTAAGATTCGCTATTCAAATAATAAAGAATGGTCTGCTCACGTGCAGTGAAATGTAAAAATCGACTTCGCCTTCTCCAATTCCTCGCGCGTGTTCTATGAAAGCTGCAACTGACAAGAGCCGAAGAGGTAGTCATAGCAGAGACAGTGCATTAATGGAATACATAGGTCAGTACAAAACTTGCTCCAGCTCAAGAAGATGTCATGCCTGTCCGTCATTTGCAAACTCTTCACCAATTTTCAGGTGCTCAAAGTCCCGGACATTCAAGCCAAGGTTGTTCATAAGTGCACTCCAGCGAGGTGGTTCTTCATCAAAAACATAAGTAAGCGGGAAAACAAGTACTCCGCTTCCGCCCACTTTTCGTAGTTGCTTCACAGTCTCGTAAATGCGCGACTTCGGAACTCCGATGGATACGGCATAATAAGATCCCTCCTTTGAACTTGACCCATCGGTTGAGTATGTGTAGATCGGGGATACCGTCGGACCCTGAAGTCCACGAAGTAATTGACCTCCATTGCTAGATAAAACAGTTGCTACCTCCACTGCACTAGATCCACGAATATTTGCGGTCACCATAAAAAGACCTTCTGCGCGTAGATGTGCCTCTATTCTTTCAAGCATTTCATGTATTACGGCAAGTGTGCCAGGGCGGTTTAACAGGGCAGTTCGGGAAGCAACAAGCACACCTTGCGAATCAAGAACGCGACCACCCTCAATCTGCTTCAGATTGTTCTCCCGAAGGGTAGTACCAGAAGATACGAGATCAAGGATGCAGTCTGCAGCACCCATTGCTGGAGCAGCTTCGAGTGCACCATCAGCAGTAGAAAGCTCCACGTAATCGAAACCTTGATCAGCGAAAAACTGTGTTGCGAGATTCATGTAAGCTGTTATAACTCTCAAAGGGCGTTCCTTAGACCAGCGTTTATCTGAAAGAAGGTCACGGAGAGAGATGACATCCTCCCAGTTGCTAGGAACAGCGATGGCCAGGTGGCAACCACCAAAACCCAGTGCATCGTGAACTACAACAAGGTCCTCATCCTGGTTACCGATCTCTCGGAGCATGTCGTATCCTACGATCCCTATGTCGATGTCGCCGGAAACAAGCTTGCGAACAACATCTGTAGCGCGCTGGAACCATACCTCAACACCAGGAACATTCGGAATCTCTGCGGCATACTGGCGAGGGTTTATTTTTCTCACTTTCAGTTGACAGTCATCAAGAAGCTGCATGGTGTCCTCGGCCATGCGACCCTTGCTCGGAATACCCATGCGAATTGAGCTCCTCGATTCAACGGATTTGCGGTAGACTGTACCATATTAACGAATGAGAGGAAGAGTTAGGAACAAACAGTCAGAAAAGCATCAAGGCACAAAAAAAAAGCAGGCAGAACCGCAGGATTTTTATTGGGTGTTGTTCAAGAGTTCTGAAGCTGGAGCGCGAGAAGCGCGATCATGCTGAAATGAAAAATTTGTTCACCTCTAGCGGCCGACTCATGCTGCCGAATACTGGCGCACGTCAAACACCGAGATTGCCTCACTGTCAAGCGAGCGGAGATCCTCCTTATCTGTCTTCGCAAACCGTCCCCTAGGAAAGCTGCCTTGCCTGACTTTGTCGGAAGGAGGCATGTCATGTTTCAATAGCTTCCTTCCTGTCTACAAAGTGGATAAATTCAATGAGGATACACTTTCACGTGAATCGTTCAGTGAGGTATTTGAATTCCTGGTCCTAATGTAGCCCGCAGTGAGATGACTTCCGGAAGTATAAATTATTTCTGGTAGTAGGGCGCTAGCTAGAGGGCCCTACACGTACTCAGTTCGAAGGTACGGAAGTACTTTCGTACTTTCGTACGAAAGTACTCCCGTACCGCGTTGTACGTGTACGAACTGTACGTTGTACGAAAGTACGAAAGTACTTCCTACTTCCGGAAGTACGAAAATAATTACGTTTGTAGAAAGTACGTTGTACGAAGGTACCTTCGTACTTTCGTACTTCCGTATTCTAATGTACTTTGTACACGTACGTTGTACCTTCGAAGGTACACGTACACGTGTACTTCCGGAATGAAGTAAAAACAACTTATTATTTCCGGAAATAATAACAAAAATTATTTACTACAGTACGTGTACGTGTACACGTGTACGTGTACGTGTACGTGAAGTCGTGTACATAGCTACATACGTATAAAACAACTACGAAGGTACTGTATTACCTTCGGAGATAAACTTTTATGTACAATAAGTATGTGTACTGTACGTGTACACGTACAGTACACGTACTGTTGTTATTTTATTAAAATTAAAAATTAAAACCCTTGCGTCGTAGGCCCTAGCTATAATAGTAGTGCGTGTTCGTAGGCCCTAGCTAGTAGTGCGTACCTTCGAAGGTACCTTACTTGCTTGCCTACCTTCGAAGGTACGAAAGTACTTTCGTACTTTCGTGCTTTCGTACTTTGAAAGTACTTCCGTAGAATACTAAACTAGTGTACATCCGTACTTCCGTATGACACTCATTTATTCTGCCCAGCCCCACATGCACACTTCTCCCGACCGCGATTTGACGGGAATTCGTTTCATCATGCCAAGGGTCAAAATTAGACTTGAGCAATTAGATCGGGTACAGCCGCACGGGACCCAAGTACACTTTATACGAGTACAACGTTGTACGAAAGTACTGCTGTACGAAGGTACGAAAGTACTTTCGTACCTTCGAAGGTATTCTATCATCGTACTTCCGGAAGTACTTTCGTACGAAAGTACTTTCGAAAGTACGAAAGTACTTCCGTAGAAGGTAGTGATGTACGAAAGTACTTTCGTAATTTGGGAGAAGTGTTCCTTCTTCCATTTAGGTTTTTTTCCGGAACTAGAGCTCTAGGCGGCTCTTTTTCAACTTATCAAATGCGTTTGGCCAAAACCGCGCCACAGGACCTGACGAACGGACTCCGCCGATGAAATCGGACTCTGCCGATGAAAACCACTTTTCGCCTTTAACGGCGTACTTTTCAGACTAAATAATAATGTGCCGCGCCGTAGCTAAGTTGTTAGTGACTTTTATTAGACCGAGGAAAAGTGTTGAGTTTGCGTAGACTTTTTTATCACGCAAAATGATGCACAGTAGCCCTAGTGTACGTGTACGTGTACAGTAGCTCTACAGTACAGTATCCGTTTTCTGGTCGTGTACTATGCGATGTGGACGGCGGTGATAGTTCCGATGATACAATAGTATTACAGTACAGTACACGTAGTGAATAGACTACGAAGGAACTAAGGTATGCATCAGCAGCGTAGAAGCGATCTCTTGATATATTTTACGATATATAATTATACTGTCAGGGGATGGACCTAACCATCGGGTCTTCGGTATCATCCGAGCGGGACTTTGGTCTAGTGGTATGATACCTTCTTAGGGAAATTTCATTGTGACTTGGAGGTGGTCGGCGGTTCGATTCCGCCAAGTCCCCGATATTTTTTTTCTTAAAAATTTTTTCCACCAACTATGTCTACAACTACACTATGTCTACTATACAGAGAAACTCGCGACTTTGTCATCACTAAGCGGTGTAATCACAAGACTATTTCTTCGTAGCAGCACGCTACAAACTCGCCTCACTGCGCTTCTTCGAAATAAAAGGCGGAAACGAAGTACTTGAGGAAATATGAAGACTAGCTAGTCCCCTTTGTCACGCACACAAATGTTTTCAAAAAAACTTCCCTTGTGTCGCCGCTTCCCATGTCGCCAACACGCGTGTGTTGAGTGCATACAAAGGAGATAACGTAGAGCAGCACGAGTACGCAACAATGTTCAAATTTCCAAAATGACGCTTCTGCTTCGGAACCACTACCGTTTCTTAAACCCGTACTTTTTGCGCTCATAAAAGAGGTCTGTCTTTGCACTTCCTATATTGACGATCTTTGGACAACCGTCCCTGTCTTTCTCTAAAATCGTGCACTCTTTGCAATAGTACGCATCTGCTACCCCGGGGTTGCCACAGATAACACATCGGCCGTGTTGTGTTCCATAGTCGCACTCGTCGCAAACCCGAACAAGTGTAGCTGGACGCACGAAACTATCACACACAACGCAACGTCCATCGCCTGCACAAAAGTTAGACAAAAACATTTTGGGATCACGCATCAAATATTTAGACGACCATAAACAATTACATATTTCATAAAACCATGAGATCACCACTTACATTTTTCACACAAGCGCCCGATGGAAATGCCTGGCAATTTACGGCACATGATTAGATCAGGGTGATGCTTCGCCTGGAAAAGTGAAATGCGTCCTCAACATGTTCAGATATTGCGTACATTTTTTTGAGGAAGGAACGCACCATCGAAAACTAAAACTAGGCTAACTCGTGATGCTTTCAATCGTTCTAATTCTTCACGGGCGCTGCGTCGACTGATCGACAGCTACAGCAGAGAGTCCGTTCGATATGTGTTCTTCCTCGACTACTAGGGCAGGTACACGTACGTGTACACATAGCTTGACAACTGCTTGACCTGAAACGTATCTATTCCGTAGGGCATATCTAGCTAGCTAGCTACGAAGGTACGAAAGTACTTTCGTACTTCGTACCTTCATAAACGATATTAACATATAATACTTTCGAAAGTACCAAGGTACAGTATGTACTTTCGTACTTTATTTCCTACGAAAATAGATATTTTCGTACAATAAACGTGTTGTACGTGTAGTTGTACGTGTACACGTAGGGCTACACGTGTACGTGTACACGTACGACAACCCTATTTTTTTAAAAATAATTGTTCTCGCTGCGGGGTGATCGCTCACCACTCAAAATCAACGAGACTTCCTTAAAGGTCTAATAACAACTCATTAGGCTAGAATATTTTATCTGATTGATCTTGAATTGACTGAAGAAGTCTCTCCGATGAAATACGTTGTAGTGACTGGAGGCAGGGCACCACTCGGTTTCAATTTTCCAACAGATTCGTGTTCGACGCGAACCTTTCAACCACAGCTTTATACTGATACTTGCTGGTTGGACTGTCATCTATGGTGTTGTCAGCGGTCTCGGCAAGGGTGTTACTGCGAGTAGTATTGGAGTGCTCCTCAAGGCAGGTGGCTGGCGCGTCACTAGTGTGAAAATTGATCCGTACATCAACATCGATGCTGGCACTATGTCTCCTTTTGAGCATGGTGAAGTGTTTGTACTGGACGACGGCGGTGAGGCCGATCTCGACCTTGGAAATTACGAACGCTTCGTTGATTCGACCCTTACACGCGATCACAATATTACTACCGGAAAGATATATCAGGCTGTGATCGCAAAAGAGCGCAAAGGTGAATACCTCGGAAAGACAGTACAGGCAAGTTTAATTCATTTTTTCCTAAGAGAAGCGAATAACTAACTATCTATTCGGGTCTAAAATCCCATATATTTTTATCAATTCTTTTAAATATGCCAAATATACTTGTATTGATTGCTTTTATCGTGCGCAACAGGTGATACCGCACGTCACTGACGAGATACAGGAGTGGATCGAGCGAGTGTCGAAGATTCCAGTTGATGGCATGTTTGGCGAGCCTGACGTTTGTATCATTGAACTTGGTGGCACTGTCGGGGATATTGAGTCCATGCCGTTCATCGAAGCACTTCGTCAGTTCCAGTTCCGCGTTGGATCTGATAACTTTTGTCTTGTTCATGTTAGCCTTGTTCCAGTTGTTGGTGCTGTTGGGGAGCAGAAAACGAAGCCTACCCAACACTCTGTTCAGGCGTTGCGTTCAGCAGGACTCTCACCACACATGCTGGCTTGTCGCAGCCATGCCCCTCTTGAACAGTTAGTAATGGACAAACTGGCACTGTTTTGCCATGTGACTTCAGATTGTATTCTCAATCTGTGTGATGTCAGTAACATTTGGCACGTGCCCCTCGTGATGCAGGAACAGGGTGGTCACCTTGCTATAATGCGCCAGCTAAAGCTTGATTTCCGCAAACTTGATCTAGAGAGCTGGGCGCATCGTGCACATAAATGGGATATCGTGACGGAGCCCGTAAATATCGCGATTGTTGGCAAGTACACTGGTCTGGGTGATAGTTATCTATCTGTGACCAAGGCTTTGATGCACTCAGCTATAGCTGCGGAGAGAAAGCTCAATATCATATGGGTTGAGGCCGGGTTGCTTGAGGAGACAAACATTTCAGAAGATCCCGCTGGGTATGCTGACGCGTGGGACAAGGTCCATGGCGCCGACGGTATACTTGTTCCTGGGGGTTTTGGCGAGCGTGGAACAGAGGGCAAAATACTCACAGCTAAGTATGCTCGCGAAAATAGTGTGCCGTTTCTTGGTATTTGTCTTGGAATGCAGGCTGCTGTGATAGATTTTGCTCGCAACGTTTTAGGAATAAAACATGCACACTCTACAGAGATGATGCCGAACTGTCCCGAACCCGCGATCATTTTCATGCCAGAAGGTTCAACGACACACATGGGTGGAACAATGCGTCTTGGCTCCCGTCGCACTATATTTCAGACTATGGATTGCAAAGCTGCAAAGCTATATAATGCAGTGCCCTTCGTTGATGAGCGGCACCGGCACAGGTATGAAGTTAACCCCGAAATGGTCGAGAGGCTGGAATCTGCTGGTTGTATTTTTGTTGGCAAGGACGAGACTAACCAGCGTATGGAGATACTTGAGCTTGAAGAGCACCCTTTCTTTGTTGCAACACAATATCATCCAGAATACAAATCTCGTCCAGGGCGCCCATCTCCGCCTTTCATGGGTCTTGTCCTCGCAGCGTCAGGGCAACTAAGTGAATACATCACCAGTGACGCGATTTACCTACGCACAAGCGCCCCTGGTGGATTTCTCCAGTCTCCTTTGAAAGCAATCAAGGAACACAAAAAGGGGAATCAGCAATAATCTAGGGGCTTGCTCAACAAGAAAAATGCAAATGCAAGTGCTGTCGTTGAGTGAGTTGACGCCTGTAGCTTTATGTGAGTGTGAGAGACACTATTTTTTTCTTTCTCTTGCTTGACTGTGGCTTGCGATCAGCTGGTGAGAGCTGGTAAAAATTGGTGTTGTTAATATACTGGTGGTAAACTTTCCTTATCCGTTCGCTCGCTATTCATAGTATTTCATTTTTGCTAACTAAATCACTGAAAATCCTCTGCCTGTTCTTTAGCGCACTGAGTTCATCATCGAATGAGTGTAAAGCCAGCCCTTTTGTCGCATAGACTGTCTGTTTCATAGACTTCGTAGATTTAGTAACTTGCTGGCTCCTTTCCTCGAGCAGTGGCATCATTTCCACAGAAACTCCTTCCTTTTTTCTGTGTTTCCCCTTCAACTTTCGCTTTGCTCTTCTTAAAGAGCTGCGGTAGCTCTGCGTGCCAGCGGCTGCTACTTCTTTGGCGCAGAAAACTAAGTAGTCACCTTCTTTTTGCCACGCTTTCTTGATAGCGTTCGTCTCCCGAACTCTGCTCTTTCGCTTTTGCTCCAACGTTGCCAGAAGGTCATGCACCTTAATCGCATTTTTCGCAGATGCTGCCGCGACCCGCAACTTATCAGCTCTTTCAAGCTCCAGGTGTTTTCTAAGTTCTGATACGCGTAAGCGTTCACAAACAAGTTCCTGCATGAACGAGTTATTTAGACTACGTAAAACAAGTAACAGGCAATGCAACGCAACAAAAGGGGCTATAAACAAACCGTCTTATAGCGTGCAATGGCGTTCCGTAGGGATGGAATTTCATGTTTATAGAAGTTCTCCAGCAATACAAAAGACTCTCTTAAACCACTTGCTTCACTTGAAGCTCTTGAAAAGTCCATCTTCCAGGCTTCCACGTCAGTATAAAGAGTATTTAGCTTTATCGCTGATTCCAATTTGTTTGACTCTACAGAGCAGCGCAATCTCGCTGCATATTGACAGGCAGCACTGATCTTCGTTTCGCAGTCATCTTGCACGTTCTTCAGGACAATGTCATAACTTTCAAGCCTCTTGCGAAAGCCACTCAGTTGTGCCTCAATTTCACCACGCTCAACAAGTATTTCTGCTTCGAGATTTGCGCGCCTCCGAGCCGCCTCAGCACGAACACATTTAACATCCGCACTATGTTCTTTCTGCTGCTCATCGAATCGTTTTTTCAGGCTTAAAATCTCGCGTTCAGCGGACTGGAGTTTTGTTGTTGAACATCTGAAATCTTTTTGCGCTGAAACAGCTCGTTCTCTGAGGTAGTTGTTCAGTTTTTCAAGTTTGTCTGCGATCAAGGCACGCTTCTTCAGCTCCATTTGAAGATCTTCGATCGAGACCGCTGCTGCTGTTAGCAGCCGCCGCAGTTCATCGTGGTCGGTGATACTAATTAAGTTACCCGAAGAATTGTGAAATAGTTCATAAATTTCAGTCTGAAGGGATGCGAAATCAGACTCTCTACAAGATACCAACTCCTTTGAAATTTGAAGCTCTTTCTGAAAATGATCCAGCTCTTGATGATGACGCATTTTTGTACGCTCTTTCTCGACAAGGACTTGGGCTTCATCAATGGCGTGCCGAGTGCGAAGGTTTTCAAGCTCCTGATTCAACTGCGCGTACAATTTGTTTATTTTCTGACATCTTGATTCAAGGGCACAGCTCCCTTTCTTACTTGATGATTTGATTTCCTCCATGATATGCAAACAGGGCTCGTGAATATCTGAAGGCATCAAGACCTGGGAGCGGGTCTCCATGAGCTGACGTAACTTGAAGTCGATTTCACGTTTCCAGGCCTGGGCACGTCTTTTAAAATAGAACTTCAAGGTAAATTTGTCTCGTTGTAGTTGTTGACACTGTGCCATGAGCTTATCACGCGAAGCTTGAATGAAGCTACTTTGAACCTTAAGCTATGACGCGAGGAAATGATATCGGAGTTTCAGAGATTGGAAAGAAAAGAAGGAAAAGAAAACATCGTTCGAGCTCACTTTGTTGAAATTCGATTGCAGGACCGAGTTTTTTTTCTGCAGGCTTGCGAGCTCTTCGGTCAGCGCCTTGACTTCCTGAACCAAATGGAAAGTTCCTGAGCACTTTTCGATATCTACTAGGATGAACATAATTTGTGAAGACTCTTATCCGATTTACCTTGATAACCTGCGCATTTTCGTGCATTTCAATGAAAGAGAACGTCTCGGTGGTTCCAGATTGACTTGCTTGGACTCAACAACGCTCGGTTTTTGAACTTCTCTTCGTATGCGACGCCATCGCACGTTTACACGTACAGTATCGTGTACAACGTGTACGTGTACGTGTACGTGTGCGTGTACGTGTATAACACGCCCTGTAGTGTACACGTAGTGTAACGCGTTACGTGAACGGAAGTACAACTACGGAAGTATGGAAGTACTTCCGGAAGTACGGACGGAAGTACGTGTACTTCGTTCCGTACATAAACAACATACGAAGGTACAGTACACGTACACGTACTGTACTTCCGGAAATAGAATAACAACTAAAATTACTTCCGTACAGTACACGACTACAGTACACGTATGTAGTTGTACACGTACAACGAAGTACGGAAGTACGAAAGTACGAAAGTACGAAGGTACGTACGTAGTGCTAACGTACTACCTTCGAAGGTACTTTCGTACCTTCGAAGGTACGTAGTTTTTCCGGAAGTACAACGTTCTTCCGTCCGTATCTATTTCTGAAAGTCCACGTACATACTGTATACGAAGGTACGAAAGTACAAATTTGTACATTACAAATGTACACGTAGTGGTATTTCCGTATCATACATTAGAATATTTAAAATCGAGTTCATCAGAAAAATATTGACACCTGTGGGATTTGAACCCACGCTCTTACGAACTGGCAAGCTCTGTTTTAAGATACGAAGCCTGAAGCCAGTGTCGTACTTGTGGGTATTATGATCGCAGTTAACAACCAACTACCTGCATGTGGAGCTACACGTATTGTAAAATCAACGAAATAATCATTGATGACTTCAAATGCGATCAGTAGGCCCTACGTGTACAGCTGTACACGTGTAGTTGTAGGACTGTTGTAGGCTAGGGCCAATATTACGTGTACGTAGTACTTTCGTACGAAAGTACTTTCGAAAGTACTTTCGTACTTTCGTACAGTTCTTCCGGATGTAACGCGGTGTAACTTCGAAGATACTTCCGTACACGTACTGTAGCCCTACGTTGTACTTTTATTATCATACTTCAGTACCGGAAGTGCATCTGTACTTCCATACGGATTTTTCGTACGGAACTTGCGTACGGAAATACTTTCGTACGGAAAAACTTCCGGAATCCCGAAGGCACCTTCGAACTACAGTATGCAGCCATGTATGGAAATGCGGAAGTACATCCGGAAGAACCTTAGAAGGTAGGGCCTACTTCCGTACCTTCGACGGTGCACGTAGGTGAGTAGGAGGCGGCTTTTAGCTAGACTAGCAGCTAGCAAGCTAGCTACCTTCGTAGCCACGAAGGTAGCTAGCTAGTAGCTAGCTACGAAAGTACTTTCGTACCTTCGAAGTTTTACGAAAGTACTTCCGCACTTCCGTACTGTACGTGTACAACGTTGTACGAAAGTACCTTCGAAGTACGAAAGTACTTTCGTATCTATCTTCGTAGCTTGTACAGTAGTTGTAGTTGTACGAAGGTACAGTAGATAAATAACTACTTTCGTACGAAAGTACTTTCGAAAGTACTTTCGTACTTTCATACTGTACTGTACAATAACAACGTACGAAAGTACCTTCGTAGCTACCATAGTATTTCAGTGCTCAGTATTTATATGTTACATATGGCTATATAATCCTAGCATTCACCTATTAATAAACTAGCGCGTGAGTGATTCTCGCACGTGTTATCCACTAGGCAATGCCTGCGCAGGTTCGAGTCCTGTCGTCACCGAAATATTCAACAGAATAAAGGTGACGTGCCCGAGAGGTCAAGGGGGTGGACTCGAACGCAAATACAAGAATTTTTTAAACACTTGATGTTTTATTTTTGTGCTCTCGGGCGCTGTCACTGCCGAGGTTCTCAATATACATACCTAGAAATATATGGTGATCGTAACATGAAAAGCCTGAGTTTTGAACTCGCATATCAACAGAGGTATAACTCGAATGAAAAGTGCACTATGTGTACAACAACGTACGTGTAGACTATCGATCTCTAGGGCTACGAAGATATGGCTAGCTAGATTGACAAATAAAATAATACCGGTGTGTGTACAATACATTCGTGTACACGTACGTGTACACGTTCGTGGAGTGCTGAGAGAATAAACAGTGTACACTACACGATACACGTTGCCCTGTGTACGTGTACACTATCATACTGGAAATAAATGCCGTGTTAAAGAAAGTGGGGAAGAGAAGGCGGAAGTTCGTCGAGTTCCCGCTCTGACTTTCGCGACCAAGTTGGATCACGCTGGAGATCATCTCATAACCCGCGAAACATGTCCGACGATGATGTTGAACAATTTGAGACTGCTGATTCGGGCGCCTCCACTACCTACCCTATGCAGGCCGGTAATGTTCGCAAAGGAGGTTTTATGGTGATCAAGGGACGCCCCACCAAGGTTCGAACGCGTTTCTGCCACAAGTAGCACGGAAAGACTCTGGCGTTTGAACATTCATCTTCGTTCTTCTTCTTGTTTTTGTTGTACGAATATCTCATTTTTTGAGCGCTAACGATATCGTTGTATTTTTCCGGTATAACCCTGAAGAAAAAAGCTTATGAACGGTATTTCGTGCTCTGAGTCCCACCGCACCACACTTTTTGCCCAACCAGGTTATTGATGTCACAACATCGAAGACCGGGAAACACGGCCACGCGAAGTGTCATTTTACTGCCACGGATATCTTCACCGGGAAAAAGGTTGAAGAGCTTGTGCCCTCTTCTCACAACCTCGAGGTGACCTCCAACTATCTCGCTGTTCTCTCACGTAAAACTGCTGTTTTCCACTGTTCGTGTGTGTTGGTAGAAACACTTCGAGAAAAATGTGCGGGCGTAGCTCGTGGGCTTCTTATGAATATTGACCCGTGTCCGAACCAATCCCACAGGTTCCCCTCGTGAACCGCGACGATTATACTCTTGTCGATCTTAATGACGAGGGTTTTGTAAGTCACTCAACTTTTTCTTGTCACTTTGGTACACTTTCTCCTTGACTTTGCCGACCCCTATTTTCTCACGTATACTTTTCTCTACCAGCTTGGGCTCATGGATGACTCCGGTAATGTTCGTGAGGATCTGAAGCTTCCAAGTGGGCATGATGAAGCGGAAGCACTTGCAAGACAGATACAGTCACAATTTGACGAGGGCAAGGAGCTCATCCTCACAGTGCTGAAATCGATGGGCGAAGAGCAAGTCAACGCCTCAAAGGAAGCACCTAAGCAGGACTAAATACTTCATGGATTCCAAAAAAAAATTATTATGATGTGAGGGATCCTGGGACTTCAGAAAGCATCTCTCAGATACTTCAAGAACATATACCTATATACAATTACATAAGTGTTCACGAACCGGACCTCCTCACTTTGCGTCTCTGACTTCACCAGGGGTTTTATCTACCTGCGAGATAGTTTCAACAGACTCGAGCACCTTGCGCGTTTCAGCTACAGCAGCGAGAGCCTTCATCAGCATCAACTCGTCAACATCTATTCCTGCCGTTTTTTGCTTCTCAAGTGCTTTGACTGCTGCTGTTGCTTGAGAAAAAAAATCCTGCACCTCGTTGACGAGCTCCGCACGACGTCGCCACGCTTGATTCAATTCTTCTTTTTGTCTTGCCCGATGATTTCCTGAGGCGGTGGACTGGTGCTTGCGTATACTACTGGCCTTCTTTTGACTCAGAATGTAAGCAGGATCTTCCCACTTTGCCTTGAGCGCAGCTGAAATAGCAGCCCTGTGTTCTGCAGTCTTGGGAACACCTCGATTAGACCGTAAGCGCTTCGCTCCAGCATTCATCGGCCTGTGCTCGATATCTTTTACCATCTGAATATTGCTCTGTCTCGCCACCTTCCTGAAAGCACTCATTGCGTTCTTCTTGTGTACCTCACGTTGTTCCAAGCCAAACTTAGTCCAAATGCCGAAGCTTGCTGACTGCACACCACTCACACGTCTAGCAAATGTACCCGTAGTGCAAACACCCACCTTACCTCTTCGCAAACCGTCATTTTTTGATTTTGCCATATTCATAGCTCTTTGCTTCCGGCATGCGTTATCAAGAACTGTGCGACGAATCTTCAATTTGGTAGTGTCGCTGTGAGAATTTCGCACTGCTGCTTCTCTCATTTTACGCCGCACAGCGGGATTTCGCATTGCTTTAGCGGTGGCTTTCTTTATTCGAGCAATCGTCTCCGGAGAATGTTGCCTTCCCTTATTCCATGCAGCATTACCTTTATTAGCAGCACTTATCTTAGCACGGCGAAGAGCTTCGCACTCGGCATCTAGAACAACTTGGTGGCACATATCGATACCGACTAGATCATGGAGCAAACTCGTGGAGAGAGTGACACACTTTACAATTCCCGCATCCCTCTTAAAGCGCAAGTGGTTGCAGTTAGGGCACCGACAACCAGGAATATGATGCCTCTGTTGCCTCTTCCCAACGACGAAACCGTCATCGACGCACACGAATATCGGACATGAAAAATGAGCGTGTCTGATCGATAGGTCTGCCGAATGTTTCGTAAGATCCAGCATGTCGCGGAGTCTCGCGCATACACTGCAACCGCAACCTGCACTATGGCGCTGATTCCTTACGAAAAAACCCTCCTCTATCATATCTTCAGATAACGGAATGGATGCCGGTCGTGCGGCCTTCCTTGCGCATTCATCAGTTGGTGAGTTGAATGCCGGAGTCAAGTCATCTTCAAGACCAGCAAAGACAGTGGTCAGGTAAATATCATCTCTGGCGGCCGCCTTCTTGTGACTGCCCTTGCAAATGTATGAAGTCGACAGTGTAGCCGCCGCTCGTTGCCTTGAATGCTTGATGTCGCTCCCAGAAAGAACAGGACCATTAATATTTAACCTTAAAATCATTGAAATCGTGCACGTGGCACCGGCAACAGAAATAGAAGACTATCTAGCTGCAAGCAAGTCTAAAGAATTTATTACCTGTGGCCAGGCTACGTGTACACGTACGTGTACGTGTAGCGCTAGCAGCTAGCTAGCCCTACGAAGGCTACACGTGTAGCTAGCTAGCCCCTAGCTAGTAGCTATTCTATCTTCGTAGCTATCTACTACGTGTAGTAGCCCTAGCTAGCTAGCTAGCTAGCTAGCTAGCTAGCTAGCTATCTTCGTAAAATAGCTAGCTAGCTAGCTAGCTAGCTACAACGTTGTACTCTCGTACTTTCGAAAGTACTTTCGTACGAAAGTACTTTCGTACGAAGGTACCTTCGTACGAAGGTAGCTAGCTAGCTAGCTAGCTACCTGTAGCTACCTTCGTAGCTAGCTAGCTAGCTACCTGTAGCTACCTTCGTAGCTAGCTAGCTAGCTAGCTATTGGCTAGACTCTGATTTTTGTGTTGCGGAAGTACTTCCGTACCTTCGAAGGTAAAAAAAAATGATACGAAAGTACTTTCGAAAGTACTTTCGTACTTTCGTACTTCCGGAAATAGAATACCGGTACACGTACGCGTGTAATACACGTACGAAGGTACAACGTTACGTGTACTGTACTGCGCCCTTTAAGCCCTGAATTAGCGTGAATTGACGGAGCTTAAAGGGTTGAACCCTTCGGGTTCATTTCACCCTTAACTCTGTCGCATCAACGCTAATTCAGGGCTTAAAGGGCGCAGGCCTTCCTATCAAGGCTAATTTGATAGGTGCTTTTTGTAATTTTAGGGTTTTAAGTTCGGTACTTCCGTACGTGTGTAGCTGTGTACACGTCGTGTACTCTCTGATATGAACTCGTTTTTTACAATGACGGAACGACGTGCACAGCTGCAGAGTGCCTACAATGACTTCCTCGGTTCAAGACGCTGCGGATATCATCACCATTAAAAAGCAAGTACCGACCACATGAAGAAACATTCGCTAACTGAAATATATCGCACCACCGTGTCACATCTTTCACGCACTTGTAAAGATTATTTTTCTTCGACAGACTCTTGGAGGATACCTCACACGAGCAGCAGCAGCAGTTAAAGCTGTGCAGTTCGGTGCTTTGCAAATCTAATGCATCCGGCGAATCTAACCATCGGCAGGTAAACAAACAGACCTTTCATTTCTTTTATACTGAGTCGTATTCATAACTACTGTTTTTCCCCGAAGATTTCGCCTGTGGGGTCCTTGGTTAACAACTTGGGGCGTTTTCTCCTCTATGCTTCGTGGAGAAGCGGGCAATCAAATGTAATTGGCCATCGGGTGAGCTTTTCATGGTGTACTCTGGGCAAGCTAAGCCGCGCTATATTACATGTTGCACTTGGTTGAGCATCACCTTGTTTTTTGCTCTGTGGTATAGGCTCGTTCCTCAACTGTTGTTAAAAATAGTTTGCAGCACGCAATTTCAAGGGTAGCGTTCAACGACAAGCTTGCCACATGCGTCCGTTGCATCCTGGTAATCAATCATTTCTAAAACATGTGACGATTGCCGATTGTCTCAGTGTCTGCTCTCGCTTTGAAAGGAGTCACTGCGAAACGGGAAACATGAGGTTGCTGTTGAATGTGTGGAAACCTTGCACTGCTTGCGCAAGTCAGAGTCACGCGAGTCAGCGGATACAGTAGCGAGTTCTGTGTCATATGAGGCGAGGCTGGTTGAACTGCGTGATGTAGTTGCGAACGTGGTTCGACAACTTTTCGCTGCTGCAACACAGAAACGAGATGTTCAGCAGGTAACACCAAATTATTATACAGAACATAATACAAGCTAGCTTTCACAGAAGACTGAGTACATAAATCAATTTTCACGCAGGTGTTGAATTATGGGAAGCTTTTTCCAAGGCTGCAGCTAGCAAAAGAGGGTTTGAAGAAGATAAGTGACTTCGTTTCTCAGGTGGGTGTGTTTCCAATCTATCTAATCTATCTAGTAAATTTGTTTTCCAAAAAATTATTTTCTTAATTTAAATTCTATCGAATATTCCACAGGAAGTAAAATTAGAGATTGAACGTCATGGTTCCGAAGTTGGTAGGCCAAAACCAGAAACATTCTCTCTGTAAAACCGCAATTAACAAAACTATAAAGGAGGCGGTCTCAAGGATGTTTTAGCCCTGTCTAACTTATATCAAATCATGTTTTCGTGTATCGAAACATTTCATGATGAAATAAAGAGGTCTTTCGGTTCGGAGGCGTTTTCAAATCTGCTTGACAAACTCGATGAGGTAAGTTTTTTTGTAAATAATATTTCTGATACACGCTGTCTGTTAAATTTTTGGTCATCAATTCAGCAAGCGAACAAAAACGGGGAGATCATTCTTCTGAATTTTTTGGTACGAATCATGCAGTCATCCATTTATGGTTTTTAAAAAATAATTATGAAATTCAGGGTTCATATTCTGATCTTCAATTTGAAAATGATCAACAAGACCGAAAAAGGTAAAAAGTTATATAAAGGCACTAAAATAAATAATAACACATTGCCGTATAACAGAGCTCAAAAATTCATGGTAGTCGAACGAATCAATGAAACAATTCTTCGTGCATATAGTCTAACTTCATGTACTAGGATGACTCCATTGATATTTTTCAGCTTTTAAATGCGTACAAACGGTAATTATCTTCGTTATTTATAATTTTTCTCATGTAACTCATAAAAGCTCGATTAGCTTTCTTTGGACGAGATTTTTTCTGAAATCAAGAGTCGTTCGCGGAACATATGAACATTTGCGCGTATACGCAGCAGTACAGGTCACTCAACTTTGAAAAATTCGTGCGAATTATGTAAATACTTCATTGTTCTCATACGAAGGCACTTAACCTCCGGAAAACCGTTAAAATTGTACTCGATCTTAGATTGAATAATGTCATCGACGACAAGAGTTTCGTAGATGATGTTTTCTTTGTATTCGATGAGGCTTTATCCCGGGCTTGGAATTCTGGTGATTGTTCTCCATATAAATATTCGGACCTGACCTTAATGTTCATTGAAATCAGGGCATTCTTTTTTGTTTGATTCAACATTGCGTGAAGTTTTTTCGTTTTTGAAGAATGATGCAAGTATTTGATTTTTACCATGTTTAAATATCATTGATTCCGTTTTTCATAGGTTTTTCAGATCGAAATAAAGAAAATTTCTGTAATGATTTCTTCTTCTTGGTTTTCACAAACAAAGATTAACCAGTTTTCACAGGCAAAACTTGAAGATATCCTTGCCTTCATATTATTTTGCGACTCGATTTCTCAAAGTTTACGAATATTAATTGCAAAATTTAAGGCATGTGATGGTTTTGTTTTTTAAGGCATTCAACTGATACACATTAATCTCCAGCATTCCCTGTCAAAGACTCATTATTTCGAGAAAGATTTTGACTTTGACGTTGACAATTTTACTGTATTCTTATAAATAACTTGTTCCTAAATCACATAATAATTAAATCGACTTCTGCAGGATACCGCCGACATTCTCTGTCAGCAGATTTCAGAGAAAATAATTATCTTTGCGAAAGGTTTTTTCTCAATGTGTCGACGAGTTAATTCATGTCTTTTTCAAAAAACCTCCTTTTTCAAAGTCTTGTTGGATCGTTTCCGGGTTGTGCTTGACGTATTTTCAAGGCTTTCTTATGTTCTTGACGACTACACATACTTACTTCACGAGCAAAGTGATCCTTGGCTTCAGAACCTGTTTTCGAAAATAGATGAGGCGAGTTTCAGTCAGACATTTCGTGACTTCTTTTTCTTTCTTTCTTACCTTTATTTTTCGACCGTTACTTATCTTACTCTCTGGAGATTACCAGTTTCCCAAGGTTTTGATTATGTTGTTCCGGTTTTTCCTAATACTAATTTTTTTTCGTTTTACAGCTACAATAAGCGAATTTCGTTGCATGTTATCAACTCGATTCTCTCGTCATTTATTGAATTGCTGGCATCTTCTATCGAGGTTCTGGTTTGACTTTTCTTCTTAAAAATGAGCACTATTCACGACGTTGTTTCCAGGACATCATCTTTCGACGCCTGCGATTCAGTCAACTAGGTGGTCTGCAGCTCGAAAGAGAGATTCGAAGATTCATTTTACACCTCTCATCGACATTCCCTGAAGTTGCGGTATGCCTGTTTTATTAAGTAGTTTAGTTAGTAATCTTTCTTGTTCTGAAATGTGACTTGCATCGACATTGATTCATTTTGATACAATTCTTCCTCTTGTGTAGGTGCGTGAGAAATGTGCTAGGCTTTTGCACATTTCTTCTGTGTTAAGTGTTGAATCACCAGTTGAGGTTTCAGAGTACTGGGTAAGAAAAAATCTTTTCGTTTGCTACATCTTTTTCAGGAAATAGTTCAATTTGTTCGTCTCTTTATATATAAAATATTGTAGGAAGGCTTAGTCGGTGCTCCCAAGCTTTCGATTTTGGAGATGAAGCGTATCTTGCACTTGAGGGTCGACTTCAAAATTGAACAAGTTGATTCATTTATTCTAAAATGAGACAGACAGCTTTTGTGATAGGATTTTCTCTAAGCAAGAACTACATAGTTGACATAAATTCTTCTGGAAGTACTTCCATAACTGCTGTAGGCCCTAAAATTAGAAAATGCCTCACAGAACGTTGTTTGTACGGCTGACATGTACGGATTATGTCTATTATGCGTGGTTATCGGATACACGTACAGGTACGTGAGGAGAGGTACACGTTTATTTACACGTTGTACGGAAGTACTTTCGTACTTTCGAAAGTACGAAAGTACTCGTACCTTCGTATGTAGTTCCGCGTCGGGCCACGTAGCTCCTTTTCCTCGAAGAAAGCTCAAGTCGCACAACGTAAGTCATCTTCGTGGTTCCTTTTATTGACGTCGACTTCACCCCCTGTTGCAACATCGTAAATGGCTGAAGCACTTCCAGGAACATATGTGGTCACAAAATCGCTCGCTGTCATTGATTTGCTCAGTAGCCGTGGGGATCCCCTTCTGCCCTTCAGTTATTCTAATTTAAAACTGAACATGCTGTTGGGATCGAACTCTAAAAAACGCACTCTTATTAGCTAGCCAGATACCTTCGAAGGTCCTTCCGGAAGTACCTTCGAAGATACCCCATCTCTAAACTTACAGTACACTATTTTCTGACTACAACGTCGTACCTGTTGCACTGACCTCAACTTTTGAAAAGAATATCGCGGCCAAACTTTCGAAGATAGGCATGTAGGGCTACGTGTACTGTACAGGTAGGGCTAGGCCCTAGCTAGCTAGCTACCTTCGAAGGTACGAAAGTACCTTCGTACCTTCTCGAAGGTACTTTCGAAAGTACCTTCGTAGCTAGCTAGCTAGCCCTACTGTAGACTACATCGTACACGACTACAACGCTACACTCTGGAAGTTTAATAAACACGGAGGGTTTAATAGTCTACTGTACGTGTACAGCTGTACACATAGGAGGCCATGACTAGCTAGCTAGCTAGAGCTATGATAGCTAGGGATAGTATCATATTTCTTCTTGAAAGATAGTGATGAGTGTACACGTAGGAGCCCAAACTCTGTACAACGTTGTACGAAGGTACGAAGGTACTTCTGGGTCTGTAGCCACTTGTTTGCACTGCTAGCTAGCTAGCCAGCTACCTTCGGAGTTAGCTGGCTACTGTAGGCAGGATACGCTATTCTTGACCTGAACATCCTAGCTAGCCCTACACGTACACGTACACGTGCGTTGTACGAAGGTACTTCCGTACGAAAGTACTCCGTAAATCCTGGCTGAGAACGAGACAAAGTCTATGCAAAGGCACATACCTTCGTAGTTACTATTCGTACTATGCTGTTCGCGGGTCGCCCTTCCGGCTCGATTCGCGAAACTGGCGGAAGGTACCAAATCGGTACCTTCCGCCAGTTTCAAATTAGTCGGTTAAAAAAACGTTGAAACCGCGTCCTTCCGGTGGGGAAATTTTCATCGCATTTTCATCGGTGATTTTTTTTCAACGAGGCTGACCGGAGATTTACGATCAAGGGGCGAAAATTTTGAAAGGCAAATCGGCCCACGCGCGCGCCCTTCAACGTGCCCGTAAGGGCGACCCGCGAACAGCATAGTATACTTGAACCACCTCTTCGTGAAGATCGGAGTGCAAAGCATAGGAGAACGGCAGACATGTTCATTGTTTCTCAAGAAAACGCTATTCATAACTCCGACGCACTCGAAAAATCGGGGGCGTTTAGCAGACTAGAACTGACACAAATTGCACAGAAGCGCGCGCACTTCGAACATGCAATACGTCGCAGGGCATTGGTGAGTCGCTACGTGAGATACATAAAATTTGAGAAAGATCTACACGACTTGTACAGCGCTCGAATGGTGAGTTCTAAGCAAGATAAAGTTTTAGGCTTCGTGTTTACCAATACGGGATTTCATAGGTCGAACATTCAAAACGGATGCGATTTTGCGGTGGTGAAGTATCGAAAGGCATCATTCGAATCGTTTACACTTTATTCCAGCGAGCTTTGAGTAAGTTCCGAGGGAATGTAGGCCTTTGGCTAGAGTTGACAACTTTCTGTTATACTCACGGTAGCCAGCGGTTGCTTTCTGAAGTTATATCCCATGCACTTCAGTTGAATCCATCGTGTTCTGGACTCTGGTCTTTCGCATCTTTGTGGGAATACGAGAAGAAGGTGAGTACCGTGGTGTATTTTTGTGTTTACATCTGATGTTATATGTTCTTTTGTTGAAAAGGGGGATGTGGCAGCAGCACGTCGTTTATTCATGCGCGGCTTGAGAATCAGCAATCAAAGCAAAGGTGCTGACAATGTTTAGCAATCGAAAACGTCGCATGCGTATCTCAATCTATCGTTTTTTAGTGCTTTGGATCAGTTTTTTTCGGTTTGAGAGTTCGTATCTTAGCTCTCTCTGCTCTCGAAGTCTTTGTCTAGGTTGCAGCGAAATAAAAGCGGTAGGGTGACTGATTTTTTCCTTTTCATGTGATAATACGATGAAGGCATCATATTTACATCTGCAGATCCCCGTTTCTACCTTCATATTCAAAACTGCTGTCGAGAATCATCCAGGTTGAAAGCTTGCCATGAAGCCCCTGGCTAATCTAACTTTCTTTTCGAGCAGCTGATTTCACGTTCCACTTGCAGCTGATTTATGCAGCCCTCGCACTTCAGGTATTATTTTGCCGGTGTTCGTGTACAAAAAAGTTTAAAGTTCTCGGCGTCATCCTCTTCTCAACTTCATAGGATCCCGTCATCAGTTGCGAAGTGGCATATTCAAAATATAGAGTCGCAATCACAAAACCATGTTTTGAGCTCTTGTCTTCCAAAACTAGGCCTATATTTGATAGTACGGTAGGAGCAGTTGTCTTGCTTACTAGGTGTACATGGTCCATAAAGCTATGAATCGTTTTGCAGTTCTCCACGATTGCGTCAGGGTTATTGGAGAAAATTATGGTGAAAGTGAAGAACAGAGAGAGAGTCAACGACCTCCGCCAACTTCTCAGGCAGTGAGTGAATGCGTGCACTTTTCTTCTTTTTTTATTTAAATAGTTGTCTGAGCCCCTTTGAATCCACTGACCATAACCTACGGACACTGTGTGCTTGGCATCGGCACAGCACATGTTGCCATCAGATTCATAATGACCTGCCTGTTGTACCTGACTCCAGGGGAGAAGTGCTTGCACAATTCTTGTGTGCATTTTCTGGAAAGATTTCTGTGGCAATCTCCTTATCAGAATCATACTTCCGGAAGTACTAGGCCCTAGGTAGGCCCTACAGTACGTGTACGTGTAGGCTGTACATTTAAGTGTCCTTGAAATTTAGCACGAATCTTAGAGATTATTATAGCCCTAATGGGACATACCTTCGTTCGTTACAGGTCCGAACTCATTTTTTTATTCGACCGAAGGTATCAAAATTCATTGAGGTTTTACTTGTACTGTACACGCACGTGTACAGTACAGTACGTGTACGTGTAGGGCTATGACTGGGCTATGTAGCACACATAGATACCTTCGAAGGTACTTTCGTACTTTCGTACTTTCGAAAGTACGAAAGTACTTTCGTACGAAAGTACTTCCTAGCATTTATTCGTGCTAGCTTGTACTCGTATTCCACGTCAAGTACAACACGTACCTTCAAAGGTACAGCAAAGGACGAGGTCAATTCCGCGAATAGTGCATCGTTTGCTTGTCTGCGCTGCCTCCGAAACTTCAATTTTTCAGAGCAACAACTCCGTTGAAACGCCCCGTGATTTGGCTTTTCAGATTCGCAAGTTTCCATTGCTTCTTTAAACTTCAGAGACACGGATGCAAACTTCTGACGAATCCCGCATATATTTGAAAAAACGTTTTGCAGATTTCCTTGAAAAGTCGCAAGAAGGAAATCACCACAAACTTATTGAAGATCTTGTGCTTCGCCGCGAACGACGTCTTTCGATCAACCTCAACGCACTCCGCCAGTTTGATGCATCTCTGGCGAACAGGTCGTGAGCACGAACGTTTTTCTTGTAGTCTTGCACCGTTTTCAGCTGTCTTTCTGTCTTGCAGCTTGCTACGTGAACCAGGGGAATATTTATCTTCGCTTACAGAGGCAGTTGGAGATGTAGTGAGTACAATCGACCCGAAGTATCTCTCTGAAGGGGACATTCGTATAACCTTTACCGGGGGGTAAGTTTGACCACTGCTTGTGAGTTTTCTCCCAAGTTGATGTTCCTCGTGCAGGTTTGGTTTCCATCGCATTTCACCTCGGGAGCTGTTATCGCCCTTCCTCGGCAAGATAGTAAATGTGGAGGGCATCGTTACGAAATGTAAGAATTATGTGGCTTACGTATAATTCCTCTGTTTTTTCAATTGCGTCACGAGTTCCATTCCATTCGTCATAGGTTCGTGCGTACGCCCGAAGGTTGTGAAGACTACCCATTTCTGTGAAGCAACTGGGTCTGTTTTGATAAAAAATGCAGATTCCCACTTTTTTCTAACATGTACGCTGTTCAGGAGATTTGTGAATCGGGAATATCGCGATGTGACATCTTCGAAAGGAACGCCTACCAGCACTGTTTACCCAACGAGGTAAAGAGCAAACAGCAAACCCCATGTCTCTTGCTTGCCCCAACTTTTCGCAAGGCACTGTGGTGCTTCCTAAATTACAGTCGGCAATTTTGGATTTTCAAGTTAGTTCTACAAGTCATTTATCATGAGTTATAACAACAGGGATGAGAACGGAAACTTGTTAACCACGGAATATGGGCTATGTTCGTATCGCGATTATCAGTCAATTAACGTGCAGGAGATGCCTGAATCCGCACCACCTGGTAAACTATGTTTCTTTTCCTGGTATTTTATTTGCTGTAACTTTGCATGCACGGATAGGTCAGTTACCCTGCTCCATAGATGTGGTACTTGAAGACGATTTAGTTGATCTTTGTAAACCGGGAGACCGCGTAAGTGTTGTAGGAATTTATAAGGTGGGTAGAAGAAAAAGGCGACAGGCATTTTTGTCTCTTACTGTTGACTGAAGTAACTCATTTCTTTTTAAGGCAATTCCCATGAGAACAAGTGGATCTGGCTTATCCGGTGTATTTCGGACTGTCCTCGTTGCACTTGGCATTTTCCAGCTCAGTAAAGAAGTTGTGGCCCCGTCCCTGAGCCACGAGGTTGGTCACCACAAAGTCTTTGCTTTCTATGAAGGCCGCTGCTTTGTTTATTCTATTTTCATCATATTCGATGGAGTCAGTGCATTAAATGTCGATTGCTCAAAACGACTGTCTTCGTCAGGACATCAAGAATATTAACGAACTTCCCAGAAAATTCAAGCCGAGAGCTCTGCTTGAGTTGCTCGGACGTTCATTTGCACCCTCCATTTGTGGTCACGACGTGCGCCAATTCAAATTCACACCTATTTATTTTATTTGTACTCAGATATTCTATCGATCGCAGCACATCAAAAGAGCGCTCGTTCTACTTTTGCTCGGTGGCAGTGAGAAAAACTTAAATAATGGGACGCATATCCGTGGCGATATCAACTGTTTGATGGTTGGAGATCCCTCTGTCGCAAAGTCACAACTTTTGAGGTGTGTGCTTGGTGTGGCTGCCTATGCTGTCAGGTGATTTTTTCTCGTTAAGTTGAGCTATATATGAGTCAGTCGTTTACGACAAATACTGAAGCTCGTGATGTCATGTAACCCTCAGCACCACTGGAAGAGGTTCATCTGGTGTTGGCCTCACAGCTGCAGTTACAACAGATCAAGAAACTGGTGAACGCAGGTTAGAGGTATGTCCACATTTTTGTGCTTCTCGGTTTCTTTTTGTTTTGAATTTTACTTATGAAGTTCCTCATGGTTGTTGTACAATACTTTTCACAGGCCGGGGCAATGGTACTTGCGGATAGAGGGGTCGTGTGCATCGATGAATTTGACAAGATGAATGATGCAGACCGAGTCGCCATTCACGAAGTTATGGAACAACAGACTGTGACTATAGCCAAGGTTATTCAATTTATGATCTCCTGCATATTATCATGGCTCCCAGATCTTTTTTTACATGGACATATTGTAATCAATGATTCTTGCAGGCCGGCATTCACGCCTCGTTGAATGCTCGTTGCAGTGTGGTTGCTGCTGCAAACCCAATTTATGGCAATTATGATCACAGCCAAGGGGTCACTCGCAACATTAACCTTCCAGACTCTTTGCTCTCACGTTTTGATTTACTCTTCATCGTCTTGGATCAATCGGATACTAAGGTCAGCACATCCCTATGTGCAGTTCTTGTGCTGCAAAACTTCTTCTTTTTTCGTTCATGGGAAAAATCTTACTACTGTACAGGTTGATCGCGATATTTCTGCGCACGTTCTTGGGATGCACTCGATGGAGACACTCGCTGCATCTACGACGAATATATTACATGGAGACTCCGCACTTATGCACAACAATGTCGTGCGTATTTGACTTGATTACAAAATATCTGTGCCACTAAATTTAATATGGTTTTGGGTTGACAGGAACCTGAAATGTACAGTTCGCACAAACCTGGCAGCACAGTACTCTCGAAACGTTTTTTACAAAAGTTCATTTACTATGCAAAGCATCGCCCATGGGATCCGATACTTAGTAAGGAATCAGAAACATTCATCGCTGAGCAGTATGCGCAGTGGAGAGTGGATAAGGTGAACTCTTTCTCAAATTTTCTTCCCACGGGGAACAACTATTGACGTTGACTCTCTGAGCACAGGCAAGTGATCCGAGAAATAGACGAACACTTCCCATCACTGCAAGGACACTTGAGACAATGATCCGATTATCCGTAGCGCATGCAAAGATGAGACTTTCCAAGTCTGTTGATGTTGAAGATGCCGCAGTTGCAATCGAGATCATGCGATTCATTGTTGAGTCAGAGGGGTTGGCTGCAAGCAATAATAAAAATATGGACAAAGATTCTGCACCCTGCGCTGATATGAACAAAAACCAGAATGGTATCTGTATCGAATACAACATGGATATTTCTGAAATCTCCAATAAAATTAAATACCACTTGTACACCCCAGAAATCGCTCTGATGGTTTCACTTAATGAGGTCGACCATTCCAAGATCTCACTTTTCCAGAAACGCCTTCACGAGTGAGTTGACTTTGAAGTCTGTGATGTATGTTTGCCTTCACTAATTTTATTCACAGCCTGATGTTCCACCGCGACTTTATTTCCTTGGAAGAACTCAACTTTGCAACTACGGCGTGGGTAGAAGAACATATTTTTACAGAAGAGGATGTTAAAAGGATAGTTGAAGAATTGAAGGTCAGTTGGTATTGTACTTCTATACCAAGCTAGAAATCAAGATTTTTGCACAGGCGACCAACAAACTGATGATAAATGAGGGCTTGGTTCACCTCATTTGAGTCACAATTTATCAAAGCTCTCAAATTATTCCCAAACACCCATACAATTCTCAGTTTGATGATACTCACAGTTGCAGAGCACTCGCTACTCGTACAGTCAACACCTTCGGAGTGTTCGGGGGAAGTGCGAAGCATTGTCTCCCATCTGGCCTCGCTTCCGGCCCCCGGGAGTGAAATTTCGACCATTCACGTGCGATTTAACCCTAACTTTGATCGAGCGCGCTTTCAGATCTCGCGTGTTTCATCGGAGTCGTAGTTTCGAGGGAGGGTTCGCAACTCGCAACGGGCGACGACGCGGAGGCACCGTCTCGTGAACCTTCGAAGGCAGAGTCTAGATAGTCTAGGATACTGCGATAGTAAAGTTTCTCTTTCCTCGGACGCCGCCGGACCTTCCCTATCGTCGCGTCGGAACGGCCGCGCGGCGAGGTCGCTACAACGACGCCGCGCGCGCCTCCCCACCCCGCACATCCCCTCCCTTCCTCCTCGCCGATACGATACGCTCCCAATGAAGACCGTGTCCCTGTTCAGCGGCATCGGCGGCCTCGACCTCGGCCTGGAGGAGGCCGGGCACGAGGTCATACTTCAGGTCGAGAACGACCCGCACTGCGTCCAGGTGCTGCAGCGGCAGTTCCCGGGGAAAGCGCTGGCGCGCGACGTCGCGGAGGTCAGGGACTTGCCGGAAGAGACCGAGCTCCTCGCCGCGGGGTTCCCGTGTCCGGTGAGCGCGCGCGCGTCGGAGTCGCCGTTCCCGTCGCACCGTCCCGCCGTCCCCGCGCGCGTCGTCCTCGTCCTCGTCCTCGTCCTCGTCGCGAAAACCTACCAACCGACCGAAAACCTTCGCGCATCCGCATCCACCGCCAGGACGTCTCCACGAGCAACCTTTCCCGCCCGGGGTTACGCCACGGCACGCAGACGAGCCTCGTGTCGCACGTCTTCCGCCTCCTCGAGAGAAGAAGAGTCCCGTGGGTGCTGCTCGAAAACGTCCCCGGACTTCTTATGTGGCACCACAAAGACGACCCGCCACAGCCTCCCGCAATCGCGTACGTCGCAGACGAGCTCGAACGCTTGGGGTACCGATGGGCGCAACGGGTCATCTGCCTCACCGGGATGGGGCTGCCGCAGATGAGGCGAAGGGTTTTCGTCATCGCGTCGACGCACGGAGACCCGCGAGACGTTTTGTTGTCAGGTGCGTTCTATACACTGGTCCCCACACGATCGCGTTCGCGTGGTGAACGCCGTGCATTAAGGACGTTTCCCGTCGTTTCTCTCCGCCTATCTCTCGGTCCCGATCTCCGACCTCGATGCCTGTCAACTCCACCTGACACCTTTGAACTCCACCCTGACGTCGCTTTGTATGGAATGGACCCTCAGCGCAGGCAGTGTGCTTTGGGCAGTGCATCGAGCTGAACTGCCGGGCGGGTAATAAACGTCAACAGAAGGACGTTATTACGGGTAATACGACGACGCCGACGAACGCAGAAAACGGCGGCGGCGGCGACGACGACGAAGAGAAGGACGAAGGCGATGATGCAAAAGAGGAGGAGGTGATGTGCGTTGAGTGCGCGCTCGACGCCACCGGCGGTGGCGGCAGCGGTGAGTCTACTTCCCATACGGCCCCGTTCACGAGTTGCGCGTCGTTTCTTAAGGGCTTCGCCGTCAGTTCTCATCACCGAGCTTCCCTTTCAACGAACATGTGACCGGTGAGACGCACGGCTGACCGACGCGTTCACCCACGATCGCTTCACCTGCGCGCGCAGGCGGAAAATGCTCGCATCCGCCGCGGGAATGCTACAAGTGCTTCATGACTCCCCCGTTCTGCGTCCCTAAAAGGCAGATGGCATGCGTGGACCTCGCGGAGAAGCGCAGCGGCCCGATTCTCAACGAGAACTGCACGCTGACGACGGCGAATGGTCGGCGAATCGTCATCGTGGAAGACCTGTGCGACGGAAAAGGCGAGACCGCGCCCCATCCGATGTTGCTCGCGTGTTGAACGCAATTCCTTAAGACTTTCTCCCTCGTTTTGTTTTCATCCCACGCCCGATTTTAAAATTTGACCGCGAATCCCAGTGACTTACCGACACTATACAACGTTGTATTCGTAATCCCGCCAGGCCTCGCGAGCGCGTTGACCGTGGGCGACGCGGAACGCCTCATGGGTTTACCCGCCGGGTGGACCAAGCCGTGCTTGCCTTTGCACGTCTCAGGGCGGGCGGTTCGTAACGGAAGGCAAAGGGGCATTAACGAAGACGCGCGGGCGTTGGGCGCGTTAGACGACGTGCACGGCGGTTCGCTCGCGGACGGCGAATCCGCGCACAACGCGAAGCGAATGGCGCTCCTCGGCATCGCCGTCGCGGTGCCTCAGGCTCTGTGGATCGGCGAGCGCCTCATGCGTCCGTACGATCTCAAGTTCTCCCGGGCTGGGGACGGCGTGCGGTTCAGAACGCCTATCCCGAAAGCGATAAGCGTCGGCGACGTCGCTCCGAAGAGCGCCGCGAGCGTGCACGACGCGGAAGAGATAGTTGTCGCGGACAGCGGGTGGCCGAGCGTCGCGTGGAACATCTTCGAGGGCGTCAACGTACGAAGTAAAGCTCAATCGTTTGGCGTTACTGATACGAGCCATACCACCGAGCTGTGGCGCGGCCGCCGGTCGTTGGCCGATTGCAACGACACGCCGATCATCCGCGGGTTCATCCCTCTCGGGGAGTTTCTACGCGACACGCCGAAGCCGAAGACCGCCGCGCAAGGGAGAGGTTCGGAAGCGCAAGTAACACCCGAGCTGACGAGGCTCTTCGAGCGCACCAGGCCGTACCTCGTTCGGCTCGCGTACGATCACGTGTACATCGAGCCGTTCGTGTTTCACGGGCTGGGCGGTAAGGCGCCGCCGAATGAAGGTTGTCAGCGCGCGGCGCCGAAGGTTGGCGAGGTGCGACCACATCCATGTTGCGCCCTACCTCGCATGTTTGTTGGACGTCGTTTCCTTTTGTGAGGGACTTTTACTTTTCCCGTCGCGTATCTTCACCCTGTGATCGCTTTCCTTTCAACGTACTTTTGATCGGTGATTTAGACGCACGACTGACCCAAGCGTTTCCTGTCGATCAGTACACGTTGGCGCACCCCGCGCCCGCGAACGCAGCGGAGATTGGGACGCAGGCGCTAAAAAACGCGGGCGGGCGAGGCGGCGGCAGCGACATCGACGACGACGACGCCGAGAAAGCGGGCGTCGTCGTGTGGGCCCCCGCGCGCGTCGGCCGCGCGGGGATGTCCGGGTCCGAACACGATAGCTATTGGCCGGCATTATCGCTGCACTTGGACGACGACCACAGCTTGATTCCCCCTCCGGCGTTAGAAGCGCACCGACTGTGCCAAACCGGAAACCGTCTGTGCGTGTACTTCGTGGAGGTGCGTTCTATACACTGGTCCCCACACGATCGCGTTCGCGTGGTGAACGCCGTGCATTAAGGACATTTCCCGTCGTTTCTCTCCGCCCATCCCACGGTTCCAATCTCCGACCTCGATGCCTTTCAACTCCACCTGACGCCTTTGAACTCCACCCCGACGTCGCTTTGTATGGAACGGCCCCGAGAACACGTTCGAGTGGAAAGACCCGGACGATTTACTCGATTTTGACACGTTTTACAGCGACGTCATGGACGCGAAGCCAATCGATTTGCGCGGTCGCGTGCGCTTCGCCAAAGCCCTGGAAGATGCGAGTGCGTGGCGCGCCGCGCAGCGACGCGCCGCGGAGACGCCCGCGGCGCGTGCCACTGCCACCGCTCGTCTCCAAGAAGAAGACGTCCTCAGGCGCGTTCTATACACTGTTCCCCATACAGTACGACCACGTTCGCGTGGTGAACGCCGTTTCTTAATGACGTTCGTCGGCGTTTCTCTCCGCCCATCCCTCGGTTTCAACCCCTGACTGCGATGCCATTCATTTCCAACTTACGCCTTTGAACTCCACCCCCGACGTCGCTTCGTATGGAACGACCTCAGGCACGTCGTCGGCGCGAGTGTCGCTGGCGTGCTCAACGCGCCGAGCGCGTGCGGCACGTGCCTCGTGTGCAAATCGAAAAAACGCACGAGCGAAGCAATTCCCTTTTCGCCGCGGCACAAGCCGCGAGCGTGCGTTAAACCGACGACGCTCGCGCCGCTGCGCGTCGTGAAAAAGAACGACGAGTGTGGGCAGCTCACGATTATTCCCCTTGCGCGTGCCGGGCACGTCGGCGCGAACCTGTCGCTGTTGCGCGAGCGAGCGGTCGGGAAGAAGATCAGTGTGCACTGGGCGAACGAACGCCTGATGTTCAAAGGTAGGTCGCTATTTTCTGTGGGATCCACCAGCACGCGATTCGCCACGCCATCTAATACGATCACGAACTAACCAATCGTATCCCTCCAATCGTATCCCTCCAGGCGCGATCGCCGGGTTCGATCCAGAGTCGTACTCGCACCGGATCGAGTACGACGACGGCGACGTCGAGCCGGGGCTGAAGCTGTGGCGCGAGACCGTGCACATGCGCACGGACGCTGACGTCGTCGAGGAGAAGGAGGAGAAGGAGAAGCGCGAGGCGGCAGAGAAAGAGAAAGAAAAGGGCGGTCTCGCCGCACCCGTCGCCGGCCTCGCCGCACCCGTTGTCTCGAGGAGTGAGAAGCGCAAGGCCGCGGACGACGACGACGGAGACGCCGCCGTCGCCGCCGCCGAAGACGGTGAGGAGGTGCTCATCAGTGGCGGTCGCGGCGGACGAGGGCGTGGACGAGGGCGCGGACGAGGGCGCGGCCGCGGAAGAGGCGGCAGCGGCGGAGGCGGCGGTGAGACTGTTCGCGTGTTGCACGTCGTTTCTTAAGGATTTCAAGGATTTCTTTCGCGCGCTACGAACTTCACGTTCTGACACGTGGGAGTGATATCCACAAATCGCATGCACGCGCGACTGACACGTGTCTTCCCTCGACCTATCGCAGGCGGCGGCCGTGGCGTTTTCCAAGAGACGACGCCGACCGAGCGATCCCAACGCCACGCCAACGCAGAGAATGTCACCCTGTCGGTCATGCCCTGTGTCGTCTGCGACAACGCGGAGGGGGCGCTAGGCGCGTTTTTGCTCTGCAAGGGCTGCTTTGAGCGCGGTAAGGACGTCGGCGGGCACTGGAAGTGCTTAGGGTTCGCTACGAACCCGGAAGGTGAGTACTTCTGCGACGACTGCCTCCGTGCGGAAGTCGGAAAGTAGCTGGGCGAGGAGGAGGAGGAGGAGGAGGAGGCGGGGGGGGGGGAAGGAGAAGCGAACGATCCGAAGACGACGACCTACGAGGAGGTTTTCGTGCAGACGGCGACGAGGAGGCGCCGCCGCCGAAGACGAAGTTTCTGCGCTGGCGACTCCTGTCAGGGTTCTCGTCGAGCGTCCTGACGACGCCGTCGCCGTGACGCACGCAGCTGGCGCGAGTGACGAAGAAAGAAAGAAAGAAAGAAAGAAAGAAAGGGAAGGAAGAGCAAACGAAAGACGACACGCGAGACGACGAGACGAATGAAAAAACCATGAACATGTTCATTTGTTCGTACTCGTACGAGTAGAATACAACACGTTACAGACTTCCGTACCGTACGTGTACTTCCGTACTGTACTTCCGTACGGAAAGATAGAATACTTCCGGAAATAGATACGAACTTCCGTACACGTGTACACGTAGAAGTACTTCCGTACTGTAGTACCTTCGTATGAAGGTACTTTCGTACGAAAGTACGAAAGTACGAAAGTACGAAAGTACGAAAGTACTTTCGTACTTTCGTACTTTCGAAAGTATCTCTAATAGAATACTTTCGTACGAAAGTAAGCAAGTTATTTCCGGAAGTACGAAAGTACGAAAGTACTTCCGACGAAGTTAGTTCTGATTACAACGTGTACACAATAAATGAGCTCTAACCCACTTCCGTAATAACTTACTGTACTGTGTACTGTACAATATCTGATTACAAAAAGACTGAGCTCTACACGTATAGGTCTCGTTCAGGGACGGAATTCCGTCCCTGAACGGGACTAACGTACAGTAACCCATCCGGGCAAAACATGTGATCTAAATGCGAGCAGACCACACTACGAACAATCCTCTCACGTAGTAAGCAACCCCACGACGGGATTCATGAAACCCATGTGAGCCTCACGAGCGCACGGAGCCGGGGCGATGTGGAAATCGCCAGCTGTGTCGGGCTCCATAAAAAGGATTTGCGCTGCCGCGCCCGCGTGGAAGTTTTCAGAGTCACGTGCGGTTCTGAGCGCGTACGAGATGGGCGCGCCAGCGATGCGGTCCCCGATGGCGTATACGAGCGCGACGGAGATGTGGCCCATGATGCGTCGTTTCCAATAGCTTTTGCTCCTCGCGATGGCGGAGATCGTGGCCTCGGTCGCGGCCTCGGAGGCGGCGTCGCCGGCGGGGACAGTACCTCTCGCACCGTGATCGGCAAGCTGGTTAAGGAACTTGCTGAAGCGCGGCGCCTTGAAACCGTACGTGTCGATGGCCATGGGCACGAGGCTGAAGCTGCGGCCCTCGGGGATGTTGCCGTACCAGTTGAGCTTCTTCTTCTCCGCCTCGAGCACGATCTCGCTCGGCTGGATGTTCGCTGGTGAGCGGGTCGCAGCGGGGCGCTGACCGTTGTATTTCGCGCGCCCGTCACCTTTGAACGGGTGGGGGACGACGACGTCACCGAGGGTCCTGGTCACCTCGCTGTCGAGTCCCATGATGCTGATGTCGACGGTTTTCGCGCGGTCGTGGCGTGCGCCTCGCGCGATGTCGGGGGGGAGGAGACCACGGAGGCCTTTCGTCTCGACGCCGAGTCCAACGTCTTTGCACAGCTGTGCGACGGCTTGCACCACGCGGTCGTGGGTGAGGACCCTGTTGCCGCCGGCGTTGCCTTCCTTGTGCTTGAGGATGTGGTGGACGGCGTTGTGTGTGAACGTCTCGTTGCCGCACTCGGCATGGTGGCATGCGAGTTTCCGGTCGATGAGGATCTTGATGGCGGCGGGGATGAGGCCGAGCTCGAGGCGAACTTGGTTTCGCACGTGACCGGTGGAGAGCTCCACGGCCTTCGAGAAAGGGATCACCGTGTGTCAGGCGGTCGCGCCTTCGCCCCGGAGCGAATCCATGGATACCGCGACCTGGGCGGCGAACTCGCGGACGTGTGGGTCCTCGGAGTGGTCGTCGCTGAGTCCCACGGCGGAGGCCCTCACGCGCTCGAACTGTACGTGTACAACGTACAGTATCACCCGTTTGCAAATCTCGCCAAAAGCTTGAAACTTTTCATCGGGTTCCCGAAGGAGAAATGACGCACCTGAGGGAGACCTTACTAATTACTGTACCCATACGAGAGAGGTTTCGAATTTGACCGAAAACCTGATGGATTTCATCGGTGGGCGAAAAGTTTCAAACTTTTGGCGAAAACATGCAAACGGTGATACAGTAGTGTACGTGTACAGCTGTACACTACGTGTACGTGTACTGTACGTAGATAGGTACGAAAGTACTTTCGTACTTTCGAAAGTACTTCAAAGTACTTTCGTACTTTCGAAAGTACTTCAAAGTACTTTCGTACTTTGTACGAAAGTACCTTCGTACTTTCGTACTTTCGTATCTATTTTCGAAAGTACAAAGTACAACGTACGTGTACATACAACGTACGAAAGTACTTTCGTACTTTCGAAAGTATCTTTCGTACGAAAGTACTTTCGTACGAAAGTACTTCCGTACCTTCGAAGGTACTGTACTTTCGAAAGTACGAAAGTACTTCGTTCCGTACCTTCGAGGTAGCTATTCTATACAGGTACGAAAGTACTTTCGTACTTTCGTATCTTTTAGCCTGGTATCATAAACAACTTACCTTCGCAGTTCGTATCAGGGCAAAGGGCGTCACGTCTGTGTACACGTACAGCTGTACAGTACACGTAACTTGTACGTGTACGTGTACAGTCAAGAGCTGATCGTCGTCGCACGTTATTCCGTGCGGCCCGCAACCCGCGGATGTACGCGAACCAGGACCCCAGGTCCGCGCGTCCTCTCTCTCTCTCTCTCGCTCGCTCTCGCGCGCGTCCGCGCGGGATCCCCGCCCGCCGCGGGCGGCGAGATTCCTTCGCGCGCGCGCCGCGCCCACAGCCTCTGGGGTGCCCGCTTCCTCGTTCCCGTACGACCCCGTTCGCGTGGTGAACGTCGTTGCTTAAGGACGCTCCTTCCCCCACCCCTCCCCCACGCGTTATCCGTCGCAGCCGCGCGCGGCTGTTCGGCGGCGGCGGCGGCGACGTCGAGTCCGGTGCCGGCGGATCGCAGAGCAGCGACCAAGACCTCGAGCGCGACAACGACGCGGCATTGAACCGCATGGGCGATCGCGTCGCGATGCTTCGAAAAGTGAGGAGACTATTTTCCACACGACCCGTTCGCGTGTTGAACGAAGGTCGTTTCTTAAGGATTCTCCTCTCTCGACCCCTCGACAGATCACCGGGGACATTCACAAGGAGGCGGACTCGCACCACTCGTTGCTGGATGGCATAGGCAATGCTATGGGCGACGCGACCGGCGCGCTGTCGCAGACGTTGACGCAGTTCAGGTGCGTTCTGTGCGTGTTGCTTTCACCCAACTCCCCTCGGTTTCAACATTTGATCGCGTGGGTCCCTTTCAACTGACCGATTCACATCGTGTGTATGGAATCACCATTATCATCAGAGAGGTATTCGTGGATAACAAAAACGGGCGGAATTTTTGTTCACTAGTCGGGGGGATGGTGTTCGTGATTTGGCTGCTGTATTACCTCTCTTCTTCCGGGGGTTGAGACGTGGCGAGACGAGACGAGGCGATATGAGGCGAAGCGAGACGAGGCGAGAAGTCGCGCGCGTAGTCTCCGTAGAGTCGAATCGATGAGACTGCCCTTCGTAGCCCTCCCTCGTGCTCCTTGATCTGTGATCTTCTCGCGTCCTCGTTCCTTCTTTACTTTCCCGCGTCGTCTCGTCATCGTCGTCGTGCCTTCAGGACCATCGTTTACATCATCACGCCGGTCGTCACACCGGAGAGCCTTTCCACGTCGGGATGACCCGCTGGAGGTACTGCTGCCAACTCGCTTCCGCGTCCGCGTCCGCGTCCACTTTCGCTTTCGATGCGGCGGCGTCTGACTCCGACTCTGACTTCTTCTTCGCGTCGTCGCGCTCGCGTTTTTCCAGCACGACCACCCACGTCCACGTCTCATTCTCTCCGGGGAGTCGCGCCTAGGACGAAGAAAGTTCTCCAGAAATGAAGCTCAAAACGCGAGGGGGCAATACGGAAAGTAGTCTCGTCTCACCTTGAACCGCGCGCACGCGTCTGCGATGGCGGAAAGCATATCTGTGTCAAGGTCGTCGCTCTTCGCGAGCGCGACAGGTGCGAGCGCGGCGACGACGTCGCGCGTCACCTTCCTCTCATCCGCGACGACGCGCTCGGAGATGCTCACCGCGCGCCGCCGCGCAGCGCCGTCGTCATCGTCCTTTGTCCGACCCGCGAACGCGGACGTATGCGTCTCAGTCTCGTCATCGCGCGTCGGGAAATGCTTCAGGTCGCTGATGTCGTCGTAGCACCGTTCGTATGACGCGATCGTCGCGTATGCTTCGCCGGCGTTGAACGCTTCAGCGCGCGCGATGATCGGCTTCGAGAGTGCCTTCGTGCGTAGGATTCAAAAAGAAAAAAATTACGGACGACGAGATACAGTACGCCGTTTCCTCACCTTTAGTGCGTCGCGGCACGGCGCGCGGAAATGCCCGACGTGCTCGTCCTCGAGGACGCGCGGCAACTCCGCGAACGACCACGCGAGAAGCGCGAGGTCTTCGATCGCAGCGCGGTCGCGCGTCCACCGATCGCGGGAGAATTTCGACGCGAGCGACGCCACCGCGTTCGCCGTCGCCGCCCTAATGGGGTAGGTGATGGACGACGTGGAAAAAAACAACTGGTCAGTGCGCGTGTAAGTGATAAACTGATGATTGTACTGTAGACGTGACTGATATAGGATAACTGATGATCTGGTTAGTGAAAAAGTAAGTATCGCTGACGTGACGGAATGTGTGGTCGGTAACGTACCTCGCCGCTCTCGCGGCTTCGTAGCTCCACGCGCCGCGCGACGTCTTCGGTGTCGCCGGTCCGGGCATCGTTGCGAGCGCGAACGCGAGCCGAGAGACCGCGGCGGGGGTGTACCCGTAGGGCATGTGCCACGCGTGATGCATTCCGGGCGGTGGCGGTTCGAGCGCCTCGAGCGGCTGTCGCGCCCCGAGCGCCTTGGTCACGTGAAGCGCGTGCTGGGCGAAGCGACGCGTCGGTCAGCGACGCGTCACGCCGGTCGAGCGTCGAGTGTCGAAAAGAACGCGCGGGTGAAGAGCAGCCAATCACCACGGGAGTGAAAAGTCCTCCTTCGAGAGACTGCGCACGGCGCGCGAAC